GAAGCCTCAATTTTTAATCTGTTCTTATAAATAAATACAAATTTAAACTATATGAGTATAAATATAATAAATAATTTGTGTAAGATATAATAATTATAATCAAAAGCACAAATATTAATATTTTAATTTTTATATCAACTAACATCATTAACATAGGTATTGAGAAATTATTGAAAAAAATTCTAGTTGAAGAGATAAAAGTAAAAAATATTTTAGAAAATTATCAAGACATTTAATTAATATTGATTTAGAAAAATATTAAAGTTACATTTCTGCATAAAGGTAAAATAGATTAACCTATCTAATAAAATGATTTTTATGTGAGAAAGTATACCACAAATATGAGAATGCTAGTCAATGAAAAGATCATCCAAACATGAAGTTAACGCACATAAAAACTCATCAAAATTCTAAATACAAAGAGTAATGATAATTAAAAATTTTAAAAATTATTTTTTGTGTTCTTTGAAATTTACATTAATTAGAAGTGAACAACCATAAAATGTAATAAATCTATAGATTCCATCTTGTGGGCAAGGTAGATCTAATAGTAGAAAGGGCATGTGGGTCATGTAAGGGTCATGTGAGGGCTAAGTATGAGTAATTAGGTCAAATATACTATAGGGAAAAATGGGCTTATTAGGGTTAAGACAAAATGGGGAAGGGAATGATGATATTTGGGCAAGCTTCAACTTGTGGAGGAGAGGGGTGGCAACCTAGAGAGGTCGTGATGAACTAGATCTTTTGTTATTTCTAAAACCAAATCTCTCCCCTTTTTCTGGTATCTGGAACTCTATTTTCATCTTTCTTTGTGTTCCAATCTCAAGTTCCTTTGATATTATTCACCAAAATAATTTAAAATCAGAATTTTGAATTTATTATATTTTAGACTTCTTGTCAACATAGTAAGAATAGTTTGCATAGAGTGATTTATTCGAGTAAAGTTTTGTACCATTCTCTTCTTCTTCTTTTTCATTCTCATACTTGTGGGAGGGTGGACCAAGTTGGCATTGAATAAAAGCAACATGTATTCACATCTAAATGATGGGGAATCTCATCACTTTGAGAAAGCAAATCTAAAAGATCATTTACAAACTTGGAAGGAAAATATATAGACAACTTAATCAAAGATTTAACTAAAAGTAAGATTAACATTGGAAATATCTCTCTAGTTTTATGAATATGCTTGAAAAATTGTTTAACCCCTAAATTTTATTGATAGTAATATTATAGTAGTCACAAAGTCAAGCTTGTACCAAGTCAAATAAATATTTATGTAGAAGAACCCATACTAAAATGTCCATAAGTGAATAATTAATGTGACTCAAAAACAAAAGTAAAATCATGCATATCAAGATATTAATATTCATGAGTCAACTACTAAGGGAAACATAATGGGAACATTGGCATCTCTTATATGGCTTTCATAATTTTGCAATAGTTCAGACTCCAAAAACAATAATATTCACATGTTGAGAGAGCAAAATGGCATTATTCTTATGATGTTTACATGAAAAAAATGAATAAAAAAATATTTCGTGGAAAAACATTCACACAAACAGAAAAAAATTATGATAAACTGTAGAAAGATACCTGCTTTATTGCAAAACTATAAAGTATATAACTTAGAACATCATTACTTATCATATTATAATGAAAAATTTAGAAGTACTAATGAGGTTTATGGCATTAGTTTTCAAGAAAAATGTACATATAATAATTTGGAAGTATGCTTAAATACTAAACAGATGCCACAACATCAAGCTCAATCATGCAAGTTTTGTGATGAAATTAAAGCACGTCAAAAGTGTCCGGGCGTGCCCGCATATTTTGAATATTAAGGATGAGACACCTAGTAACTGCACATATCAGTCAACATATTTGGGCACATAAACCAATGAAGTATTGAATTAAGAAGTAGGGCCACAAAGTATAAAAGACAACAAATCAGTGAGTTAATGAGGGAAGAGATAGAGGGTTTTTTAAGATGAGCACAGGGCAATATGTAGGCAACGATCATGTAAGTCGGCTGTTGAAGTCTAGCTCCTGTAGCAATGGGACGTTTTTAGGTATCTCTCTCTCTCTCTCTCTCTCTCTCTCTCTCTCTCGCTCTCTCTCTCTCTCTCTCTCTCCTCTTTACTTATTATTCAAACGAAAAAGCAATGAATACAAACGATTAAAATTACGTGCATATTATGGGACCAGAAGTCGACGGACGCTACCGAACGAGGCAGACCAGCTACTCCGTCTGACCGACCGGAGACAGGTAACCAATACCACTCTCTAGGGATTGCTATTAAGACAGGCTTACGGCAACATTTACAACGGTGTTTGCGTGTTTCCTCAAAAGCTTACGAACGGCAATAGACATTACAGTATCAAAATCAAGCTTTAATATGATTAAAAAAAAATTAACCCATCAACACCGAGGATGAGGAAAGAAAAGAGGCACGAAGCCAAGGAAAGATGAAGGGATAGCGATCGCCTCCGCACCTTCCGTGGACATCCGCAACCGTTTCTTCTTCTCCATTACGATCCGCATACACGGCTTGAATTCGCGCTTCAAATTTGGTAGGATCACCGAGCAAGAAATAGAGAGAGAGAGAGGGGGACACCAATGAAACTATCGCCGGCGATCTCTCAAGCAGCTGTCTCTCGAATCTCCTCTTCCGCGGCGGGAAAACCTCGATCGAAGAGTTTATGGGCTCTTTCGTAGGTGGTGTTGGGGAAAGCCCAGTAGGCCCATAACAAACATCTTCTATGAGCCCAATAATGTGGAGTGGGAGTGGGACCCATAAAATCTCTCGTGGACTCGGCCCACTCTCTGTTGTCCAGCTCTGACCGCGTACTTCTCTCTGGCAAATTGAAAATAGTCCGCCTCCGTTCCTTGTTGTAATTTCTATGCAGCACGTGATCCCCGACATTTTATGGCACCAATCCAAAATCCGTGCCGGTCGAACTCAACGGCCATCTTTCTGTTCAAGAAGTATGGAGCAGTTTCCCTGCAATTTTAACTGTTCTAAAATATTTTCGACGTATTTTATGTTATTCTTTATTCTTAAATTCTTATATCGCTGATTCAGCATCGTGTTGATTCAGCCATCTAATTAAAAACTATGCGATTATAATAATTAGATGACGTCTTCAAAGACGACAATTTTTTGAGAAAAACCCGGGATTCAATATCTTTCAATGTATTAGTATTATGGAAGATATGATTCTTCTGACACGATCGATTACAGACAAAACAAGAGAAACCCACCCATATCCCCGGCGAGTTTTGGGTGGGGACGAGTTGTCCAGTTCTTGGTAGCGAATCAGAGGTGCAAGTAACTTCGACGACGGCGATCGATCACCCTGCGGAGACTATCGGGATGGGTAGCAGAGGCGGGGACGGCAGAGCTGTGGGCCGGAGAACGCTGCCGCCGCAATGAAGCGCCGTCCGTCGAATCTGCTGGCGGATTCTTCCAGCGGCAGGAGGGTTCGCTAGTGGAAGAAGAGACAAGATGCGGTATTGATGGCGGTCCACGTGAAACAACTGCTACTCCGTCATGGGCTCTCAGGATCCGTGACCCTCTTCTTCTTCCTCTCTCTCGCTTTCTCTCTAAGGAAGACGACGGGCATGTGGGCGAGGTTCTTCTTTGAGTAGCTACAAGCGTCTGTGGACGTAGGACGGGAGATGGAGGATGACGGCGCCGGAGATCTGACCGCATGGGGAGGAGCAAGGATGGGGGGGGAACCCAGAGAACGCCATGAGTTCAATGGAATAAGCAAAGACGATGAATTCGTGGGGTACAAAGCCAAATAGAAAACTCGGAGGGTGTACGGGGGACATCACACGTGATAGCTTCCCAAAGTACGTGCCGTCCTCTGTCCTCGTGTCATCCTGCTGGTCCTCGGCCGGAAACGGACAAAGGGAAAACGAGCCTCCTCCTCATCGGTATCCAGAAGGGCGCCCAGATAGCAAATCCCCCTCTCTCTCTCTCTCTCTCTCTCTCTCTCTTGATCCACAGGCCCAGCAGCCCACGTTCGTGGCGTGTTCAAATTTTCCCGCTCTCGTGACCTGTCCTTCGTCTTCCTCTCCGCTTCGTCGCCTGGTCAGCCGCCGGCAACCACGAGGACTACCAATCCGCCGGCGAGCAAGGAGCTTCTCGGCCCCCCCCTTCATTTATGCCTTCTTCGTCGCCGTCCGGCCATCCCCCTCTCTCTCTCTTCCCCTCTCTACTGTGAGCCGCTCCTTCCCCGCAAGGTCATCATCTTCCTCTTCTCTTTCTGCTGCGCTCCCCCGCCATTCTCGCACTGCGGCAGCAGCATCCCCCACTAACGGAGGTCCGTCTCGGGATGGCAAACGGGCACACGTGACCCGCGGCAAATAGAAAAATGGCCGCCCGCCGTGGCCTCTCCGCTTGCCGGCGAGCGGACGGAGACGGCGAGGGCAACGGCGACGGCGACGTACTCCCCGGAGACGAGATCCAAGACGAGACCTCCCATCCCCCCTCTTCCGCTGGCGGTATATATGTCCCTCCGCCTCGTTCTTAACATAAATTTGATCATCCACGTACTCCCCGGAGATGTATATATATATATATACATGTTGAGAGAGAGAGAGAGAGAGAGAGAGAAATCACAGCCTCGATCGTCACATCAGGGTGTCTATCTCCCGGGAAGGGCTGGATTATATTTCAATGTAGAACGGATATCCGGGCACCAGAGCACGTGAAACTGAGAATTGAAATAAACCCCTATTTCAAGGGGGAAGGGAGCGGTAATAACAGAGGGTCTTGCTTGACTCGGGATCATTTACACGGAACGGGGATGGGGGGGCGGCGAGTCGACCCGGGAGAGTGAGTTGGCAGGTGGGGCGCGGGACTGTTCCGTCACTGTCATTCACCGAGTCCGGAAAATCCGCTTGGTAGTTCAACGCTTGGGCTGTCCGAGTCGGAGACCGGTCCGGGGGTGGTGCGGCAAACGAAGGCGAAGCATCTCGTCACGTGGCCTCGTCATGTGAGCCGCTGACCCTCGTGGGCCGAGCCGATCCGACTCTGTGATGGCGTCAGCAAGGCGGCGGCGGCCTCAGCAACGAGCGAATCAAGGATGGACGTCCCCAACTCGACGGCGACGGACTCGGCTTCCTGGGACACGGCGGGGTGCAGCAGGAGCCGCCGCACGTTGACGGCGGGGAGGTCCGCCTCAACGAGGGCGTCCACGTCCGGCGGCGCCGCCCGGCAACTGGCGGCTGAGAAGTTCCGTATCCGCGACCACACGCTCTGCATGAGGGACTCGCCGTCGGTGATACGCCGCCGCCATGGTTCTCGCGGCTGCCAGAGAAGCTCCGCCAGTACCTCGTCCACGAGGTGGAAGAGGAGCTTCCGGTTGCAGCGCTGCCGCAGGGAGCCGGAGGACCTGTTGAACGACCTTTCTAGCTGATGAAACACGATAGGATCCACCGGGTGGGACGGGGAGTACCACCTGGCGGCGGCGGAGGACAGCGGCGTGTGGCTCTGAACTCCAGTTCTCCCCAGGACGCATCTGACGTAGAGGTACTCCTCAGGGCCTAGCACTGAGGAGTTACTACTCCTCCGAGCCCGGCTGTCGCCATCGTCGGAGATGCGTAACTGGCCCCTGGTGTGCCGCAGCCGCGGCGCCGCCGGTGCGCTGGTTTGCTGCGACGGCGACGGCGACGGTGGCGGTGAGAGAGAGGTGAAAGTGAGTGCCTCCTTTCGGATGCCGGGGACGAAGGCCGGGGAGGAAGACCGGCATTTCTTCCGGGGCTGCGGCGACGACGGCGGCGAGAGAAAGGATTCTTCGCGAGCTGCTACAGCCGGGGACTTCCTCATCTTCTCCATGAACCATTCGGATCTGGGCTTCCTGCTCTTGCCGGAGGCCGCTTTCGCCACTTCTCTGTCCATGCGCTGCGGGTGCGGGGAGGAGGGACGGCAGAGAGGAAGAGGCGGCGGCGGAGGAGGAGGAGCCGGAGAAGCGGGCTTGTTCTTGGGCGAGTCGAGGGCTCGGAGACGAGGAGAACACGAAGGTGGTGCAGTGGAAGAGCAGATCTGTCTCCCATTCTCGTGGCAGAAGGCTTTCGTCTTCTGTCCGGTCGATCCCGCCGGGGGATCCTCGAAGCTCCTGCCGGCGATTCTCCGGGTGACGCTCTCCTTCACCTGCTTCATGATATCGCTGGCGTACTGCCTGGGGCTCCTGTTCTCGTCCTGCTGCAGCCTGGAGATCCTCCTCTTGGACTTGGCCGACAGAGATGAAGGGGACAGAAAGGAAGCGTTGCCCTCCCCCAGAGCGAAGGCAACGTTCTCCTTGAAGGAGAGCTGGAGCGAGAGCCTCGGGTCGGCGTCCCAGGACTTCCTCGCCGACGACATTCTCGGCGTGTCCGGCAGGGAGCGGGTGCCGTGCCTGGCGTCCTCCGGCGGCGCCACCAGGAAGTCGCAGTTCCTCGGCCGCAACGGGTGCCTCAGCGGCGGCGGCGTAACGGCGGCGGTCTCCCTCCGTTGCTTGTGGAACGTCGCCACTCGAAGGGACGAGAGCTGTTCTTGGCTGCTGTAGCCGTCGGAACTGCGAGAGGGGGTCGGTTCGGGGATCTGGTCGAGCCCCATCAGACGCGCCACCACGTTGCCCGTCTTGGAGAAGCCCGTCCTCGGCGAGCTTCTCCAGTACTCCATGTCCTGCTCCTGATGCCGCGGCGCCGCCGCCGACGGGGTCGTCTTCCTCTCGAGGACCAGAGAAATGCCCATCTGTCGGGAAGAAGGAAAGGGATAGGGAGGACGACCACCATTTTAGGAGGCCGATGTAGCAGATAGGACTGTCTGTCCTGGGGTGTTTTAGCTACTCACAGGAATGTCGTACTCTTCTTCTTCTTCTTCTCCCACAGTGACAGTCGATGCCGACGAGACGGCCACTTCTTCGAGCTTCAAGCTGTTCCTAGGCGCCATCACACCTGCAATTCACAGCACCGTCCCTTCACAACGAGACCTTTCACGGAGAAGGAAGAACGTAGAGGGAAGAGAAGGGGGCTGTGCCGCTTGCCTCGAGGGGAGGCGTCCTCCTGCAGATCCCTAGGGAAGGCTTCCCCCGTCACCGTCGACGTCGCTCTGAAGAGTATCTGGTGGAGATTGAAGAGTTGCAGAAACCCGCTCATGCACCCCGCGGGGGTCTCCTTCTCCCTCTCTCCCCTCCTGCGGGAGCGACTCCCAGTCCTCTCTCTCCCCATCTGCGCTTGTCAGCCCCTCGCACCAGAGCCAGACACGGAAGAGGACGGAGAGCTGGAAGAAGACGAGCAGGAGAAAGGCCCGCCCCTGGAAGAAGAAGAAGCAGAGGCGGGTGACTTTGGTGGGGCGTTCCGCCGAGGGAGAAGAAGCCCCCGCCGGCGAGGACAAGCAAGGCTTTAGCTTTCTTATGAGACCTCACGACACAGGAAAGCTGCTTCCATCTTCTTTTAGTCCTGATCCGGCTTTGTTTCCAGTTAGTTGCCTTGGGAAATGAAATAACGGAAAGAGAGAGAAAGAGAAAGTTAGAGAGAGAGAGAGAGAGAGATGATGACGAAATGACTACGAGACGACGCGACAACCCCCACGCGAGGTAGCTCGTTATTTTATGGACCGCCCTCAGTAAACAATAGGGTTATAATTTTTTTTTTAAAATTTTGTCTCCTGCGGCGGGGGACGGACAATGGGCCTCGGCTAGGAGCATTTAATATTTTCGGGCTTAAATGGGCTTCGCTTAGCCTGTCCTAACCCTACTCTAATGGGCTTGCTAGCGGTGAAAAACCGATCCCTCTACTAGGATCTACCCCCCCCCCCCCCTTCCTCCTCGCTTTCATCGGACAATTGCCGAGGTTTGTGGGGCGGTGAAATCAAACATCGGGCTCCGCCGATGGTAAAAGGAAATGAAGGACCTGTTCATTAATGAGGAAGACGAGCTGTCGGGGAGGGGGAGGGAAGACCGAGGGCGGGCTCCGCCGCGCAGGGCCGACGGCGCCGCCGGTAGGAATATGAGCCCTTCGTCGAGCTTCATTCTCCGGGCGCAGCGAGGGAACGTGGGCTGCTTTCTGCTGCTGCTGCTGCTGCCACCTTTTGTTCTCCAGTTATGCTGGCCTCAGGAAGACAGGCCCCGAGCCAGGCGTCACGTCTTTCCTTTCCGAGAGCCTCCTTGCCTGGATTTTGTTTGCTCTACTTGTGGGATGCTCGGCCTTTACTTTCATGGTCACCGTGTTGGGAAATTTCCCCATCTCAGATATCGACGGTTCTCACGTGGGTCTGGGAAGACGAAGCTCTTGCTCGAAGAAGGCCTCGAAGCAGTACAGACGCGACCATCAATGGCGTCTTCCTCCTCGACGACTCGACCTTCGAAGATGACCCATTTGACCGAACATTTCCCGATGTTTTTTCTTGAGAACAGAATCTGATACATTATCGGAAGTTTGGTTCCCGACAGGTCTTCTCCGCCGCCTGTTCCCCTCAAAGCTGCCCCGTCTCCATGCATGCATGGAGGACGTAGGTGGGGTAGCCGTCGGGGCCTCCATTAGAGAGAATCTGAACAGCTTTCTCCACGCATCTCCAGATGCCAAGGGCTTGAGGCTTTTGAAACCGGAGACGTGTCGATCAAGGCCTCGCCGTCCTCCTCCTGGCCCCGCTTCTTCTGTAATATTTTTTTTGCTTGGGAGGGAACAACGCGGATGAGTTTTCAGATAGCAGAGGGAGAGGTGGTGGGGGAGTAGTTTACTGTAGCAGCCGTCACTTCCCTGCAGTCTGACCAGATGTTGCTCACCCGGTTTCTCCGCCAATCTCCTTATCTCCCTACCCGCGGCTCTGATTGGCATCACTGGAGGGCTAAGTTTCTCGGGAAACAGGACGACGGCCGACGGCAAGATCCCAAAGTTTTCTGCAGCTCCTTTTTCTTTATGGCCTCTCAGACAACCTGGGCCATAGTTTTTTCCAAACAAGTTTCAAGATCAAACCTAAAAGGAAAACAATCAGCTTAGGGACAAGTCCGGGAACTATCCGGTATAATCACGTGATCCATGTCAATCTCTCTCTCTCTCTCTCTCTCTCTCTCTCTCTCTCTCTGTGCCGCTCGATCGCTAACTTCCCATCGGTCTATCATTCATCATTAAAGTTGAAGCCTGGATGGGCCCGTGGGCACGCTTGTGTGCGAGTCATTCTAGCACAGAATCACTCCGAGAACTCCTCTGAATGCTCCTGATCGATCGTCCTCCCCCATTCAGAATAAGAAGGTGACTGGGATGTAATGTCGCTCAGTGGGCATCACGCGTGGTGCAGGTAGCTATGTTCTTTCTTGGCAGCTCGACCACACAGCCCTTATTCTACTTACAGTAAGACATCATTACAAGGAAAATCTAAACTGTACAATCCGATCCTTGACTTTTTCGCATTATGAACATAACAGGATTAGCAGCCAAAACCAGGTGGGCTGAACCAGATTCAACTCCTTAATCGTAAGACAATCATTCTAAAACATTGAAGGAGTGGAGCACCTTTTCCAAAATCGTTCTCGCTTCTGTGCCCAGAGGAGACTCGGGCTTATCAGAGGAGGTAATGTTGAGAACATAAAGCTTACTAGCGTCGACAAGCACGGCTGAGAAAATCCTCTTCAATCCCCCTCTGGAGCTATCCACTGTGTACTCAAACTCGAACACTGGCAAACCTCTGTAGCCCACCCTCTCTGCAACAGTCACCATCTGGGCATCCTTTGTGCTCTCCTGTCAACAAACAGAATGGAAAGACATTACAGTAGCAAAGAGGGAGATGTCCCGTACCATATTCTCATTAATATATTCAAGTTTTTGTGCATACATACATACATAAATATTCCCCATGCATGACTCTCGACGGGCCTGGAAATGGGCGAAGATTCAGAAGAAAAGTTTTGTTCTTGTTGTGTTAATCGATGACTGTGTCGTTTTTTTCTTCCAAAAAAAAAAAAGAAATGGAATCCACAGTCCAATGATGGAGAATCCAAGTTCCATTTATAAATCTTAGAACTACCCCAGCAGAGTGTGATGCGACTAGAGACAAAAAGCCTTAAATATCTCATAATTCGTATGCACAGGAGATTATTGGTTCCCAATTATTGAGATATTGTTTCTGGTATATGCATATTAAATAATAAAATGCATGAAAACTGTTCATCAGCTCAGAAACGAATACTTCTCAGTCCTGCAATCAAAGGGTAGATTCCTACGAAGTTGGTTGCAAACATCGATCAAGCTTATGAAGCTTTATTTTCTGTGCCCATCGAGTTTTTCTCCTCCTTTCATTTTAATTATAAAACTGTCTGAGCCCTTGCCCTGGTGCAGTGGCGATATAGCTAGTTAGTTCTCTTCTAATTGCTTTCTGACCTACTCGCCACCCGATTACAGCAGACATTGGAAACCTAATTTTGGCAGAAGTTGACTTCAACCGTAGAATTGATCGAGGAAGTGGTTGGGTATTCAGCAGCATTACTTTGCGCATTTACTCACAATGCAGAATGCTCAGAGGCCCGCCACATTGATCAAGATCATCCCTAAACTGTGACGAACAGCGGGACAATTACTGGGTTCGTTCAAGCCTCATCTGCCAGACGACGGAGCAAGAGGAAGATATGGAGATCACATCGGGTTCTAGAAGAAAAGGAAGAGGCGGACCTTGCGTCGTTCCGCTTGGATGAGCTTCTCAGCCACGAACTCCGGCGTTCCGAAATCCTTCAGAGATGAAAGACGAACCGGATTCACCACGACCCCTATGGTGTCGTTCTTGTTCTTCTCGCTCACGAACAGCGCCGTCGCCCCTGCCTTGTCGACCTAACCAGCAGAAGATCGCATCAACAGATTATCTTCATTCAACAAACAGAGAGATGAATCCCGTCCTCGCCCCAATCAGCGTACCTTAACCCACGAGGAAGGCCTGAGCAAGGAAAAGCCCTCTTCCTTGTCGGTGTACGTCTCCAGAACCTCTTCTCCGCCGGCTTCCTCGACCGCCGCCACCGAAGGAGAAAGCAGAAAACGGAGAGAGGAAGCTAATAGGAGAGCAAAGCTCCTCCTCGTCGTGGTAGCGACGGCGGCGCAACAGGTGGCGGGGCAGCGGCGGCCCTCGCCGGCGGGCGGGTGAAGAGAAATGGACCGCCGGTGGGCAGGAAAGTGGTGCAGGAAGAGGAACAGCTGAAGAGGGGAAGAGGATGCTACGGACCCTCCCTTCGTCATCCTCCTCCTGCTCACCTTACCCTCGTACCTACAGTGGAGACTCTTCGCGTTGAGAGGCTATGGCTCCAGAGGCACGGTGGGCCACCACACCGCGAAGAAGATAAGAGAGATGGGTTCGATTTAACGCATTAAAGCTGGTAACTTTGTTAGGAGGTCAGCTCAACGAGGAGCTTGAGGGTGAAGGAAAGGTCAGATTTTTGCACCCTTTACACAGAGGTTGCAGGAGGGGGAAAGCCTAAAAAAAGGGCTTCCTACAGAGGCAAAAGTGGAAGCCCGGAATCATCAACTGGCTTTTTCTTAACCAGCTCGGGCCGCGGAACGGCGGCTCCGGCTAGGCGTTCTCGGCGATGGCCTTGTCAATCTCGCCGATGTGATCCTTCAGAATGTTCCACTGAACAGGAAGGAAGAGGAACGTCAGACGCCAGAGAATGGGGCGCCGTGGAACCGCCGCAGAAGAACAGAAGGTTCGAGCGTACCTGATCCATGGTGAGGGAGATACCTGATTCACGTACAGAAAGCAACGATTCGTCAACATGAAGAAGTCTTCTAAAGATTTTACATTGCCAAGATAAAAAAATAAAAATAAAACATTTTCAACAAAAAATAATTGCAGAGAGTACCCCTCCAGGGAACCATTTTTCGATCAAGCAACGGCTTCCAAACACCGATTAGGGACTATAAGACAGATGTATTGCTAATTTATAGTGATATGGGCAGATGTGAACAAACTCGACCAAGCAAGAAAGTCAAAGGAAATTCTACTACAACACTCGACCAAGTAAATTGGATGTGCCGTGGAGAATATAATCATCGTTGTCTGTTTCATACGACATCCAAAACAGTGATTTTTAATAATAATAATTTTAAAAAAACTAGGACCAGTTTCATGCAGGGGTCCTCAGGTATCATATTTGCTCTAGATCGGATCGAATTTTCCATCATATTTCTGTTCCAGTCTGATCCAGGTTGACGAATAATATGCAGAAAATATATCCTCCAGTGATGGGTATCTATTTCTTGAAATAATAACGTGGCATACACAACCTGAAGTTCAGAGATTCCGCGCAGAAGGAGAGTTGATGCTCAGCGCCGCAAAATATGTGAGGCTAAACTAAATAAGGTACAGTTGGATCATCCGGATAAAAATTTGTGTAATTACAATAATTTTTCTGAGAGGGGAAATATGGGAGTGCTGAAAAAATTGTCATTAAACTGCTCTCAGACAACATTAGGTACTATGCTGATCAAATTTCATTAATGGATCGAAGCTGCATTATTTCTGTTTTTTTTTCTTTTTTTCTTTTTTTTTAACCATTGACGTTCCTAGATGTATAAATCTTCAATGCAGATTTATTCTATGTAACTGGGACAAATTACTTGTACTAATGTCGTATGTTCTTCCTGTTAATCATCACAACCCAAAAAAGCTTCGAACCCTTCTCTTCTACAGGCGTTCAATGTAGAGAGAATTCAAAAAAAGAACCCGAAGCCCAAAGAAAGCTGCTTCCATTCACCAAGAACGGGTAGAAATTAATCGAGACTCACAGTAAATGAAGCAAAACCACAAGCATAAACTGAAAAGAAAACCCCAATAACCAGTTCCGTCACCCCCAACCAAGCCAACGCAAGGCGTAACTGGTTCTGTCAAGCAGAGTGGCAGCAAAGAGTAGGTTTTAAGCAGGGATAGTCGCATACCTTTCTTCCCAGGGAGTTCTTTCCCATCCTTGGAGTAGAACTCTCGGATGTCCACCACAATCTTTCCCTGCCAGCAGCGCACAGAGACCCTCCGGTTCTTCGATATCTGAGAAGCCACAGTCTCTCCAATATCAGGGGAAGACGTATGAAAGAAGAGGAAAGTAGAGAGGGGAGTAAACGACGACCGAACGAGGGGGAAATCGATGGGGAAAGATTGAACGATCACACGGCAAACAACGGGGGGGGGGGGGAGAGGGGGACAGAAAGCAAACGAACATCACAAACGACGATGTCTTCCTCGTCAGAACCCGTCGCCGCCTTCTTCCTCGGAGGACCTCCGTCGGAGTCGTTGGCACCGGTCGGACTCTCCTCGTCCTGCCTCTTCTTCCCCTTCCTCCACATTTTTCCCAGGCAAAACCCTACTCTCCGCTGAGGTTAACAGGATACGGAAACACAGTTTCCGCGGATGAAACCCAATTATATATATAGAAAACACTCAGAAGCCCACAAATTTCTCTGGAAAGTGCGTTGACACCCTTTAGAAGTGGAACATGTCAATCGGTCAAACCCTGTCAAAATTGTGTTCTTGGTTTTGCTCGTCGTATTTTTATTCAGAGAACCAATAGAAAAGGGCCATTCAGATTTTGGCTAGGGCGGATCGTTTGATTGATCAATACGCTAATTTTTTCTTCGACTACGATTTTAATTTTTTTGAAAGAGCCAAATCTCATTGCCTCAAGCTGAGTTGACCCTATCTCCCTCTCTCCCCTGAGCTCGTCTTCCCCACAGTATAGAGAGAGAGAGAGTCAACGGAGAAAGGTCCCGACATTGTCTATGACTCTAGCCCTCTTGAGGTGAGACAGTGCAGCAGTGTGAAGGGGGGTGACAGCTCCTCTTTGCTAGCCCGTTGACTCTTGCTATTTCATTCTCTCTATCCATCTCCTGTCCAACGACTTGGACCGGGAGGAAGACACGGAGAACTCTCCCTCCAAAAGTACGAAGATTTTGTAAAATGACTTCATCCCCCGCCACCAACAGAGAGCATCGTTGACCGAGAGAGAGAGAGAGAGAGAGAGAAAGATCCTTATGTGAACTTCGTTGACTGATGCTGGAACAGGACAAGGGGGGTAATTTATAAATACAGAAAGGATCGGCTGCAAGCAGCTTACACCTGGGGTCAACTGAGAAACTTTTGCTGGATGCTGTGGGGTGCCGTCAGACGCTGGGGACTGTGAGAGACCCCACCTCGAGCAATCTCGGAAGAATCTGAGAAAAATAAGAACAAAGATTTACATAAATGGGTTAAGTCGGTGCTAGGGGCTGAACAAGTTCGGCCTACCTCGCCGCATCGAGCGCCGATTTTCAAGGGAACGAGGTCGTCTGCTCGGGTCTCACCGAGGTTGACTATCGCAATGGCGGCGCCCACTTCACGCGCAGCTCTGTAGACGATGGACCTCTTTAAGTGGGAGCAGAAAAGGCCACTTTTAGGGCAGAAAGAGAGGAGACACAGAGTACCTGACAAGTCTGAAAGCGGACATGGTCATCAATGATGAACCCAACACAAGGAAAGAATCGCATGTTTTAGCAGCCTCCATCGCTTTATCTGCTCTGTCTTTGGGCACGTTATCCCCAAAGAATACAACCTTCAAAGATAAAAGTAAAAAACAATGAGAGGGAAGAAGAACATTTCATGAAGAATTTTATTCAAGCAACATTAGAACATACTTGAGGTTAAAATGATCAGCAACACTTTAATTTATTTTTTTTAATGAACAATTTCCACAAGAGAGTATGAAAAAAATATAAAAAAATAGAGCATAATCGTCCTAATTAGTGGAATCTCAAGCTTAGGATGCTAGTTGTGCTCAGAATTTTTGTATTTTTATCTATTAATAAAACTAGATAACCCAATTAATTCAATATTTTCCAACCAATTCAGATGTGGATGAGATGGGCCAAGTCAAGCAGGTAATCTGCAAAGAGGTTGTAAATTCAAGAACAGAATAATGCGGCGACTTACAACAATTTGTATCATCTAAGTAAGAATCTACTGACAAAGAGGATGATGAAATTTCAGGTATGAACTTGGGAACCTTAAGTTCTTTCGATGCATATTCCATGTACTAAATCAGAGATGGCTAGTTCCCTTGATCAACGGACATGGGACACTTACATCAGGTTTTAGCAAACCGCTACACTGCGTACAATTAGGGATAACAAAATCTTCCTCCCAGAACCTTTCATCGATCTCAATATCGCCATCAGGTCTTTGCTGCATGCCGAAGCTTTTGTCGGAACCAGCCGGGCCATGATCCAAACTTTCGATTGCCAGTGCCCACTTCACCAAATAACAAAACATTTCATGGTCCAAAATAACTGCCGAAAAAAATATGATCTAGGACCGAAAATAAAGAGGTCTTTAACTGGGTCGAGAAGCATGAAAATCACCACAGAAACAACTAATGTTGGAAAGTAACAGAAAACTTAATAAATGATAAAATATTATCACAAAGCATGAAAAACTAACACAAAGCATGCAAAAATATAGGAGAGTTGAAAGTAGGAATCAGAAAGTAGATAATGTTATTAAGGAGGAAATGAACCCTGTGACAGGATTGTCAGGTTCTGGGAAAAGAAGATAGAGACAATCAGAGAAATTTGTAGATGTTTTATGACGGCGAGGTACTCTCTTGACATACAAACACTTTGTGGGAGACAATCAGAATTAGTCCAACGGAATACACCAGGGATAGATAATTTCATTTTCATTTTCATTTTCATTTTCATTTTTAAGTAAAATGATGGACATTTTGCAGCTTTCTTTTATGGATGCAACTCTTGTGGTTAGTAAATTTAATTGGCCGCCGGTATTATCATTTTATTTATAGTTTTACCTTATAATGGGTATTCAGATTTTACCCCATATTCCCATGATGATTAAGCAGAAGATAAATAAAAATATGTAAAACTTAACTAGAGGAAAAAACAATGCACGCCTTTGGGAAATTATCAGAAACTACAGTTGAATCAGAATCAATCAGGAGGAGAACATAAAAAATGACATCAATTTTGTTATTTAATAGCAACATGAGTATATTTACTGGAATAAAAACTAATTTGAGTAGATTACACTCGAAATTCAGAGCCATAAATCTATATAAACAGAAAGCAAAAGCACAAGGAATAGCAACGACAAGAACCTATAAATCTGGATCAACGAGTAAACTCCATAGACTTCAAATCCTAAAAATGGCGAACCAAAAAACTAATGCAACGGATCCTTGATAAGATGAGAGTATTTTACCTTTGGATTAAGAGCCTTCACTTGCTCTTGAAATAAATGTCGGTCTGTCGAAGCACCACACTGCAAACATGCGACAGAATAAACAGTTCCATGCAATTCTAGAGGTTCGCTACCAGCACGATGATGCAACCTGAAACATGAGCAGAGAGCATGCTAATACATAACAACTTAAGGAATATTCCAACCTGTTAAAAAATTTTAATGAAACGAAGCCACATACCTGTCAACGTTTTGTGTAATCATAAAACTTATCCGACCAGCTTTTTCCAGGGTTGCAAGGGATCTATGAGCAGCACTGGGCTGTGCTGCAGTGAACCTTCTCCATCCAGCATAGCTCCGAGCCCAGTACCTTTTCCGTGCACGAACTGACCGCAGAAATTCCTGCAAGCCGGCGAGTTTACATGGCCACAAACATATAGTATCCACTTACTATGTTTCCAGCTATAGCTGGAAAAACAAGATGCTGCAGTAAAAGAACAAAATTTGGGCCACATTGTCAACAATTTCTCGAATATGAATCAACACAGTCAGTCTTTGAAAACTAAGAGCTCACTTGTGAGCTTGGAGACCTCTCTCGCCAAGGTGTCCTTGGGGAAGAAATGCTGTCACAGTGCTTAAAAAAATGCACTTTTCAATGAACCATTAAAGTTATTCAACACATTTATTCTTTTTAAAAATGGTTCTTTTATGGAAACCAAATTTCTACTTTGAGATGCAAGAGCTTTTGTCATTCCACTCACATATCCTACTACTTTAGGGGAAACCACAAGACGAACATAAGCAAGCCATCTAATTTTTTTTTACCACGAACTAAAAGAGTTGGAAACATGACCTTGGATCGCAAGAATATCCTGACTATTTGATTGTGACAGTTTAAGGAAGTACAAATGGCTATTTTACAGTCTTTAATCAGCCTTTGACAAAAAATCTTAATTATCATTGTCCAATAATCAGGGAAATATTAGCTTCCCTTGTTCCAGATAGGGTGTAAATTATTTCTCAGTAAATACAAAAGGCGTGACACCATCAATTTTCGCGTAATGTAGTCCTTTCGTAGTTTTCTGTCCAAAGTGAGAGAACATAAGTATACAATAAATGTCATACCACTGACGATGATTTATGAGATCTTGCTCATCAAATATCTCAGCTAAAATAAATATTTTCTCAGGGCATTAGGTACCTGATGTGTGATAGGCTTAAAACCAGTACTATACGCCCCATTTGGACTGCAAGAAAACGATGTTTGACTTACTGTCTTGCAGGACGGTCAGAATTGTGACTAACGTATTGAAGATCTAAGATAAATTCAGCGTACCTTCTATAATCGGGAATACCAGACTCTGTGCTGATTCCTGCTCCGGTCAATACCACTAGCTTGCGACTGAAACCAAAAATTGGTAAAAGAGAACCTCAACATCTAATTCAAGAATAGATATGGGAGAGAAATAACGATAAAAGGATATCTTGCATCTACCTTTCATCAAAAAATCGATACAAAAGATCCACATCTCTAGAACTTGGGGGATCTGAAGGAGGCACAATATTTCTGTCCCTCAAAAAGTCCAAAGACGGTTTGCCTCGGCTTTTGAAAGATGTTTCAGTGGGAGAGTGTCTGCATCTTGTAAGGAATCTCCTCGCATCATTAAAGAAAGAATAGCTCCTTGACATTTTAGGCAGTCCACGTCTCAAGCTCGATTGACTAGTTTCATAGGAAGTTGATAGAAATCCTGACAGTTTACGAAATAAGATTCTGGGGGCCTACATTGTAGATAATGCACTTCCCCGGATATCCATGTTCAAAGAGAGAATACCTTTTAGTACAGACATTGACTACAACGCTAAATCCCAGCAGATAAGAGCATGATATACGCCGCTATTATATAATAACCTGAGTGATACTTCACTGCTTAACAAGCTGGAATATCAAATGGACACAAGTCACTAACGATTCTGTTCCTTTTATCAATTGGTAATGGCTTAGTTATTATCTACTTCAAGCACGAGAAGATACAGAGAACAACCCTTAAACTTGGTCACCTGTGCGGTGTCTTATTCAGGAGAATAACACAGATATTAGTCTGCAGTTATGTGTAATATATGCATTTACACGGAGAAAAGAGATAAAAAAATGAACATTAAATAAATTGGAGAGGATACTAATGAAAAATCTTCAACCAAGTTGTTTTGATTAACTGTAAACTTTAGGTACCGAGGCTTCAATGCCTCTCGTACAGCTCAATTGTCTGAAGCTATTGTATTTGTACCAAAAAGCTTCAAAATCCTTCAATTGAAGACTAACACAACTTCGTAGTGCTAACAAACCATGAAATTAGCCAGATGGGATGAATTCAAAAGAGGGACAGGGGAACAGGGCGGAAAGTGTCAACAGTAACCCCCCTCAGCACGAAAAGATAACACAAAACACAATACAAAAGAAGGAAAGACAGTAATCACAGTAGAAAAAAACGAATCACGGCGGTCTAACTTCCGAAGCCGATCATAACGGGAGAACGAACCAAATAGAACGCCCACCGCGGCTGAGCAACCCACCCCGAGAACGGGGGATGAGAGGAATTACGGCTTCTGGTGCAGATCAAAGTCGCCGTCTGCTAATCGGGGCTAGCGTCCATCCACGCACCACGCATATATTTTTCATACCAATACTCACCGGACGGCCTTGCCGCCACTCATCCCCATTGCTCTCTCTCTCTCCCTCCCTCACTAAGATTTTTAATTTAATATTTAAAATTGGTTGTACATGGGGCCTGGTAGAAGGCCCATACGTATATGGGCCCAAAGGAATCTAACTAATAGAAAGGTGCTAAAGAGGCCTAAGTGGAGCTTCTCGGATAACACCCGCCACCCGGGTTTGCTATCTTATGACGAGAAGAGTTTGAATTGTGCCTTTCTTTCTCCCTCGCTTGCTCTGCCCGGATCACGCCAAGCTTCGCTGTTTCCCGGAAGCTGTCATGACCCAGGAGAGATCCTATGTTTGCTCTTCTAATGGCGGAGTAAGTAGATGCCCCGGGCTTCGCTGGTGTCTCATCTATCTGGACAGAACACTCCCGTTGTCTTTTCCTCCGACAGTTTCTCCCATGGACGGAACTGAGAGAGAACCGAGGAGGCAGAGGCAGAGGTTACCGGTGGAGCTGATACCAGGTAAGACAACCGCAGTGTCGTGGAGGAAGCTCATCGGAAAATTCAACGGGTTCAATAGGGATATCTTGTCTTCGCCAGTGGCTCCTGCTGCGGCGGTATGTTTCACCGTCCCTGGGCACTTTGTAGCAAGCTTTCTTACTATTCTCCCATATCGACATTCCTTTGCTAGTATCCGTGTGGGGTTTCCTCACCAATCTCTCTGTCCTTACGTGCGTGGCGCAGCATCTTTGGTCACGTGGGTTATGGGTCGATGATAGTATTTTGAAACTTTTCCCGTTGGTGAACTTGAGAAGAAAACTGTATGATGATATGATCTTCGCCGGCCCAACACATCCCCACTAGAAAAGGATCTAACGGCTGGTGTGTTGTCCCGTCTAAGCAGACATCAGCACCTACTAGTGCAGCAAAAGTCCTTGGTCAACCTATCATGGTACTTTCCCCAGCTCTCTCTCTCCCTCTCCCTCTCTCTCTCTCTCTCTATCATCTTATCATCCTATCAGAGGCTTCTTTGTATCCCATTTGGCCTTTGGGCTCCTTAGTGAGATCTTCTTTTTTACATAAACCTTGGTAGAAGATTCTACAAGAGAGTTAGTGCTTGCTTGGGATCAGGAGAAGGCTCATCAAACTAGTATTAGAGCATCTACCATGCAACTAAAGCTGAAGGCGACAATCAAGTTTGTCGAGAAACATCGTAAGGAAATTGGCTGAAACCTTCCTGCCCTATAGAACGACGTTGCCACATTCTTGAGAAATGATAAGGAGACTTGTGGTGAGATCTTGGCGATCAAACAACAGTTGAATTTTTTGATCTGAAGCCTCAAATATTAGTGTTGACCGATGTAGGTACCATTCAGAAACAATCCCCACAATAGGATCCATGCCAGTCAACTCAACAATTGGGCTCCAGATGAAATCTGTCACAAATAGATCAAAGCAAGTCAAAATGATTGGACATAAAATCATTAGGCCAATTAGCATATGCTGGGATGGGTCACCATCTACCCACAACCACCCTATGAGGAACTATGGCAAAGCAGTTGAAAACTAAAGATGTTGTCATTCAATGGCCACAATCTAGAAAGATGGGTCTTCTGAGGAAAATTCTACTTTCCATGTGTAGGCTCTCATCTAAGGACAAACTCATCACCAATGGCCTCAACTTATAAGGAAAGGCCTTTGTGTGGTACAAGTGGATGGATTCATGTGAACCTTTCAAGGGATGGGAAGACTTGTAACATCAATTGTTGGAACATAGAACACTTTAGTTCAAAACACTTATGGTATGTAATTTTATGAGGATCAAACCTCATGGGACTGTAGCAGAATATAGGGAGGAATTTGAGTTGATGGCAGCCAAAATTGAAAATAACCCTTAGTAGATTATGGAGAATACTCTCCTAAAAGGGTTTCACAAAGAGATTCAGGCAAAAGTATCCCTCTTCAAACTAGTGGGCCTAAAGGACATCATGCACACCATATAAAAGATAACAATGAAGCATTCTCCCACTTAGGAGCTCAACACACCTAACAAACCTATGTGAACAAATATGTCAAGATTGCTAGAATAGATTACAACCTACGATGACAAAGAGATTTGACTTATGTCTTTCTGAGGCGAAGTAACCTCCAACTACAACTTCAATGAAGACAAAGATCAAGCACAACAATCTACAAATGTACTAATAGCATAAAAGAGAAATATAATACAATCTACACCATTGGAAATATAAACATGACACGAACAAGGTATGTGTTTCTCATGCAAGGAGAAATATTCACTTGGACATCACTACAGTGAAGAACTATAGATCATAATCATCTAAGAAGAAAGATTATTAGAAGATGAAAAAGGTGGACCAAGTGATACCACCGTAGAGGAAGAGGCATTAACCAACTTAATCATAATCTCACTCAATTCTTGGCTAAAGACTTTCTCGTAAGATCCCTCAAATTTCACAGGACAATTAAAGAGTGATCAGTCATTCTTAAAAAGTAAACATAGGCACCTCCCATAACTGCATTTCTTAAAAATTGGCACAAGAGCTAGAACTCTCAACGACCATCACCTTGTAGTTTCAAGTTGTGACCAGAATAGGAGAAATAAGTATGTGCATCTATTGTGGCACAACCATAGAGCTTCAATCACTGACAATATATGAAGATAAGTTAGTATTATCCACAACAAATGTCGATGTGATTTTGGGACTCAAATGTATGAGCATGATGAAAAAAATGAAGTTGAATTTTGAGTACTAAATGATTTTTCTTATATCAAGCCATATCAAGTTATGGTTCAAGTAGACACTTCATCATATAAGGAAATATTTCATTCAAAGTCTTATCCAAGATCATCAAAAAAATGAGAGCTTATGGTCGAATTATTTCAAATGTCGCATACTTGTTATGATCAATCGAACCATACAACAACATTAATAGACCTCAAAGACCATCATGAAACCAGTATGAGGACTTTATTTACCTTCTACGTGAACAAACATTCATTTGATGTATATATAGTTTGGTGTGTTAGTGATTCTTTTAATTCTGTGAATATTTGTCTGAAATACGTACTATGATTTTTTAAAATCTGTTTATCTCCATTATAAATATTCTTGTCGGACATATTTTGAGCTAGACAAGCTTGCAACCAAACACAATGGTTTCTTCATTAATAGATGAACTATGGAAAAATAATTATCTAATAAATTGCTGGCTTCTCCCTGATCCTTTTTATTGGCGATTGGTATTTTCCAGGTGGGAAAACATCTCTTTATTTTTCAGGACTTTTGGGAAATTGTGGCCATGAGTTAATCAAAATCGCTTAAAATTATTCTCTCACAACCCGATTATCAGTCATCTGGGCTAACCAATAAATAGATTTCTAACTTTATTGATTTTATTTTCTGATGAAGTGAATCTAACATGCCCAGTGGAAAGATTCAGGCCAAATTCCCAGTGGAAAGCTTGTTCGGATTAAATCTGCTGCAAGGGAAGCTCATTGGGCTAGAAAGTAATCGAAAAGTCCCCTGAAGACCCGGTTCCCTCTCCTGACTACAATCTAAAAGGCATAATCTTAAAGAGAGTCTCATCACCATAGACTACATTCTTGTAAGTTATCACTGTTCATGTTGCACAAGAAGCTTCAACATCTCTCTCTTTCTCTCTGAGCAATGTCTGTGACTATACGCAAAATGCCAACGGTTTGTTGCTTAGAGATCTACATGCAGGTGGCTCTCTCTCGGAAAAATTCTCTCTCTGCATGCGGTAGCAGGAGCGTCCTCTGAGATCCGCGATAGGATGAGCCTGGCAATGTTCTCTGCGGAGACAGCACTGGTCTCCATGGTGCTCGCTGCACTCTCAAAGGAGTTTATGTAGTACAGATGCAGCCCATCCAGTATATACGGAGCAAAGGCCTCTGGAGCACTGTAATGGGGATAAGCTGGCCAATCAATCCGAACCGTCTCTGTTCGCACTCTGCCCAAATCAAATGGTAAGTAATTCAGCAGAGTCTTCTACACATGCTTCAGAAGATTTTAACCACATGATTTAGCTTAGTCTTCTAATTTGATTTACCCGAATATCTGATCCAGTAGGACGTCCTCCATCTTCGAACGAGAGAAGACCTTGTACGCCTTGTCCTTTTCACCGTACTTCCTCTGGACAGCAATACTAGAGAATGGGACCTCAGGAACCTCCATGGTGCCCACCAGGTTGGGGATCTCCGACTCAGAATTCAGACCAAAGTATCCCTTGAACAAGAGCAGCAAATTAATAACCAGTAAGCTTATATAAATTTACATGGGAGAGATATGGCCGCCGCCACCTAGTAGCCAGAAATCCAACTGGTTTCGGCCATTGATGACCTGGGTCAGGCCAGGTCGGCTGTATACTTACAGGGTTTAGGAGGCCCCTAACAAAGGTGGTGTGTGTATGCTGCAGGCTCCTGCTTGGGACTGAAATCGGAGGAGAAAAGGAGATGTTGAGCTCGTCCAGCGGTGTGGCGATCACTGCAACTCCACAGAGGTATTGATTTCCTCTCTTTGACCGGAGTTCATATTGCCCTTCCTTGTAGGAGATGGAGGTGATCTCCTCGTGGAGATTCAATGTCGCATTCGAGTGCTTGATCAACCCAGAGGCCATCTGCCAGTTGCCACCCTGCACTGACCACAGCCCCGACTCTGAGCCCGCCAGGCCAACAGCACCGGCGAGCCCACTCATGTCAACATTTTGGCCGTAATTTATCCTCGTTATAACCTGTGAGTGATCCAGCATCCATTAATGCCAAAGTCTCCATTTTATATGGCGCGTAAAATATGAAAACAAAATCATATAGACGAAGAACATGAATACTTGAGTAGATTCAGATATATGTTGCATATAAAATTAGTATTTTTACAAGCAGTAGAAAATAAATGCAGAAGGCTGATTGCAATCTGAAGTTTTCACATTCTGAAACAAGATTTTGGAAGTGGAAAACTATCCTGGTGAGCAAATTTTCTTGAATTTTCCCTGGAAACAATGAAAACAAATTGAGAAATGAAGAACATAACACCGACGGAATATACAATAAAATACGTATATTTTCTCGTATTTTATGCAAGAAAATATACAAGAGTATATACACCGGCGATCAATCAATGCTTTCGTTAGAAGAAAGCTGTGAAGAATGAAAAACACCCACTTGATCTTCTTGGCCAGTCATTGATCACCTGATCCCCCTCTAACCAGACCGAAAAGATTACACAAATAAAGTTTTATGATCACACTGTTTCTTGAGGAAAGACTGTGTTCTTGAACAGTAGAGGTTATCAGGGATGCCGAGGGGTCAATATTTATTTTGATTAGAGGAAAGCTGTGAAGAATAAAGAGCACCCACTTTATCTTCTTGATTAGTCATTGATCACCTGCTCCCTCTCTAAACAGGCCGAGAAAATTACCCCACAAATAAGTTTGTGATCAGACTGTTCTTGAACAGTGTGACTCCTTCTCCTTTTTTCCGCCCCCTGCTAGTTCTTCCTATGCTTACCGTGACGAGCTCCGAGATCAGAAGCGGCGACAGCCCCGCCTCGGCCAGCGCCTCCTGCAGAGTTCTACGGGTGAGCCCATCCAAGCCTGCCCACCTGAGCATCTCCTCCGCCGATTCGAAGACGGGCCGAGAAGCCAAGTCCTTGTAGTATATCATGAACTTCCCGACGGTTCTCTGCCAGAGGAAAAAGTGAGGACACGGAAGAGGGAAAATCTGACCGAACGGACGAGGATATCGGCGGAGAATACCGTGACAAAGCTCTGCATCCGGAGGAGGGAGAGACCGTATCTGCGGAAGAGGAGGAAAGAGTTGAGGATGGAATGAATCTTCTTGTACAAGGCGGAGCTCGAATCCGGCGGTGGCGGGAGAGTCTGGAAGACGAAGCGAGAGCCGTCCCAAATCCCCAGCCATGAGGAAGACGCAGAGGAGCCGTTGGAGCTCGCAGCAGCGGCGGCGGCGGACTTAGCGCTGGGCTTGAGGCCGAGGAAGGAGGTGAAATTGAGGGCGTGGAGGTTCTTGGGATGGAGGATGGTAGCGCCGGCCTCGAAGGTATCTCCGGCGAGGGTCGTCGTCGCCATCCGCCCGCCGACTACTCCGTTCCTCTCCAGGATGACGATATCGTCGACGGCGCCGCCGCTGTAGTCCTTGAGGAAGTGAGACAGGGAAGAACCGGCGATGCCGGCTCCGATGATGCATACTCGGGGCCAGCCGTCGCCGCTGACGAGGGAGAACGCAGCAGAGATGGAGAACAGGACGAGCAGAGCCGAACCAAGAACAGGACGTGCCATATCTTTCCTGCGAGAATCCTAGGAGAATGGAGCATATGTTTCCTCCATTAGCCGTCCCAAAATGCATAACCATTGCTGTGATGATTTTTGGAACTTTGATCTACCTCCACCCTGCGTCATGCTCGATCGAGATCGTTGACTCTCTTAAAACCCACCTAATTAATACCGACCGTGCGGCATCTAAGTGCCCGCATCTAGATATGGTAATAAAACCCATCGTCCACGTGAATCAAAGGAGAAATCTTGGAAAGACCACTCGAATGTCGGATAGATATTTTTCTTATACGTTACAAATTTCGATTATATTTCATATTTCATAAAAAAAAGTGAAAGTCAAGTTCTTATTTCGAGGTAGGAAGGACATTTTTTTTTCTTTTTTCCGAGGTAGCTGGTGGGGCTCACAGGCTCTGGCCGCCCAAGAGGGTAACTTGGGAGCGTTCCAGACGAACTTACAGTGTCGTGGCATCCCGGCAGCCCCTTCGGCCAACTCTGTACGAAGAGATTTGGTTTCCCGCCGCTTCACTACTCGCTCGCTGCTTCCTCGAAGGCGGGGGCGGAGTGGGGAAGGAGGACATGGAGATAGAGATGGAGACGGAGATGGAGGCGTCGGCGAAGCTGTACGAGGCGTACAATGAGCTGCATGGTCTGGCTCAGGAGTTCCAGACCCCGTTCGACGCGCCGGCGGTGCTGGTCGTGGGTCACCAAACCGACGGCAAGAGCGCCCTCGTGGAGGCGCTCATGGGATTCCAGTTCAACCACGTCGGAGGTGGCACCAAGACCCGCCGCCCCATTACCCTCCACATGAAGTACAGGCCCGACTGTGAGCTGCCCCTTTGCCGCCTTGTCTCAGACTCCGACCCCGCCGTTGCCCAGATCATGTCCCTCGAAGAGATTCAGGTGAATGTACCTACTGTATCCGCCCACAATATGCTCGCTATTTTGCAGAACTCCTTTTCCCCGATTTACCTCGAAGCAACTCTCGTTTCTGTGTCTGTGTGCACATATTATTTCTTAAAATTTATTCGTTCGTTCCAATTGGCATTAATGCGCACACGGATGCTCTGGCTCCCATGACGAATGATCGAGTTGCTTCTGACGTTGTCCTGTGGCCTCCTGTTTCCTGCCCGGCGCCATCAGGCTTACATTGAAGCCGAAAACATGAGGCTGGAGAATGAAGCGTGCCAGTTCAGTGCGAAGGAGATAATCATCAGGATAGAGTACAAGTACTGCCCGAACCTTACCATCATAGATACTCCGGGGCTCATAGCTCCTGCTCCAGGCAAGAAGAGTCGAACTTTACAGGTATCTTGCGACCAGTCGCTGCTTTTTTGTTTTTGCCCACTCTGGTTCTGTATTACAATTGATCTGTAGTATTGTAGGGCGTGCTTTAATGGTGGCCGATTTGTTCTGGACTTACATCACGGTCATGTGAGAATCTTCAGGTGCTCCCACTTTCATGGGATGAAATTTCTCACCCGAGCTCTTGGATAAAAATCGATCTTCTAGCTTGAAGAGAAACATCTGAATCATTAAATCTTCAGTTTCTCGACTGTGGATAAATTAAAATTTGTCCGATTTATTTAATAAAGAAATTCGATTTTCTTATATTTCAACAAAACTGACTGCGCCTTCACGCAAGTATCAAGCGTACAGGGTTGATGGGTGATGGTTTCTTAAGAATATGTACCATCTGGCTGATTATTTCATTAAATAGTGTCCCTTTTATTCAGAGTCAGGCGCGTGCGGTGGAGGCCCTCGTGCGGGCAAAGATGCAGCACAAAGAATTCATCATATTGTGCCTCGAAGATTCCAGCGATTGGAGCAATGCCACCACTCGCAGAGTTGTAATGCAGGTTGGTGTTCATCCTCTGCTGTTTATCCTTGTCACGAGAAACTGTCTGAGCCATTGTTTAAGACCTTTCTTGTTGGAATAACTATGGTACTTCAAACCATGCAGATAGATGTCGAGTTGTCGAGGACTGTCATAGTCTCCACAAAGCTTGACACGAAGATTCCACAATTTGCACGTTCTTCAGACGTGGAGGTTTTCCTTAGGCCCCCCACTTGCACCTTGGATGGTTGCATACTGGGTGACTCTCCCTTCTTCACTTCTGTGCCCTCTGGAAGAGTTGGTACTGGGCGTGATTCTATTTATAAATCAAACGAGGAGTTTAAAAAGGTTAACTTTTACTCCCATCATCAGTTTCATCAAGAACATTTATAACCAATACGTGTGTACATTGCTTAGCTTGGTACTCTGATCAATGCGTATAGGTCTCTCAACACAAGTAGAATATTTGCACATAGATAGTCTCAGGGCATCCTGTTTTCACCTAAGTAACAAGATTCTTCATTGAAACCTTTATGAGCTTTTCTAAAGGTTACCATTCAGATCTACATATTCTTTCGATTGCCAACTTTAATGGTGGTTATCTTGTCCCAGGAAGATGCTTGTGTTGTTCTTGGTGCTGACGGAAGATTATTTCCTCATGACATTGAGATCTTTTTTGCTTTATTTTATAGGCCATTTCCTCAAGAGAGGTAGAAGATATTGCTTCTTTAGAGGAAAAACTAGGGCGGCCTTTGTCAAAGGAAGAAAGAAATAGAATCGGTATTAGTAGCCTTAAGACATTCTTGGAAGAACTCCTATTGAAAAGGTATTTAACTACCCTTCCTCTTATCTTACTTGTAGCAATCAGTTTAGTCTCATATTTTCTAACGCAAATGATTTTCCTGTAAATTTGATAAAAAGGTATATGGACAATGTACCCCTCATAGTTCCCCTTCTCGAAAAGGAGTACCGAAGTGCAACAAGAAAGCTGCATGAAGTAAATCAAGAGATCAGGTATCTTAGAATGTATTCATGCGAGTAAAGCAAAAATAAAAAATAAAAAATAAAATATGATGACCATTTGGTGAGTCTATTCCACTAATTGGAAAATAATTTAAAGTTAAACTAGCCAATATTTTTAATTATGAAAGTTGACGGTTGATTCCAATTTGTGCGCTCATGTATGTCGCCCATGTGTTAAAGTCCAAAGGTTGACAAGCATGTAAGTGTGGTGTTGGTATAGCATCATATTAGGAAGAAAAAAAAAAACCCCACTTGGCTGCCTTCTCCCTGATAGTCAATTGATTTCGAGTTGGATCGTCTAATAAATGACAAGGAATATGAATATATCTATATCTATGATCTTGTCTTAATGTGATTTGCTATGTTTTTGTCATATAAATGCATAAAATAGGCACCACATACATTCTTTTCATGTGTTCAGACCAGTTCTAAAAATTCAGACAATTTCTGCAGCAGTAAAAGGCTAGTAATTTTTGTTCTTTTTTTCTCATTTTATCACCCCTTAAGGTGAGATTCTGGGCTACTAGCCAAACATGTTAATGAAATTGATTTACATCCTCGTAACTTCCTTCCATTGATGAAATGTGACGTAAGCCATTTCCAACATGATAAGGAAATATGAAAGCCCTTTGTTTCGTTTCTTCCTTTGGTTTAATAAGTGTTGTACTCTTTTTTATGGCATTTCGATATATTCAGTAATTTGGACGAGCTGAAGCTGAAGGAGAAGGGCCGTTCTTTCCACGATGCCTTATTGACCAAGGTCTTGCTTTCACAAGTATTTTATAGCTTTCGAGGGAATTAAATAGACAGGGAAAAAAAATTTGGGGTGCTCTTGCTATGTTAATAGATTGCTAGAAATATTTCACCGAGGTATCTTCTTGTCCAGCTATCATTGCTATTAAAGGGCACAGTGGTGGCGCCTCCTGATAAATTTGGTAAGATGACTTGGGTTTCATTTGTCAACCATCTTTATGGTTTAACGTAATGACGAGTTCTCCTTTGCTACTTTTTTGCCCTCCCTACTTTGTCAACCGTTGCATCATCCATTCTTGATAATTTTTCGTTGCAGGGGAGACATTACAAGATGAGAGGTCTAATGGAGGGGCTTTTACTGGCAGTGATGGTCTTCAAGTGCCGTGCAAGATGATGCCAGTAAGCTGTCATGGCTTTTGACTTTTGACATCCTCCCCCGTTTTGTTTCTCAGAATTTATAAAGTCGCCATCAATGGATTTACAGAAGTCAACTTTATTTTATCTAAATATATCTCGTAGAACTATGGTGTTCATGGTGGCAACTATGATAAAATATCCTAGCAGAAAGTATTGAAAATATCAGCTGACAGATATAGTTGTAATATCCTCGACATTTATTTATTTCTACTAATGAAAAAAATGTGGTCAGAATGCTGGCATGCGTCTTTATGGGGGTGCCCAATATCATAGGGCCATGGCAGAATTTCGTCTCGTGGTTGGAAACACAAAGTGCCCTCCAATCACACGAGAAGAGATTGTGAACGCATGTGGAGTCGAAGACATCCACGATGGCACAAATTATTCAAGGTAATTATGTTAGGGTTCTGACGATCTGGATCTTTCTAAGATGTTATTCAATTCATATGGTCTTAACTTTAATTTGATTTTGTCCACACAGAACTGCTTGTGTGATTGCTGTTGCAAAGGCTCGTGACACATTTGAGCCATTCCTTCATCAGGTGCTGACTAAGACATCCTTACGACCCAGTCAAACATTGGAATCTCCCTTGAGAATCTCATTCTGCTTAAATGTTCTTGCTTGGCACGATGCGTTGCTAGTGGTCACAGAGCTTCTGGGGTGGCGATTTGGCTAATTATTTAGCTGACATTGTCCATAAAGAAAATGAAATCCCATATATTACGTTTGCCGCATTCCCTTTTTTTCTGCAACAGTTGCTGCTATTCATTGTTCATTTTTCGTATTAGATTGATCATGGCTGCTTCCTTCATGCAGATATTTAATTTAATCTTTATATATCATTGCCAATTGTCCAGTTCTACTCTTTACGTCATTAAAGTTTAGGCTTTTGTCGCAGTTGGGGTCCAGGCTATTGCACATACTAAAGAGGCTTCTTCCAATCTCTGTTTACTTACTGCAGGTAATGGGGTATGATGTTGGTCTCTCTCTCTCTCTCTCTCTCTCTCGCTTCTCTCTCGAATGCATATATTCTTCTACTAGTGTTTTATCCTCATGCAACTGGTGCAAACAGAAGGATGGCGAGTACCTTAGTGGCCACAGTGTGTTCTTGAGGCGTGTGGAGACTGCCTTCATTAACTTTGCAGAATCGACTGAACGCACATGCCGTGATAAGTAAATTTCTTAATCTTAGTCGGTGAATACATTGATTTTACATGCTCTCTACTGCACACAGCGTAGATTGTAATACCATTCATGTGGATTATTGCTCCTTCCAATGCTCCATCATCTTGTTGTTTGAACCATATGATTGGATTACAGGTGCATGGAGGATTTAATGAGCACCACCCGTTATGTAACTTGGTCCATCCACAATAAGGTAAGCATCATAGGCTTCCTGGAACATGGTTTGATGCCACGTTTTATTTTCTTTTGCTAACCAGCATTATCTCTGCAGAATCGCCCTGGATTACGACAATTCCTAGACTCATTTACCAGCGCTGACCAGACGCAATCAGTTCATCAAGAACAGTCACTTGGATCGGCTGGTAATGATAATAATAAGCATGAACAGAGTAAAGCAGATCCAAAGGTCAACCATCCTAGCCTTCAAAATGACTCGAACTCTGGCCTTCATACGATGGACACACGGCTGGCTGATATCTTGGATAGCACACTGTGGAACCGAAAGCTTGCACCATCATCTGAGAGAATAGTCTATGCTTTGGTGCAACAAATATTCCACGGCATCAAAGAGCACTTCTTGGCTTCTTCAGAGCTGAAGGTGGTCTACATAGTATTACTTCTGCGCGTTGATTGTCCTCTAGATGAATGACATTCTGTAAATAGCGCTTGTTTCTTTCCTTGTTTTGTGCTATGCAGTTCAACTGCTTTCTCCTCATGCCCGTGGTCGACAAGTTGCCTGCTATGCTGAGAGAAGATTTAGAATCAGCCTTTGAGGATGACTTGGACAGTGTATTCGATATCACCCACCTTCGCCACTCTCTGGGCCAACGTAAAAGGGATTTGGAGATCGAACTGAAACGGGTATCCTTCTTTCCACTTATGAATCAAAGATGGCGCAATCTTAATAGTTCCTGCCCGACTTACTGACGAGATTTAAAGCACAATATTTATTCTTCAACTGCTCTTAACTGTTCTTGCCTGTTCGCTTGTGTGATCTGCCATGATATCTGCAGATACAGAGACTGAAGGTCAAGTTCAGACAGATAAATGACCAGCTGAGTGGTCATCAGCTTCGAAGAATGAGGATCTCTTCCAGTTAGGGACCACTGATGGCTCGGTATCGCCTGCACAAGACCGAGAAGCTTTTGATTTGTATCTAGTGTCGGGTTAGTTCGTTTCATGTGTTCTCCTCTGGTCGTCTCTCTGGGACAGATGAAGTAGGGGATGGTATTCTGTGTACCAGACTGTGCATGAGGAATGGAGCTCATTGTGATTAGAATGTAGAGCCCCTCTTATGCCATTAGGACTAGTTTTGAGCAGAGACACATTCCTCCGTTGCTGTAAGGATTGGTTTTTAGCACCAGCCTCTTATAAAACTTCCTGTCTTGGCACGAGCGTCGCATTGTAACTACCCATCAAGAGATTCTTCAGCTGCACCCTAAGAATGCAAGTCAAAGATGCCTGCAGTTAACATTGGCCAGACACGCAGCAATCCAATCCAGACACGATCCCTAGCATCCATGTTCTTAGTGACTTCTCTAGGCCAGAATAATTTGAATGAGAAAACTAAGGATTGGGAAGGCTGTCTACTGGATTCGGATTTCAATGGGGTCCTCTCCACGAGAGCCGATCCAAAGCTTTCACCTGGTTCACTCGACCTCTGCAGTATCATCATCCAGCACAAGCTGGCATTGGTTTGATGCTGGAGGAAACATTTCAGATTGGAAATTTTTCAGGATCATCAAATGGATAATGGGAGAGGGAATTCAGTTTAGCCCTATTCAATGCATGCAACAGAGGATTAAAACCCACCTGAAATGAATTATCTTCAGAAAGATGTCACGCCATAAAGCTGTCTTTAGGTCTTAGCAAGGCCGGCCTCTTGTCTCGTTGCTCCTACAAGCACCACCTCTTCCTGCTCCTCTTAAGAAGACAACAGAGTCATCCAGAGATCCCCATCCTGGACGAGGGAAGTCCTTGAGATCGGCCTAGCTGCTCTATTTCACTTTCATACTGTCGCTCAAGTGAAATACTTGCTGTTCATCAACACTGCAGGGATGAAGTCGAGTTAACAAGTGCCACCAGATCTACATCTATACCCATGACTAATCCTTTCAAAATCTGTAAAATATGATGTTACATTTCAAAATAAAATTAAATATCTCATTTGTTAATTATCTGCTCATCCACTCAATAATTGACAAGTCTTAAACTAGAATCACAAAAGACTTCAGAAGATAGCGCAAGAGCCAAGGGATCCATGGGATATTAATATTGAAATGATACTTAACCTTGATCCCTTTCTGTTTCATTCTTTCAAAGAAGATGTTCATCTAGATGCCAAAAGCCTTCTTTCATCTGCAAGGTCATTAGATTCAGTGTTGAATAAATTTCCCGAGACTCAGTGTGTGATTTGTCTCCTACAAGAAACAAATGGACCATGTTGCCCACTTCAAGCCAACTCCATCCGGCGCTCTTCTTAACTCCTTTCTGTTTCCACATTCCCCTAACCTCAGCTACTTCATCCCACATCCCAACTACAGCAAATGCACTCGCAAGTGTTATATATGGTGCAGAACTCTTCGGTTCCAATTCATAAAGTTTCATTGCAGCCTCCTTCCCCAGCTTCATCTCGCCATACGTCCTACATGAACTCAAAAAGGAGCTCCACAAGACAGCATTAGGCTCGAGCGTAATGGTCTCCATGAGTTCCTTGGCTTCCCTGAGGCGCCCAGTCCTTCCATAGAGATCCACCATGCATGCATACTGGTCTAGCTCAGGAACAAGGCCATATTCACTTGTCATTAGTTCAAAATAATGGATGCCCTTGTCAAGAAAACCCCCATGGTTACAGGCGGTCAATATAGCAGTGAAGCATATATGGTCAGGTTCGCCACCTTCCTCCACCAATTTCTCGAACAACTGAAGACTATCTAATCCTCTCCCATTCTGTGCATAACCAGTGATCATTGAGGTCCACATGATGCTGTTCCTCTCGGGTGCACAATCAAAAGCCCTCCGAGCCTCATCAATGATCCCACATTTTGAGTACATATCGACCAAAGAGCCTGAAACAGCCATATTCATGTCCCAACCTAATTTGATTAGAAGAGAGTGTATTAGCTTCCCCAGGTGAAGCAGAGCCAGCCCCCCACTGGTGTTCAGAAGGCTAGCCAATGTGAATCCGGTTGGCTTCATTTCTTTCTCTTGCATCTCCAAGAAAAGTTTCAGGGCTTCCTCCTTAAGCATGTTCTGAGAAAACCCAGAAATAATAGAGTTGTAAAGGATGGTATCTTTCTCTGAAGAAAGGTCAAAGAGCGAGAGGGCCTGCTCGATTTCCCCATGTTTTGAATAAAAATCGATCAGGGAGCTGATCACGAAGCTGTTTGGCTCAAAACCAGATTTTATAACTTGGGCATGAAGAGACTGGCCCTCCTCGTACGCCTCCTCCAGCCTTTTGCATGCACTGATTATACTGGCAAAAGTATGGCTACTGGGTCTGACATCCGCCTTGAACATCTCCTTCAATAATAACAAAGCTTCCCATCCACGCCCGTTCTGTGCGAACCCAGATATTATTGAGGTCCAGGAGACCAGGTCATGCTCTCCAAGGCCATTAAAAGCTCTCCAAGCATCTCCGGTCTCCCCAGACTTGCTGTAAAGGTCCACAAGCTTGCTTCCCAGATAGACGTTGGCTTCATATCCAGCTTGAATGACATGGGCGTGGACTTGCAGACCCAGAAAGATATCCGGAGCCTTCAAACACGAGCTCAGGACGCGGCAGAGGATGAACTTTGTCGGCTTTATTCTCAAACTGTTCATGTACTGAAAGAACCCCAGGGCTTCTCTGAAACAGCCATCTTCGCCTAGACTAATGATTGTAGACTCGAAGAAGTTGGTATTTTTTTTTCTTCCGGGAAACGAAGCAAACGGGTTGCTAGCGTATTTCACAAGGGTTCTATCAAACCTTGAAGGGGAGCAGAAAGGCGATCCAATGGCTGATCCTTCCAACAGTTTCGGAAAGAGACCCAGACGGGAAACAATACCGCTACCAATCATCTGGAAACCCGGAAGGCTCCCGCTCCTGTTTCTCGGTACATTTCATGGTCAAATCAGACGAGAAGGTTACATCGCACATAAATCACCCACGAAAGCGCTCGCCCGACGACAGGGGGAGGAGCCTCGCATCCCCATCCGCATCAACTTCGCTCCTGTGCTTCGTTTAGGCCTCGCTGTTCACCGGGGGAAGAGCTACTTGAGAACTGGGGCCGATCCTCTGAGGCCGGAGAACCCATCTCATATATCTTTCATGGACGTCCCCTTGCACGGTTCGTATGATGTTTTGGTAAATAACCTGTTTTTATAGCGGTTGTTCTTCAGCTATTATTTTTTGCATGAACGTTAGAAAAAAAAGAAAGAGAAAACGTAGATTATCCCTTTTAATGTAAAGATGATCAAATGGGCATCGTAGATTATCCCTTTTATTATAAATTAAACCACTATATGGGGAACGAATTTCTGTACAGTAAATCGATCGGTGTTTCTAATCATGGTGGATTTAATAAATATAGGCCTCAATGTTCTGAAGGAAGCCCAAGCCTTAAGAAACGCAATCGCCTTTGAATACAAGACAAGCCATAGAAAATATGCCTGATGAACATTTCTTTCACCCACAGAAAAAAAAAAAAAAAAAAACCCTCCTTGATGAGCTAGTTTTCTTTCTCGTGTTTACAGGAAGACCTCACCGAATGAACCCTAATCATGTTTTCAAATGCTCTATAATTAACAATAGATTGCGCCTGAAGAAATATAATTTCCCTATACGGCGGGGATCTGACAGCTCCATACCGATCGAAGATCTTATCTTAGGAATCCGCCCCGTTGGCTGCAGCAGCCGCAATGGGGACGGCATCCTTCGAGGTATCGGCGGCGGCAGCCCTCAGAAACTCCTGTTTCTTCTTTGCGCTTTCCCTCCTACGGTTTGTTTCGAGGATAATGAGGAGAGCAGTAATGTCCGCCGGGCTCACTCCACCAACCCTGCTCGCCTGACCTATCGTCTGTGGGCGTACCTGAAAAATGGCAGAATCACTTGCTAAATCAACGAAGGGAGTAAGCGGGTGGGTCTGATGATTCGAAAAGTGCCCATAAGATCAAGAAAACCGGGAGATTAGAGAGAAAATTAAGACTGGCCAGCTCAAGCTGATCCAGTCTGAACAGGATCCATGAGACGCTTGCAAATTCTGGTTTATATGCTGGCTCTAATTTGGCAAATGCAGCAGAACCATGAGATGAAATGGTCATCTTTTCAGAAACTTTCTGATGATTATGATCATACACGTGTGAGCAATTAAGCTAAGAACGCCCAAGTGGGTTGCAGCTGATTTAGTGAAGCCAAGATGCCACTGTAATGTCAAGTATCAGTAAAGTGTTCTACCTTGGAAAGCTTCTCTCTGGATTCCAGGGACAATGTCGTCAGTGAGTAGTAATCAAGGTCCTCTGGAAGTGGCCTATGCTGCTGCTTGACGATCTTGCAAAAGGGAGAAATATAGGTGTCAATACATGGCATCAACTGAGGTTTAAGAGAAGAAGAGTGCCCTGATAAGAAAGTCTGCAAGGAGATGGGGATCTTCCAACCGTGTTCTAAACTGACCTGCTGAAGTTGGCTCTGCTGGCGGATGATGAAGCCCTCATATTTGATATCAATCTCTACACACTCTTTCTCCATCTTTGAAAGAAGCTTGTTTCCAAGCCCATGCTTATCAAGGACCTTATATTCTATATGTGGTTTCTTCAAGATGCTTTCCAAAGTCGCAGAATCCCTGACCGGTTGACCTGATAAAAGACTGACCTCCGTAGAAAAATCTCCCCCTGTACACATTTTTCAATCACCTCCTGAGTTAGTGTATTATTGAGTATTAATTTCAAATTAATGTGTTACTGTGGGAAATGAAGAGCTGAAACGAGGGAAGCTTCCAAGGATGAAGATCAAGGAAATCTTAACCTGAAACCCGCGCGTTCTTTAGACGTTCCTTCTCCTCCACAATTCGGGCTTGCTTAGACTGGTACAAATTCCAACGCCTATCATCTATCAAACCAATTTCTCTTCCAAGAGGTGTTAATCTGCTATCCGCATTATCAGCACGCAGAAGTAATCTGTGTTCTGAACGACTGGTAAATAAGAGGTTAGCTTCTCAGCATCTGTCATCTGAGCCTAGTGGGAATTTGTCAAAGCATTGGCCTAAAGATGACTTTTGAAACAAAACAAACGTAATGTTCCATACACCCCCATCCGAAACTAATATATTCTAAGAAAAAAAATGATTTCTCATGATCTATTTGTCTGAGGTCCTCTTCTAAATGCATCACGACCTGAGAACAATAGAATATGAAACAGGGGCTAAATTTCTTACAGAAGCATGAATATGAGAATGATCGGCGATGACAATAGAATTCCAGGGGATGAGAAATGGATGACAATACCAATCGCGAAAAAGAAAGTTCTTTGAGAAACTAGTACAACGGCTTCAAAGACTCATGGTCAAGGTTTTGATGATTCAACAAACAAGTGCCTTCACGCTGAGAGATTTTTATTCCACTTGGGATGTCCTATCTTTAGAAATGAAATAACATTCTATTGTCTGAAAATACTACATTGTATAGAAGTATGTGTAAGACATGCAAAAACAAGAGAAGTCAACTGCTGGTAAAATATTAATCAACTTGTTTTTCAAGTCAAGAAACGATAAAATTTTAGCAAGTTAAAGCAGATTTCTGATCAAAAGTATTAGTTCAAATAGGATGTTTTCGGCCATTTGATTAATTTTTTAACAGCTAGAAACGTAGGTTAAGGATAGACCAAGAACAACAAAAAGGATGAGGAAATTCTAAAGCATGAATTAAGCCTAAGTCATTGTAACTATGCCAGAAAATGGAATATATTTGTCGTCGGAATTACTCACCATCACCCCTTATGACATCCTCAGAAAATTCGCTTTTCAGAACGAAAACAGCGAGAAAATGATTTATCGTAACTATCTTAGATGGGCAAAGCACAAATCAACTTACAGCTAGATAGTCATTGTATAGTTTTCATTCAAATAGCAAAATTTTACCTTGTTAGCATTCGATAGGGCTCTCGAAGGTCTTTTGTCACAAGATCATCTATCAAGGTCCCTATGTAGCTGCTTTCCCTTTCTAGAACGATCAGGGGCTTTCCACATGAATGCCTTGCAGCATTTATTCCCGATAATATGCCCTATTAGAGAATAGATAACTTCAGAGATGAGAATCAAGAAAGAAATGTGATACTGGAAGGAAGATGTGCAATTCATTTGTAAAGATAGTCACACACAACATCAAAAAAAATTGGGGAAAATCATGTAGACCGCAAGTGACCTGCAAGTGGACATTCTCAGCCCTGCGACACTATGGTCTCACATTACCCTGGCCCGGCATGTGCATCAGTTAACATCATTTAAAAAACGATCCAGAAGAGAAACGTTGGGAAGGGTGACGGCGGAGCCTGTCCCACAAATATGAGTGAGAGAGTAATCTATTGACGTAATGCTTTGTATTGTGTCAATTTATGTTCACAATGAATCATTTATGACATTTAATTTGATTTTTTGTATTAATATAATTATTGATAAATTTAGGAAAAGGTATTTACTTTTCTTCCTGAATTTACAAGGCATGAAACCTTCTTGTGATGGAGCATGTCTTCTCAGATGGGCCACAACATGTTATTCTTGCATCTCGCTTTCACATGAAGAAATAACGACTATAGAGGAAAAACCAACATTCGTTTTCACTGACAGAGAACTCAAGAAAAATGTAGGAGGGATACCTGTGCAGCAGCTTCTTCATACCCTGTGGTTCCATTAATCTGACCTGAAAAGAAAAGCCCTTCAATTTTTTTGGTCATGAGCGATCTAAAGCATTGATGAGCAGGCAAGAAGTCATATTCCACAGCATATGCTGGCCTCAACATCAAACAATTCTCAAGCCCTGGCAGTGTCCTCAAGAGTCCTAGCTGCAGCCGCTCAGGTAATCCTGTTGAGAATCCCTATTTTCGAACTAATTATGATCGTTAAGGTATAAAAACTTCCACAGGAAAAAATACACAGGCATTCTAAAAGCAGAAACAGAAATTGTGGGAAGAAGTGTAATTAGGAGTAAGTTTCGGTTGGTCAGTTTCCTAGTTGAAAGCAGTTTACTACGTCAGTTTCCATAACCCAGGTAGTTTCCTCTTTCTGTGGCCAGGAAAATTGTATGTAACTAGCAATTGTTCTTTGATTTGAGAAGAAGAAACTTTTCCCTATCTTGTCTGGTTTGTGTCAGAAATATGTCATCAAATACGTCAAATTGAGGAGGCACACTAGAAAAAAAATTATAAATACTTTCGGAGAAATACAGAAAAACAGCACAAGATGAAGATCCATTACTCAGTCAATCAACTTGCTATATGTTTTAAGACGTGATTTCTATACAAGGGCAGTTTTCCACGAAAACATCATGATGGTTTTGTCCTCAACAAGCTGAAGGCGCAAAAAGACTAGGTTTCCTTGATATATGCCGCCCACCATGCCTTACATCCTGAGATATAAGCCATGGAGATCCGGAACAGAGAGCTATTGAAATGGGTCAGGGATTTTGTGAAAAAAATTCCCGGATTCCAAATACAGTAAAAAGGTGACCGAAAAAGCCAACGTTACAAGGTCATCTATGATATGTAATCTGAAGTCAGATGCAGTTCATCACTCACTTGTAAACTGGAGATGAGTACACTCCGCACAGAAAACTACTCTCCTTTAGTATTCGGCAAAACAACCACAAGATGAAACCACAAGACAGATGTCCACTTAACCGGCAATCCATATGAAATTCAGAAAAATGCACAGGAGCCAATATAGGAAAAAGAAAATATTTTCATATAATATCAAATGACTGAGCAGAGAATAACGTTTATTATACCTGCACATAGAGCTCAGGCACATTTCGACCCTCGGGTTCGAGAAAAATTTGATGAGATTCTTTGTCTTGAAACCTCACGATCTGAAAGAAGCATGTACATGTTACTTCACAAGTATTCTAGCAGGGAAGTTAAGGTTGACACTTCTAGCTTACACAAAATGCTGATACAAAATCCAAAACTCATGTGCTCACTAAGGCTTTTTTCACCATTATGTATCCGATACGATATAAAACATCGTAGCTATATCAGAAGACCAACGTTTGACAGGTCAAACTTTGCATAAGGCAAGTTTTGAAAAAGTATAGTTTTTAAAATTGTCTACAAAAATGATTTGATTTCTAATCCCTTGACTGACAAGTAGGAGTCTCACTTCCGTGCGTTGTAACAAGGATGTGTAGTTTGTGTATCACACTGCCAGGATCCAGGCTGTAAGTCTCACAGCTAGCTTCTTGTAAATTTGAGTTGTGGCTTGTGCAGTATGTTATGATGCTGTAATTTCGCATTAGTAAACTTATAAAGGAAATTATAAATAATAAAAAAGGAAATTTCTTTTTCACCAATTTCATGCACTCAATGCCAGCACCACATATGAGTCCCAAAACAGTAGTCAAATGCCACAAGAAAATCAGCTTCTATTAGGTGAAAAGCTGCTGAATGTTTTGTCTTCGAGACTTTGACCACATCCCGATTAATAGGATAAAACGTTGTCTCATAATGAATTTTGTCACAATCATTACTTTGACATCACTATCATTACGTGGTAAGCACCCGGATCAAACAAGCAGATCCACAATGCAACAAAATGTACCTACTATTACTATTGTGTTTTAGCGATGAACATCGTTCAGATTTGCTAATCTGCTCAGATTTTATGCTTAAATGTGGAGGCATCAACTAGCAAGAATTATTTAATGGAAACTTTTCATTTGTGGCCACTTAAGTTTGGTTATTGCAGGGGAATGCAATGGTACGAAACTGACTAGTAGAAATCTGGAGACGAGAAGATGTGAGCCTCTTCAGATTTTTATAATCACTTTTTTTGTACTTCTCATCACCGTGGTCACATCGTGCTCTCCTATCCTTCTGGCTTCTTGATAGGGAAGATTTACTTGGAAAAGATTTGTTGAGCACTTCTAGGAAACGGTGACGATGAAGCCTCCCTATAAAATGCAGGGATATTTCATGGCCTTAAGCGCGTTATTCTCTGGTCTTTTAAGCAGCCAGTTTGTGATCTTTCAATGATTGCATACGGTTCTGCATGGCCTTTACAAAGCAGCCTGTCTACCATGGAGCGAAATTAATCCATTTTTCCAGACCCAGTTGCCCGGAATAAATTAATGGACTTCAAAGATATGTATTTATTGGAGTAAAGAAACTCTGACAAAATATCCCATTAACAAAATGGCAACACATAAACAGGGAGCAGATTCCGTATCAAAATTTCCCAAGCATTCCACGAAGGCATAACAAAAAAAATTAATTCTGTACATGATTAGCAGCAAAGAAAAAACTCTAGGTGCACATGACGGGGTTGTGACCATGAAAAAAGCCCAAATATCATGACCAAAACATGTAACAGGCTCTAACTCTGAGCTACAAATTACAAGAACAAAATATTAATATTTGAAAGATAACAAGGAAGATTAATGGCATCTGTGAGAATAATCATAACTCCTGTTGGAAGTACCTTGTCTTCGATTGATGGGCAGTATCTTGGTCCTTTAGCATCAACCCAGCCGCCATATGTTGGCGTTTCATGCAGATTGTCTTTAATAAGCTGATGAGTACTTTTGGTGGTACGAGTCAAATAGCAGCACATCTGTTCCCGTTCGATGTGGTACTCAGGATCAAAGCTAAACCAGCCTACCTGAATCAAAGTAGCAAGATATAAGAATATGAACAACTAAACAAAGATCCCCTTCAGAAATATGGGAAGTATGAACCCTGCTTTAATCTATTTAGGATTGTACAGCTACAGGAAACCAGATGATGATTCCATTACAAAGAATTTTAGGGGACAATTATTGTTGATGCATTGCCGGACAAATTCATGCATAACCAGAGCACTCTGCTCCAAATTACCAGGTTTGAACCAGAACATACTGAAGCACAGTAAAATACCCACTCCTTATGCTTTTAGTCTACAGAATGGCGGCCAAGTTCAGCCTTTATGTACCGCAAGTAAATTTATATTCTGAAACAACATAAATGTCATCTAGGACAGGATAATATGCTAAGTGCAGTAAATGTGTTGTCAATTCAGTTCTCCATTGGACATTTCTTCAATCATGGCACACTGAAACGATCATCAATGCTGTTATGGGACAGGGATCAAATAATACAAGAAACTTTTCTTCTTACAACATCTGTCCGGAGCACAGTTAATAAAAAAAAGCATTGCCTCCTGTTGGAAGTTTTAGGTCGTATAGAAATAGTGCAATTAGTTGAGGGTGTTTTGGCAAAAGTTGTGTATTGTTACTCCCTATATAATGGGTGTTAGAGTTAAATGAATCTTTAGGCGGTTTCCGCCATTCTCCCCTCCGTCCTTTGTCACGAGGTTTTTTCTCTATTTTCAACATGGCATCAGAGCGGGTTCGTTCCGCTAGGTTTCGTCGGCTCTGTCCAACGTCTGTTGTCTGGGGGAGCGTCATCCCCGCCACCACTGGAGTCCGGTGGTATCCAGCGTCTTCTTTCTGCTGCTGTCGCCTCAGTTTGATGTAAGTTCTACCTGGCGTTTCTTGCATGGGGGAGAACCGATGCAACCATCACTGGCATCTGGCGACATACAGGTTACAGATTACGGTTTCAAACCCCTCTTTGTCTGGCGAGGCCTTCCGCCTCTGCCGAGTATCTTTCCGACGAGGCACTCCACCTCTGCCGAGTGTCTTTCCGGCAAGACCTTCTGCCTCTGCTGAGTTTTTTTCTGGCATTATATTGATGCACTTATTGCGCCATGGAGGCATCTTATCTTTCCGCCATTTATAGGCGTGATATCCTGCCATTTCGAGCAGGTTTATTTCCGCCATTTAGAGCGGTTCTACTTCTGTCAGTCCTCTAGTCTAGGACAACGAGTCCACTGAGATCTCCTCTTCCGGCGAGGTTCTCTGCCGGTGAGGCAGTTCTACGACGAGAGAGCACTGATCTTCATCCGTCATTTGACAGTATATTTGAGTTCATCAATAGTAGGTTCATCAATAACATCTTCAAATTCATTGGCGTCATTTCTGTCTGCAGCAAGCCTTCTGTCTAGAGGCTGAAATATCTAGGTCCATTACCGTCGTTTTCACCTCATCAGCATTTTATGAGAGGTAAAATCAATCTCTTATCCACGCTTGTCTCAATCCAGTGTCGTACTCCGTCCTCCTCAGTCCGTCTCCCTCTATTCAACATCAGTTCTATGTCTTCTAGTCTGGTGACCAAAGTTCTCCACAGTTTACATTGCTACAGTCCATGTTGTCTAGTGCTATCTGCTCACCTCTGCATTCGTCGAAATGGTCTTCACCTTCCAATTCCTCCGTGAGTTCATTACTCGATCGGTGGGAGGGGTGCCTAGCCTGCACCTCTCCTGAGAGCTAAGCCCCATCATCACATCAATCGTCATAGCTGAGAGCCTTTGCATCGGATCTTGACACTATGCAAATCTATAAGCAGAGGGATACTCTCCGCATGCATGGTGCCACCCTGTCAACTACCTCATGACTCCAAGGCAGGCTCTACAGCCCTGGGACATAGTGAGCATCATGATCAAGTCACAGGTGTTTGGTGCTATCATATTCATGGTGAGCTGTCTTTGAGGCATGACAACATCAGAGGAGCCAAAGGTGTCAGCGAATCCACAACCTTAGTGGCAGTCATCTGTGATTACCATCGAAGAGAGAGTTGCTGCGACAACAGATCTTTGTCATCGCCAACAAGTGAATGTTCAGAGGGCAATATTTTGTTGTCATCACCAATTTAGTCAAGATGAATTTTTCAAAGTTCATCCTGAAGGGGAGTGTTGGAAGATTTAGGTCGTAGAGAAATATTTAATTAGTTGAGGGTGTTTTAGCAAAAGTTGTGTATTGTTACTCCCTATATAATAGAGGTTAGAGTTGAATGAATTTTGAGGCGGTTTTCGCTGTTCTCCCCTCCGTCCTTCATGATGAGGTTTTTTCTCCATTTCCAACACCTCCATGGCACATCAATGATTTTATATTTTAAAGAAACAATGTATGCTAAAAGTGAATGCCAAATATCATCTGTAAAGAATTTAAAGGATATCTGTGTTAAGAAATCTAGCTAAAATAAACAATCAAAAGAAAAATAATTTCTCAGCTAGAAAATGGAAAAGGTAATAAATTAAATCTTCATGAAGATGGAAAAAAATGTTTTTAAAAAAGAGAAAAGACAGAAAATCAGTTTTTTTTTTCTTATTTTCTTGTTTTGAAGAATTATAAGATCGACCATGTGTCATCGCTCCAAACTATTGATTTCTTGCATATTAAATAATCAAGGCATAGGGTTTGAGGTAAATACCTCGTCGTCTCCATGTTGGGGTTCCAATCCAGAGAAATCTACACTACGATAATCAACACGTGCAGGAGTTCCAGTCTTCAATCGATCAGTTTCAAAGCCCAGTTGTTGTAAGTTCTCAGTTAGTCCATGAGATGCCGATTCACCAGCCCTTCCTGCTGGCATAGATGTTCTACCAACCCAAATTTTCCCACTCATAAATGTACCAGTTGTGAGAACAACAGAAGGTGCATAGAAGTTCATGCCAAAGAATGTACAAACTCCTTCCACGTTGTCATTCTTCCCCACCAAAACCTCTGTTACCATAGCCTCTCTTATGAAAAGGTTCGGGGTGCTGATGTAGTGACAGTAAGTTAAAAAAATGTACAAAAGTCATGCAAAAAATTAACAAGGATTGAAATGAAAGAAGATGAGCAAAAAATAAGGCAAAAAATTTTCCATGCAAGAAGCCAGGATGAACCAACCAATCACCACCTCTGAGAAACAAAAATTGCCTCTGTCACGCTGTGTCTATCTGCCTCGCAATTGGGCTCCAAAAACTTGAAAAGTGTCTTCAACTTCGATTCTACCAATGGATGTTTGACATCATTGGCTGATAGCTGATCAGGATCACTAAAAAGATTCTATGGATAGCTGGATAAAAAGTTTGAAACTAGAGAGCGTGTGGAAGATTGAAGAATACTACTAGTATCACTCCCTGGTCCAGAATCTTTTTAAGCGGATTCATCTTTGGTCACTATGTTCTGTACTCAGGTTCACTTGGAAAAGAACTGTGCTAAAGTTTACATATATTTCTACCTTTCATTGCTTGATGAACAAACTCAAACAGTTACCCTTGACCAAATCTCTTTTCCAGTCCAAATGCACCCTGAATTAGTCATATGAGACAAAATGGCTGATACCAATACCAAGCTCCATTCTACCCTTCAACTAATACACAGCCAGAACTCTGGAACCGCCCAAGCTTAACAAAAAAAGAAAAAAACAATGACCAGGGATGTTAATCATTACGAAGAACAATGCAAATTGTGTCGTGCTTCTCCAATTGGGATGGTACAAAACGAAATGCAGCTCCATTCAGAGTACTTCTTTATCACAGAAACTAATACCAGAGTGCTTGATGAACTGATTGCAGGCAATGAATTCACGGCACAGAAACTCGTGAATACTCTATGCAGAAAGTCAATATAGCAATGCAGCGATGACAGAAAATGAAGACGAAATGAATAGGTGGAAGATGGTAACCTTTCAACAATTTTTTTCATTTCCATGGCATATTCTCTTTTATCAGTCTGTGCACGCAAAGCCCGGACAGCGGGACCCTTTGATAGGTTCAAGACCCGTTTTTGTAAGTAACATCTGCAGAATAAAGAGCAATGGTTAGACAAAGCGGCAAATGATAAATCACAAAGGCAAAAAAAAAATCTTGATCTTCACTTGAACCACTAACGCTCCAAAGGAACATTGTTCTTCTGATCTAAAATAACAATAAGTTCACATAAAATAGAACCAGATTATTACGTGTACTTTCAAGGTGATGCCCAGCCAAAACGTGCATGACAAAGGACTATAGGAGGGCAAGGCCTTCAGATGACTAGCCAAGCAGTCCTAAAAGGTGATCAGATTGGACGTCTTAGTCCATTAACAGTTCCTGTTTATCAAATAACGGCTCTCAAACGATGCCCACTCAGGTAATTCACCTAATACGTGAGGAAGTGTTGCCAAATCTACAATAAACAGCAGCCAAAAAAACAGCCACGAGTATATGAAACAAAAGCAAATGAAGATTCTAATGTTCGACCTGTCAGCCATTTTGCCTATTTCACCACCAAGAGCGTCCACCTCATGCACCAGTTGAGACTTTGCAGGGCCACCAACAGCTGGATTGCAAGGCTGTACAAGAAAAGCGAATAATTTTATAAAAACCCATTGGATTGGAATTTTTGACACGCGTTAGATTGGTCATCGCCCACTACTAGTGGAAACATCTTAGTGAACATAGATTAGTGCATCTTTAAATGTCAAAAAATTGAAGTGCATTGAAGGCTGGCAGCTGAGCTTGTTGTTTGAATAGTCTCAACCAAAAAGGAACTATTTTCAGTTATAAATACGCCAACTTTAAGGATTATTCACGTTTTGAGTTTCCTAAATTACGTCAGGATCAAGAACTCTGCCAATGTTACAAAAGGTGCATAGAGAATACTCGGTCTTTGAACTTCCATATCCTAAAAACGAAACCCAGAGAACTGCGATGAGAATTCTTGCTGATGATAACGATCATAACTAGGATCCCAAAGTTTCGAGCCCATTATACATTTCTTGAATTATTCTTAGTGACAGGAGTTGTATTCTTATACAAAGAAGTCAATTAATTTTTTATAAGATAAAAAAGAAACCTGCCATGCGATACGATCAAGGTTGAGGGTAAGAAGAAGAGTCTTTGCACCAAGTCGAGCAGAGGCAAGTGCTGCTTCACAACCTGCATGTCCTCCTCCTACCACAATGACATCATAAGATGCATCCACGTCTACACCATGGATTTTCCGATCTGTCATATCAGAAGTAGAAAATCGTTGGTACCAATATTTTGATCAATAAAAACTTTCAAAAGACCCTTAACAAATAGATTGAGAAAATATAATGCTCCAACGTATAAAATTGTGGATCATATGATAGAGGAGAAGAACTAGCAATGAAGGCAGTGAAAAATTGTTGAGGATTAGTAATTATCACAACTTTGGTCATGTGCTATGGTATTCTCCATGGGAGGCTACGTGCCAGTTTGATAGAGGTTGTGCCTCCTCCCTAAAGAGGACCGCGTCCAGCTGACTAGTATATATCTAGCAGCGGAAGCCAAACTGTGGTGGAGGACGAGTTGCACACCTCCATCAACTCATGGAGTGAGTTCGTTCATGAGCTAATGGAGCTGTTCCGGCCCACCAACAGCCCATTGACCACTGGGTGATCTGTTTAGTTTGAGACCCGATTACTGCTATCCCAAATTTCAATTAGCCATCACATCTCTCTACTAAATCTATCCAAAATACATCAAAGTCTTCATTCCACTCTTCATTCAGCTCTCCGATATTCGTCGAGGAACGCGGCTTCAATACGAAATGAAAAACAGAGTTTCTATCGAGAAAATTATAATGTAACAAGGGTGCATCTTCGAAGATGCCGTAATTTTCAAAAACTTCGATCGAAACTGAATTTATTCGAGTACATTATTTTGTAAAATTGAAAGGCGTTCGAAAGAAGAATAATTATTTTATCGAGCGCCCGAAAATAATTATTCGAGACAGCCACCCTTGGAAACCCTGTAACACAAGCGCTCGATAAAATAACTTATAGGTAGGAATTTTTTAAAGAATTAACATGGGAAAATAGCGCACTCCTTAAATAAATAAGAAAGTAAGTTTCAATGGCGCACTCCTTAATACCTGGAGCGATGGAAGAATATACAACTCTACATCTTCGGCGGAGCGGTCTCCGCGTCGGGAAGAAGCTTTCACTGGAACTCTGAATCTTCTTCGCCGATGGAAACCATGGTAGAGGCCCGCGGTGGAAACAAGGAACGGAGAGCAACCGATGCGTCAGGCGCGGCAGACGTGCTGCAGCCGCCATCGGTACGAATCAAAGGCGATGGAGGAGAGCCTCGTCTGATTTTAATCTCCCCCGCGCTGATAATACCCAGCAGAGGATAGATAGTCTGGAAGGAGAGTTGCCCGTTGCTCAAAATTTCCCCTATATGTCTCTTTAAAAATTTAGATACAATATTACGCCATCTGATTATTTATATTTATGTTTATAGACCATTTCTGATTTAATATTTTCTCGTTTGATACTTTCGTTGTTTACTTTATACCCCTACTAATAAGAACTCTCATTAGCGTCACGCGAACGACGAAGGGTTGTAAGTGCCACCTTACTCCATCGTAGGAGAAAGGACCTACTCGATAGCATTTTCGTATTTAAAAATTATCATATTATTATTTAACGTTGAATATACATGATATATTTATAAATATATAAATATATGTTCTGGTTGAAAATATTAATTTTAGTTTTATTTTCAATTTACTATTTTTATTGGAAATCATATTCTTGTGAATTTTACATGTGGGTGATAAATGCGTTAGTACGAAGGTAATATCTACAAAGCCAACCTAACATTCGCATTAAATATTTGTTGGTAGTTGTAACCAAGACCAATTTAAATGTTCGCTATTTTCGATTAAATCGTAAATAACTAATTTTTATTAAAATCAGAAATACGTAAAAATCAGAACGAGCCTGGTGGTGCCGCTATTTAAGTCATATATATATATATAATCTATGCCCAACAAATGAGGAATAAAAAATGAGAATAGCAAGCCGGCGTGGAATCCTAAATATGGTTATTTATTTATGAAAGGAATTTGGTTCCATCTGAAAAGAAAGGTCAATTAGGGGTAAAATGAACGTTCTGCCACGTGGACATTCATTAGTTGGACACGTGGCTATTTGGACTTTGCGAAGCAAACACTCGGGACCAAACATCACAGAATCGACGTGGATAACAAAATCGGAGCCCGTCAGTGCCCCGATTTCGGGTCGTTTGGAACCGGCAGCGAGAATTCTGAGAATCGGAATCCACACTACCGCCAAACGCCACCGTAGATTCGAACCTTCCTCCGCGAAAGTATCCCCGATAAATTCAGGAGCGAGCGGGAAACTTTCCACTTTTAACTGGTGATCGCCGACGAGGAGTTCCATCGGGTGGCCGCGTGGAGCGGGGAGAGGACGCGGAAGGGGAGGAGAGTGATCGACGATGGCGGAGAAGAAGCCTCTCAGTCTGAATGAGAGGAATAATCGCCTTCTGCAGGGGCTGTCTCAGAGCCGAAGTAGCAAACCTCCTCGTCCGGGTAGAAACTCGCGTATTCCTTGCCGCCCTCACTTCCTCCCGTTTTCTTTCCGACACACTGACACTGTTATTTGATCTGCTTAGAGGAAAAATCTCGTAAGGTCAAATTGGAGGGACGGCGACGACTGTGCAAAGTATCGACCGAGACGCAGGACGAGGTTGCTGAGGACTGCTGGTTCGATTCTCCGCCAAGAGAGGAGAAGAAAGAGGAGGGCGAAGAGCAGATACGTGACATCCTGGATGACCTCACGTTTAGACTGGAATGCCTGTCCGTCGGGAAGACGAGGACCGTTAGTCATGAACCTCGCCGCGAGGCAGAACGGGAACCTGAACCCGAACCCGAGGAGTTTGGAAGCGCCAACTCCTCGTTGTCACCTGCTTTTCTCTTGTGTGACTCCGACGCAGAGGGAGACACGGGTAGAGAGGACGATCAGGGCAGAAAAGCAGAGGTGCCCTCCGGTGTAGGTAATTATTGGGACCCCGAGCGTTCTTTTGATGAGGATGAATGCTCGATCTTGGGGATAAGCCGAAAATCGCCCACAAGTGCCGGGGGGAACGTTAACGTGAACGGAGAAGCTGTTGGCACAGGGAACATCGAGAGTTTATGCAAAAGCGGGGATGAAGATGCCAGTGTGGCGGAGGTTCTCGATGGTGGGTATGCTGAAAGTTCTGGTCGAGATGCATGTGGGGATTCGATCACTTTACATGGAAGCGGTAGCAACAAGTCATTGACTTATACTCTTCCCGATAAGATTGCCAAAATTCTTTATCCGCACCAGCTCGATGGGATAAGGTGGTTGTGGTCTCTTCACTGTGGAGGCACCGGAGGCATTCTAGGTGATGACATGGGCCTGGGGAAAACTATGCAGGTAAAAAAACGCAAGTTCATCATCAACGTCTTTGTCCATTCATACTTTTTGGAAATTATGCATTTTTCTAATCAGCACATTAATCATATATTATGCGGGCAATATTTTATTTTAGTGTCTCTTTCTGTTACTGGGATGTAATGTCCTATTTACCAAATGCACACCGACATTACTGGAGCAATTAATCCGATTTTTATTTTTTGTCACAATTCCGATGGATCTCCTTAACAAACTGGGCTAACATGTAGTCGGAGTTTTTTCTTCCCCCTGAATTAAAGGGCTTTTGTATAAATTTATGTTCGAGGAAGCCGTGTCAACATAGTCAGTGGTTCATTCTGAGGCCTTTGTGTGCGAGAACTGGAAAAAGTTGTTTCATCATCGATTTAACATTGATGGTGTCGAAATGTTGATATGTGATACAATAAGATGGTATTGCAGGCAAAGTTTGGTGACTCGCCTAAGCGAGCTTAGTGGCATTATCTCACTCATTTGACACATAGTGCATTAGGTTTGATGGAACATAGGCTTTGTTAATCACTAATTTATTCTTGTGAATATAAGTAATCAAGCGATCAGCAAGGGATGCTCTATCATGTCTGGAATTAAATGCGTGCATGGTATGACGAGTGGATGAAAGAATATATAGCACTCTATCATGAGAGCCTATTATAAACTCTTACTCTTAGAAAACCTGTTTTTAAACAGTTTCTTATGGGTTTTTTCAAATAAGATAGTTTGACAGTAATTTGAGGAAAGCGATTCTTTACTGAATACATTTATTGTTGTTTAGTGAATTATGTCGTACTATATCTGCTTGTTAGTAGATGTTTCACTGTGACAAATAGCCAAGCTCTAGTTCCAAGCAGAACGTGAAGGCATAATGTAATAGCCCATAAGACTTTTCTTCAACTATCCATCAAGAGAGGGAGAGAGACGGAAGGAGAGGGGGAGGCAGAACTTTATGCCAATGAAGTACCAATGGTCACTTTTTTATGGTGGATAAATGCAATTCTCTTTTTTTAGCTTAGACAAAAAAAACCAGGTTGCCAAGAGTGGGGGACTGGTTTTAGATGGTATGGTCAGGGTAGGATGGATTTTGGAAGAGCGGTAAAATATAAGGTTTTTAGGGCTACATGCCACCATGGATGTAAGGACAGGTGTTTGCTTGGGTCCTGTTCACCCAGCTATTTACATTTTCAGGTTCATACTCGTGGGCAATTTACATAGCCCGAAGAGGGAGCAAAGGTGTGGCTAATCACTGGAACTCCATTTACAGTGGCTTTTTTTTCTCAATAATGGGCCAAACGAAGAAGGTCATTTGGGGAGCATCTACAACATATGGCGTGCTAGAGGATGACCTTGCATCTCCTCTCAAGAATAGGTGGTAAATGCAGCTGATCCTTCTGCGAGGGGACGTCCCCTTCCTCTCTCAGCCACTGCAGTGGTTGAGGAGATAACTGATTCCTGTAAATTCATTAGGGTACCCTTTAAGGGCTTTAAAAGAAAGGGAGAGCTGTTTAAAAGTCACTGGGAAGAGGAAGTTAGAGGCTCTTTGGAACATTATGGCTGTAAGGGTATTTATGGGATGGGGCCTTATGGTCAAGAATTTCATTGGTTTTTTTTATCTTGTCGTCTTTGCTATTTACAGTAGTTACTAGCGTTTATAAGTTTCTGCGCTTGTCTGCAATGCAAAGAATGATTGAGTTTTGGCTTTTAGCTCGTTGTATTGCATTTACTGTAGACAGATTGCCTGTATATTGATTAGTGGATCTTCTTCTCAGATGTCTTCCTTCATTGCTGGACTCTTCCATTCACATTTGATCAAGAGGGTATTGATAGTGGCACCTAAAACTCTTCTTTCCCATTGGGCCAGAGAGCTATCTGTCGTGGGACTAGCAGATAAGACCAAAGAGTTAGGGTTCCTCACTTTACTTTTCTGTTTGTAGTATGACGTTTTCCTCCTCATATTTTTAAAATTATTATTTTCTGAGGTATTGGTTATAATTGCTTTCTTTTCTATACGCAGTTACTTCGGAACCTGTGTGAAAGCACGTGACTATGAACTCCACCATGTTCTTAAGGTTTGGTTGTTCATTTAGGATTTTATCACACTGCTTTCTTTAGACTTTTAATTCCTTCTCGAATGCTTTTTTTTCGTGGGAGGATATTGGGCCGCCAAATTGACGAGTTCTTCTGGCCGGAGAATATTGTCAAACAACATTAATGAAGATTTAGCGTTCAAAGAAAGTCTTATTCTTAGTTATAGCTTTGAATGGGCCATTATTTATGCTCAAAAAGCTAAATGAAGCTGTATTCATGCTATAAATAGTTAACTACATATAGCATAGGTTTCTAGTTGTTACTAATGGCTGTTTCAGAGCTGACATTACATTGCATGACTTTGTAATGTTTACTTTTAGGAAGGAGGCGTTCTTCTCACGACATATGACATTGTACGGATCAATTCAAAATCTATTAGAGGTGATTTTTATTTTCGTGGACACAGAGATAATGATTGTGATGACGTTATCTGGGATTATGTTATACTTGATGAGGTTAGTTTATATCTATTTTCTCTCATATTATTTATCAATGAACAATGTTTCTTTTTTACATTCTTGTTTCGTCTAATGGTGCACAATACCATGTTTGAATGTCTCTACTTGTGTTGAGCTATACAAAATGACAATAAGATTACCCGTTGAAAGAGGATTTCCTTATGAAACTTATTTACAAACTATTTCGTTTATGTTCAAAGAATAATTTTTCTCTGTATTAAGTGAATTAGAATATGTATTTCTGGTTTTGGTTAACACATGGCACTGCAGTACATGAAGAAGATAGCAGAAAGAAAGTCAAAAAGTTGACTGATGTGGTGTTTGTGTTTGACACATCTAAGGGACACAGGAGATATGCAACAAAATTGGCTGCAGCAGGGTCCGTGGGTGGTCAAAAAGGTATAGTTTGGGAGGCTAGGTATGCAGTAAGATCTAGTGAGTAGAGTTTTGTCAACACAGTTAGAGAAGAGATACAATGGTTATCTTCCATCCAACATTTACCTATTTTATTGTCTTAGGGGATCAAGAAATCCTGGTCATAGGATTATCTCAATTTATGATCAATGTTCCTAATAGAGAGAATGGAGAAAACTGGAGAGCTTGCCGCCCCTATGGTATTGCCATGCATTTGTGTGTATATCTTAGTACAAGTACCTGAAGAATGGACAAAGAATAAAAGAGAAAGTTGGGAGAGACAGCATAAAGCGTACTGCTAGTAGTATACTAAACAAAAGAACTATGAGGAATGGACGGAGTGTGAGAGAGGTACTGTTGGTAGATGAACTGATAAGCAATATCTATATTTTTGGCCACCTGGTCATGGTAAATAATATTTCTAGTGATTTAATGATTGCCCAGATTGTCACGCTGTAGAAGTGTAGGACTTCTATATTTCATGGCTAGAACCTGAAGAAGATGACAAAGATAGATTGTCTCAGCAGGTTTATTGGCCGTCGCACAATATGTGGCCTCTTAGTGTATTGAGATAAAATTTATTTCCTAACAGATGAGGAAAGAGCTGAGAAAGATGTGGAAGATGCACTGAGCTCCAATGTACGGGGACAGTGTAATGAAAGAGTGGGGAAGGGTATAATGCAGATGCCAAAGGACACGTGTGAGAGTAAAAAAAGGAACGTGGGAATACTATCAAACAAACGAAGTTGAGTATGGGAGATTGTATGCGCTCGCGTACCCCAAAAATAACAGATACATTCTATCCTATACCGAGTCAATTAGAATAACAGTGTTTCTTATGTCCCTTTACTCTGTCATACTAATACATTTGCGCCTTGTTATATCCGTCTGTATATAGATGGTGATTATTTTAGAGTTAAGAGATTGTTAGTTTTATCTCTTCCACTCATTGACAATGTTAGGGATGCATTGATTCTGTGTTCTGGAAAACGAACAATTGAGGCTTTTATTTAACCTCGTTTTATGTTTTCTTGCTGTTGGTTTTCTTCAGGGGCATTTGTTAAAAAACCCTAGCACTCAAAGAGCCAAAAGTTTGTTGGAGATACCAAGTTCTCACCGTATCATTATCAGTGGCACTCCTATTCAAAATAATCTCAAGGTGATGTTATTATTTTTACTTTTTGTGATGTATAATTTAACGCTCTTGGTTGCTTTATTCTTACTCCAATCATGATTTTTAATTATTCACTTCAAATAGGAACTATGGGCTTTATTCAACTTTTGTTGTCCAGAGGTTTTGGGTGACAAGCAAATGTAATAAACATTCCTCCAAGGCGGTTATCTTTTGTGGCTTTTGTAATCTTCGAACCATTGATCTTGTTTTCTTTCTTAGATTCAAGGAAATGTATGAACATAAGATTCTTCGTGGCAATGAAAAAAGTGCTTCTGATCGAGAAAAGCATGTTGGCTCTACTGCCGCAAAGGTTTTCTTCTTAACCTTTTCCGTCATGATCCTACGATCTTTCTTGGTGGGATGCAAAAATTAATTTTGACTGAGAAAAGTTCATTGGTTCTAATACTGTCATTCTTTTCTACAGAATCTCAGAGAACGTATAAAGCCATTTTTTTTACGTCGTCTAAAAAGTGAGGTATTTCTTGAAAAGGATTCACTTAAAAGTGCAAGACTTTCTGAAAAGAATGAAATTATTGTCTGGCTAAAATTAAGTCAGATTCAGGTGCTTGACTTCATCTTTTTAGTCTGTCATACACATTCTCTATCCCAAGGGTTAATCATTACAAACTTATTCATTTTGTTTTTTCTTGTTGCAGCGGCAATTATATGAAGCTTTTTTGGGGAGTGAGCTTGTGAATTTCTCAAAAGTCACTGGTTCGCCATTGGCCGCACTGACGGTAGCTATAGTTTTTCTCGTCTTTGTTTGGTTATCATAGTATCCGTCTGTATATTTGACGCTCCCTTTTTTCATGATATTCTTGTCTACTGACCTTTTTTTCTCTTTGGGTATCTGCTGATTGAAGAAAAGTATATCATTTTTTGCAAATTTGTAATTCCGTCTTGCCATAGAACTAAACCTAGTGCTCTTATTCTGTTATTTGAGATCGAATCGGGTGTATCTGACCTTTTTCAATTCTGATGGATTTCTCTTTCAGTCCAGCAATGTATCGTACGAGATTTTGACACTTTGAAAATGAATTATCCGTTTTACAGTATTTTGTTGGCAAATGACTGAAAAATTTGATGAACTTACCCATGTGACATTAAAGTCACGACTCAAACGGTCCGTGTGATTTCGTGTCCTAGTCATAAGTCTTATTCATGATGGTAAGCAACCCAATCTTATTTTCGTATGAGATTTTGTCCTGGGGAGAATATATCTAATTTTCCTTTATTCGTGTGGTATCATATGGTATCAGACACTTTGGCACCATCCTCTGACACAAATTCCTTTGCATACAAAAATCTGTTAAATGAGGTGGATTGGACCAATGACCTGTCAAATCAGGGAAATTTTATCGTTTCTATTTGGCTACCTATTGAGCAAGTTGGCTTTATTTGACAAACTTTGTCTCAGCTGTTGCGCAGGCTGAGCAACTGAGAGTGAATAGGCTAATATGAATAAATGTTTCGACATAAATGTAACTAAGAAGTGGCATCTGACGGACTTGTCCATATCACCTACGTCGCTCAGTGTCAGGTTTGGTAATTAGATTTGTTAACGTAAAAATTTCTGAAATTAGACTACATGAAGGAAATGGAAGCAGAACCAAACGCTGAGAAAAATCTCCACTTGAACTCTGCGGCTTCTTCTTCTTCATCATCATCATTACTTCTTGTTTTTCCAGTGCGGTTGCCTGTATCTTGCAGATTGGATCGAGCATTCATTGCCTGCTTTTCAGTATCAATGTTTATGTTCATTTAGAAATCTCATTCCTGATTTTGTCCTGTGGTCTTCTTGAAAGTAGGGGCTCCATTGATTCATGTTTTAAGTTTCCAAACAGGTACTCAAGAAAATATGCGACCACCCATTCATTTTGACAAAAAGAGCTGCAGAAGATGTATTAGAAGGAATTGACGCGATGCTAAACAGGGATGAGCTCAATACTGTGGAGGAAATGGTGTCGAGTATAGCAAATATGACAGAACCCAGAAATGTAAAACAAGTAGACAAGAGTGTGTCCTGCAAGATCTCCTTCCTGTTGTCCCTGCTGGTTAGGACATTATATTTCCTGAATTTTATATTTATTATTAAATCCTTTGGCATTTATTCTAATGTGTTTCAGGTGCTTATGTGACAGGAAAATCTAACTACGGAGGGCCATTATGTGCTCATATTCTCTCAGACACGCAAAATGCTAAATATTATTCAGGTTCTCTTTAGATCTTTAAAATTATTTATTTTCTGGAAATTTGACGCCCTTCTATTAAATATTAGATATCTTATTCAATATTTGATGGCGTTGGTAAATTGTATTATTGAACGTAATATTTAGACCCAAAGTACTGCTTCTTCACCTCCAAGAAAACGGAAAAAAAAAGAGCAAATGAAATAGATTCAGCTCCCTCAGGACAATTATATGCAGCATGATTTATTCAAAGCTTTACAAGTTTTTTGGTCGAGATATTTCTTTGTGCTATTCAATTCTGACCTTCTGGTTTGTTTTTGGGATAGATAGAAAAGTTTTTTTTTTTTTAACTGGCATTGTCAGGTCTGTCCATGTATAAAGGCTTTTCAGTAGACTTTCCGCAATCTTTTTAGGCACTATCCTGATCATAACCTTAGTAATTTCTTGTGACAATTTCCTGGTGTCTTCAGCTGTTCTGTTCATCACCTGCTTAATCAGAGTCTTGGATGATTTTTGTAAATATTCAACATGGACTAGAAACTTAAATGCTAGAAATTGTGTTGCATCCAAATCCCTGTGGTAGGATGAACTATTTTACCCATTTATGATACATTGGATCCTCACCTTCAAGGATAAAACTAATAAATCTAATCCTAATTTGGAAGTGTCTTGTTAAAAAAAATAAATCTGTTTCTGTTGTATCAAGCTTCATCTTTATATGGCTCTTGGATGTCGTACTTTTTGTTTTCAGCACCTTGAAGTATTTGCCATTTTAAGTACTTAGTGTGAATATGTGAAGGCATCAGAAGCTTCATTGAGAATCAGTCGATCATCTGAAGTTCTGAGTGACGTGTTACCCTGTTCTTCATACGGGGAAATTCCATGTTATCACAGAATGCCTCGGGCTTTAAAGGATTCGTTTTCTTGATCTCACTTCTCAGGATGCCATAACATCAGAAGGTTATGAGTTCTTGCGGATTGATGGGACTACAAAGGCTGCTGACAGAGAAAAAGTAGTCAAGGTATGTTTCCATTACGCTTCCTTTTTCTCTACTTGTTTGCTTTAGGAGATTTAATCTCGTATTGCATCCTGCTTTGCAGGATTTTCAAGGAGGCAATGCTCCGATTTTCCTGTTGACTTCTCAAGTTGGAGGCCTCGGTCTTACCCTTACAAAAGCTGACCGTGTTATTGTTGTCGATCCTGCCTGGAATCCAAGGTCAACGCCTCTAAGTGAAACCCAAAATGAGAATTGACGGAATTAGTGTTATAATTTTTTTGTTTTCGTTTCCATTATCATAAAAAAAAAAATCAATGTAAAATATGGTGATGTTGGTTTTTCTAATTCCATGCTAGTGCTTCAACGGACATGCCACCCTGGGAAAGAGGGCCATCTGGGGAATCCAAATTTCTTGGAGTTCGGAAGCTAAATATTTATTTATTTATTTATTTATTTATTTATTCAAAAAAACATTGATCTCATCAAGAAACTTTTTTATCCAATACGTTGAAAATACCCAAGCTTTGTACCGTCTCATGATCAATCTAGTGGCCCTAGACAGGCTAAATCATGATTGCTTTCTGTTTCAGCTGGTTCTTCGGAACCACAGATACTGCCTCATTTTCATGAAGAAACTATGATCTACCTCTTTTTTTAGAAAAGATCTCTTCTACTTGCTCATCTTGATCTGTTCATGTAGCAGTGGCCATTCGGCTCCAGAAGCATGGTAGAAGATATGCAAGGATTTTATCGTTCCTGGGTCGCCATTGTACTGAAAGAAAGATTTCTTTTATACCCCTGCACTTGCCTGTTCCAATTTTTTCTTCTTCCATACCAGTTTTTCTTATAGCTTCTGAAGGGTTGGTCTTGTAGACATGGAGGTTGTTCTTCTGACATGAGCGTAATGTGCCTCCTACTTTCAGTATTTTTCTGATTTTTTTAAATTTTTTTGCTTATGGGTTGCACAGTACGGACAACCAGAGTGTTGACCGCGCATATCGCATTGGTCAAACAAAGGACGTCATCGTCTATCGACTCATGACATGCGGCACCATCGAGGAAAAAATATATAAAAAGCAGGTCTGCCTCTTCTCTTGGTGACCAGAATTTGTCTCTTTGGGCGAATTATTTCAGAAACTCCTGAACGTGGTTTGCTATTTTCGTACCATTTCTCCGTCTGTGTTGTCAGTCAAACATACCAAGTCCCATGGGATTGGGTTGACTTTTTCTGGGTTTCTTCTCAATGGAAGATGAGATCCTGTTCTCATCTCTTTTGAAAGAACACCTCCTCATTCTCCCCCATTCGCCCTGCAAGATGGTTATTAGCAATTACTTGAGCTGTGTGGTTCTTGTTGGTTCTCTTTCAGGTTTTCAAGGGCGGACTGTTTAAAATTGCCACGGAACACAAGGAGCAGACCCGCTACTTCAGCCAAAAAGTACGTCCCCTGCTGGTTATTTTGCCCATAATTTTTTCAATCTTCTTTCTCAGATTGTTTCCAGCCCACAGGTGTCTGCGATTCAGTTAACCACCAATCTTCTTGGGAGCTGCAGGATCTTCAGGAGCTGTTCAGTCTTCCTAAACAGGGATTTGATATTTCTCTCACCCAACAGCAGTTATACGAGGAGCACGATCGCCACCACAAGATGTAACCTTCCCCTGAGCTACACATGCACGCACACTCGTGTATAAACTCCTGTGCTTCACGGATTTAGTGGTTGCTCTGTTCCATGTGACTATGACAGGAGCGAGTCCTTGGCCGAGCACATACGCTTCCTGGAGAGGCTGGGCATTGCTGGAGTTAGTCACCACAGTCTGCTGTTCTCAAAGGCCACAAACGCGGTGCTTGTACCCGACGAAGAAGATGCCGAAAGGTGCCAACGCTTTACTGAATGCTCTCCGGCTAGTTTTCTTCAGCATTTCCCAAAGTCTTCTTATTCCTCGATTTTTGGAAAATTCAGTGAAAAGGGAAATGTACCTGTGGCGACTGCGGCGGGTAGATCAGCGTCCAGACCTGACAGCGATGGGTAATGATACTAGCTAGCAGGATGTCTGGAATTATAGATCTATTGAACTCACTTATGTGTTTGTCCTCACAGGGTGGGGTACGTGTTCAACCCAAAAGATGCAAGAACAGTTCCGACCATGGCTCCCAAGGCTGATTCGAAGGAGAAGCCGGAGGAAATTGAAGAGAAGATCAAGAGATTGTCCCATACCTTGACCAACGAGGTGATGTGAAAGCAGACACCTGCGGAACGCTTAATATCATAGATATTGACTCACTTGAGTGAAATATTGGTTTCAGGTTGTCGTTTCTAAGCTGCCAGACAAAGGAGACAGGATAAGGGCGCAGATAATTGATCTCAAGCTGAAGCTGAACAAGCTCAGAGATTCATCCCGATCAGAGTTGAACGAAGTGGAGGTCATGGATGTGGATGAGCTCACCGATGAAATGGAAAGGCTTCTATCCGTTTAAATGCTTCTGGGTAACATCATTCCGGTATGGGCCTTGCTGTAAATATCATTGATTTTGTTTATGCTCACGGCTCCAATCTTGGAAATTTCATGGTCAACATTGAAGAGAGAGGAGACGCCTCGTATTTTGGTTGTCAACAGCATTCACTGTTGCACATAAAGTCCACATAGGTTTCAGATCTTGATCTTGATCTTGCTCTTTCACATGGGTAGGATGGCAAATAATTGACCTCTACTCAATTATGAGTTCATCTACAGTTTCTGACTGGAGGCTTATATTTCTCCAACATATTTGGAAATCAGGCATTGACTTGAATGCATGCTTGGACAAACGAATAAATCGTTGTTTGTAAGCAGCACAAGACGGCGGACATAGGATGGTTTAAAAGGGTGACTGCCTTCATCCAGGGCTGACGAGTTCCCTTCTCCTCTCGTTCTCCCAATCGAGTGCAGACAAGGCTGATGAGGAAATGTCAACGGAGGAAAAGGGGTAATGGAGAGCTATCTGGCATGGTTACCCTAAATGGGTTGATGGAGAAAGGGAGAAAAGGTCAATGGAGGGAAGAAGAAGAGGCTATTGGACTGTTTGGCGAAATAGGGCTATTGGACTCTGCCAGCCTCTTTCTCTCACATTGCATTCTCTTCCTTTGGTACTGCCCCACTGGAGTACAATCTTGAGGGTGGTTTAAACATAAATTTATAAAACCGAACGGCAAAAAAGTAAAGTATTTATAATTCAACTGAAAACTCAAGTCTTATCAACAATTCAACAAGTTTCTGGGGAGCTAGACCTAAATAGCCAAATAATATAAGCATATCCTTAAAAAAAAAAGATAAAAAAATAATTTAACCTACTATGAAGCTCGGGGCACGCGTACTGCAATCTAAGAGATAGTGTAACATGGGTGAGTATGAGCGGATCACGCGGCTATAAAAGAGAGCAGTTCGCACTTCTAGGTGAGGGATTTCAAAGTCAAAATTTGGCTGGACAAGATTCATTCCGAGGACCATGCTATCAATGCTGGTTGTAACACGCTACTTCTACCGTATAATATATAAATGGGAGTAACCGTAGAAGAATAGTCACTCATTGAGGAGCATTACATTCTATGTAGAGAGATCGAAGAAATAATACGATAAATAAATTATCTTAGACCAACAGACTGGTCATCAACCAATTGACTCATTGATTTTGCAACAGTGACGGCGCGAAGAATCAATCTGATGCTGAAAATATGACAAATTCTACGGAAAATTTCTAAACTGCTGAGATTCAACGGGAACGGAGAGCCGCCAGACCGCCAGACCGCCAGACCGCCAGACCGCCAGGGAAATAAGAGAAGCCACACCGCGAAAACGTTGCCGGAGACGACGCTGCCGGCGCCTCACGCCCTCCACGGATGGGATCGGTAGCAGAAACGAAGCAGCAGCAGCAACGGCCTCTTTATGAGGGCGATTTGGATTTTATAGAGGTCTCCCCGCGGAACCTCCGAGAGACGTTTAGCAATGACGTCACGATCCGTTCGCAGCTCTCTCTCTCTCTCTCTCGGACGGCGCTGATCGAACGGCTGGAAATAACTTTTCGAGTGCCTGAAACCAATCTTAACCTTCCGATGACACGCGGAAGAGTGACGACACTATTGTGGCCGTTAACAGATACAAATATTGAAAAGGAACCCCTGTGCTTGTTTAAATTTTCAGAGAGGCCACGCGGGTGCTCGTCTTCGATGGTTCTTAGCTGGTTTGTGTGGGATATTTGGGTATAAAAAAAATAAATATTAGTTAAGGTTTTATAATAAAATAAATTATTGATCAGGGCTTAAAGGGAATATGTTGTCGTCCAGAGGGCATATCTCTCACTTCCTTCTGAGGGCCTTCCTTGCCATCCGGCGAAGAGCTCCCTCCTGAATTCAAAATCCTCCCCCGTTGTCCAAGAGTAGGTGGGGGAAGCACCCGGGAGGCGAGTGAGAGGTCGGCTGCGGAGGCGTCGTCTAGGGTTCTTTGCGATATTTCTTCCCCCCAAGCTACCGGTGTCGCATTTTTCCCCTTTCGCGTGGCGGATCTCCTCTTTTCTTTCATTGGGTAAGAATCGTTTTTTGTTCTCCTCCCTCGCCGCGTCTTCCGAGGCGGGGGTTTCATTAGATTCTCTCTTTTTGCTCAGGTTCTCTGTTTGTTTCATCAGATGCGCCTCGATTGGCTTTAGTTCTCTGGCTTGCGGGAGATCGATGGTACCGGCCTCTACGAAACCCTAGTTCTTTAGGAGACTTGGGGAATTGTGCCTGGGTAAATGTCGGACGAGGAGAGGGATGGCGACCACGGCAGTAGCGGTAGGATGACAAGTTTTACGCTCTCCGATGGCATCATTACGTATAAAAGGAGGAAGCGCAGTTCGGCAGAATTTTTGAGTGATCGAGATCCTAGCGTTTCCTCTGGTGACCAGGTGTGTGTCTCATTAAACACGTGTATCTCTCTCCTGGGGCAAAAATTCTTAGATGTTGATAGTCTACATTGCTCCGTCCGTTGAGATGTAACTCGAATTTTTCCGACGTATTTACTTGATCTCATGGGCGAATTTCGTTGCTTAATATAACAACCGACGCCATGTTGGGTTCGAGAAAATCTTTAGTTATTGCCTTGATAGTTCTACGAATGAAGATCTTTATCCAACTAAGCTGATTCCTCTAAAGCTGGCTATAATTATGTAGACAGGGACATGAGTTGAGTCTGCCTGTAGAATTATCCCTTGTTATAGTTTCTTCTGTTAGTCATATATTCAGCTTTGAGTACTGATGTAGAACTATCAGTTTTTAACATAAAAAAATTCCAGTTTCCGATATGCACTTGATACTGAAAATTGGTGGAAGTTATTAAACTGACCTGTTGCCTTCGAACATTCCGTTTTGTTATTGGAATATTTAAGGTTTAGTTCTTTTATATGTTCCTATTTATAGGACGTTCACTTCAGTATAATAAACAATCCAAAAAATGACGAATTCTTACTTTTGGGTTGTCCATGCCGGCTTCATCTGACCATGATCTTGTTTTATCATAGTCTCAGCTGGTTTAGACCCATTCAGGGCCACACCAAGCGTGCTCAAATGTTTCTGGGCAGTCTACTTTTGGGCTGATACTGTCACTTTCTTGTTTGATGCCTCCATCCAACTGGATCATATGGCTGAGGTCGTAGATGACAAAACCTGCCTGTAGGGTTCAGAAATTTTAAAATTTTGTGAATCATTTGTGATCAAAACTATGGATCTCATGCAATTTCGTTCTAGATTTCATTTTACGACGAAATATACTAAATACAGTAGATGAGACAGCAAATCGGATGGTGTATTTCACTTCTCTCATTAGCACTTTAACATTATTTTTTGAATAAGATCATGTTCTTATAATACATTGTATTTGGGGAACATTTTCTGGGCATTGATGACAATATATTTCATGCAAAGATAACTTTTATAATAATTTATATAATATTTGGAAGCCAGAAACCATATCTTTGTTGACATAAAAAAATCAATTTTCCGTTAAAGTTTTTAACTCCAAGGAACTATGTGTCTAGAAAAATAATATTTTAGAAGAAAGCGTGGCAACGTGTTCCTTTGTTCTCTTCCTTTTTTTGTCATGTACGTTTTCCTACCGAGATCTATGACGAAAAAAATAACCAGGGTATGTCTTGCTTCCAAAACCGTTGTTGCCCTCCCGTACAAAAATAGTGTTTAAAATAAATGAATAACTAATAGACACCTACAGAACTATTAAACATATCACTTAGCTGGTCACTCTCTGCATTCATAACATGGACGCTCAAACTCACGATGCATGGATAGAAAGAATCAGGCGTCTGCCAAATAGAAAAACTGTCCTAGAGGTCCCCTTGTGCATGTGACTTACAAGATTTCCTCCACTCCCTTCAGAGGTAGGGAAATAGTACGTTTTCTTGGAAGCTGCCCAATATTTTTTTTATTTATGCAAGTTTGTGAGCAGAATAGGATAGTAAATTACCTCGATTCACGTCATGCTTCAAAAAAATTGGAGGAACACCATTTGTTGAACCTTTCGAATCCTCATTCCAGTAAATGCATGCTTGGTCCACTGATGTCACCTAAAGATGTTAAAGGTATGCTGAAAATTCTGGTTTAATGGAACTGAGTGGAAAATATCAAGGTGTAGCCTTAGTTTCAAGGTCACGTGTATTACGTGATTAAGTTGGAATCCGAAGATGACTAGGAAATTGGGAAATCCTAAAGCCTGACCACTTCTTAATCATGGCTATTTGAACCACTTAATCAAGTCTGTCTGTGACTCTAATGGCCGGCTGTCCAAGGACAACATATGAGAAGTTCCCTCTTTTTGTGCCACATTCTTTTTTCATGTCTGCGAATGATATCATCAGCATATGTTTGCAAAATTTAACCAAATGGTGGAATTATGAATTGAGAAACCCAAGCACGAGTTGCACGTTTTTTGATAAGGTGATGGAGTTGAAAGCCTGCGTGGGTATGAAATTTGAATAAACTAAACATTTGTAAGCAATCGAAACATTATTTGCCCAGATCTTGCAAAGGGTTTTTCTTGTATGCGTTTCTATGGCTGATGAAAATGAATTCAGTGTAACACTATTCATCATTACCTATGAGACTTGGGTATAGTAATGCCTGAGAGGGTACCTTAATAGTTTTTGACTAATAATCAACTTTCTACTGTATCCATAGAAAGCTGAGGAACAACGTGGATCCACAACATGTAATGGTATCCATGAGATTGGAGCACGTTCCAGAATCCAGTATCATTGGAAAACAATATTGGAGCAAATGTTGTCATCACAAGATGTTAATGATGATGTTGTTGCAAGTTGCATCCAGAAAGCACTTCTAACTGGTAATGCTAGTTTCATGAACAAAACTTCGAATTGTACACAAGCTGAGGTATGGCATATCACAAATCATTTTTCTCCCCCTCCAGAAAATTGTCTAATTCATACCTTTGATATCCAGTTGATTCACATGGGCAATGGAAACTTCTGCGATGAAGCAAAAAGAGCAGAGAGTTTGCAGATTTCTACACTGAAACGTAAGGAAGCCACTTCCAATGAACTTCATAGAGATAACAGTGATCAAATGGAGGATCGTGCCGTCTCAAAGAGTTGCCAGAATGTTCTAATTGAGATTTTGGTATCGGAGAAGTTTGCCTTGCTATGTGATTTGCTGTTGGGAAAGCTTCCAGGCATCAAAGCAGATAGCATCCTTGATTTCAATGTGATCAGCTCCAGGATGAAGAGCAGGGCGTATGGACTGTCCGTTGGCTTTCTTCACCAAGATCTTCAGCGGGTATTGATCTTTTTAGTTTCATGTCTTCCTTTAAAAGACAGATTGAGGGGCCTACATGATGCTGCCCGTAGTTGAGTTGCGCTTTAATATCTTGTGTTGGAATTTAGAAAGAGACGGAAAAATCTACAGCAGTCATTCACATACAATACTCACCACCTGTTTGTGTTTTTTCCATTGTAAATTTTTGCATCCCATAGTTTTAACTGTACTTTCTTCATCTGGGTAAGTTATAACGTTTGTGATTTCTTCATTTGTTGCCAATATGTGTTTATTGTTTGTTAGGAAACTTCTTTTTTGAGCGCTTCTTTTATGCGAAGGGGTCAGTCTATGTTGGGTAATGATAACTACCTTTTTAATCTTGTGACTTAAAAATAGGAAGTATTTCATTTATTGGGTTTAATCATTTTATTTGTTTGGATCTGGCGACTTTTTAGAATAATTGTCAAAGCCATTCGAAGATGAAGTTACTGCCGTTGTGTTTGAACTGTAAAACAGAGATTTGTGACAGGGAGAGCTAGAGCGGATCATTTCTCGTTGGGATCTAATCCTCAACACAACGTTCATAACACCGATAAGTGGGAGGTAGTCAAGTGCGGTTAAAATATTCTGATTTATTATCACGACTTCGGAGCTGACTTCTTCCTTCTTCATTGATCTGGGGGAAAAGGACCCGTCTACCAGTTGGGAAGCTAGACATCAAGGTTGTGGCTATATGATGATAATTAATCTGACGCACTGGAGTTGGATGCTGACGAAATCCTTTAGACATTTCCCATGTCCGTTTCCAATATTCCCTATTTTATTTTACAGGCTCTATATTGCATTCACAAAATGTTTTTTACTTGAAGTCGGGCACTACCCTGTATGAGGTGAGCAAGGTTTTGATCGGGTTGTTGATCCGCCGGTCACTGTTATAACAGAAAAATATCATTCTCATCATTCATGAAGCATTTCTGAAATGTTATTGCATTTATTTTGACATAAAATTTGATTTTTGTAATATTTTAGCCGGTGAGTCATGCCTTTTCTCTTCTGAAATTTGCTGAACTAAACGTTCCTCTCTACTTGACGTAATGGACTCCTGATGCCTATAATGCTACACAGATATGGGAAAGAATCCGCAAGATTGGGCAAGAATTGAGTCTTCTTTCCACCAGCCTATCAAACATCACCCAAGCTTCTTGTCAGAGGCAGGTAAGAATGATGCACTTTCCAAGTAATATCACGTTGCTTGCCCAGTGCGTTGACATCAGAGAATCAATATTTTCTTATGGATATGTGTCTGATTAAAGCAATTTGCTATTCTCGTTGAAGATGCTGATATTGCTTTTATGGCGGATGTCAGTTTAGTGCAGTTACGCCCGGTTGTTTAGGGTTTTAGTTCTGCCTCCTCATTCTTGTTAGCATTATTATTTAAATTTCCTGTACACCTACTAATGCTGTTAGTTTAAAAAATGTGCAGATGGGAAATCACTTGGAAGCAGGCGTTAGTGAGTATCAGGCAAGTCATGCTCACTGTTGTTTTGTGGAGGGGGATAGGAAGGGAATTTCTCTCTACCCTCTTCGGTGCATGATGGTCCCTGACCAACTGAGATACAGAATCGAAAACATTAGGTGTATTCTAGAAACAAGAAACAGTGTTTCACTATGGGAGTGATCAGCTCACACAGAAACACTACTTTTGAATCATAGCCATTCTTGAAATGATCTACAAGTCTTGGTCTAGTCTGTTGAATGTGAGCTTCTTTTGCAGAAACTCCGTGGGCTTGGTACTGAAGAGAAGAATTCCATGGACTCACATACGACCACACAATTTCCTTGCGAATCTGATCGCTCCACAAAGCTTGAGCAGACGGAGGCCTCCTGCCCATATAAAGTCTCTAATTGCAAGGAGTGTGGCACTGAAGCTGATGGCAAGTGCAGCCTCGTTTGTGATGGATGTTTAGCTGTGTACCATTTCTCATGCCTCAAGCCTGCTGTCCAGGAGATCCCAGTACGGAACTGGTATTGCCCAGGCTGCACAAAGAATGAAAGAGTATTATCAGCTGAGCTCACGATGACCCATACCCATGAAGGTAGACCCCATCAAGATTGTGTAGTATGTGGCAAGCTTAAAGCTTCAGGGATGCTTGCAGAACCAACCGAGGACGATGAAGGAGATGCCACCCACAATGACTCTCGAGAAAGTTCAATTTCTAGTATGGATTCTGATGGGTCGCCAGAGCCAGCGAGGACAGCAAGGGAGCGTTTGTGTAAACTCTGTGGAAAATGCGAGGAAGATGACAAGAGATTCATCGTTTGTGATCACAGTCTCTGCATTTACAAGTACTACCACATCCGGTGTCTAAAGAGCCACCAGGTGGCGTACCAGCACCACAAACACGGAGGTTGGTATTGCCCTTCTTGCCTCTGCAGGGGTTGCCTGACAGATAAGGACGACGACTTGATTGTGATGTGTGATGGCTGTGACGAAGGTTACCATATATACTGTATGAAGCCCCCTCTCACTTCAGTTCCAAAGGGCAAATGGTTCTGTGTCCCATGCAACGTACTGAGGGCTAAGCAGGGGATGAGAAAGTATGAGCATTGGGTTCTCCAGCAGCATGCCCAGAGTGATGAAAATCTGAGCAATGGGTCGAACAGACCCATGGATCTATTGCTCTCTGCTGCCGAGAAAGTGGAGAAATTAGCAGCAGGGAGGGAAGGCAGGTAGGGTGATCCAACCATGTATTGTTCTCCTGCTCAACTGAGGTTCCTCCCTGCATGGTAAGGCTCACATTGCCTCTCCTGTCCAATTGTAGCTCTAGTTATGTAGCCAAAGCAGCTGCATTTTTCCTGCCTCTTTTATTTCTTGTTCCATCAAAACACGAAGAGGGGGTATAGAACACTTCAACAAGGCGATTTAGGCACTCTATTGGAAAATTCACAGAAAAGAGTGCGAGGAATTGTATTCAATGTCAGTATATTTTTTTCCCCCCTCTCCTTCCCATTGGGAGCAAACCTTGTACCCTGCTGACCTCAGATCCTGATCTGCAGTTTCTGAGTTGTTGTAGCCATCAACTTTTGTCCACTTAGAGTTTTTGATTCGTTCTGAATTTGGCTGATTGCATGCGTAACCTATGTGTTTAGTGTTTTCTTTCGTTGAACTGTTGCTTGCTCCATATCACAGGGGCTATTCAGCTCAGATCCCCATCTATGCGCATGAAATTTTACACAACTTGGCATTACCTTTATTTGATACTTGCTCCTGAATCATTAATCTGGCTTACCTTGCTTTGATCTCGCATTATGGAATTCATATAATTATGTTGATGATCACATATTGGGCTGATGAATTAGCTGCATAGTTTCTATGTTCTTGACTAGGTGCAACTTTCAAACAAGCCTTTTATGTTTATTGATTTACTTCGTTTTCCTGACTTAGCTGGGGCACTGAATCTTGTCTTCCCCAGCGGGCATGGGTGGGACCCCGAGACAAGTTTTCTCAGGAGGGTGAATGAGAGAGAGAGAGAGAGAGAGAGAGAGAGAGGGCCATGTTCCTTTAAATCTCTGGACATGGGGCCTAAGTATGACTGAATAATATACACAAGGAGAAAATTCTTACAAGTATTACTCCCAAAGCTGCTATTTTTTACATTGCAGACGACCCTTATGGATCACACCTTTAATTAATGAATTCCCGCATCCTTAACATCCCCATCTCTGTCCTTCACCACAAAGCGGCCGTCGGACATAGTTGAACCTGACAACCGCAGTTGTTTCCTTCTCTTCACCAGCCTTGATGCGATCTCCCGATCTGACTCAATATCTTGACAGCCGGGCTGGCAGCAACCAAGAGCAAAGCATGAAGATCAGTAAGCCTGCGAACCCACCACCGCCTCAAACCCTAGTAGAGCCGAGCCCAGACCCTTTATAAACACGAATAAAACAGATTGGCATGGAAGTGATCATAGGATACTCTCATATGCATGGTCTGAGCTTCTAGTAAGAAATGGACAAGGTCTTATTTTCCGTTCTAAGATAGACTTTGGAACCCAAACTAGAAAGGACAAGTGGTCAGGCCAGTCAGTGGCACTGAAGATGATGTCTAGAACGAGTGTTGTATTATGTTTCAACCAATGTTTCCAACATGTCATGTCTTCTGCGTTGTTCTTCAGCTTACCTTGAGAGCTAATGCTTTGTCAAAGCTCTGAATGGAAGCCTCAGGTTCTCCAAAGTTTAGCTGCGCTCTAGCAAGCGTCGTCCATGACTGGTAGAGGAGATCAGATGAAGAAGACAAGGTGCAAGTAATGTGTCAACATCAGACATGTGAAAGCATCCAACAAAGAAAGTAGAAAAAAACGATGTAATCGTTGACCTAAAAAGTGCATATATTATATTTTAACAGAGAGTAAACTTGACGTGCTTAAAGAAATGAACTCATCAGCTCAGCTTTTTATGGGCTTCAGCTCAGAATCAAGTCCAGAAAGAAAAATAGACCCTTTCAGGCAAACAAAGTTGGAGATTTTATGAGGTCTAGTTTGGAACCCCAGAGCCCACCTCTCTCTCTCTCTCTCTCTCTCTCTCTCTCTCTCTCTTTCTTTCTCTGTCTCTCCTTGCCCAGCTTTTTATGGGCTTCAGCTCAAAATCAAGTCCACAAAGAAAAATAGACCCTTTCAGGCAAACAAAGGTGGGGATTTGATGAAGTCTAGTTTGGAAACCCAGAGCCCACCTCTCTCTCTCTCTCTCTCTCTGCCCTCCGCAATCTACCTCTTACTCTGAATAATACAATCACTAAGCAAAGCATCCAAATGACACATGGGAAACCGGAAGGGGATGGTAATTCTTTAGCTTGAACTGTAGTCCATCTCATCCAAGAACACATATTTGATATGAGAGAGAATATCACAAACCTCAGGCCATGAAGGTTCCAATTCAGTAGCACCTGCAGAGCAATGAATCATTGTGAATGGAAAACCTAGATTGATATTAAAGCAATAGAACCCGCACAGAATATAAAGGCCACCTGTAATCATTGTCAGGTCCAATTTGTTATCATGTCAACGTGGGGGCATGACGACAAAGCCCTTCACATGGCAACTATTGCAAGAAATCTATTCTATGAAATGCGGCCAAACGGGTACGAGAGGAGGAAGAAATTGAAGAGGGCAAATCAAGGAAAAACAAAAAAGTAATTTCTTGGTCGCAAGAAAATCAACAATCTTACTCGAAAAATGACAGCTTTTCCGTCTTTCTTACGTAGAAAACCTGCACAGATGAGGTTCAGTCACCCGAACAGCCTCAAACAGCAGAGAAATGACTACTTACTGCTCACATCTTTCTTGTGTGATACCAGTCCTATTCTGTACTAGCAGTGGAGACCAAGAAGAGAGATGGCGCGCAGAAAGAGATCAAACGCTGTAGGATGATTGAAATCCTCTTACACCACCGCAACCATGGAAAAATTCCAGGCAGATGGCCCGATTCGAGCGCGAAACCATGTATCCTGCTCAGTTTTGATCACAGATTTACGAATATACTGAACAGATACGATCATCTGGCAAATCCTACCAACAATTATTCACGTAAATCCATACCCAATAAATGGGCAAGAGGGGAACACAAATTGCCCCCAAAGAACAAATATAGCAAGAGAAATCATGCATGCTCTCATGAACAGAAATGGAGGAAGCAAGAACTCGGAACTGAGGAGGAGAAATGAACAGAGGGAACTCACGACTCGCCGCTTTCAGTGCGTTCCAGGCATCTCCCAGCTCGAGCAGCACCTGTGCCTTCTGTTCGTGGAGGACAGCTTTGTCGGGCGTTAGCATCAGTGCAGCCTCCCACTTCCCCAGTGCCTCGCGGTACTTCCCCTCCTTCATCGCACAGGGGAGGAGGAAGAAAAAAGGGAGATAAAAATTTCTTTCGCGGCATTGAGATCATCTTCCACGCGAGAAACCGCGCCGCTAGAGAAGAATCGACAGCCAAAGAGCAAATAAATCAACCTCGGCGAGTTGATTTCCTTGGGACCGGAAGGACTCAGCGAGCTGCCCAGGGTCGGAGGACCGGGAGTCCAAATCTAGGGCTCCGACGTTATTGAAACCCTTCTTCTCTTCTTCCTTCGCAGCCGCGGTCTCCTCCTCCGAAGCATCGAAAGGGAGGTCGAGATCGGCGGCCGTAGCGCGGCTGCGCTTCTTCCTCCCGTCTTCCCTCTCCCTCTTCTTCCACACCATCTTCATCTTCCACTGTCTGCACCAATTCTCCCTAGAATTCAGCGAAGAAGATGATATCTTTCTTCGGCTGTTCTTGCCCTGCTCGCGGGTTTCGGGGGGGCGTCACGGTACTGTTCTTAGGAAATCTAAATATTTTTCCTCAAAACTCCTTATGACCCTTACATATAAGTATTTGCGAAAGTATCCTTCCTTCGTCACAGAATCGTACTCGAAAGGGACCTTTTTCCTATTTTAAATTATTAGTAAATAAATTCCATTGGGTGTTTGCTCAGATCTTCTTTCACGAGGGTAAGGTAAGATAAGATAGAGGGGAGTCTGGAACACGACAGAGATAATTCCAAAAATAGAAAAAGACAGATCTTACAAGACAAACACATCCAAACTAGAGAGAGAGAGAGAGAGAGAGAGAGAGAGATGGCCGTTCAAATATGCAACGGTTGCACCAGATCAGCTGTCTCTGGATTTCAACACGGTTTTATTACCAGCCTGGGTTTCATACATGAAATCGCAACAAGGATGACCTCAGCATTGACTCTGCCTTAGTGGGTAGCCTGAAAGCATAAAAAAAGGAACTTTGTTACTTCTTACAAAATTTCGACTACGTTAAAAAACAGAAATAATGCCAGTCCTGGAAACTGTAAACTTGTTGTGTTCTCCCAATGATGGGTTGTTCCCCACTCCCTCCCGCCACCATTCCAGAAAAACAACAGAGAAACAGCAATTCCAACTGTCGTTTTCACAATCAATCCGGATCCTATACATCTGGATATGTTTTCAAAAAGATGTTATGATATTCCAATAGATTCAATTATGAAAATAAATGTACATGTGTGAGAAAATTAACTCCAGAAAACCCAAGATTACATCAAAACCGTGACAACCAGATGGTGTTGATCATACCAGAAGGGCTTGATATATCAAGTGAACTGTGTTCTGTATCAAAAAAATGTTATGTTCTTCTAATCGATTTTGGGTAGTTTCACAATCAATCCGGATCCTATACATCTGGATATGTTTTCAAAAAGATGTTATGATATTCCAATAGATTCAATTATGAAAATAAATGTACATGTGTGAGAAAATTAACTCCAGAAAACCCAAGATTACATCAAAACCGTGACAACCAGATGGTGTTGATCATACCAGAAGGGCTTGATATATCAAGTGAACTGTGTTCTGTATCAAAAAAATGTTATGTTCTTCTAATCGATTTTGGGTAGTTTCACAATCAATCCGGATCCTATACATCTGGATATGTTTTCAAAAAGATGTTATGATATTCCAATAGATTCAATTATGAAAATAAATGTACATGTGTGAGAAAATTAACTCCAGAAAACCCAAGATTACATCAAAACCGTGACACTACACCCAGATGGTGTTGATCATACCAGAAGGGCTTGATATATCAAGTGAACTGTATTCTGTATCAAAAAAATGTTATGTTCTTCTAATCGATTTTGGGTAGTTTCACAATCAATCCGGATCCTATACATCTGGATATGTTTTCAAAAAGATGTTATGATATTCCAATAGATTCAATTATGAAAATAAATGTACATGTGTGAGAAAATTAACTCCAGAAAACCCAAGATTACATCAAAACCGTGACACTACACCCAGATGGTGTTGATCATACCAGAAGGGCTTGATATATCAAGTGAACTGTATTCTGTATCAAAAAAATGTTATGTTCTTCTAATCGATTTTGGGTAGTTTCACAATCAATCCGGATCCTATACATCTGGATATGTTTTCAAAAAGATGTTATGATATTCCAATAGATTCAATTATGAAAATAAATGTACATGTGTGAGAAAATTAACTCCAGAAAACCCAAGATTACATCAAAACCGTGACACTACACCCAGATGGTGTTGATCATACCAGAAGGGCTTGATATATCAAGTGAACTGTATTCTGTATCAAAAAAATGTTATGTTCTTCTAATCGATTTTGGGTAGTTCCAATCTCTGAAAACATGTCTCAATAAGAAGAAAATTATACTCAATACCCTACACAGACCCCAAGGTCCAGGGTTCAAAACACTAACGACAATGTACCTAAGATAGTGTGATCTGGCCCTTCAAGATAACAGTCACCAACTCACAAAGGAGATTCAAAACAATAAAAGAGAAGCTATCGTTGGTCCAAGAGCCAAACCAGCTAAAAGGATTTTAACAGGCAAAGGCATCTCAAGAGCTCTCTAAACAGGTGTCAAGAGGCTTCTACAGTAGCACCAATATCTACTTCCCGTAACTTATAAAAATCCAGGTTGTCTTTTAAACTTTATGGTGAAAATGTCCACCAATATTTTCAGCCAAACATAGTGCGGGAATGCCTTCCTCTTTTAAGTTACATAAATGCAACAACCTGACGAGTATTCATTTTAATCACCAAATAATGCATAAAACATGATCTATTCTAGTGTGGTCTCCGCGTATGATTAAACCATATAAAATTTTGGGCCAAATCTGTACCTCGTGTTCATTCTCATGGCCATGAGAGTGGGCTTCATGCCCTTCCCAAGGATGACGCCAACCCTGCAAGAAGTGTTCAGATGCAAAGTAATGTTCTACATACAAAAGAGATTTTCAGTTTTGGAAAAGAAATTACCAAAACTACAGGGGCATCTTGTTTAGCTCTGTAAAAGATCCAAAACCTGCACTAGCAAAGAATGCTAGAGAAGTCAATAAACTGCTGATCAAGATTGTTTACACTTAATCATTTATGTTTAAGAACACACTTTTTCTAGAAACACATTCAAACAAAACTCCCGAATGACGAACAAAAGATAGACATAATTTATTTACACCAGGAAAGGTAGGCAAGTGAATATTGATGCAACTTCAAAAAGGATTCAGTTTAGAAGACTCCTATTTTAGATTATTCATGGGAAAAATGGAATTATGGCATGATTGCTAAATACAATGCAGCATTCTAATCATTGGATGGATGAACATTCACCCGTACAGAAAACAGGGAATTTTTTCAGCCACTTTTATATCCCTAACATAAAGCTGATAGCCATTCGTTTAACTATTTTTTTACTGATATATTACATTGAGTTCTATTATTCAAGAGATGCCAGTGGTTGGATCAATAATTTGGCCTATTTTTTCCGCCTTCCTCACCTCCCTTCAGAAATATCAGTTCTATGTCTTCCGCTCATGCATGTGACAAATATCTCGTTTAAAACTTTGCAAAAGGATCCGCCTACGTTCCAGTTCATAAAGAAAAAAAAGGGGCAGATTTCTTAATTTTCCAGCGCTCAAAGTCAGAAGAAATAAGCCTTCCTCCCGGTGCGATCCCCTCATTCACATTTTACGTCCCATAGAAAGGGTTCGCCGAAACGGCTTCACCATCCTCACCCTGAGCGCATTACCATTCAACAATTGGAAACCCTCGGGAGCTAATCGTGACCCCAATGGTGCGATAAAAAAAATCAGACTAGGGTTTCCTCGTAGGCATTAAAAATTGATGTCCTAACAACTGGACGGCAAGTGCTTAGATCAGACGATTGAATGTATCAGCAAAACACGATGTACGATCAAACGAACAGATGGGCAGCCCTGGAGGACGAGGAGAAAATATGAGGACAAGGAAGCGTGAATCCTCTATGCAGAGGACATTCCGATGGGAATCCAGCAACGAACCACATGACGGCGCACAAGCCCTTCCCGGTGACGGTGTGCCATCGCTTCGGATGGTGGATCGTCACCCCCTTGTAGGTCGAGCCGGCGCCATGGCCCCCTCCCATCTTCCCCCGCCACGCCCGAACGAAATTCCCAGTTCGCGACTCCCACACTGAAAATACGGCCTTTGCGCCTCCTCCCCCCGCCTCCCCACCCCCCCCCCCGACGCCAATGACCCGAAAAGGAATCTTGACCGTTTATTCACCACAACCTTCCACCATGATAGGGAAATATTAACCGTCCGATCATCTCTGTTCCACACGATCTGATCCGACCATGGTTATCCTGGAGCCCGGCCCAATATTATCCGACTCCAAATCACCAAATGGATCCAATGGGCTAGTCCAGGAAACAGGCCCCGCCCAAAATATATGGACATATATTTCTCTCTCTCCCAATATTAGCGGACTCCAAATCACCTTCTGAGATATCCAATGGGCCAATCCAGGTAAGGCCCGCCCCATTAATACTCTCTCGCTCTCTCTCTCAAACACACACACATACTCCTGACGCCACGATCAGAGCGCAGGCGTGGCGCCATGGTCTTTCTGGTTCACACAGGAAATTGAGAAAACGAGGTGAAGTATGAAACACAGTAAAGCACAGACATCGATCCTCTGGATCAGCAAGGACCAGCGCTCTCCAGGAAGAAGGATCGTCGAGAAGGGGAGCGTGTCTACGATGCACGACACACAGATGTCTTCAGAGGAAAATTAAGCAATCCAAGGGTATGAGAGGGTTATTCACGTCGTCCCTGAGGTCGGATGCATTCTCAAGGCTTCGAAACATCTTTGGGCGTTCCTCTTGATCCTCCGGATCTGGAATTGGATCGACGCTGGTTTCACTTCTCTTCAGGCGCCGGCGATGGATAGCCGGAGCGAGGGGACCGGATCGCCGGAGCCTTTCCTTGCCGCTGGCCGTCAACGGGCGAGGCCTGAGATCGAGGTGCTTCGATGCAAGCTCACGTCTAGGGATTTCAATGCCGGCAAGTCTGAGGGCACAGGAAGGAGAAATCGATTTCCTGGCTTCCTTTGTCTGCTTGACCCTGGCGGAACTGCGTGGTGAAGGCTGCCTCTGGCTGCGGGAAGGAAAGACGGAACCCTGCTCGGTGCTGCTTCTGGTACTCTTCCGCCGCTCGAGCCCCGGCGAATTAGATCGTCCTCGTTTTGGCCGCTGAGACCCGGTTGGGGAACCTTGGGCGGAGAATTCGGCTGCCTTTCGTTCTGACGGTATCTGCTTGCCGTTGCTGGGATGTTGTACGACGATGTGAGAAGCATCTCCAAACAAGGACGAAGAAGTAGACGAGACGCAGGAGGATAATGCACCGGAAATCGCACAAGAGGAGGAAGAGCACGAAGAACGGGATGTAGAGGACAAACTCTGTAGGCCGCGCGGGGGGTGGACAGAGCTCCCGATGCAAAGGGATCGGGATACGACGGGCCTGTCCAGGGGAGTATTGGGATGTCGGCATTTGCTGATTCAGATACCCATGGCTTCAGATTCGCAGTCAGCAGTGCAGGTGTAAGGAGAGCAGAGTCCCGAATAGGAAGAAGGTGAAGGGAGCTCTCGATCGATGGTTCTTTTCATTTGACTTATTGCTTTGACCTTTTCGAGTTTGAAAATTTCTGGGCGGGTTGCTTCAGGACCGTTGATGACGCAGACTTTCAGAACGTGAGACGAAGTAGAAAGAAAGAAGTCAGCTTCCGAGGGGCGTGCCGATCACGTGCGTGTGCTGGAACAGCGATCCCTCGTGGTGGCGGGAGATGCTCGCCTCGCCTCGCGCCATTTTTGCCCTCTCCCTTCTTCCAAATCTACACCGCCTCTCTTGTTACGACCTTCCATCTCCCGTTTCGCTGCTCTACGGAAGGGGACCGCTGATGAGTGGCGCAGCCAGCGGCGGTGGCAAGAGGCGGGGCGCTGCCCCGTCTCCGACGCCCAATAGCTCCAAGAGATTTCAGCCTAGTACGGGTGCCAATGGCCACGATAATCCACAGCAGAGGAACATTGGCGTGGAGGACGAGATGATGGATGAAGACGTGTTCTTGGAGGAAACCCTGCTCAAGTACGAGGAGGAGGAGGAGGCGCTCCTCCTCCTCCAGCACGAGATGCTCTCCTCCCGTCTTGCTAAGTGGAAGCGGCCTCCCCTCTCTAAGCCCTACCTCTCCTTTTCCCAGAGTGTTGGTAAGTCGCTCAGTTTCTTGGTTAATGTGTTTTCTTTCTGTTCTAGTCAAATAGAAACTCACAGTTTCTTCATCTTTACCCGCGACCTACAGTCTTCCAGCAGTTAGATATCGACTACATTATCGGGGAAAGCCACAAGGAATTGCTGCCTAATTCCTCTGGTCCAGCTGCGATTATCAGAATTTTTGGCGTGACTAAGGAAGGTCGGATGCTCTTCTTGTTTTGTAACTGTAGCTTGCTTTCTCCCTTCCTCTGTTTAGCGTCTGAATGGAGAAAGCGTTTGATTTTGTATCTGTTAGGGCACAGTGTATGCTGCCTTGTTCATGGTTTTGAACCATACTTCTACATAAGTTGTCCTCAGGGAATGGGCCCTGATGATATATCCTGCTTCCACCAAACACTTGAGGTGAAATTCGACTTCTCTTTCTATCAATTTTCGTCTGATGAACTGTATTATGTCTCATATAATTGTATTAATTATTTTGACCTGATTTTCGTTTTTGGTGATGGTTTGCAATAGGCAAGAATGAGAGAAGCAAACAGGAACAGTAATGTGCCTAAGTTTATCAAACGGATAGAAATGGTGCATAGGAAAAGCATTATGTACTATCAGCAGCAGAAATCGCAGCCATTCCTTAAGATCATAGTCACTTTGCCAACAATGGTCGCTACTTGTCGGGGTAAATCATGCATAAAGCTTCCTATGTCAATTTGTTGTTTTATTATTTACTTTAAAAAAAAAATCCTTTGAGGCAAAATCATTTGAAGTCAGCTACCCTTTTTACTTTAGTCTTTCAGACGTCATCCAACATCAAAAAGTGTTGTGAAATGTCTCCTTTGTCCTGAAAATATCGTGTCCCTAATCCACTTGTCAAACATTTTCCTTGAACTGAGTTATTTGACGATCGAGAACAGTGACAATGGAATAACTGGTGTGGGTGTGACATTCCTCCTATTTTTCACTCTATTGATATCGTCCCTAATATCCTTCTCAAGAGACCAAGCTATAAGTCGAACTGTTTTCCATCTCTTGTTTAACTTTCAGCTGACGATTGGAGAGCTATACGGTCTCTAGTAATCTATGTCGAGATGTCTATATTTATAAAATACATGAAAGCGAAGTTATGGTTTTTGTTTCATGAATGTTAATTCATGAACTTGATATTTTGGGACTTCTCTAAGGCACATTTTATTTTATTAGACTATCACCAACCATGATTACATAAAGGCATTGTTCAATATTTTGTAGAGATTGAAAATTTCCATCGTCATTTTCTTATTTGATGGAAAATAAATACTTTCAGAAGAGGTTAAGGGAAGATCGCATTGCTGATTTCACTTTCAGAAATTAACTGCGTTGTCACACTGGTGAGGGGATCTTACTTTATTTTTTTAATGGTCTCAGGCATCCTAGAAAGAGGAATACAAATTGAAGGCCTTGGGCACAAGAGCTTCCTTACATATGAAAGTAATGTTCTTTTTGCACTTCGGTTCATGATAGATCGTAACATTGTGGGTGGAAATTGGATTGAACTTCCTGTCGGAAAGTATAAGAAGACATCAAAGATCATCTCCAATTGCCAATTGGAATTGGATTGTCTGTATCCTTTTTTACCGTTTATTCCAACTTAAGAGGCCTGTATATTTGTAAAAATGGATGATTTAGTTGAGATTTTTTTTTCCTTAAGGATATCTTGTTCAGATATTCTGAGATGATCAGTCATATTCCCGAAGGTGAATTCTCCAAGTTGGCTCCATTTCGTATTTTAAGCTTCGACATTGAGTGTGCTGGTCGCAAAGGACATTTCCCTGAGCCTAATCATGATCCAGTCATTCAGGTCAGTCTTTGGCTTAAAGCAAAGTAATTTTTTTTGCAGTGAAAGTGTGAGCAGTTGTAGTTTTTATCTCTCATTTAAACGGCATCCTTTGTATATCTTATTTCGTGTATATGAACCAGATTGCTAACTTGGTGACAAGTCAAGGAGAAGATCAACCTTTTGTTCGTAATGTTATGACGCTGAAGTCATGCTCACCAATTGTCGGTGTTGATGTAATTTCCTTTGACACAGAGAGAGATGTGTTGATTGCTTGGAGGGTAAAAAATTATCTCATCCCTTTTGTTAGATCCTGCTCAGTTTCAAGGCCGTTTTGCATTACACTTATGTGTCAGTTCTTGTCAATTTCATCAAATCTAGATACTACCTACATGGATCATTGTTCTTTGGATGCTTTTGCAGTTCTTGGTTTTCAGTTCTCATGAGTAGCATAATACATTTCCAACTGGTAAAAAAATATATAGAGGGTGCCCCAACTGCCTTCCTTACCTTCCTATTTCTGCATGATGGAATTCTACATTTACCTTTTTCAATCAACTGAAGTTTAGGAATGAAGCTATAAAGACATTATGCACAAAACTTCATTTAATGGAGTGTATCGTATTGAACCAAATCAATAGACATTTATGCTGAGGTAGAGGATTGATCCCTGTGATTGTAGCAAGTGGATTTCAGAATGAATGCATCGCCTGCCATTCCATGAACCTCTGAAAGTTTATTTAAACCCCCCTTTTTAGGTATGAGGGCTCTTCTATGTTAGAATTAACATATTTTCTTTGAGGTGCTTTTTATAGTTCTCTCCATTTTCGAAGAAAGAAAATATAGTTCATTGTGGAAATTTAGTCTATTTAACGTGTATGCCATCAAGTAATCCTTAATTTGCTTATTTTGCAGGATTTTGTTCGTGAAATAGACCCTGACATAATAATTGGGTACAATATTTGCAAGTTTGACCTTCCATATCTCATCGAGGTCCTTTTCTGCCTGCTCTATGGAATTGCATGCCTGTTAGTTCATTTCAAATAATGCCCTGGTTCGGACTTCGAATCTCTTCTTGAACAGAGAGCTGAGGTCCTTGGAATAGCAGAGTTCCCTGTTCTAGGCCGTATCAGAAACAGTCGTGTTCGTATCCGTGATACCACTTTTTCATCACGGTATTTTTCTAAACATGTTTCTGACAAGTTAAATATTGTTATTTGTGTTGTTCTTTGTAGCAATGATTATCGACAGGTTTTCTTTGTGGCCTAGATGTCTTGGTACAAGTCAAGCTATCACAAATGCATAAGCGGTGTATCAAAGTCACTCTAATTGCAGATCAGGCCGTGCATTTCTAGCATGCACATGAATGTTAGTTGAAATGAAATAAAGATGAGAAAACATAATAATGCTCACATGCATGGTTGAATGCATATTTTCTTTTTTATGGAAGCGTATCAAGTATGAGACAAAGTGCGTCTCCAATGATGCAATATTATAGAAGACGTTTAATGCATGATACCTAGAAATACTTGAAATGGTAGACTGTTATATATAAGAAACCTCGGCTTGATGTACAAGTCTCAAAAGGAATTTGATTCACAATGTTAAAACCTAGGGCTGGATAAAAAATGAATGTGGTGGCTTCCTTCAAGTTCTAGACATGTTGCCGATTTTGTGTCTCGTGAGATCCTTACGCAACAGAGACTATGGACATGTTCTATCATTACGTCACTCCACTTTCCTTAGTGCCCTGTGAAAAGCTATGATCCCTCTGGCCTTCAATCCTTTGGCCCATAAAAAGCTAGCATTATGCCGCTCGAATCCACTACTTCTTACGGATCTCTCTCTTAAACATGTTGAGAATGGAATGCTTAATGCTCAGTTAGAAGTTAGATTGTTTTGTAAGATATTATGGTGATTGTGGTTATGGTAGAATGTCTTCATTTGTATAATATTTATATAGTCGTACTGGATTTTTGTGACAAGGTTTGTAATCTGCAATCTGTTACAGACAGTATGGTATGCGTGAAAGTAAAGAAGTAACAATTGAGGGAAGAGTTCAGTTTGATCTGCTTCAGGTCCTGTAACTTACATTCTTTTCATTTCCGTTTTTGGTTTACTTAATTGACCTGCCACCACTTATACAGGCTGTGCAACGGGATTATAAGCTTAGCTCGTACTCATTGAATTCAGTTTCTGCACACTTTCTCGGAGAGCAAGTAAGGTTTTCCCACTTTTATTGAACGGAATTTTTAGATGTCCATGCAGAACACAAGAAAGTAGTTCGCTGAATAGCCATCTATTTTTTTACAATGAAATATGTTCACTGTCTTCCCAATGCGTCCTTGGGAACGATCATGCTAGAAATAATTTTAATGGCACGTTTAATCGCAGTTAGATCTCTGAAGTATTTCACTCTCTTGGTTCGGGTTAACTGAACCGATACTAGAATGTTGGCTCTGTCATTGAGGATAATTTGAAGTTTTTCGCCAGAAAAATTCAATTTATTCTTCCATTGTTCTTATTGTCTTAATTAGCTATGATCCTTTATATGGGACCCTTCAAACCTCTTGGTGTCGTATGGATACAATTAACTGCGCAATAACTTCCGGTTATCATCTCAATCCCCTCTGTTAGTTTGTAGTTATGTATAAGATCATGGAAAAATGATACAAGGGTCTGTCTGACTTTGAGTGTTTTGGTTTTTTTATGATGATCCTACTAATGGATATCAGTGCACCCACTTTTTTCCCCTTAATGTCTGGATCTCTCATTCCTGTTTGCATTTCGTATCATTGTTTGTTAAACTCCTCTTCTTTGATATTCATCATATGATTTGATGCCCGTGTTTGAAAGGGAGTAGTCTTCTTCTTTATTCATTAAATAGTTGAAATTGTCATTCTTGAGCGCAGAAGGAGGATGTGCACCATTCCATAATTTCTGATCTTCATCATGGGAACTCAGAAACCAGAAGGCGACTTGCTGTTTACTGCTTGAAGGTGTGCCAACGTTTTCTGGATTTGATGAATAATAATATTCTCGGTGGTTTGGGGAGTCCTCTCCTCTTTTTCCCTTTTGCTAGACCCGATTGTGTTAATCTATCATCATGGCTAAACGCCATATCAAAATTATTTATGATCAATCGCAGCAAACAGTTTCTTGGAGTTATGTCAGCCTCACTGAATTTGACAGAATGACGATGTATATTTCATACTTATCATGATAACATAATGAAATCAGGTAGGTTCTTGAAGTCATGGGTTTGGAATGCATCATGTTGTTTCCCGCATTTAAGGTATTTAACTTTAATAATTGCGTGTGCTATCTTGTTTCTCATGTCTTCCGAGCTCATTTCTTACTTGGCACTGGTTACAAACTATTATAAAATTCCTCGGACGAAATACTAAGTATAGTGAACCTCTATGCAGAGTACTCGTTAAACAGTAAAAAATTGCTTACAAGACAAAGGACAGGCCACTTTGATGAGTAGAGTTTTAGATTGTTTAATTTACTTACATAAAAAGAAATATCAATGTTTGCTGATAATTGAAGTGTTTCTATTCTATTGCTCACGTTTCCCTATTTGGCTAAGGTCGCCAAAATTTTCAAAATAGAAATATTTATAGGATACTCTAATCATATTAAGCATTTCTATTCCAAGTTTATACCTTCCAAAAAAATTGAATACCTTTTGCCCATGGCCGGTCTGTGTACGATTCTTTGTGTGAATTATCTGTTCAAGAGTCCGGCAGTTTTTTTTCTTTGAATGCTGATGAAGCTGAGAAAAAATGATGCAATTATAATTTCTTAATCTTTCAAATGTAGGATGCTTATCTTCCCCAAAGGCTTCTCGATAAATTAATGTATATCTATAACTATGTGGAAATGGCTCGAGTGACGGGAGTTCCTATCTCTTTTCTACTTTCACGAGGCCAGAGCATAAAGGTGATGTCGTTAGTACTGTTATGTTTAGAATCGATTTAGCTTTTGTATCTTATTTCTTGGACATCTTTTTCCATCTCCAGGTTCTTTCTCAGCTTCTCCGAAAGGCAAAACAGAGGCACCTTGTCATTCCAAATATTAAAGGCCAGGCCTCTGGTCAAGAAACTTTCGAGGGTGCAACTGTAAGTTCTGAAGAATTCATTATTTATTGGTTCTTTTTGCTCCGTGCCCTTATTAACCCTTGGGCTGATATCATCAACCGTGCTAACCTTGGTATGGAAGTTAGGCATGAACGTAATGCTCACAACCTCCCTCTAGACTTAGCTGCCTTTTTTTCTTTCTATGTGAACCTCAAAATTCTGGTTCTTTAAGATAGACATTTTCTTTGCTGCTACGGAATATTTCTTGATTCCCATTAGTACATGACATTCAAATGTTGAGGTGCGATCTTTCTGTGGATTAAATGGCATTCTGTCATTTTTTTCAATAAAATTGTACAATTTATTAGGAAATGATTATAACTATGCCAATTCTCGAACCATCTGAGAAAGATGTCTGGAGTAGTGTTTGTTGATCAATAGCACCATGTTCGCAAGTCGTAGTGATACGACCTGTCAGTATAGTAAAATTTTGAACAAAATGTCAACAAATTTATAAATTCGAGGATTATGCATAAATGCTGTCGTTAGAAAGGCTAAACTAACAATACTTTCTTATTAGAATTCGAATTAGTCCTACTTAACCCTTCATTCTTCTATAATCGGTCCCTGATTCCTTTCTGTAAAAATCCTACGATCTGAACTCCTGGTCCCATTTATACGTCAATTGCCATTGTAGATGATGAGGAAGAGGATGCTGCCGGCGGCTGGCTGCTGGTGCCAATGTTCCAGGAGAAGATCTGATCTTTTTCTATTGTTTTCCTTCATTTTCATCTCTCCACTATCCTTTCTTTTTCTCTTCTTCCGTGGTGGACCCTCCACTACGAAAGAAAACCCTTGAGAATGATTGGAGGCTAAAATGTTTCAGACCCCTATATAATCCTTACGGGAGACGTATAATTTCGATTTGTGGAATCTCCTACCTGACTTGGCTTTTAGGGTTTTAGGTTGGACACAAATTTTAGTCAGCTGAACCAACTTCGTGGTCGCTTTCACGTTAGACACCCATTTCTGAACCTCACCCTCCTTCCATGTGTTTTAACATTTTCATCTGACATTTGTGCTTTTTCAGCAGTAAACAACTAATCTGGCAATGAATAATTTAATATGAAGATCTATTTAATAGGGTAGAATGATAACCGGCTATTGCAGTTTTCCTGTTTACTATTGGTGAGCTTAGGTTAAGATTACCCAGTTAAGGTTTATCAGTGTGGTTGTTTGTTTTTTTTCTGGTTGACGCTTCTACCATATTTATTCACCGAACTCAAACGAGCGGACTTGATTTGTGGTTCCTCTTTGGAAGTTTCCTCTTTGATTCTCATGTCCAATATCGTTTAAGGCATGCCCGTATTTGATCAATACAGCAATCGATCCACAATTAGAAAAGATAGATAAAATTATTGGCAATGATATTTGCTGCGATGTTATCAAGTGTTTGAAACAGTAATGTGGTAGCTAGTTTCAATACGGTATTATGTGTACCACTCCATATTACGTTATCTTATCTTGCCTATGCACAAAAAGCAATAAAAAAAGGTATTATATTTTGATTAGAACTTCCGTCTTAATATGATCCTGATAGGGTGGCCACGCATAAGGTTATTCCAATTTCCTCTTTGCATTTTAGTTGCCATTGTGACACATGGTCGTGTTCTACTTGACTTTGAATTCTTCCACAACAGGTTTTGGAGGCAAGAGCAGGATTCTATGAGAAACCCATTGCAACGTTGGACTTTGCATCTTTGTACCCGTCCATCATGATGGCTTATAATCTATGCTACTGCACCTTGGTAACACTTCTACTAGCACAGGCAAACATAATCTCTGAAACTTTGTTGCAAGAAACTGAAGTTTCTTTTCGCGCTTATCTTTGTGATCTATATGAAGGTGACTCCAGAGGACGCTCGTAAGTTAAATTTGCCTGCAGAAGGTGTCAACAAAACTCCTTCTGGTGAAATTTTTGTCAAACCAAATTTGCAAAAGGTGATTTTCATTTTATTGCTGTTCATTTTGAACTTCATGGTCTGGATTCATGGGATTTAGGTTGTATCACTGTCCCATACCTGTTGCCAATTGTATGTAACTAAAATACATGTTTCTCATAGGGTATATTGCCAGAGATTCTTGAGGAGCTACTGGCTGCTCGTAAAAGAGCGAAAGCTGATTTGAAGGTGTCTTCTCCTTTATATTATCTGAATTTTTTTCTTTGATTCTCTTTATCAGTTTCTGTTTGTTTGATGTGATATTTACTGAAATTGTTTCCATATTTCAGGACGCTAAAGATCCTTTTGAGAAGGCTGTCCTGGATGGCCGTCAATTGGCCCTGAAAGTAACATGCTGTGCTCTATACTTCTTTAATGGGTAAATTCAGTTTAAGCTTTTGTAACATAATAGTTTATCAAGGTCTTGCACTCGATGTGTTGCTTTTCAGATAAGTGCAAATTCTGTATACGGTTTTACTGGAGCAACCATTGGCCAGTTGCCTTGTCTAGAGATATCCTCTAGTGTCACAAGCTATGGTATTCTGTTAAACACCTTTTGCATAGTCCTTATTTTTCATATTAAATATTTAGGTTAATAAATTCTCTCCTTTCTACTTCAAGGTCGACAGATGATTGAACACACTAAGAAGCTTGTTGAGGAAAAGTTCACAACAATTGCTGGCTATGATCACAATGCAGAGGTATATTCTCCCCGACTTCTTTTGGGAAATATTTAAATTGATCGTTGCTTTGGGAAACAGTATGTTGGACAATGGATGTGGCACATCTTAAGCTAACATACTGCAGCTGCCTGGATCCCTTGAGCATTCAAAATATTTTTGGCAGAGCGACTATATGGTCTGAATAATCACTTATCTGGGTGTGAAACCTATTGGATAAAGATTTCCCATCTTATCTCTGTTTGAATAAAATGGTGGGGGAGACCCTTACATATTGAGGAAAGATCATGGTTCATCATCTTGGTTGGTAACATTAGTCTACAGGCAAGAAAGTTTTCTGACCTGAAAAACAGATACATCAATTGTAAATATCCATAAAATGGTTCACAATGGGGAAAGAATTGTTCATAATATCATGTATATGCATGCGTGTTACATTGTCTTACAGACTTTTCCTTTCATAATTTGTTTGCGAGTTTCTACTATCGAGGACGCTGTGTACAATGCAGGTAATTTATGGGGACACAGATTCCGTGATGGTACAGTTTGGTGTACCAACTGTTGAGGCTGCAATGAAACTAGGGAGAGAAGCCGCAGAACACATCAGCAACACTTTTACGAAGGTTTCTTTTTTTGCCTTTCTGATTTAACTCTACTACTTCTTTCTCAATTCCGACAGTGTTACGCAAAAAGGATTATTACTTTATACGATTGAATATTCTACATTCTTTATCCGAATTTCTTTTAATTTTTAGTCCCCTTTACATCATCAGATTATGTGTCATATCCCTTTGTCATGCCAGCAGGGTGTCCATTTTTTTTCGTACAGATTTGAATTCAGTTCTTGTGTTTTCTCGGTTCCGCTTTTCTTTAGATCCCAGTTTATTGAAGACATGAAACTTAAATGTTGAAAGTCACCCTTGCGTTTTCAATGTATGGTTCCTGCCTTTACTATCTTCATCTTCCGTGTTTGATGGTAAACCTTTTTCCTCTTCCCCTGATTTGTGTTTGAAGCCCATCAAGCTGGAGTTTGAGAAGGTTTACTATCCATACCTTCTAATTAGCAAGAAGAGATATGCCGGTTTGTTCTGGACGCGTTCAGATAATTTCGACAAAATGGATACCAAAGGTAAGCTTCAGAACACTTTTAGTATCCTTTACTGCATCTTAGGTGAAGCAATAAATGTTCATCATCTACCCTTTGTGGACAGGGATTGAAACAGTTAGAAGAGACAATTGCCTTTTGGTTAAAAACCTTGTGAATGAATGCCTCCACAAAATATTGATCGACAGGGATGTTCCTGGTGCTGTGCAGTATGTTAAGAATACTATTGCTGATCTGCTAATGAATCGCATGGATTTATCCCTTTTGGTTATAACAAAGGTTAAAAAAAATTGAATACCAATTTGTTTACTTTTGAATAGCTGCCCCTGTATTCCAGCTTTCCAAATGACAGGGTGTTTATCGTATTCACTTGGCAGGGTCTTACAAAAACGGGGGATGATTATGCAGTTAAGGCAGCACATGTTGAACTTGCTGAGCGGATGCGCAAGGTCAGTTCGTGCTTTACAAAATGTCTGATATTGAACTTGTCATGTCCTCCATAGACAGCTTAGCAATGTGTATGACCTGGTGTTTAAATTCACTCAAGATTCTCTATAGAGCGACGTCCTTTTTATTTATTATGCTCTCAATTATTGTCCTGTGATCATGACATTTAAACATGAAGCGGAATTCCTGTTTTTACATAAGAAACAGTGCTCGTTTATTTTTAGTCCTCTTTACAAATTCCTGTGTCTTCGGGCTCCTCATTGTTTTTATTTTCCGTGAGACCATCTCTTGAACAAAGCCAAGTTAGTGTCATCCCTTGACTCCAGTTCTGTAGAGAAGCTGTACATATGGCTCACTTCTTTGTGTAGGACGAATGCATGTTTATGTTTAGATCGTCTCTAGAAAACCGCCGCTTCTTAAACTCGCTCCCATGGCATTCTTCTAGAGTTTGTCAAGTTGCTTTCTTATGATGTGCAATGATTGTTTGAGCAGCGGGATCACGCTACTGCGCCAAATGTAGGTGACCGTGTTCCATATGTCATTATCAAAGCTGCAAAAGGTGCCAAGGTAATGTACTGACATATAGTTTTCAATGATACAGAAATTAGATTAAACAGGAAAACTTCAGATATGTGTTTATGGAAACAGGCTTACGAAAGATCTGAGGATCCTATATACGTCTTGGAGAATAACATTCCAATAGACCCTCAGTACTATCTTGAGAATCAAATTAGCAAGGTTTGTTTATTTTTTTTCTGCAATCACCAGTTAACTGGTTGAATTTGTCTTCGTTTTAATTTTTTATTTGCATGTTTCAGCCGCTTTTGAGAATATTTGAGCCCATTCTTAAGAATGCAAGCAAAGAACTTCTTCATGGAAGCCATACAAGAGCTGTGTCCATTTCAACTCCTTCTAACAGTGGTATTATGAAATTTGCTAAGAGACAACTCACGTGCCTCGGATGTAAGGCCGTGATCAGGTGATCCTGCTTGATCGATCCCTTTCGTCTCCTACATCGTGTCTCGCATTTAAAACAACTCAAGAAAATCATCAGAAACGCTTCGAACCAATGAATTTGGAAGAAAAGTAATGTTATCGTCTAAAACAAGTGGAAAATACTGAAGGATGTTTCTATTAAAATATAACAAATATGATGCAAATGATAAAAAATATGATGAAAATATTCATTTTTAGTCTTTTCTACCTCAGGCTTGATAGGCAGCTCTGGGGTTAGACCGCCCAGCCATACCTAGTCTTTTTGCCGCTTATTTTTTGTCCAAATGATAAAAAATTATATCTGCTTGATCGAAAGAAGTCCTAACACTAACCGCTCACTTCCAGTGATGCAGACCATACCCTTTGTCGACACTGCAAAGGAAGAGAGGCTGAACTGTATTGCAAGACTGTGGCAAATGGTATACTCTTTGTCCTGTTGAACCTCTGGTATCTCCATATTTCTTCGTTTCTTAGCCCGACCTTGTATTTTTCTCGGAAAAAAACGCTAGTAAATTTCAAGATATATTTGAACCATTGTGCCATGAATTACGGCATCTTCTGATGGCAGAAACTGGAACCTAGGGAAAATACAATTTCGGTTGTGAGCATATGGCAGAATCCTAACCTTTTCTCTCGGGTTTGTATTGTTCAGTCTCTGAGTTAGAGTCTATGTTTGGGAGGCTATGGACACAGTGCCAGGAGTGTCAAGGTTCTCTCCATCAAGATGTGCTCTGTACCAGGTCAGGATCCCTCCACTTCCTCGCATTCTTCAGTTCATATTCCCCAGAAATTAATGGTTTTGAATTACGACACAGTCGGGATTGTCCCATCTTTTACCGGAGGAAGAAAGCACAGAAGGACATGGCCGAAGCAAAGGCACAACTTGATAGATGGAACTTTTGATCCCTGTGCCAATGTACAGGCTTTCATGAAATCTCTTCTTTCCTAGCTTCCTGAGTCCATCTGTACTTCTCCCATGATATCTCCTCTTCTTCTCCCATCAGCAGTGGCTCTCTGATGCCAAGATCATGTGACAAGAGGAGCATGTGTGGCATTAGCCTTCTCAAGAGGCCCTGGGGAGATAATGGCCAAGAGTCAAGGAACTGGGCAACTTCTGTGCTACGAAATATGGAGTCAAGTCCTGGAGAGAGGAGATATTTCCATGGATCTTTGTGAATCTAGCCGCCCACTGTAATCTCCCTGGTCAACTGGTTTTTTGCAGAAAAGTCAATGCTGGTAAGAAAAATGTCCGTTGGGGTATGCCAGCCACGATTACAGGAAGGTAAGGATCTGACTATAAGAAGGTTGCTGGCTAAAGGGACCGAGAAGGCAACCACTCAGAAACTGTTTCTCTGTAATCGAAGGCATTTTGTCGTGCATCAAGTGTATGCCTTGCAGGGTTGTAATCGAACGCTTGAAGAATCTTCAACTCCATGTTTTTTTAACTTTTCAATCCCTCATCTGAAAAGGTAACCCAACGAGCTCTGTTGCATGCCTCCCCTCATCTGACGAATTGTAATGATGACCCATGGTTTAGATCTTCAGTTTATCTTGCGCTGTCGCCTGCCCATTACTGACGACAGGATCTGTGCATGAAAATTCTGGCCGAGGGGGAGTCGCAAGTGACAGAAAAATCTCTGCCGTGTGGATCTGGGTCAGTCCTCTTTCCTTCCTTATGATCTCTGATTTTCATTGAAGTGATTTATTTACATAACATCTGCGTATATTTACTATCAAAAATAGGAACAATGCAAGAAGGTGAAACTCCTTAGTCTCTTTCAAACAATCTTTCCCTGTTCTTTTTTTCAATCAAATTTAAAACTCTGCCTTGATTACAAGCGATGAGCTAGTTTATTTCAACAACCCTCCTGTGAGAAGGGTAAAGAATTTGACACCCTGGGTAGTATCACAACATCTATACAAGCTGGCAAGATCCCCCTCTTGACGCCGACCGAATCCGATCCAGGCTTCTGTGACCAGCAGAAAAAGGAAACAAGGCCATGCCATGGGCGTCAACCACTGAAGAACGGAAAGACACAATCTTAGCTATAAATGTAGCCAGGATGGAGTGTGGGGCGATCTCAGTAGAGATATCGCTTGGCTTTGAGATGGCACCTGCGGAGGAGATGCCAAGTGATGATGAATGCCGTCCGCCTAGGATGAGTAGAGTCTTATGCGCGTGACTATGGGGGTTCGGCACATGGGGCATGTTGACAAGTTCACACCGCAGTCCCTGCAAGTCTGGAGAAGGAAAGAAAGAAAACAGGCAGCTCGGTTAATCAGCCACAAAGAGTTTGAAAGAGGACTCCCCTTCTCCGAAGAGCTAAATCCCCACAAATCAAACAGACTTGGAAGAAAGCTGGATGAGAAGAAGATGCAAAATATATGGATAATCTATGGCGGTATTCAATCCTTAGGAGTTTAATCCATTAATAGCTCAGGCGATTGAGGCATTCTTCTTAGGATGGATAACGGTGATTATATCCCTGTGACGATAGAAAACTGTCTCCCTGAGCTTAAAACAGTAGTTTATATAAATCGCAAGCTTACCAGATGGCCGCATCCGAATGCCATGTCTTTTGGGTTGGTTAAACAGACAGGGCACGCCTGTAAAGCACAGGAAAAACAGTCAGAGGCCGAATACTCCCAACTAGGGAACCGAAGCCTTCCAAGGCAACAAGGAAGATACCTGCTCCGTAGTTGTAGTGTAGGCCCTTGGCGCTGGGCTTGTAGTCTCAAAGGGAGTCGGTCGTGAGCTTGAAGCGCCGTAGGTCATTGAAGGGAATGCCGGCATGGGTTGGCTCATCAACTTCCTCTCGTCATGTTCAATGACTTCAGGAGGCGGTGGGAGAGGCTGAGCTCCGACTTTTGCTCTCTTACTCCTGTAAGCATCACAAAGGATGGGTGTAAGGATTCCGTGATTCTGATTAATTAGTAGGGAAGGTGGGTATCATGTCATGGTGCCTACTCGAAACGCCTAAGGGTCTGCGTTGCTTTATACTGGACTGGCACCTCCATGAGAGCTGCGAGTGCAAATGCTGCCTCTTTCTTTGCCATCTCCATGTTGGCGGACATGATCTTTGTAAAGTTCACAAACTGCAAGAAAATTCCTAGGATAATTAGGCAGGAAAACGACGTAGAAATACAGCATCTACATCACCACTTATTGGCCATGGTGCAGAAGAACAAGGTTTGTGGTGTGAGCATACAACCCAGTTGACTTCAGAGTAAATCTTCTTTCACAATTATGCATCCCGGTTATGAATGCATCTTGATGTTTTATAGATTTAGTGGCTTCTTGGTCCACTGATGAGAGCAGATCAGGAAGATAAGGGTGTACAGGAATGCAAAACCTTGTAGGCATATGCTGCCCAAGTCAAAAAAGTCAATAGCATAAACAGCAGCATGAGGATAGCTAATATGGGCATTATGTCTGTGGAAGAAAGCTATTCTTTAAAAGGCTGCAGAGTTCTCCCGTTTGACCATCTACACCTGGTGATTTCCTTAGTTTCTCAATGGGAGACGCAAGCTAGCATCATGGATGGGACAATAATTCTCTCAAGTCGTCATGAAATAGGATACCACGGAGCTAAAGTCATAGAACAAATACCAACAAAGTTGTGAAGAGAATCACCTGAAAGTTATCAAAAGAACGTTGAGGAATGTAGTCATCGAACTCCTGCATCATGTCCCATGGCCCATCGCCCACACCGACCATGATGATCGAAAGGGGATATGCACTGAAAGATGGAGATGGCTCAGGGGGAGATCAAGAAGAGGGAATTGAAGGATCCGAAAGGGATTGGAGCTTACCTTGCGGCAACTATGGCATCGATAGTCTCCTTTTCATGTGAACTAAACGTCCCAGGAGGAGTATCAGGGTTCCTAGTGACCTGCAAGATTCATAGAAGACAGAAAAATCAATACATCTCCAAACCACTATTCCACTGCATGGGGACATAGTCATTAGAACTTTGCGCTGACCTGGCCGTCTGCAATGATGACAAGGACGTGGTACTGCCAGCTCCTCTCCACAATGTCAATTGAAGCATAAATAAGTGGAGCGAATGAGGTTGGTCCTGGGGGAAGTCAACCGTCTAGTTTAAGGTGGCCACCCTCAACAAGAACATTATTATGGTATTGATGATATGAAGTTTTAGTGTATAGATGAAAACTAACCTGACAATTTAATGAACGGGAGGATTTCCCTGTATCTGGCGAGGACCTCCTCGAAGCCTTGGCAATAGTGATGATCAGGGTAAAAACTGAAGACATTTTTTTCATGTGTGGATGCTAGAAAAGAACCAAGAACCCGTCAGAAAAGAAGGGTGATTTAGCTTCTTGGATGGAATGGGAGAGAAAGGTATATGCATGCTCAAGTGTGCGTGTTTGTGTGTGGGAGGGAGGAGTAATGGGCAAGAATTAGGGGGAAGAAATACTAACCGTCACCAAATCCAAAGCATGGTATTAGGTTGTCCTCGTCAAAAGGATACAGAGTCCGGCCAATTATAGAAATGGCCTGCTCGTATGGGTTAGGTGTGCTGCTAATCGCATGAAGAGATCTCCTGTTGAATGAATGCCTACCTGACATAGAGGAATGGCGTTGACCATCTCAAATGAGCCAAGGAGAGACGTAGAGTTCAGGTAGGTGGCATTCTATTTTATGACAGAAAATTTTACCCGTCCATTCGTTACTTTTGGTGAAGTCAATGCCAAGTATGAGATTTGATGATTCGAGGCCATAATCTCTCAAAGCAGACGTCACCTGAAAAATAGTAACCAGACGTAGAGTAAGTCAAAGTACTGTAGTAGTTTATGTTCAGAAGTCAACCCCCAAAAAAGTCAATTCTCAAGTTGTAGGCCACGAGGAAAATTTTCCAATTCCAAACAAGTCAAGAGTCAAAGCCCAGATGGAAGCAATAACTGATCATTCATTACTAATGTGGGAAGATATGGATCCAAGGACTTCACTACTAATTCATATCGAACCCTGGGATAATCCGTAGCATTTTTATTTTTTTCTTCTTATCCATATGTTTCAACGATACTAGGTGTCTCCCTTCGATGCCCACAACAATGTCTCAACCCTTGGATAGATTACCTGATCAAGGGAGCTGAAATTATCTGGAATGGACGTCGAGGAGGATCCCCGAGTGGCGTTTCTGCTCTCGGTGTGCCCCGCCGCCGTAGGTTGCTCCCTGTCGAAGTTGCCTCTTTCTGCGTACCCATCAGAGAACCGAATCTGCTGGCCATAACTTCGCGGGGAGCTCTCTCCGTTGCCCATGGGCGGACGCGGCTCGCACAATTTTCCGAGCTTTTAAGTGCACCAAGAACCGGTGATCTTTGGTGTATTGATCGGGTCCTGCAGGGAGAGGGAGGAGAACTGAGAACTCCTCCGTAGAACGAATGAGAGGACTAACTCCATGGCAGCATTATCTCACAAAGAGTATACAAACCATGATCATAGACATAAGACTACCAGGCCAAATCTCAGGATGGCATATGCTTCACCAGATGCGGCTCTTTTCGAACCAATTCCTCATGGCAATGCTTACAGATTGATAATGATCGCGAGCCGATGGCTAGCCTCCGGTGAATTTCCTCTATCTTCCTAGGGAACCCTAAAATCCGGAGCGAGAAACGCATCTAGCAGAGGAGAAGCAGAGAATTCACCTGATCGAAAGCCTGCCTTATTCGCCTCTGCCCTTCTTCTTCCGCTTCCTTTCTTCGACACCCCCTCTCGGTGAGGGACAACGCATGTGCAGGTAGGGGAAGATAGCTTTTATTAGAACCGCGCACCGCTTCTTGCTATCCAAGGCAACCGTGGGATAAAGGATCAGTTGGCCATTAACGCAGAGTCCCAGTCCAATGAGCCGGTATCCACGCGTCGGGCGACGCTTTAAATCTTTGACCAGTTTACTTCTGCGTTCGGCATCCGGGGGGGAAGAAAGCAGGAATCTTGTGTGCACATGTACCGGAAATGGCCGAATTAGTCAGAGTGCACGTCACCTCGGCGTCAGAACATGAAACGTGTTAGACTCGCTGTGCCACGCTGGCACCGTCATCCACCGCCCCTCTTCTCATGTCCACATCACCGATCTGTATTGTAGCGTTGACATCCTAATTTAAATAATTTGAATGTTGGACATATAGAAGCCCACGGGACGGGGCGGACCCCGAGAAGGCCCGAATTTTCCCCGGCCCGAACCCATTCTCTCAGAAGAGAGGGGAAGCGAGAGAGAGGTTTTCAAGATGAGCACGAGGACGGTCTGCGCTTGAGGGCCTCATACACCGGGCTAATGCCAAACAGGATCTCCATCTGGGGTTACTCTGAGGCCCGAAACGGAAAACCAGGCCGGGCCAGTTTTGGGCCCACTCTTAGGAACGATGGCAGTACAATTATTTTATTTACTCTGCAAATATCTGGAACATTATATTATTTCTCTCTCTCTCTCTCTCTCTCTCTCTCTCTCTCTCTCTCTCTCTCTCTCTCTCTCTCTCTCTACGGACAGACATTAGAAAATAGCAGTTTTATAGAAAAATGGGGCTCTGCTCGAGGGGATGCGCCCCATCTGTCCACCTTCCAATGACTCAGAAAAAATTGAACTATTTTGTACATGAAAATTATGATGGCGTGCCAGACGCAGCAGCAGCATCAATTGACAACAACAGCTTGGGGCTTCAAGGGCAGGCAGCCACTTGCCGGCTCGCCCCCGAAGCCACTAAAAGAATGAGATCGGAAGAGGGGGAGTGGCTGAAGCGTATGTACCTCTGCAGGCTCAGAGGAGGAAGGCGACGAGCGCGTGGAGGATGCTCTTGGGACTCGGCCACTTATCGAAGCCTCCGTTGACCACGGTCTGGACGTCCTCCGACTGATCCTCCAGCGTCCTCTGAAGATGGGTTTTCCCACAGCAGACGAAGTCAGGAGCTATAAATGGAATGCTGTCATGGTGAGAATAATAGCCCCCCATTTTCATTCGTGACGAAAATAAAACCACTGGATTCTCACATTTCCTGAAGAAAATGAAGTCAGTGGATATGGATAGACGGGTTGACTCCCGCTCATTAGAAACTAGTCTCTGGTCAGATGGCTGTTATGCTTGAAGAATCATGATCTACTCGAAGTGGGCATTATTAACCTGAGATGAGAAATGGCCGGAGGAAGTAGCAGCCTGCAGCGCGCTGGCCCTTACCTTCATCGCATCCTTGAGAGGGCCCCAGCACTCCACGCGATTGTACTTCTTTGACTTAGAATGGAAGTAAACCCAGACAGAGGCCTCAATGAGCTCCGGGTGCTCCTCGAAGAGGACAGAGTCGCCATGAACGACGGCCTTGAGAACCTGAAGTAACATCAAGGAGCCAGTGATGCGCAATGCTCGGATGATAATATGGAAGCGTGGTAAGAGGGGAAGAAGCCCTCCTGATGCATAAGCTCCCCTGGAGAAGCAGAAACTCACCAGAGGTAGCTCCTTACAGAAGATGTGGTATCTGAATTCTGCCGCGAGGTCTTGCAATGGATTGGTTCCACTCACGTAGCAGTGTACATGCAAGGATCTTTCGTCTTTCACCATCTTCCACTCGGCCACCACATCATCACGCTGCAACTTTGCTTGCCACCTCCGCAGCTGCAGCAGACGAGCTAAGTCGCTAAAAACAGTGCCCAGATCTTTCCAACACACAAGGTAAAGCTTAAACAGTTATTTGGTGATTTCTTTTCCCGAATAGAATAAGCATAGGCATTGTAAAACTAAAAAAATATGATAGTAATTATAAAAAAAAAAGTGATTGGGGCATGAAAATATTCGCAATGTCGGATGAAGACACAAAGAAAAACTTTGCCGGTAGTTAAATATCAAGAATTTTTTTCCCAAATTAGGACATGTAAAATTTAAAAAAAGAAATGATAGACTTACAAAAAAATGATTGGGATATGAAAATATTCAGCGTCAGATGAAGATACGATGATGTTGAGAATTATTTATGTGCGGATGCGTATTCAGAGACATACCTGGTCGAAGCTGATATGATTGGAGACCGCAAGGGTTAAATTAGCAGTCAAGTCACAGTGGCTGAGAGTGTATGTCCTAGAACTGGTGCATAGTTGATGCTTCCCAATTTCTTCCCCTAGGAAGACCACCTCAAGCTTTGATGCTTCAAATCTAGTCGGAGGGCCCAAAAGCTTAGTAGCCTAGCCATGTCAAGAAAGAAGCATATAAGAACTCCAAGAAACATATAAGAACATATACCCGGAAAGAGGGATCAACCGAGAGTCTGTGTTAGGAATATCCAAAAGGATTAGCATTGTATTCACACATTATAAGGAAGAAAAAAGATAAAGGAAATGTGTTATGTACCCACACATTATAGAGCATTGGCCAAAGGGAGATACATGAGAAGTTGCATGAATAAAAAGAAAATATCTTCCGACATTAGTATGCTTGCTTGATAACATAGATTCGTTTTTTGGTCCGGGATATCTCTTCACTACAAGAAACTATTTAATTCCATGCTCTCGAAGCTACAGCAGTTTCTTGCAATTTCGGTGTTGATATATGAGCAGAAGGAAAAGTGTAAATTGAATCTTCTTCTCTAAAAATATAGACAGATGTAATCTAGCTTCACATTTTTTTGTGGATTAAAGGAAGTAAATTTCCATCTCCATGGCTAAAATTTTCTCTTGAAATATAGATGAATGACTCGTTTGACTGTTCTGAAACATCGATTCTAGGAGTAAACTGAAGCCTTTGGTGATTGAAAATTGTTAGTTTCGCATTATAATCGTAGCAAGAGGATGACCAACTGAAAGCTGATGAAAGTTTTGGGTAAAATGTCTTTCTTTTTAGAAGGAAACACCTCGGAGAAATCCCAATCATTCAACCAGAAAACATGATCAAAGACTCCTGATCCATCGCACAGAATAAGGCGACGTGATGACTATCTACAGCTTAATGAAGGACCATAGAGTGCAAGAGACGATTAATATTTTGAGAAAAATTTTGTTTGCAGGATGACGATGTTTCAATGGTCGCAATATTCATTCAGTAAGTTTTCGGAAGCTCCACATCAGGAACTTCACCCTGGGGAAATGTGTTAAACCTTCCTTGGGAATTGTACTCGTGTCTACGTGAAGAAGATGTGAGCTGATACCGGAGAAGAAAAAAAATCTCCGCATACACTCATGAAAATTTTCTCGTCTTGGTTCCTTCTTGATTTATTAATACGTCAAACCAGATCGCACCCCGCGAGGGCAACTGCATTTTCTCAGAAATGATCGAAAACAAGAAACAAGCATTCAACGCATTCCGAAAATTCATTGACTAGCTAAAAGACGGCCATAAAAACCTCGCATGTTGTACAGATCGCTGATCGAGCAGACCGTCCGTAAGTACTATCCACATTGCCCCAACCTTTAGCTAACCAAGCGACTGAAAACAACTCCAAAGCAAGGGGGTACGGAGGAGGAGGGAAGACCTTGAGCACCAGGGAGCCGCGCGAGGACTCTCTGCGGTCGCTCGACGAGACTACGGTATGTCTTCCGAGGGCCGCCTCCGCCACACGCCTCCGCCTCGGAAACCGTCCAGCGCCGGAGGAAGAAGCACCGCTGACGACGGCATTGGCCGCCGGCGAAGAGGCCATGAGGAAACGGAAGGCGGAGAAGAAGAGCACCCGCGTCTTCCAAACAGCGGCACAGCCGCCTCATCCTCGGTACTTCACGTCGATCTCGACGGGCCCCCGAGGCCAGCCGTCCATCTGGTCTCCGCAGCAGAATGCTCGACCGGGGAGAGGCTGGAGGGGATGATCACGACCACCGTCTTGCACTTGGTGCTCTGTGTGGACCGAATCCCTCTTCCTCGAGCTGGACCCTTCCCTCACCACATTCGCATTCCTCTGCTCCACCAGCGAGATCCCTCAGAGAACTTGCTGGTCCCTCTCCCGCCACGTGGAGAGATTTGATTCGTTCGTCTAGAAATTCAGAAGATAACATGATAGGGGGGTTGTCCTCCACGTCCACGACGGACCACTACAGCACTGACACGTGGTAATACCCAGGAGCCCCAATTAATCTAAATTCTGACGAGGAGTCCCAAAGAAACTGCCACGTGAGTCAAATATCAGCTGACACCGTGTCAAGGAGAAGGAAAGGCGTGGTGAACTAAAGGGCGCCACGTGTGAAAAACCACAAAAATACCAAGAATACATCTTTTTCTGCTGGCTAGCATGAAGAATACAACCGCAATGGCCAGTTATAGCGAAATCTCAGAGACCAATTCCTCTGACCCACAAGAGGACACGCTCCTCCCCAGTAACCTAATTTTTTATAATAATAATAATAACGACGATGATGAAAATCGGAAATCACGAAAGGAAGCTATGTGGAAAAGAATGCCTGGACTATGATCACGTGGGCCCTCCCTGGAAATGGGTCAACGCCTCACGCTTTCAACTTCCAAGGGGCGCCAGATGGTCTTCTGCAGACAAAGAATCCCCTCGTTCTGCTTCGTGTAGGTCATCCGGACCTCCCAGTGCAGAGACTTGGCGAGGCTCTCCACCTCCCCGATGGTCTCCACGTTGTCTCTGACGATCAGCTTCCCATCCGGCCTCAGCAGCCGGTCAACCTCGGCGACCACCGGCACCAGCTTGCACCTGCAACATTCCAGTAGAGGTGAGCAGGTTTTCATGCGGGGGGAGGAGAGAGGAGAGAGGTTGGGTTGACCAGACCTCTTCTTGAGCTTGGAGAAGAGGTGATCGGCGTGGAGGAGGTCGTAGGTTCTCGGGTAACTGCTGAAGGACTCGCACCAGTCGTGGTATATTCCGAACAGACCTCGCTCATAGATAACGGGAAGCGTGTCCGCGCCGTTAATCGAGACAACGTTCATTACCCAGACTTTGAGATCTCTCAATGCAGCGGCGAATCTGACAGAAAACCAAGGAAACTTTGGTTAGACATAAAAAGGAATAATCTTGGAAGGTATAGAGAGAGAGAAAGAGAGAGAGGGGGGGGGTGATACTCTCTTTGCTTACCCTCCATAGACGGATCTCATGTCCATGACATTTCTCACGCTGGACCAGTCGATTCCCATGCCATTCAGGTAAGACTTGTCCACAACGTTCTTCCAGTGCTCAGTGTCTGAGGCCAGATCTTCGGGGGCGGGCTTGCCGTAAACCCCGATCTGCGAGCTGTTCAACCAATATGGAACCGCTGTGAGTCTCTTGGGCCATTGCTGGGGCCATCGGGACCCACGAAGGACTGGGTCGGCCGGAACTCGGTGCATGCACGCCTGCAGCGGCACGTTCCTGCAGGTACCGAAGCTAATGAGTCAGTCAACTGATGATCGCAAGAAGGAATATGGCCCCGAAGGATCATCCAGGAGATGGATGAGACTTGCCAGGCTGCGTTCGGTTGGTCAGATTCCTCGCAGAGAGGAGGGTCGTTCTCTGCTCGTCTGTCGTAGCAGTCATTGGAAGTTGGTTTCCTGAATATCGCCACACCCACTGAATTCACCGCGTCTCGACTGATGGCCACCATCTCCCAGCACATGGCTTTAGTCAGCTTGGATGTGGCTGCAGCCAGTTTGCCACAGGGAGAGACAGTTTCAGGGGAGGTTCATAGATTCCAGTTTACTCCCTGCATGGAATGTAATGGTGGGGGGAGGGGCTCACCTTCCCAGACCTCGATGTCTTGGGGCAGTTTCTGGTAGACTGGTGTCGCTGACCAAACAAAGTAGCCTCCGGGACGCAAGAGCCTGTTCAGTTCGAGAAGCAGCGTACCACCTGCGTGCATCCTCCTTGGTGAGGGTTGCAGAAGAGGAATCTCCGGAATCTAAATGAGGTCAACAGGAGGAGAATATCGTCAACCAACGCAGCGAGGGGGGTACCTTCAATGTGCCATGGAACCCTGCAACGGGCGCAGTGAACAACGTCGAAGACATTGCTTGGAAAGGGGAGCCTCTTGGTACCCATAACAGCAGAGATGGCTGGAATTCCTCTCTCGAGAGCAAATTGGACTTGGGCCTCGTGCTCGTCCTTCGGAGCAAATGACATGGCGAGAACGTCCTTATCAAAAAGGAAGCCTCCGAAGCTAGCGACTCCACAGCCAACGTCCAGTATAACGCGGGTTTTCTTTGCCCATGCTATGTCAGGTAAAGTCTGCGTGAAATAGATCTTTCATGATTCAGCAATTTATTTATTACAGTTATTCACTAGAGCTTGAAGGGAGCTGTTATTCATGATGATAGACGGCAGTGGATAATAATCTGATTCTCTTATCTAGAGCAGAAGACATGGCTATAGATATCAATTTAGTAGGAGAAGGTTGTTGACATGAAGGGCAAAACATGATACTAGTGACAGAAAGCCATTGCCAAAGATAAACGGAGAGATCATGATAATGTGAAAAAAAGTAAGGAAAATTACCTCCTCAATGAAATCAATGTAGTGCATTGCACCATGCTTGAATTGAGTCCCACCACCCGGAAACGTGAGATATTCCCCGGTTACCTTCACCCAATTTTGGTGTCCTTTCACCACTGCGAGCTTGGTATGAGGAACATTAAAGTACCATATCTGCAGAAAAGTAAAATGAATCATTGCATCTTCAATTTTAAAAGACGAAAAACAGATCGACAAGAAATGAACAAATATAGAGAGGTTTGTACTTTGTCCCGGCTCTGGGGCCACTTGATCGGTTGCCTGTATCCATCCGGAAGAGGAACGAGACAGGAAGGGCCTTCTTCAGGACAGTGCCTCTCGCGATGCTCATAGTGTTTATTACTTCGAAGCTTCTTAAGAGCTTTCAAATTATCTAGACAAGGAATGTAATCCGGACCAGAACTGGCATTACAAAGCCTCCAGTCATATCCAATAAACTGATCTTTTGACGAAGACTTTTGTGTTTCTTTTTCTTTCGTTGACTCTGCAGCTTGTGTAGACCATGCCCCTTCCTGAGTGTTAGTCTCTTTCAAGAGTTCTGACTGTGCACCATCAGGAAAGACCTCCACTGTGGTTTGGGTCTTTTCCTTGTCATCTGTCTCTTTCTCTTCTTCTATCTTCTCTACCTGGGTCTCATCATTTTCGTCACCCACTTTTTCTGATTTGCTTTCATTATCAGATTGATCCTGTTCAGTGTTTTCAGTCGCATCAGGATTCTCTTCTGTAATTTTGGCGGGATCTCCCTGTTCTTTTTCCCCATTAGTGTCAGTGAAAGACGCATCATCTTGTTCCGTTTTTTCCTCTGTAACACTCTGTTCTGAAATGTCCCCCGGACTCTCCTCAAACTGTTTACCAGTCTGACTGACCTGATCTTGAGCATCAGATTGCGTATCATGGGAGGAAATGTCAACTGGGACTACAGAAGATGATGTCATCATCCAGACACCAACTAAGCAAAGAGCAACAAACACCACAAGGGTAACTGTCGAACAGTAGGAAGAGGAAGACTTCCTACTGTCCATTCGGGAGCCCTTCCCGGATGCCATTTCTCTACATACAATATCCCTCGAAACTATAAATCTGGGGGGAAAGGAAAGGGTGAAAAGATGTGCATCAGAAAACAACATAAAAATAATTGAATGTATTAGCTGCAGAATTAAAGATCCTAAGAGAGCAGAAAACAGGAGCAGAAATAGTTGAATCAATGCAGTTAAAAGCATGTCAAAAAGAGTATTTGATTTGCTATCCGTTCCCCATAAACCAGCCTACTTACAGAAATACCTCCTTCACCAAAAAAGTTGTACTGCGTTTCACCGTCAAGATAGCAAAAACAATAAATCGGGGAAGAAGCTTCTCCTCTGAGCTTGAAGTCTTTGGATCTTAACTAGTTTCCCTCTTCGTTTGGCTCCAAACCCTGAAACTCTATAGCCCCTCTGTGGAGCTAACTATCGAGTTCAATGCTCGGCTGACGGAGTTCCTTCACCTAAGCAGTCAGTAGGTACTGAAAACCATCGTCTGTGTGTGGAGGAGGGGATAGAAAAGGAGAGGGATCTTGAAAGAATATATCTCGTATACTCATCCGAGATTATAGTCTAACGACGGACCAAGATCAATGACGGATGTTCAGTCGTTAAACTTTTTCGAAGAGATAACACGGGAGAAGAAAAATAAGACGAACCATCGACACAAAAGAGAAGGAAAAGATTCGAAATGTACGTGTCTAAGGCTACTTGAGAATGCTGGAATCGTAAGCGAATGGGCAAAAACAACAATTATGAGGGAAAAGAGACGGCAGGAACACCGTATCCCGCCAGATCTGGAACATACCACACGATAAAACGATTAACTGGAAAAAAAATCGACGCTTAACAGAACAAATTACATAAAATGCACAGCTACATATCAAGCTATCCTATTACTGGAGCAAATTGAACGCAGTGAAAAACAAACCACTAGCAAAGAGCGCCAACCATTTACTCAGCGATACTCGGGGAGGGCGTCCAACAAAGAATCCAGCAACAGATCCATAGAGCACACAGAGAAGATCAAAAAGGCTTCGCAGTAGGCATTCATGCACTCACCTTCCTTCTGCTCGAGCCCTCCCTCCGGCTTAGATCCACAAAGCTGAGATATGCTTCACCACCACCAAAACCCCCCCCCCTCCCAAATGTGTAGCCGGACGAGAGATGTAGAGAGAGATAGAGAGAGAGAGAGAAAGTACCACTGTATGTTTAATGGTGGTGGCTTGAGTGGGAGGGACGGAGTGTAAATATTTAATTTTAATTTATTAGAGCACCGAATAGCAATTTTATTAGGGATCATTTTCCAATGGAGCGGCGGGGACTGTGGAAAGAGAAGGAAATGGCGGCCCCCTGTCGTGCTCTCCAACCGGTCCCCTGCTCTCACATGCCACCCGGCACCGGACAATCCTTAACGTGAACGACCGGCCGATGTAGCTGGGTTTCGCCCAATCCAGCGTGTCGGAAGAAGACCAAATGACGGAGAGCGGAGACAACGCACCGGTAATCTCTGGAACCGACATGACAGCTGGATGGATGAATGACTAAAATAGCCTTCGTCAGCTTGCCGTATACATGCAGATCGCAACAGCGCACCGATTCGAATGGCACCATTCGTAAATAATATTAAATGAAGTGGTATATAGTTGGGAGTTTCAAGAGGCGCCGTCGTCGGTGCGTCTAACGAAGGCGACGTCTCCCCTCTCCGTCGTCATCTTCCCCAAGCCCATCACGAGCTGTCACGGTCAACGACCGGGCCGTCCTTTAATGGGCCCAACACCGGGTCGTTCTGTAAACCATAGCCCGGGCCCGTTTTCGAGGGATAATCTCCCTGTCCTGGTCCTATAAATACGCTTGAGCATGGGGCGGGCTCGGCAGAACCAGGGCTCAGGCCCACTGCGCCCATCTACCCCTTAGAAGTATAAAATAACATTTACTAATAATTAAATATAGGTCATAATCGAGTACTAGAGTCTCTAAGAAGAGAAAATTAATTAATATAGAAAAATAAATAAAAATTAAAAGGTCATGGTCAACGTTATGTGACTCGACCCCAATACTAGAAGTCTTGCCCTCCATTATAAGAGGTTCCATAGTCAAAGATTCCCCGCAGTGTAAACGGATGACCATTCCTAGCATCTATTCATGTGGCCATCCGCATATCATATTGGAAGAACACCATGAAGGTTTTGGGTATTGTTTGCATACTAATAAAGGTAAATTATATGTTTGGCATAGGGTCAGCATGTTTGAGCTGGCTACCCTTCATGGTTTCTTGTGTGTGGATGGGTTGACTTTCTTGAATATTTCAAAGGAGATGAGGGTCGTACTAACTCCATCTTTTGGCATGATTATGAGGAATAAGATATAGGATTGTTGAATAGCAAGAGTAAGTGATGTCAAGTACATAATATCAAGCACTCGAGGAATCAGGCCTTCAAAGTAACGTGATTTCTTGACACTTTTCCTTCATTTATATATATATATATATATATATATATATATATAGTATGTTTAGGTCCCTAAAAATCATTGTACTTAGAGAAATTAAGAGGTGAGGTTCATTGGTCTTTTTCCTTTGACTAAAACTCTAGGATTTCTATCACATTATTGAAAATAAATAAATTATAGCGGTTTGGTAGACCTTACCGGCTCAACTCTCATTTTCTGAACTCAAAGACTTCTGGTAGCCTCAACTAATTTTCACAAAGATAATTAATAATATATTTTTTAATAGTTATTTTATATTTACAATTATATCGGGGCCAGCTAGATTAATATCTACTTATTCTTTAATAAATTCATGAATCTAGATCAGCCAAAAATAAGTGCAAAGGAATAATCCTTTTATTGTGATATTTTTTCTATAATTTTTTATCGCACGATGATTAGGGTACAGCTCAATTGTTAGTGTATGCTCATTTCTTACTCTTGTGTATGAATCAGGGTAGACTCACTTCCTACTATGAAAACCTTAGAAAAAAATGGTTTTTTTTCTAAAAACTTTCAGAAAAATTCACAAGTTATACGAGGGCATTTGCAATGTAATCAATATTCTATTTTCCATAGTGTAAAAATATATTTTCAATCGTCATATGATTTTCTTCAAATGTTAAGGCTTCTTATCAAATGAGTTGACTCGTTTACTCAAGTGATAAATTGGATTGAATCTTTGCATATCATGTGAGTGTGAGTATCTTAGTCATGGAAAAGATAATCCTTCCTCATAAATTAAGGCACTTCTAAGTATGTTTACGTTTCAAACTATCATATTAACTCTTAGAGATAAACTATAGGCAATGTAGTCATTGCAAATATCATGTATAACTTTTATAAGGTAATAAAAATATTCTACCGATATTTTGCTCAACTCTTGAAATCACTTTTGTCATAAAAACTATAAGTTAGCAAGCTGTCTCTTTACTGGTCATTGAGCATTTCCATAAGAGTCTATGAAGAGCTCCAAGCACTATTGACTCTCTCTCTCTCTCTCTCTCTTATTCTCTTTCCTCGTCCATATTTGGTATCATTAAAGGAAAAACCAGCGCGCTCCTACTTGAAAAGTAAACATAACATCTTGAAAAATATTTTTGTCAATTTTACTCCAAGAATATGGTTCAAAAGAAACCCATTTCTCTCACCCAACTCGAAGACGCCCACATGGGTAATAATAAATTGATCACCTTTAACGGATTATTCAGGTAAATTTATCCCAATATTGTATTCAAAAAATCTAAATACATGTTTAAATCTGACGTGGATTGACTGCAAGAGGAGACCAGGGTCTGGAGGCTGTTCATCTCCAATCTACCGTTCACGATAGATATACAGAGACATCGAAAGATGGATATTATTCGTTGTCAGCAGCGGGTGAGACGGAGCTCACACAGGAAGAGGACTGCCGGTCGACCTAAGCCCGGGGCCAGCCGATCAGAGCGAGGATGATCCCGATGATGTCCCCGTTGACCAGCGCCTTCAGGAGTCGTGACTTCTTAGGCGTGTACGGCGGGTATCTCGCGGGGGCCTCTCCGCCGAAGCTCCGCCGCAGGACGGCCTTCTTGTGGCTGAAGGTGTCGAATGAGAACTTGCCGTGGTAAGCTCCCATCCCGCTCTCTCCAACTCCTCCGAACGGGAGCCCTGGATTCGTGATCTGCAATGAGAAGAGAGAGAGAGAGAGAGAGAGAGCCGTCAACGGGGCTTCGGCGAGGCTCTCCGGCGAATCTCCGGCGAGGGTCTTGCCAGGCAAGTCGGAGAGATCAGAGAGAGGAAGGGGAGTGGGGCTCACGTGTAGGACGGTCTCGTTGATGGACATCCCTCCGGCGGAGACGCCCCTCACGAACTTCTCCTCCAGCTTCTTGTCCTTGGTGAAGAGGTAGGCAGCGAGGGGCTTCGGCCTCGAGTTGATTATGTCGAAGCTCTGGTGGATGTCGTCAACCTGCGCAGTGAGAGGAATCTCGGGTCAAGGGGAAGAAGAAGAGTCCTCATCGATTTTAGGATTGACCCCGAAACTAGGCCGCCCAAATGAGCACATCTCATCTTCATCGGGGTCAACCGGCAGTGGGTTTAGCTCGGCCAAGGCAGGAAAAAGGGGAGGGGAGTCAACGGTCGTAGCGTTGACTTGCTTCCTCCCGAATTGACCCTCAAAATGACCACCCCAATCCTTGTTCAGTTCCATGCGCCGCCCATTAAAAGGGGCATATAAAATGGCAAATACATGTTCTTAGAGGGCATGAAGTACTCACAGTGATGATGGGGAGCAAAGGCCCGAAGATCTCTTCGGTCATGATCAACGAGTCTTGGGGGACATCCAGCAACAGTGTGGGAGAGATTTTCCTGCGATAAAAAAAAAAAAAACTTTCTCGGATGATCTACGAGCCCAGATACGGATGAATGTGATGGCTCTGGGGGGCACTTACAGGGCCTGCTCGTCGCGCTGGCCTCCGTGGACGATTTTCTCTGAGACCTTGTCGCTGTCCAGGAGCTTTGATATCCTCTTGAAATGGTTGGAGTTGACTATGCGGGACAGGTCCTTCGACGCCATCGGGTCCTTCCCGTAGAATATCTCCAGAGTGCTCTTCATGGCTTCTATCTGAAGATTAAACACGATGATGAGATTACCTAAATCGAGGACTCAATGGTGTCATAAATATCCGGCAGCCTACCAGTTTTGGGGCGAACTCTCGCTCCGTGATGATGTAATCTGGAGAGATGCAGGCTTGGCCGTTGTTGCAGCCCCACTTTCCGACGGCGATTCTCTTCGTGGCAACCTAGAAAAATGGGGCCCATCGGCTTCCAAATAAATGAGCCTCTAAACCACGGTCCTAGCCAAATGTTGTCATCAGGAAGCTTATAAAATGGCGTTTACATCTAAGTCGACTTTCGAGTCGACGACGACGGGACACTTTCCCCCGAGCTCCAAGACCACCGGCGTCAGGTGCTTCGCAGCAGCAGCCATCACTATGCGCCCCACTTTGCTATTACCTGACAGAAAAATTTGAAAAGGTTTCAGCTTGGACTGGTGCAAGAACAGCTGATGGCTTTGATTTTTTATTTTTATTTTTCTATTTCAACCCAATAAAAGTGAGAGATTATCAGAGAATAATTAATCGCGGGTTTGATCTGTATCTAAGCCACTTCTTCTTCCACGAACACGAGCATGAAGGAGATGAAGTGATGCCCACAGGCAATCCCTAACCAAAAAAATTGGTGGGTAGAGACTAGTTTTCCATTTTCGCGTAATCAGAAGAAAAATAAAAACATCTGTGAAATCAGGAAATAGATCTTTCATGCATGTGACGACATAATTGTGGCTCTTTTTCTATAAGAAAATGATAATTATGAAGAAAACCAGCCCCGTGACAGACTTTTAATATCTGCAAATGCGGGGTTTTCATTACTTTTTTAAAGAAACCGACTTGAAACGAGATGGAACCCAGATGACAGGGTGAGGGTACAGAGAGTTAGCAGGTACCTGTGTAGATTATCTTGTCCCATTTCTGATCCAGTAATGCAGTTGTCTCAGGAACACCGCCTTCGACAACTCTGATGGATGAGCTATCCACGTATCCAGGTAAAAGTCTCTTAAGCAACGACGATGTCGCCGGAGCTATCTCCGACGGCTTCAACACGACGGCGTTACCAGCTGCAATCGCTCCGACTACAGGTTCCAGCGACAGCACTGCGGAAGATCCACATTTTTCAATGTGCCCACATGAGAATATAAGTTCCGAGTAAGAGCCAACATCAAGGTAATTATTGGGCATGGAATGTAAAAACAGTTCTAAAGAATTGGCGGCTCCGAAAGCCATCAAATGTCAACCATGGCTGACAGAAAGCATATTTTAGTGCGTTGACCGACTGACAGGCATAATCACAGAAAGATTGGTTGAGAAGGCAATCTCAAGATGATGCTTTCTAAGCATATTCCGTGTCATACAAGGAATCACATGTCAAAATCACTACAACACAACCACCATAAATGAGCTGGTCACTACATTAAATGCGGTAGGAAACCAGAGAAGACGGCGGATTCCATGCTTGAATTAATATGGAGCATCATCAGTATGAATCAAGTATACTAGTCCCATCGGTGCCCATGCTTCCGCCAAGATTCAGAAAAAAAACGCAGCGAACAGACCCATCACGCTTCTCTCATTCATGAGATAATGGGATATAAAAAAAATAAATCCATGTGCTTCTTTTCCTCTTCCGACTTCCTCTCTAAACGCATCAATTCGAAGCAGAGCAGGACAAGCTCTCAACGAAGTAAAGAATATATGATTGCAGATATATCTACATATGATAAAAATAGATGATAGTTATAAATAATTTAGAATAAAGTCAGAGAAAAACGACAGGATATGTAGCCATTCACGTACGAAAGGGGTAATTCCACGCCGAGATGACCAAGACGACACCGAGGGGCTCTGACACGATTTCTGCCGAAGATGGAAACGTCGTAATAGAGGTTGAGACCTGCGCGAGTTGGAAACGTTGTTTGGTGAATTTTTTTGACCAAGAAGATGCCTCATGATCTCCTGCAAGCTCTGTACTTGAGATCATCTCACCTTCTGAGGCTTCATCCAGCTCTTCAGTTCCTTCAGTGTCCGGGCACACCCATCCTTTGCAAGCGAAATCTGCATTGCAAGGCATCATGATCTAGTTAGTCGTTCATTCCTTTTAGCAGTAGAGTACCACATGCGCACCAGATGGAAAACCAGAGGGAAATCTTTGTTTAGAAGGCGTGATCAAGTCCGAATGACGGCCCGATTAACCAACAGAGGAAAGAGATCTAGCACGGGTGATCTCGAGAACACGCATACTAGGACTAAAAGTAGCATGCCGTTCAATAGCAATTGCTGGTCGAGCACCAGCTCGTGGCATCGTACACATTATCTATGAAATCAAAGTAGGCTATGAAGTACGATGTGTAGTCCAAAGATAAACCGATCTCGATGTCCGTTTTTCCGTTTACGCATAGAAACTCGACTCGTTCCGGGATCATCAATTCGAGGAAGGGCAATAATGACGGAATTATGGCATCAGAAACCATAAAGAGTACCATCTTGAAGAAGATTCAACGGTAGAGAAATCCAAGGAAGGAAAGCGCATCTCGGAGTTTCAAAGGAGGAAACCATTCACAGATTTCGTGACTCGCGAGGGTTTCTGATAGACGAGGATACTAAATTGTAGGATTCCCCTATGCCGTCAGCTTCCAGGGATTGGAGTAAGAACCGGAGAGTGCGGGAGTATCGTCGGATTTTGTGATATGAAGATTAATTGAAAATCGAGCGAGAAGCGATCTCAGAGAAGAGGCAAAGAGAAAGGAAAACGAGACGCAGGCGGGATCATCACGTCGTCTCGTTTTCCAAGCTTCAAACCTCGTGGATGAAGGACTCCATCTCGGGCTTGCCGAGGTCTTCATGGAGGGCGTCGATAATGTCCTTCTCCTTCTCGACCAACATCCTGGCGAGGGACCTGAGTTGATCCGTCCGCCAATCGTAGCTCCTCGTCTTCCCATTCCAGAAACTCTGACGCAGCTCGCCCACCAGCTCCGCCGCGGCCTTCCCGTCGAACTCCCCCTTCCTCTCCCCATCTCCGTCCATGGCCGCGCAACCCACTCCGAGAGAAGTTTAGAGAGGAAAGTCTAGAGAGAAGTGCGGACGAGGATATCGATAGGCGGTGGTGGCTAGACGTTATCTTCTCTGTCGACCAGTCCAAACGATGCACCTCTTTCACGATATCTCTGCATCACCATAAGAAATTCGGACTGAAGGATGGGGATTGAGAGGGAGAGATGGTGATCTGGTCGATGTTTCCGGATCTTGGAGCCCTGCTGGTGGCGTGTGAGAAGTCAAAAGTAGGAGAACCGGTACGACAACCGGGGCTGTGGAAGAGGGGACAACCTGGTGGGGTTGCCAACCTTGTGGCCCTACTTGCCGGAGGGGAAGGAGCTTTGCCGACCTGAACTACCGACTTCCGGCGGCGGCGCGGGACGGATTAGCGACGTAAATGTGACGTCTGAGAGAATACTCATCCCTAATCCGACGCGACGTTTTCGTCGTCTGAACGGCGATCGATCGGTGAGAAATACGCCACCACCCTCCGGGATCGCCGAATAGCCGTTGGCCGGGTTGCTGACGTGTTCCATACCCGTTGGCTGATATCTCGCTTTCAAACGCTCGACGAAAACGCTGGTCTGCGTCTCCAAGGGAGGTTGCCATCCCTTTCTTGCAACGTGTCGGCTGCTTCTCCACGCGGCCTTCAACGTGTCCAGTCGTGACCACACAGGCGAGATATTTCGGAGGGCGATTTTGGGTTTTTTTCATATTTAATTTCTTTTTAGGGAAATAACTAACAGAAAACTATGCCCGCTACCTTAAGTTGACCATAAGACTCCTTATGTGGCATGTGGCAAGAAATGCGCCATCGGTGCTGAATACTTAAATGTGGAATCTTTTTACGGGCATTTTCCTCAAAAACCCATTTGACTTTTGGCGTCGACGCCGGGTCAACCCAAGGAGCCTACTCTGGACGACCCGACTGCTCTGGAGCGTAGTTAATGCAACCGGTTAAACCGGTTGTCTAGGTGGAACGAACGTACTGCCTCGTGGATTCAAGCCCACGGCGGAATATGTCGGCATTAAATGGGGACGATAATTTAATTCTCTTCTACGCGAGCGGTAAATGAGACCACTTATGGAAAGTTGGATGGATTAATGGGCTCATTATTTGTGGGTATTTGTTCAGCTTATTTAATATCTTTGCTTCTATGTGGGAAGAGGTTGCCGTGTGCATGGAAGAAATTACAGCCTTATTTCATATTAACGAATACCTTTTTTTTTTTTTTTTTCAGAATCCAATATTTTCTCACCATAAATTACACGACGACCAATAATCAAGCATAACGATCAATATTTTTCAATTTTTTTATGGTAAAAAAGAGTCACCGTTGTCCATTGAAAAACAACCGCTGTACTTATTCATCATCAGATTATTAGAGTCTATAAATGTACTTGTGATTACATGTTCTATTTTGTGGATAAAATTGAGCTTTTTTTACTCTAAATTTGATTCTCTATGAACTTGACAATCACTCAATCGCATGCATCTTCCATGGATTGTTGGGTAGCATAAATAGATATGGATAAATCATTATAGTTGCATTGATATTATTAGCTCTAATATTCTTATTATTGATTATATTTCCAATCAGTGGAATTAATGGATTATAAAGTGACGTCACTTTATTTCTCAAGTATCTTCACGATCATTATTATACCGTTGTCCATCATACTAGTGGAAGTTTTTCGTTAGAATTAGATGCTTGGTTGATGTTGGATCTTGTTCGAATGATGCATGTCTCATTCCATGACTGCCAAGCTTAGATCAAATATCTATTAAAAACACTGAAAAAACTAATAATATTATACAATATTGTATTATTTTAAATGAAAGTACATAAGATATACATAATATGTTGGTTCTAAATAGGTTAGATGACGTGCTAAGAGGTGGACTACATAAATTATATTATAGTTTTCTATATTTGAAGTAAAATTTTATTATTTTTTCTCATAATGTGTTAAATAGGTCAAGTTGTTAGGTGGCCTCACCTAAAGTTTACTCATAAACTAACATCTAATAAATAAACACTTTATTTTCATAGCTGTTGGCTTTCTATAACATAGGCTAACATATTAAGGGTTATTACTTTGATCTTAACTATCAAATATTAGATAACACTTGCTAAAATTCATGAGAATTCACATCATAGTAGACACAAAAGATAATAACTTGCTTTTCATTTTTTATCAACACTTTTCTTAAGTACTTTCAGATATGATAATAGTGAATAATTAGCTTACAATTGTTCCTTGTAAATCCAAAAAGTACTTGATCCATTAGATAGCTATTTAAAATTTTGATGTAAATTGAGTATATTGTACTATTTGTGTGATATTTTGATGATGACAAAATAGATTTTAATGAGATTGAATTATACACATTGAAATATAACGAATGATATAAATGATCATGGTGTATGAGAGAACTCTAAAAGTGTGTATTCGATTCAATATTGTCGAACACATAAGTCAAATAGATATTCATGCATAAATTATATTGGTGTTATCACCAATATAATTTATTATCACCTTACATATTGGTGTGGCAGATGGTAATATTTGTAGAATATGTTATAGCCCAAAAATGATGTCAAACATGTTAGTGTGATTGAAACATCAACATACAAGACATGGGTGTGAAAGCCTATTCAATTTACTATGTTTTTGTTATAAAAAATCATATTTTTGTGTATCTTTGATGTCATTTTGATCAAATGAACAGATATAGTCCTCTAGTATGAATATTGTCATTTGAATATTCATGAATAATCGATTACACGTCATTAACTAATGTAAATCATTGAACCCATAAACATAAATGTTGATATCACTATTTGGTTGTTTAACCTTGATAATTGTATGTGATTTCAAAATATTATAATATTCGATTTTGATATTTACTCATAGTCATGTTTTAATAATTTTGGAGTTCTATTAATTCTGATGTCATGATTAAGGATTTCAAATGACTCGACATGAATCAATATGATTCAAATACAAACATTATGTGATAAATGAGTGACATATCGACCCTCACTGAGGATATTCAAATTATGTCACATATATGACATATTGATTTATTGTGGGTTTTTAATTTATCTGATTTTATGAAAAAAAATAATTATTAAAAAATCAATGAGATATGAAAAAAAATTAATGTGCTCAAAGTTGTCATTAATTTAGGCAATCAAACTTAATATTTACAATTAAAAACTCAAATAAGTTCTCTTTAATTATAGGGATTTTAAGTCGATTCTTAGGGAAATTAGAAAGTTGAAAATATCATTATCCAACTCTAAAAGTTGATAAAATATTAAAATATATACGTGACTAACTCTAATTTAATATATTTAAAAGTTATCTCATAGTTCAATATGTCATTCTTTTAACAACAATATTACTAGAGGTAAAAAATTAGAAATCGAGGACATAAAAAAACAAAGAAAGTAGTAATGATAAATTTTTAAAACTTAAACTAAAATTATTATAAAATCATAATTTTTTTTATAGAAGATAAGAAACTAATTGTGCTACTCTTTCTTAAAAAATATTAACCTAATTCTATGTGGCACTTGTGAAATCGAATTCATTCAAATGAAGGGTAAAAAATACAAAAAAGTTAGGAAATAATACTTGTAAAATATAAAAAGTAATTTTAAGCATTTGATAAAATCATGAAAAAATTCTATAAGATAGTAAACTAATTATGCTAAATTTTCCGAAAACATCTTAACTTAATTCTACGTGGAACTTGTGAAATCAGATTTGATCTAAGGAAAGGTCGAAATACGAAACTCAGAAAATAATTTCCAATGATGTGCTGATGATTTTGTCACCAAATCACCCTAGAAAATAAAAGGGGTTATAATGATTTAAGAAAAGAGAGAAAAAGGTGGAGAGCCCTTTCTTGCAACCCTGAGGTCTCCTTTCTATATCACATAGTTGTCACCTTTTACTTGAGTGCGGAAAAAGATTCCTTGCATTTGCCTTTTCTTAGGTTTATATACCCACACTCACTTGGGCCTTATTTCTCTATCCTTTGTGTGGCCTGATTGAGCTCAATCTTTTGGGTGCTGTGTTTATTTTTTTTTATGCCTCAATAAACCCTTTCTCATATTTGGGGTCTTTGACCTTTAACATTTCATGTTAATTATTCTCACTTTGGTAAATATATGGAAATTAATCTCCTTATAATAAAAATTTAAAAATTTAAATCTATATTTCTGATAAATTTAGACACATTCTCACGGTGATAAACCTTAGAAAAAGGTTAGAAAATATTAGTAATTAAGTTCATAAATTACATGATGTAGATATAGCTATTTAAAGTCATTTATACATATCTTTTGAGTTTTGTTCTAATATGATGAGATATAGTAATTCATGCTTATTATCATTCATTAATACAAAAGTTGAAAAGAAAATTAATTAATTTTTAGTGATAAATAAATATTTATCAGATTTCTCATACAAGATTTATCTATAAGTACTAATTTATTCCAACAGAAAAATGTGTGCAACAATTACCTTTCTTTTTCAATCTACCTCTTGTTTGCTCTCAAACTCTTTTGCATGCATTATAAGTAAGATACAAAGAGGTTAAAATTAGTAATTGAAGTGTAAAGAGCTATTAATGCTCAACTTGCATGTCAACAAAAAGAGAACAACATCTACTTGAAAACACATAATTCTAACTTCATTGGATATCTAAGATATTAAAGACCACTATAGTTTAAGAAGATCACTTACATTGAACTATTTTCATACTTATTATGAGAACAAGGGTGTGATTTTATCACTTTAGAGAGTTGTCATATTAAACAACCATGAGCCATCTAAAGTCATGGAACTATAGAAGAAATATGAGAAAATTTTGTAGGAGTCAATCTCGTTAATCAATGATTGTGATCAAACGATCATGTCTAGTGAAACCCAATAACACTTTTGTTCTCAGAGAGTGTACATAGGCATTGCAATGAACCACTATAAAAGTTTTATAACCTTTTAGTTTGAAAGATATCACGAAAAATAATTGAGAAAATGATTTATACCCATTCAAAATTAATGATTAGAAGTTAGAATCAAGAAAAGATCAATTGAGCACCCCGTTTCTTGATCTTAGTATAGGCAAAATCTAGTAGAGCATTGTTTCACTTTCCATAAGAATCAATTAAAAATAGATGATTGATTTGGAGCACAAATAGACCATGTATATATCAATCATTTAGTAAGTCATTGATTTAAATATTAATTTGTTGATATGAAGATCTTAAATATTTTCAAGTGAGCTTAAGAGGATAAATAATTTAGACATATTAATTTTAATATTTTATATCAAATAATAGTGTGAATTTTTTTATGTATTATATTGTTTTATCTCATGTTAAAATAATAGATCTTATTGTGGGCTAAATTTAAGGCAAAATGGATCTCATTATTGGGGCTAACTTTAGAGTGTAAATTTGATCTTATTATTGGGCTTGGGTTTAGGGTGTACATGACATGTTAAATGTATGTTTTTGGATGTAAGATAAAAGGTTTCAGATTGATACATTTTCTATGTCCACGATTAAAATTAAAATTGATATCATTGATGATATTTGTGACTAAAACATAAACAAAACACTATTTACTATATTTGTGACTATTTACTATATATGCCTGATCTTTGATTTAAATCAAATTTGAATGCCATTTTTGTATTTACGAAACATGAATGGATTGCTTGAACACCCCAAACATGAACTAATACATAATTATATTTATATTATTTTAAACTCCTTAAAACCTTAATCCCTCTTATTGTTGCAAGCAATGACTAAGTATGAAGAGAGAGAGAAATATGCATAAAGGATACATGAAAGAAGAATAAAGAAGATGAAGGACATAAAGGAGAAGAAGCAGAGGAGGAAAAAAAAAGAAAAAAAGAAAAAGTAATAAAAAAAGGTATGATTCCTATTGAATGGTCTATCAAAGCATTACTAGGCATCTTTAAGCATGTAAAATCAGTTGAAGCTCTAGTATTTCAATGACTCTGTCACACTAAATCTTCATGAATGAGAAATTAAAGTATTGAAACCTTTGAAAAAAACTAGATGAACCCTAAGAATAATAATTCATTTTAAGTTTGTACTTATAGTCATAGATATTTAATGCATATGTTGGGTTTGAATTTAGAGGATGTTATGTGGACTCATAGAATTGTGAATCTATAACAAATGATTCAATCTTTGTAGATTGGGCTATGTAGAACCATCAAATCTAAAAAGTGATTCAAAAGTCTCAAGTTAGTTGAAGTTATAAAAATAAGAAGGTTGCAAAAAAATTAAATTAAGATTGTAAGATACTTAAGAAATAATGAAACCCATATGGATAATTCATAAACAGTGGATGTAGGTTAAGAGGATTGAAAAAGAATAAGTTTTTGGTGTCAATGTGTTGGTAATTTTTTTAGGAAGATAATCGTGTGGAAATAAAATAATTGAAAAAAAAGGTAAATTGCTTCTTGATATTGTGATAATACCATTTGGAGGTCAAAAAATATGCTATCAATATCTTGTTGCCAAGCATTGGCTTTGATACCTTAATTATTTTGGTAATTAGAACCTATGGATGATGATTTTCTGATACCCTCAAAGTGTGAGTGTTAAAAATTAAAAGAGATAATTAAATCAGATAAAAATATATGTACAAAAAAGTGAGATATATACATACTATATATATATATATATATATATATATATATATATATATATATAGGGTCAAACTAGTTTCGTATGTGTTGGTACTAAATTATTTTATGGAATGATAATTTTATAAAATAAATAATGCAACAAATTGAATGCCAAAATTCAGAGATTTCAAATTGTTAAATATTGAAGAGAGTAAATAGCATTTAACATTAAATACTGGGCAAAAAAATACCTAAAATGGATTTTTATCTTATATTTTTGAACAACCATTTGATGACATGTTGTGTTGAGTATACTATCTTAATATTTGAGCAAAAATAAATGAAGATTTTAAAGAAAGATTGTTTCATAACCAACCTTATTCTTTGTAGGTGTCATATCATTTGATCTTTTATCATTAAGTATTAAAATAGAAATAAATCATTTATATTCAAGCCTTCATTGATTCAATCCTCTTTTAAATGGTTAACTTAAATGAAGGTTTTTAAGCAATAAAAATAGCTAGCTAAATCTGTAAAATCATCTAACTACTCATAACTTTGTTTTAGGTTTACTAAAATCTCAATATTCATCACACATACTTGTTGAGACTTGTATATTTACTATAGGCTTATTAAAGTAGTAGATCTAGTATACTTTACTCGTAACTTAGTATCATTTTAGGACATTGTTTTTAGATGGTGGAGAAGGTTAGATTAATCAAACCACTACAAATTATTACATGTGATTTTTTTATTGCTCTTGCTCAACAACTGGGGAAAAAAGATTAAAAAAAAGGTCGAATTCACTCCTCCCATGTACATATTACTTAAGTTAAACCAACAAAAAACTAACTAGGTATGTTAACTGTAAAATCAAATAATTCAATTATTAGGTTGACATACTCTTGATTAAACCATCCTATTTTTTGTCATTGTAAGCTTTTTTTGAATATTAGATCCTCTTAAGATATATGTTGTATTTTAAAGAGGTTCAAAGATACTTTGACATTTTGACACTTGTTAACAATTTGGAATCAATATTGTATCTTATTGCATATTAAAAATCTTATTTTTTTATCTTTCTCAACCCATAAGTTCACACATGCAAGGCATGGGTTGATTCGTACATCATTTTTTGTGGTTTTTCTTTAAATTATTTTGATTTGCTATGAAGTTGATTTTCTTCATTTAGACCTCTTCCTAAATGATTTTCTTATTGAGCTATAATTAAATAATAATATTGAAGAATGACCTATTTATAATCAAAATTAATGGTTATGTTGAGTTTTTAACATTAAAATAGTTAAAATAATATAATTTCATATAAAGTATTAAAATGAGAACCTTGCTAAAGCCAATAGCTTCCCCTAGATAGCCATATATGTTGGGTGATAAATAATAGGTGACAATCAAAGTTTGGGGACTATAGTGTGCATAATCAATTGATTATAGTTTAGAGTCTAAGTCTCTAACATAGTTCATTATCAAATATCATCAAAGCTAGGTATAGCCTCGAACTACCACAAGGTGAAGTCATTACTAAATTAACACATTCAAATGCTAAATAATTTTGTGTATCCTTCCTAAATTAGGCAAGCCCACTCAAAAAGGGCCGACTAAGTGAGAAAAGCCACATCGATGCAGTGGACAGCGCATTGTGTTATATTCTATGTAAAAAGTATCATAATGTGAGAAGGACATACTAAACAGAGTTTACAAGTCACATCGTCTTTAAAAATTACATGTCATTTAAAGTTTCATATTGACTAAAATATTTAAATAAAGAGCTAAATGAACTGTATCATGAAGGGTTCAACAATTATTTTTTTTTATTGGAAATATGTGTTTTCATTTTCAATTAAAAATAATGGGTTCAGTGGAGATGTTAAAGGGACGTGTAGATCCACACCTTTGTTTAGAAAATAATTTTCCCTAGTGGTCCAAAAGTAACTATTCTTTAATCTTTCCTTTGATTTATTATTATTATCTTGTAATTATTTCCACAAGGCATGGTGAACGTTGTAGCTTCATAGATCTTGAAACCTTTTGACTTCACAAACACATGTTTAATGCTCGTGAGTTATGTCTTTTTTTTTATATTTGTCGGCGACTTGTATTGTTTTGTCACATGGTACGTCCATAATTACGAGTTTCCCACGATGGACGTGCGATATTTATCTATTTTAACACGTGTAAGGCGTTGACTCTCTAGATGACCGGGTCCGAGCCGAAGTCATCTATAACGGCGTCGATTAATTCCCTTGAATCGCGCATTGGAAGAATGCATTATTTTGATATTAAAATATGCCGCCGTCGATTGCAACGGTCGGATCTCGCGATTCGTTCCCTCAAGAAGGTTGAAGAAATCATTCCAAAAACCGGAAGAGACGAGCCTAAAAAAACCAGTCTTGAGAAATCTCTACCCATATTTGCCGATCCGAGACTCCACTAGCCGCCGTCCGTTATCATGATGTCGACGGCGCGATGAGCTGTCTGTTTCTTCTTGTTGCGAACCGGCGGGTTTCGGTGGCGCTGCGTTTTCCATTCCGGCGGATGACATCTCCTCACAACTCAAAGAGTTAGAAAGCCTTTCTCTCTCTTCGTTGACTTGCGGAATCTGCGACCCCCCATCAGCCACTGGATGGCTCCTGTTCGGAAGTTAGAAAGAAGCTGACGGCGGAGATCTCGAGCCGGGGAGTCCGACTGCACGTGTCGCTGCCGCAGTCGTGGCCCACGCAAGTTTGACTCGGAGGCGGTCTGCATGTGATAATAACTTGCTGCGGAAGAAACTTATTGAATGATCAACTACTTCGGTCGCCTCACTGATTCTCCATCCCCTCGAAGCCTTTCTCCGGGAACTCCGCCGTCCCATCGTCGCAGGTGGCAGGGAGAGTCAACGGTCACCGTTCATCTGGATTCGCAGAAACTTCCTTTAACCTCTGACTCTTGATACATCTTTGCACGGGTAGGTGAGAAAAGTATCGCCCCGCCGGCGGCGGCGAGATTTCTGACCCGCCGCCGCCTACACGTCATTAGAGTCGCCGCCTCTTGCGACTGTTTCAAGGATAAAATCGACACGTGTCTCTTACTTTGGTCCCATGAAAGCGCTGGCCAAATCTTCTCGTCCGTGTGAACTGAGAACGGCTATGGCATATTCCCTTCTCGGATGCGAGCTCCAGCACGGTCTTCCCGCTCATCCAGGACAGTGACAGCACCCGTGCCTTATCCACAAGTCGCTCGGTTTTATTTACGCCCATGTCCTCGATGGGTAGTTTCCGTCCCTCTAATGGGGACACGTATGTAATACTAATAGACTACGGGGGGTAAACATAGTCGGCGGGTGACGTTAATCTCACGTCATCAATACGACGAGAGAGTGGCGGGCGATGGCATAACACGGGTGGAGATGACGACGTGGCGGAGAAGCATGTTAGGACTAAAGTATAAAGGTTTGTCGGTATTTGATAAATACGTGGCGATCATCTGGGATTAGTTTGACTCATCCTGATGGCCGGGTTTCCCCCAAAACATTCGGTGGTGGGGGCTCGATTTTTTGTCGCAAAGTAAATTAATAATTAGAATTAGTTTTGGATGAAATTGTTTATGTGTAGGGGGTTTTTTATAATAAAAAGCTCTATGCGCAAGCTGGCGCGACGTCACTGGGCAGACTACGTGGGCTCAGTCTGGCGGCCAATTCCCACCGCCGAAAAGAACACGGTCACCCCATCTCAGGAGCCGACGGAAGTGGGACCGGGTGCTGGTCGACGTGCGAATGCGACAAAATATACGACGCAAGCAGTGACAAAATTCGCTGGCTCGATTGCCGACGTGGGGTAATCTTGCCATAGATTTGCTGCCACGTATCGCTTTGGGAGATTTTCCTCGACTCTCTCACTGCGAACAAATCCCAAGGCGGCGACACGTGTTTCCATCTTCTTCCACCCATCCCTATATACTAGAGGTTCCTCTGATTAGGCCAAGTTTCAGGCCTTAACGCAACTCCACGTCTCTTAGAACAGGCAGAGCAAACCTAGGGCGAGAGCGGTAGCGGCGGCGACGGAATCGGGAGGAAGAGGAGAAGGAGAGAGAAGGAGATCGTGAGAATCTCTTGATTCTCGTATCGGTTCGTACTTCCACCAAGGAAGAGAACCATAAATGAGCGCTGGAGATCTGCAGCTTCCCCCTGGATTCAGATTCCATCCGACCGACGATGAGTTGGTGATGCACTACCTGTGCCGCAAGTGCACCGGCCAGTCCATCACCGTGCCGATCATCGCAGAGATCGATCTGTACAAGTACAACCCATGGGATTTGCCGGGTAAGCCCTCCCCCTCCCTTCCGATTTCTCTCCGACGCCCCCAGTTGACCAAAATTTCCCCCTCCCATTCCCCTTCCCCTTCCCCTTTCACCGTTGGAAGAAATCGTGCATATAGAACCTATTTCTGATTCTATTGCTCCAGCCGAATGAACAGATATTTAATCTGGTGAATTCGGGATATTTACTTCTGCAATTTTCTCATTTTGTCCATATTTTTCATATTATCTGCACGGATTAATTAATCTTTCGACGGCCAAAAAGGAGGTGAATGAATTCATGCGAAGATCTCCGATTAGTTGGAAGATGTATCGTGTTTCACTTTTTTTTACGAAACTCGAGCTTCGTGCGCGCAAACGTCTGGTCCTGATGAAGATTTTGCTCTGAATTTCTTGAACAGGGATGGCGCTCTACGGTGAGAAGGAGTGGTACTTCTTCTCCCCCAGGGACCGCAAGTATCCCAACGGCTCGAGGCCCAACCGAGCCGCTGGGACGGGTTACTGGAAGGCGACCGGCGCCGACAAGCCCATCGGCATCCCCAAGCCCCTGGCCATTAAGAAGGCCCTCGTCTTCTACGCTGGGAAGGCCCCCAAGGGCGAGAAGACCAACTGGATCATGCACGAGTACCGCCTCGCCGACGTCGACCGCACCGCCCGCAAGAAGAACAGCTTAAGGGTAGGTTCCTTCTCTCTCTCTCTCCCCCCCTCCTTCTCTCTCATTCTCGCCTCGATCTGGGTTTACTGATTTCTTCTACTTGCGTGTTGGTGTGCAGTTGGACGATTGGGTGCTGTGCAGGATCTACAACAAGAAGGGCGGCGCGGATAAGCAGATGAACGCTGACCGCAGGGCGGCGGCGGCGGCCTCTAGAGGCCCGCTTCTGCTTCCAAAGCCGGAGCTGGAGGGGACGGCGGCGCCGCTGCAGCAGCCGGCGTCTGAGTTCCTCTACTTCGACTCGGACTCCATGCCGAGGCTGCACGCCGACTCGAGCTCCGAGCACGTGCTGTCCTCCTCGCCGGACTTCGCCTACGAGAGGGAGGTGCAGAGCCAGCCAAGGTGGACGGAGTGGAACCGGCCCTCCTCCCTCGACATCCCTTTCAGCAACGCCGACGCCATGGCCGCCGCCGTCGCCGGCGGCGGGGGATTCTCCTCGTTGGACGGAGGGCTTCTAGGGACGCTCGGGCAGTTCTCCCCTCTCTTTCAGGACCCAATGCAGGACGTGTTCAAGTACCTGCACAAGCCCTTCTAAGAAAGCGCCTTGGTGGTCCTTCCCATGCCCTGCGGCGCCCCCACCGGCGAGCCGCCGCCGCTGGACGGCGCCGGCGGCGATGAGACCGTTGGGATGGCCCCTCTTTCCCTTTGCGGAGCATCTCTTTAGTTCCCTGGTAACAGCGAAGGGTTGTGGGTGTCACGCATGTGTAGATAGGGTCGCGCTTGCCGTTTAGTTCCCCTGATTCTTGTACTTGCTGTTTTGAAGATTATGTCCGGAACTCTACTTTTCTTATAAAACCACCCTCGTTTTCGAGCAATCCCGTTATTCTTCAAGCGCCCTTTTTATATGGAGGCCGAGGAGAAAAATCATCAGCTTTTTCAACGGTTTGGGGCCTTAAATATTAAATTGCAACGGAAATTTAATATTTATTGGGAAAATAAAAACTTGGCAGATAAATGGGTACGTCAATGGGTTGGCCAACCAGTACCGGCCCAATAGAAGTCTCTCTCTCTCTCTCTCTCTCTCGCCGTCTACCGCAAAGGTGACGTGGAGGTCGGTGGGCCGACCAGTGTAGTGCACTTCGAGAGACTAATATCTCGACAGACCAGTGTAGGCCTGTTGAGGAGTTTACTGGGCTGTCATACTAATTGGGTCGTTGAGGGTGAACCCTTTGGTCTGGGCCTCTCCCCGAACAAGGTCAATTAGGTAATTTTATTCGTTCGGGTAGGTGCTACGGACAGCTGGTGGAAAATGTTTCGGGAGACCGCCGTTCATTTTCCAAATTCTGGCTTTCCCTCCGCAGCCGAGACGAAATATGAAACGAGAGGAGATACAGTCACCGCTGTGTTGTTACTCGTGCTGCCCGGGTCTGTTTCCCTGCGTTTCGATCCGTCTCCATCTCGCTTACCATGGAGGTGACCCGACACCGGCTGCATATTCTTACGTGCGCACAGGCCAAGAACTGATCAGTAGCAGGAACCCGCCGTTGTCGGTCCCGGAGACGGGGGAGGAGGGTGCATTGAGCCACCGACGATCTCTCCCCCTCGTTCCCTCTATATTTTTGTTCTAGCTTCGTCTCCGACTCCCCTGCTACAGTAACCCTAGAGGCTACTGTCAGATTCTCTCATGCGGATCTGGTGATCTCGGCTTCTTCCTTCGCCGCCCCTCCCTTCTTCGGTTAGCCGCTGCATTGATTCCGTCCTCAGGCTGGAGGATGTCCAGCTCTAGTCTGAAGTCCTCGCAGAGGGCGAGCATCTCGCCCTTCCGATCTCGGAAACCGGTGTCGTTGGCGGTCGCCGCTTCTTCAGGCAGTAAGCCAGCAGCTCGTCCGACCACCCCCTCTTCGGTTTCTTCATCGTCGGCGCGGCCCACGACGCCGTCGTTCCTGTCGGGGCGTCCCACAACTCCCCTCTCGGTGTCTCGACCTACGCATCCCGTGAGGCCTTCTCCCGTATCGCCGGTCGTCCCTTCCCCTTCCGAACGATTGGAGCCTCCCAAGGCCAAGGAGAATGTCACAGTCACAGTAAGATTCCGTCCTCTGAGGTATGATCTCTCCATCCCTTTCTGTTTTTCAAATTTGATTCTGCTCATTCAATTTGTTTTCAATTTTCTCATTGCTTTCATCTCTATGTGGATTGTGCAGTGCAAGAGAGATCAATAAGGGTGACGAGATCGCATGGTATGCTGATGGCGACTACACTGTCCGAAACGAATATAATGCGTCAATTGGCTACAGTTTTGGTCGGTATTTAATTGGAGCACTTTGGATATTCCTTCTTACTTACTTCATTACGAGACTTGTTCTTTTACTCGGTCTACCTCACAAGGTGGAAAGAGTAAAAGTAAAATAAAATGTGATGCCCGACCTGCCTTCCGTGCGTTATACATCATACTATTGTGGCCGGAGGGTTCATCATAAATTAAGTGGTTGATACCTTTAAGGTGAACCTCCTTGATTTTACCTAATTTTGTCAATGTGGGGAACTCAGGAACGATGCTTGGGTATAAAAATGTTACATGAAATCTCCCCAGTTAATATGTCATCTTTGGAACATGATTACACTTGGAAAAACTGCTGCTACTGTGTCACTTTCCTTAGTGTCCATTAACCAGTTCCTATCTTTCTCTCTGACAGAACATAACGTCAAGTTCGTAAGCTACCTAGGTGGGTGGTAATCGTCTAGATCTTGATCAGATTTGAAGTGTAAAACTACATCAATAGTTTGTTTGTCAACATGCTAAACATAGATTGTGAACCAAAAAGTTAAGGATCAAATCCGATAGAAATCGAATATTAAGAGAAAAAGCATAGACGTCCCGTGAATTTTTTTCTCTATGAGTTTAAAAGTTGGTTATGCTGAAACACGATGACAATAGGTGTGTATGTCCCGTCATGCAAGGTCCTTACAGTGGCCGTACAAGTAGAGGATATAAGATTCTCTTTCAGGTGAGGTGGCAACCTTCTCACGCACATCACGAATAAAGTTATATGGTATCCGCATTTTTTTGGTACTTAAGGACCATATAAATTGACTTGTAAAAATTTTAATCGCTGATCCCCATTCCAAAATATACAGTCAAATAAAGATGCAAACAGATCATGTGACATCGCAGTATGATCATTTTTCTAATAATGATGAAATGGACTGAAATGTACCTCAAAAATCATTAATACATCAAGTGGTCTGTTCGCGGTTACAAATCAATTGGAATAGAACTGTGAGGATGCGATTATAATATTGAGGCATTAGATAAACTCTCCATAGAAATTTCCAAGTGACTCGAGCTGTCTCCTTCTGATGGGGCCATGATGCTTGGTAGCACAGAGGAATTTTACTGAATTGGGACTCGGTAAAGAGCACTGCAATGGGATTGGATAGACCTAGAATACGTGCTGTGGGTTCTCATTGGAGTCAAAACTCAAAAACCGGGTGAACAAACTCAAGCCTTGGTTAATCAAGCCACACACTTGTTTCGTGTGAATGCCAACTGCATTGCTTATGGCTAATCGATTCGAATGAAAAAAAAAAGGAAGCATATTGAGACACTGAAAATCTGAAGTATGAGGAAAGTGTGGATTTCTGTAGATGGCTGATAACTCAATATTGCCTTTCACCGAGAGAGCTTTGCTTTAATAGATTTAAGCATGTAAATTTTGTCACTAGGTTGCTTTCTTCTCCTGTAAATTCTAAATTTCCTTCCTATTTCTCTTTTAGCGAGTGTGCTCTTTTATTAGAAAAGAGTGATGCATACATAATCAGTAAAAAAGCATTCTGATTCAGGATCATGCTCCAACCTAACCAAATTCTGTATTACTGATTCCAAAAAGCAATTTTAATCCATTAGGAAACGAAATATAAATTTTTTCATATCAAATTGTGGTCTGATTTTTATTCTGAATGATATCAGCTTCTTCACAACCTAATATTAGGGTTTAATGTGGGCTGCCCTTTTACAAATGGATATATATTTCTATAACGCTCTATTTTAAATCTTTTTTGAAGTGAGATTGCGCTCTTTACAGATTATTTGACATGAATAATTTCCTCTATGGTATGGCCTTGGTGACAAAACTCGGATTTACTGGATGTTTCGCAGTTTGGAGAGGTGTTCAGATTAGGGGAAGAGGGCTCAGTTCCTGATGGATGATGGCGGAAGCATGATAACCCTGCAGCCGATTTGATGGGGAAAGATTCATTCTATTTTTGACAGGTTCAGGGATCATCTAGGAGAATTTAATGAGGAAGTCTAAATGCTTGATAAACCTTGATATTTAGGACTATATTCACCTCCCTAGTTGTAATAGATAGGGAAATTTGGAGAGTGATGCTATAGCTTTGCACCCCCAATTTTTTGTTTTAGTTTACTATGAATTGATGGTACAATATACACAGGTTCAGGTTTCTGGTTGGAAAATTGTAGGAAATTAGCTTGATACTTTCAGAAAGTGTGGCCGTTTGGTATTATTTCCAACAGTCAGATTGTTGCAGATATGTGAGATTTCGTTCTCATGATTGTATGGTTTATATGCCACATTTAGTTATATGTTTTAAAATTGTTGTCACTTCAGATTTTATGCCATGCAGCTTGTTTGTCTTGTAAACTCATGGCAGCGTCTCACTTCCTGTTTATTCATCAACCCGTCAACTCCATCCAGCGATAACAAAAAGGTCGCCATTCTAAGTTGGAGTGGTTACCAATATGATTATCTCAATCAATTAATCCAGAAAGCCTTTTATGTATAGCGCTTTACATTTTTTGACTCTTATCTCTGAACACTTTGATAAAAGATTGAATTGGCATTCACACGAAAGTCTGCTATCTACAGATGATTTCTGTCTACCTTTGTTATTAGCTGTATTACAATGAAGGGATGATGATGGAATAACATCAGCGATTTTTGTGCTTTGCAGATAGAGTATTTGGGCCAGCAACAACCACGCGCCATGTATATGATGTTGCTGCCCAACATGTTGTGAGTGGTGCAATGCAAGGAATTAATGGTCAGTGCCTTGTACCCTGGTGGGTTTGCTATTTTTTTCGTTGAAGGTCATAACTGTTTGTACTTCACACACCTTTAAACATAAATTGAATTTCGAAGAAGGTGGGCTAAACCATTTCCTTTTTTCCTTTTTGATATGAATTCTATGTTATTATGTTTTGTCGAACTATTTCTTTCCTAATTTTGTCTGAAGATGATTCGCATTCTTTTGCAGGGACAGTGTTCGCCTATGGCGTCACTAGTAGCGGAAAAACACATACAATGCATGTAAGTACCGAATAATTGACATTCAGTATGGTTTGATTACTTCCTGACCAGCGAATTCATCCTTAAATCTTTTGTAGCTTTGGATGGTGTTCAGGAAGATAGGAATTGTAAATAATGTTCATAAAACTGACATCTCATCTTGTATGCTCTATCCAAGATCAAATGGGGATTATGGTGCCGCTGAAATGGTTTACTTCTTTTGATTTCGGGTAAACTTATAGTTGTGAGCGATTAGAATTAGGGAAGAAATTACGGGAAACAAGTGGTGTCGACTAATGAATTCCCACGGGAAATAGGTTTGGATGAATTGGAAAACTTGGAGGAATATTTACTGAGATGGTCATTACTTCTGTGCAACAAGCTGTCACAAGGCAAAGTTTGCTGACGTTTGGCAAGAAAAAAATAGCCGTGCGAATCCACGTGGTTGTGGACATGTGTCATTGTTTAGAGTTGTTCTCAGAACCTGCAGAGTGCCCCATTGAACCTTAAAAGCGACGGAGGTAAAAAATATATCACCATGTGGGATAAACCTTGATTGGAAAATTTAACTGATGAATATTGCTACAGTACTAATACTGCAAGTAATTGCCAGATATCGAGTAGGGGGGCATTGCATCTTTTTCTCTATCTGGGATTTTTATTATCCGTGGAGATGTACATGTATTAAGCATGTATGAAGCATGCTGGTGCCACGAGTTGTGCTTCATTTATTTTGTGAATGTGTATTTTTGAAAGTTGTAATCATATATAATGTTTACATAATGAAAAAGAGGATCTATGAACACGCTTTCTGTGAGCTCTAGAAAAACTGATCACAAACTTGCTCTGTTGGATGTCGCGAGTCTTGCCATTACTGTTTATACGTTGTTCCCATTAAATACGTTGTTGAATTGGGAGAACTGGAGCGTGAAATTTCTCATTTTTGTGTCACATTGTAGATCGATTTGAATGTCATTACAGTTTATTATATTATTGTGTTGCTTGGCACAGGGTGATCAAAAGTCACCTGGAATTATCCCATTAGCTGTGAAGGATGTCTTCAGCATTATTCAAGAGGTTGGTGATTTCTGTTCTCAGCAGTATTCATGTGCTTCTCATTCTTCTCCTAAAACAATAGTCTATGTTCCTCAGACACCTGGACGGGAATTTCTGCTTCGTGTATCTTACCTTGAGATATACAATGAGGTCAGTAACTAATCATTTATGGCTACCTTCAAATATACTTTAATCACCTAGAAATTGCACATCCATTTTGAACCCACTTTCTAATATTAAATGACAGAAATGTGTCGAGGTCAGTGTTTGGGATAACGAAGGAATTTGGGATAAATTAAGAAATTTCGCTTACATGCTTTCTTTCTCCCATCTTGTCATCTCTTCAGGTGATTAATGACTTGCTTGATCCAACTGGCCAAAACCTTAGAATACGTGAAGATTCTCAGGTATGACGTCTAGATTTTCATATCTTTGTATACCCTCTTTTTGGATGGCATATTTTTTCTTGTTTCCTTATCTTTCCTTTCACGAGCAGAGTGAAGTTTTCTGAAGGCCGCATGAATACAAAGTATAATGTGGAGGAATGTATTATTATAGTTTCTGTTCGACAGTGAATTGCATGTTTGTTTTTCGTCTGGGTCATTTTTTTCCTATCCTAGCAACGAAGACATTTTATCAGCAATCAGTAGACATTCTGCACATTCTAGGAAAAAAAATCCTTAATTTTATCTAGCGTAGTTGGTTCTTCTCTATGTATATCATTGCTACGTATTTACTATATCTGCTTATTTTTAGCAAATACAGATGGCATAATTTATTACTTTTTATTCCTGCTGGACATAATGCACCGCTCCATCATTTTAAAGATTGCGGACAACCATGTGACTTTTTGTTACAAACTCATATTCCATGGTTGTTGTTCCTGTGCACGGGACTGTCATTGTAAAGGTCATAGATAGCCTTCTGATAGTTCCCTTGCATTGTCTGTCCATAGCTGTTAAATAATTGGGTTATTCTACTCCAGTTTTTTTGTTGTTGTAAATTGCATTATATTTTTGTTCCTACTGCTTCTCATATCTGTTATAGAGTTATTATTTTTAAGATGGACTGTACTTATGCAGGGTACCTATGTGGAGGGAATAAAGGAAGAAGTGGTTTTGTCCCCAGCTCATGCACTTTCTTTGATAGCATCTGGGGAGGGTATGTGAATTGAGACGCAGTTTGGTGAGACTTGATTGAAATAATTGTCTTGAGACTTAATTGTCAAAACAATTGAATTGTTAGATTGCATTTCCCTTCGTTTTTCTTATAGTTGTCTAATCCTTAATGGAAAAATCTATGGCATATTTTTGTTCATCACTGTTCTTATTTTTTATGATAATGTCCTCGTCACACTATATAATGTCCTTCCTGGTTTTATGTGATCTACTTTTATTTATATCTAAAATATCCACGAATTTTTTTGTGAACTTTTTCTGTTTCTCGTGGTCGCAGAACACAGGCATGTGGGCTCAAATAATTTTAATTTGTTAAGCAGTCGAAGCCACACTATCTTTACTTTGGTAAATATTTTCTTCCATTCTGTCAGATGTGACTACATCTTTTCAATTTTGTTGCAATTATTTTTAATTTCCATTGTACATGCAGCCTCTAAGTTGCTTCTTTAATTTCTTGTGGAATGCCAGGTCCCTTGTTTCTAAGAAATCATTTATTTACAAACTAGAAATATTTAATTTTCTCTTCTATTTCTCCTTTCCATGTTTTGTGCTTTACTTGAATGGAAACTTTTGCATACGTTATAATTACATGTTATACAAAATGAATCACTCACAAAGTGGTAGAGATAAGCTATTTTCCCTTTTATGTATAATTATCAAAGGGAACTTCTTTGATCTTTGGTGTTTCCCATCATTAACAAGAGCCCTTATGTAAGGGTCAGATTATCTTTGGATGTTACTTTGGATGAGGAACTAGTTTCTGAGCTGGGATTTTGTGCACATAGTGTGATATTAGAAATTGATACCTCTTAATAACTGCCTGCTTTTAGGGGAAATTATTCCGGTTCTCTCTGGTTTAATTTTATAGATCAGCGATTTGAATGGCGTTGCAGGTTGAATAAGCAGTGTATTTTTCAGTGATGTGATTGTTTCTGCCATGGATAATAGAGTAACATGACTTTGTCCTCCTCGCACAATATATTTTTTATTCGGATGATGAAATTTTTATTCCAACGTTGAAAGTCAAACTTTTTTTTAACTCTGTATTGAATGTCATCTTTCCCTTATTTTGGACTCATTGATAACTGCGATTACGTTTTTAAATGCATAACAACATACCTTCCTGTGCATTGTACTTTGTTTTTAGAAATTTCTTTTCTGACGTGGATATCTTTGTGGTGAATCACATCCATGTCTCTATCTCACATGATAGGTTTTTTCTGGAAGATGAAATCAGCATACCAGTATGCGATTATTTTTTGTGCGTATTGTTCATAAGATCTTCATAAAATTAAATCGTTGGAAATTTGATTTAGTAATGAAACACATGAAGATTTAATGCTGTGATTTTTTAATCTCAAAGAAGCAAAAACTATAACAAGAAAAAAAAGGCGAATGTGGTCTTTAGCATACAAAGTTTTGGTTTGATGGCAGACATACACATGCACGCAATTCATCGCATAAATTGTGGTTTCTAAAGTTAATCTAGATGTAAGGGACAGCTTGAAGATGGTTATATGAAATTGAGCTAAGAACGCTCAAGGTTTGAGCTGTTTGAAGTTGATGGTGAAAAAATGAGTTCTTGCTGGCGTGTTTAATGAGTAATTTATGATAGTGGCGACATATATACATTGACGTTTCGAATAATTATTATTTCAAAAGGAGGTGGCTCTGTAGAAGGGAGTTTGTGGGTGTTGACTTGAAGAAAACTGGTGTGACAGTTGTCATCTGTGCCTGAGGAAAACTTTCATGCATCGATGAAAATCGGATATCACCAGTTTTGTTGTTGTTGTTGACGATTTTTTTTTTTTTTTGGGATATGCTTTTGTAGAGCTTTCTTTTTCTGATGGAACCTTAAACAACTTTATCTCTACGAGATTATTTGTTTTTTGAAAAATGGAAATTATACTGTTGGAAATATTTTTTCAGACTGTTGAAAGTAGTCCTACGGGAGACAATGACGAGGATGATGATGTAACCTTGTCACAATTGGTAAGCACTTATTATGTATTCGCTTGATTCTTGCTGATGGTCAAAAGAGAGACATCTCACTCAGCTTTTTTCTCCAGAACCTAATAGATCTAGCAGGTTCTGAAAGCTCCAAAACAGAAACAACTGGATTGCGTAGAAAAGAAGGTTCATACATTAACAAAAGTTTGTTAACTCTTGGAACTGTAAGCAATCTGTTGCTTCAACTTTTTCGTCATATTCTATACCTGTTACAGAGATACTGCCATAGTTTTTTCTGTATGCTTTTTTTGGTTGAAGATGTTTGGTAAACTCTGGCAAACGCATCCCTTTTTCCTTCCACACCTGGACCCAAGTGAATACTCCAAGTTTAGTGACTTATACATCTTCCAGCCGTATGCATTTGAACTTGCAGTTCCAAGAACTGTTTTCATGGCTTCTCTCTGGTGGTGACTTGGCATCTGATGTGTCTGGGTAGCCTAGGCAAGTGGTCTCACTTGTTTGTGTGAATGATAACCGCATTATCATTTATGGGATGGTCTCAGTCACAAAACCAACATCCGGTTATGTGCATGGCCAAATACTGTTCGTCAGCACCACCATGTCTCGTGCTACTGTGAATGACGTCATGCCTAGTCATTTGTGCGATTGGATGGCTGTTCATGCTGTCAAGCCATATATATGATATCATAATTTTAATAAAACTGACGTGCTCATGGCAGTTGGTTCTTATGCTTTCTTAAAGTATTAAGTACCTTATTTTATTAAAATTTAAAGTATTAAAGAATTATCTTGAAATCTATTTAAAACTACCTGTCATTTTTTCTTGTCGCTTCAAAGGCATGCATGACAGTGTTGAGAAGAAGGCACGTGTTTTTAATTCTTTTTTTTTTTACAAAAACGTAGAAAACATCTATCAATTTTATTTTTATCCACAAGGAAGTTGTTCTAGCTCAGATCCTTGAACTTGTACTTTTATGTTCGTGGATGCTGGATGCATCTTTTCTGGTGACAGTGTTGCAGGGAATAATCTGTCTTTGTGTTTGCGCGCTCACTTTGCAGCATTTCTTCCTTGCAGGTAATCTCTAAGCTCACAGACTGTAAGGCTACACACATCCCATACAGAGATTCAAAGCTCACTCGCTTATTGCAATCCTCTCTGAGTGGGCATGGACGGGTTTCTGTATGTTTTTTCTTTCAACTTACATTTTCCATCTTACTTTCGTAATTATTTTGTGAAATTCATCAATTTTTTAAATGTTTAAACTTTTTCTGAAGTAATTTGGCGTTTTCTTATTTGTTCCTTGTTAGCTAATCTGTACTGTCACACCCGCTTCTAGCAACAGCGAGGAAACACACAACACATTAAAGTTTGCTTTCCGTAGCAAACATGTTGAAATTAAAGCTTTTCAAAATAAGGTATCCTTCTTATACCTGTGAAAATATTTTTGTTTAGTTGGTTCAGACAGACATTCTCTAACCGTCTTCTTCTTTAGATTATGGATGAGAAGTCACTGATTAAGAAGTATCAAAAGGAAATCACTAGCTTAAAGCAGGAACTTCAACAGTTAAAGCGTGGGATGATGGAGAATCCATTTTTAATAGCAAATAATCAAGAAGATCTTCTCAATCTGAAGCTACAGGTGTGTTTCCATCGAGTCAATTTTGCTCTTCAAACGAGTCACTCATTAAACACAATCATCAGAATTTTTTGCAGGTATAGTTTTGCTGTTGCTATCCGTTATGTTGAGTGTGCCTCAAATACATCTGCAGGCTAAAAACGAAGATCTGATTTAATATACGTTTTGGGAAAGGTTGATTTGGGAAGTTATGGGGGGTGTGTGGTCGTCAGGGTTACTCATGCAACCCATCATCGAGTCACAATACTGTACAGAACTGTTGAACTCCCAGTTAGGGATGTTCTTGGATGGGAAAATGACTTAGAAGCACCTATACAATTCTGTATCAGAGAGATTCTTCTAGAATGGAGTCCATGGACCTTGAGGTTGAGGACAGGATCAATTCTTCCTTTGTGCTTTTGCTTATTTCAATAGTAGAGTAATTTTGTCTGCTACTGCGGATGCTGGAGGTGGGTATCTGAACTACATAAAATCATTCGTGTCACTTCCCTTCCTCTCCTGTTTCTTTTGTTTTGTCCCTCATGATTAGTTCTGTGTCCCATCTGGGATCCATCCACAAATTCTTACAGTAGGCATCTTTCTGATACATATCCTTCTTAAACGAAGTGGACTACTTAATGTAGTGGATGGGCCATAACTACAAAACTGGGACAACTTGTTGCCCTTCTATTAAATAACGTGTTTGTAACTGATAAATTTGACCCAAGTTGAAATGGTTAAACTGAAGAAATATTTTTTTACCCTTTTGAGAAAATATTATCGATAAGAATTTGTGTATTCATAGTGATGAACTGCTAGTTGTGTACGTGGGAAAAATTATGTTTGAATGTTAAGAAGCTTTCTCAGTCGTTCACACCCTCTTTTATTGTCCAGTATGAATGGGCAATATACTCCCAGTGCAAGTTATGACTAAGGTCTTTTATAAATAATTTCCTTTTGTTTTGTATCTTTTTTAATACAAAGCTCGAGGCTGGTCAAGTCAAGTTGCAGTCAAGATTAGAAGAGGAGGAGCAAGCAAAAGCAGCTTTGATGGGTAGGATTCAGCGACTAACAAGGTTAATACTGGTTTCGACGAAAAGCATGATGCCGTCAAATGTATCAGAAAAGCCTACTCATAGACGAAGGCATTCTTTTGCAGAAGACGAGGTATGTTAGTTTTCACCTTTCGTTTTATGCTGCATGTGGACAAATATCTATGATGTTTATATCAAATAATATGGCTTGATTGATTGTTTCATAGATTTTGGTTCTTTGATGAACTGACCTCATGGTTATATCTGAATATATTCTTTTAATTTTTTTCTACTGGTGCAGCTAGCATATTTGCCAGATAGAAAGCGTGAACATATTGATGAGGATGATGATGATGGTGATAGGCTTGACTTGGAGTTCTCAAGAGATGGAAGATTTGACGCCACTTGTTTAGAAGACTCCACTATATTTGATAAAAGAAATAGGAGGCGTGGTATGCTTGGCTGGCTCAAACTACGGGTCTGTGTGTCTTCTCTCTATTTCTGTTAAGTATTGTTTCTTCTTAATACTCGTTGTCTTGTATGAGATTCAATTTGTGATTCTAACTTCATATCTTGGAAGGTTTATAATATGGTATCCAAGCATTTTCCTGGTGAGCATGTTAAAGCAATTTTATAATGTCTTATAAACAATTTTTATTTTATTTTATCAGGTGTAATATTCATTTACCTTTCGTTCCAAATTGCTAATAATGTTCCCTTTTGGTGATGCATTCAAGTGTAGGTGTCCTATCAATCACGCTAGGTTAAGAAAATTGTCTATGAACATGCTAGACGGACACTAAGACAAACACCCGACTAGAAGACGATAATACTCATCCCATTGGAAAATGTTGCCCAAAATTTACTGCATTTATAGTTTCTTGTTGTCTTTGTGCTATTTATGTTTTTCTTGATGTCTGTTTCATGAGTTCTTAAACTTCTTGTCCTATGTTTGTTCGATTCCGTAGGTTTTAGGAAATAATCGATGATATTTCAATGATCAGTTTGCAATGTTTGGAAACAGAAAAGATAATCAAAAAGAGGAAAATGATGTAAGGAGTCTTATGCTTCTCTACATAGTTGCACCATAAGAAAACCATTAAGCATTGGGAGTGCCTTGCAGTCCTTTGAAGCTGATGAAATTACACAAGCCTTTCCTTAGTCTTCTTTAATACGCTGTGATTATCATACAATACTTGTCCTTATCAGACATCTTATCATCGTAACTTTTTAAACGATGGTAGATACGTTTTGAAGAACTTGCCTGGTTCGAATCTTTTGTTCGAGTAAATATCATGCCGACGAAGTTCTTTGATGCAGAGACCTGATCATATATCTGGACTATCTGCTGTGACCGACAATGAAAGCTCAGGAAGTGGGTCCCCATCTTGCTCAAATTCATCGCAACAAAAGCTCTCTTTATCTGACTTCAAGGATGGGCGAAGAAAATCAATAAGTAAGAAGTGTGATGATCCTTCAGTTGTTGACTTCATTCCAGAAAGAACACAGGCAGGTGATCTATTCTATGCAACAACCAGAGGACGTCGTCCACCGCCGGTAAGGGATTTCAGAAACATAAACTTATACCCTGTACGGTTCATACAACAAAACTACACTCCATTTATATAACACAAACAAGTTTCACGTTACTTTCTGTTGCCTCTTTCCTGAGTATTCGTGGGAGTGTGGTTAATCTTGTCTGCATTAGTTTTTAGTTAAGATCTTTGCAGTTGGAGTCAGAGCCTTTATACCAGGGGAAAGCTGAGATATATGCCTCCAGCCTTGTAATGAATGTATCTCACCATCTTTAGCTCCTCACTAGTTGCATATGACTTTGCATGCCATTCCTTTTGATGATTCTCGTCAATGGGCGATAAATAGAATACCAACGACCCTGTAGTGTGCTGATGTGCTTTCCCGTTGAAGTCTATGTTGGTTTCTGAGAACCTTATCATGCATTTGTCCTAGTGAAGGGAGGGATCGTGCTTAATATTTGACTCCTTTATATTTGAAAGTCACGATTCATACCTGCTAGATACTCTGCCGTATGTTCGTATCTTTGAATTAGTTTTTATTGGCGTCTGTTTGGTTATGCCAATGCGTGATTGAGATAGTCTAGTGAAATTCTTAATTTATCGGTGAGTTTACTCAGGTCTAATATACAGCTATGGTTCTGACGATCATACTCTTCTCACTTTCACAAATGATCTTGATTTGGCGACATGTTCTTCGTATTCATAAACTGCTATAGAACTCTATACATTTAAGACTCGCGTATCTATGTATACAGACGGGTACAACTATTACAGATCAAATGGATCTGATGCAAGAGCAGGTCAAAATGTTAGCTGGAGAGGTAGCACTTTGTACCAGCTCTTTGAAACGGTTGTCAGAGCAAGCAGTGAAGAATCCCGAGGATTCTCAGATTCAGGTATGGCATTAACTTTAACATTCTGTCATCTGGGTTCACTGTGTCATTTACTCAATATGGAATACTTTCTTGGATCCCCATTAGGAACACATGCGAAAATTAAAAGACGAAATCAGAGAAAAGAAGTTGCAAATGCGTGTTCTTGAGCAGCGGATGTTTGGATCATTTGAATCTAGTCCACATTCATTAAATAATCATGAGATGTCCCAGGTAAAGATTTTGCGTGATTAGAAACAAACACGAGTGTGCCATTTAGGATCTTAATGCTCCAGTCTTGTATGTGTTGCGTTTTCTTTCCCAGGCCCTTTCAAAAATGGCGACTCAGTTGAACGAGAAGACTTTCGAACTTGAGGTTTGATGGCTATATATATGTATTTCGGCATTCATTCATTTTTTTTTGTATATTCATCTCTAACAACTTGATATTTTAATTTCCTGTGATTCCTACTGAAGATCATGTCAGCCGACAATAGAATTCTACAAGATCAGTTACAGATGAAGGTGATTCATTACTATAAATTTGAATTTCCTCTTGTTTTACGGCCGAATGCGTATCTTACAGTATTTTTTTCAATTGAATCAGATATCTGAGAACGCAGAGATTCAAGAAACTGTTCTGATGTTAAGGCAGCAACTCAATTCACTGTTGGACAAAAGTTCTGACAATCAAAATCAGACGGCAGAGAGTGAGGTGTACAGCCTTGGGAACTTTTCTGCAGAGTCCTCTAAGGCAAACGTTGGATGGGATGAAACATCGCTTGAGGAAACAAATATGGATGAAAACACGCCTAAGAGTACTCTGAGCTTGTCTGGTAAATTCCTACGAGAAGATTTTAGAGGGAGCAATTGCGATACTTCTCTGAAATCTCAAGTTCTAATTCAGGTATTCTCTTTGATTAGTGTTTTTACTCTTGCTTGAAAGAGTTTTTTTTTTGTTTTGTTTTAAAACTCTTGTACCCTTGGTGTCTCTCGATTCCGGTACAGTCTTCATGCCAATTTCATGTTTTCCATTCAGGCTTCTGAGATAGAGAATCTTATGCAAGAGAAGGTTAGGCTGGCAGAAGAGAAAGATGGGCTCGAGATCCAAAGTCAAAAGCTTGCTGAAGAAGCTTCTTATGCTAAGGAATTAGCTTCAGCTGCTGCTGTTGAGCTTAGAAATTTGGCTGAGGAAGTGACAAAACTGTCGTACCAAAATGCAAAATTGACCTCCGACTTAGTGGCAGCAAAGGAAGCTGCTTCTGTCAGAATCAGTTCCCAGAGGAACGGCCTGCTCGATGCCAAGCAGGATGCATGCTTGAAGAAAAGTGATGGACACTTAGTCGAGGAGCTAGAGAAGGAGCTTCTTTCTAGATGCCAAAGGGAAGCTTCTCTGGAGGCTGCTCTGTCTGTCAGAGACAAAAGAGAAGCTGACCTCCTGAAGAGAATTGAAGAGGGAAAAAGGCGTGAAGAGAATTTAGAAAATGAGCTGGCAAATATGTGGGTGCTCATTGCGAAGCTGAACAAATCAGAAGTGAGTTCAGTCAAATCTTTATACAATGGGGATGTTAGTTCCGAGCTCCCTCCGAAATTCCTGAACGGGTTTCACTCTGGTAATCTTCGTCCTGGTACAAAGTTGAAGGAAGACAAGTTGGTGAATGGAGCTGTCGGTGTTGCGGAACCTTTAGAAGAAGTAAAAGCTGCTTATGAAAGTGAGAAAAGAAAGAGGAAGGAACTGGAAGGTGTTTTGTCTAGACTGAAGGTACGCTGAAACGGTTTACCCTCGTAGAACAGAAGTGTATTATATTTACTTTATTTCGTTTCACATGACGATGTTTTCCTTTTATTCTCCCACTTTTGGTACATTTACTTTCACATCTCGACACCATTTGAATCCACGAACCCATCACTTTATTTTATGCTCTGTTTCCTTCGGGTTTAGCAACAGGGTTTGGTCGTATGTTGCCGATTTCCAGCTTATAATGCTTTCCTTGATTGGTTTTGAATTCAAATTTCATATACTCAGAGCGAAGATCTCGCTGGATTAGACGTTGCCATGCTTGAAGAACTGCAGAGTTTTCACGTGGAGGCCTTGTCAAAAATCTGCCAAGAAAAGGTGACCACCCTTTCCTTATTAGCTCTGTCCTCCTACCATGTCTCAGATCCTGTTATATTACCTGGCTGGGTCTCTTCCTTGCTGTGATTTTGGCTTCATCTTTGCTTTTTCTCTTCATATTGCTCTCTTCTCCTCGTTCAGAGGACAATTTCAGAACCAAATAGTTTTCCGAGGGCTATTATTATATTGGCTGGTCTTTGGGTTTGGGTGTTGCTTAGAGTCGGATTAATCATATGCCATTGTCTGTCATCCCCGAGGCACTCTGCGTGAGGTTACTTGTTTATGGCTTGTCAATCCAGCTGTGTTGCCTTCCGATCTCTATTAGGGTTCCTCCGGCTGTTTTCCCTTTCCAACCTCTGGGAAACGCTGAGAATTTAGAAAAAATCCTCGTTCCTTTTTATTTGGAGTGGCATTCTGATCGGTGAACCTTCTACATCGTCATGTGCAGGTGACTAAACGCGCTGTATAGTTAACGTCCACCCTCTCTCTCTCTCTCTCTCTCGCTCTGCTGCATAGGTCGGGCCGGGCGCACTGTACAGAGCCTGTGGAGAAGAAATGCTTGAGGTTGAGATGAGATTCTCTCTCCCTCATTTTTGCCTCACGTCCGCAAATCCTCGTTATAAAATCAGAGACGCCTCAGACTGTATTCACGCTATTGAAGAGAGCTGGGTGTGATGTATTATTTGATTCATACAGTGTGCACCTTATTCCCTGACATCGAGCTCGCTCAATAATCGGGTGCGAAGACACCGCCGCTCAACAGCCCTGGCCAGATGAAGCCCCCGCACCGTCAGTGAACAGCTGCTGCGCCGCGGGTTAGGAACTGCCTACGAACATCAGGGGACCCATCAGTTTTTCTATCAGAGAGGGGTCGTCAGACTTGGGGAGCCTGTTGCAGTCGGCGCGCGCCCACCCGATCCTCTGCCGGTCGTTGTCGTAGACCATGACCATGTCCAGCATCGAGATATCTGCCAGGAAGAGCACCCCTCCCCCAGTCAGAAGACTCAGTCGCCTTCGATCTGTGAGTTCTCTCCTTGCTTCCTCTTCTCCTTACCTCCGATGAGGTTGAAGTCCCGCAGCCCGACTTGGGTCCCGTTGAGGACGCCCAGACACACGTTGCCGCGCTTCTGAAAAGTAGCCCACCGTCGGAGTGTAAACCAGTATGCTTTACCCCTTTTAGCCGTGGTACTAGTGGCTCACCGTGAGGATGAGATAGCCCTCTGGGGGTATCTCCAGCTGCGCTGCCCTCGTGAAGCCGAGGGCCACCGGCTTGAAGAACTTCCTCACCTCGGCGAGAGATCTGAACGGCTTCGCCCCCCGCCAGCACAGCGGCAGCGTGCCGTCATCACTCGCCTCCTCCAGCGGCGACCCCGCCAGATCCGCCTTCAACTGCCCATCACGCCGTCTCAGAAAAGGGAGAAAAGGAGGGAAAAAAAAAAGGGTGAGGGAGGTTATGAGGTACCATGCGGAGGAGGGCCTCGTATGGCCGGGAGGAGAAGTACGTGTAGGAGCTCCCGCTGTCGAAGATCACCTGGAAGCTCTTCCCGACGAGGCGCCCGCCGAAGAAGAGATCCGCAGGGCCCGGCGAGTAGTGCCCGGTGGCGCGGCGGGACATAGAAGTCCATGTGACGCCGGAGTGGGGGACGAGGTCGCCGCCGAAGAAGAGGAACCCGCCGCCCTTCCTGCTCAGGCAATGCCCCATCACATTCTGCGTAAGCCCCTGCTCCCGGAGCTGCGACATGACGCTGGACCGACCGCCGCCGAGCCCCAGCACCCCGTCCGTGAGGGAGCTCTTGCCGTGCAGGTGCTGGTCGTAGCCGCACCTGAAGAAAAAGGTCTTCCGGCGCCTGTGGTTAAATGAAACTACAAGTTCAAGGAGAGCTTGTGTGGTGGTTTCTGTCTGTACCCGAAGGCGAGGTGGGGGCGGAGGAGGGAGCCGTTGACGAAGCGGATGGAGAAGGCGTCGCGAATGAGCACCCCCCGTGAGGATCCGTGGTCGGCGTATTCTACCTCGTAGTCGCACTGATCTTTCGGGGACTTGCAGCCACTTCTCCATCCCTCGCCGTGGGCGGCGTCTGCGGCGGCGGCCGGGAGGGAGTTGCAGATGGGATTCCCGCAGGGGACCAGCTTGTCCTTGGTCGGCTTGTACAATGGGTGAGGTCCCTGCCCCAACCAAGCATACGACAAATGGGTATTTCCTTCCAAAGGAGAATCTGACGATGGTGGAAACAGATCAAGAAAAATGTGCCAATTATAGCGAATGTCGAATGATTTTTTTGTATGCCTTGGAGCAGCTGATGCAGGGGGCGTCGCACTGGAGCCAGGTGAGGTCGCTGCCGGTGTCCACGTCGAGGAAGTAGGGCTTCGGTGGATTCCCGATGCTGAGGGAGACGAAGTAGAGCCTGCGCTCCGGGCAGCAAGAAAATTCGAGAGGATTGGAAATTAATCGGGAAGTACTTCTACATCTACCCCGATTGGTGAAAGGATAGATGGGAAAGACATCGAGCGAGATCAGAGACAGATCGGGAAGGCGCGGACGCCGGCGAGGAAACTAAGCGAGAACCGAGTATCTTGTTGATTCCTCTCACCCGTCAGGGTAGACGTTCCCGGAGAGGGGGAGGACCGCAGAGGAGCTCCGCCCGACGCCGATGGCCAGTAGCTCCGACCACGGCGACGATGGGAGCCACCAGTCCTGCCGCTGCGCGTCTAACGCGGCGGAGCAGCATGGCAGCGTGGAGGAGAAGCAAGCCGCGACCAGGAGCAGGAGCAGGAGAAGGCCCATCCGATCCTCCAAAGCCGTCGTCATCGTCCTCGTCTCCTCCTCCCCGTGGCGGTGGGACGAGGAGGAAGGAGGAAGGTGCGAGCGAGGTTTCAACAGGCGGCGCGTCGACGAGAGCCGGGTTTTTATCGCCGGGGCGGGGAGGTGACAGACGGAGCTTCCAGAGTCGCCTCGCTGTGGGGACCCGCTTCCAGAGTCACACCCACGCCTTCGCCCGGACCTTCCCAAGGCCATTCCTTGAACTAGAACCTGCCCCGCCCCTACGCGCGTCAGAGAGAGAGAGAGAGAGAGAGTTGGGCGCTATCAAATAGATGCTCGGTCAAGGACTAGTTCCAAACAGGGCTTTATCGACCGCTATCACTAAGCCAGGAGGAATTAGCCCGATTCAATCCGATCGAGCCTGGCCTACGAGCAGCCCAGCTCTATTGGGCCCATATGGGCCGACCAAAGATGGGCTCGGAGGCCGACACTCGTGGGCTATGGGAACATCAATTGGGCTCGTGAATGGTGGGCCCCTTCGCTACTGTTAGAACGGTTAGCTGGCCTCATGATGAGAGCAGAACTGTGCACGTATGAGCTTGACGAGGAAGGAGGAGGCAGGCGAGGAAGATCAGGAGCGGTCCTTGAAGAGATTTCTGATCCCCGATCTCTGGTCCTCGGTCAGATTCTTGGGGAAGACGATGTGGAATTTGATCTTCAGGTCCCCCCGGAGGCGATGATCCTTGGCTAGCGGCATCCCCTGGCCACGGATCACCTTCTCGTAGTCGGGGTGGATGATCTCGTCCTGGAACGAGCAGCTCATCTTGTCACCGCCGAGCAGGCGGAAGGAGAAGGTCCACCCGGTGAGGGCGTTCACCAGCGGCACCTCCACCTTCAGCACCAGGTCGTTGCCCACGCGCTTGAACACGGGGTGCTCCTTCTCCGACACCACGTAGACGACGTCGCCGGCGAGGGCGCCCGGCCGCTCGTCCCCCATGTTCTCGAAGGTCACTTTGGTTCCTTTCTTCCACCCCGGCTTCACTCTCACCGTCTGCACCTCCTCCTTCTTGATGATTTTCCTGCAAGTAGGGCATTAACCGGAGGGATTGGATTAGATCCGGCGATGTCGGACTGATGTGCTAGCTTCCTGGATGTGCTTCCCGATATCACCATAAAAAAAACAAAAACCAGGGAGCTAAATCCATCCATCTCATCTTCTTCCTCTGCTCGAACCAGTGGCTAAATCCGGAGCAGAAATGAGCAAAATAATGGCCGCCACAGGAAGGGGGGTGTCGGGTGTACCCTGTGCTCTTGTCGAGGACCTCCCTGGTGAACCTGATCTCCTTCCTGCAGCCCTTGCAGAGCTCCTCCAGCGTGCACTCCAGCTTCCGCTCTACCGCCGCCGCCTTCCTCGTCGTCGTCGCCGCCGCCGCGGAGTCGGCCGCCCTGGCGAAGTACCGGTGGTGCCCATCGCTGTTGGCCCTCCTGGGGACGGGGTGGTGGTCGGGGCTATGCTTGGGAGACGTCCACCTCTCCCGGTGCCTGCCGGAGCCCTCCCCGTCGGCGCTGTGGTAGACGCCGAACATGCTCCTGTACTCCTTGTCACTGAGCGCCTGCATAAGAAGAACGAAGATCAGCCAGGCGGAGGAGGAAGAAGAAGAAGAAGAAGAAGAGAACCTCGTAGGCTTCGGTGATGGCTTTGAACTTGGCCTCGGCTTCCTTCTTGGAGGAGGGGGGGTTCTTGTCGGGGTGCCATCGCCGGACGAGGGCCTTGTAGGCCTTGCGGATGGCCTCCGGGGAGGAGTCCTTGGGGATGTTCAGGACGCCATAGAAGTCGACGGAGTCTCCCATGGCGGGATTTGGCAAGATGAAGGGAGCGACCAGTCGGATCCCCCGCTGCCTGCCGCAGTTGCCGCCGGATTTGCTAATAATAAGCGGAGCCGCGGCTGGCGAGTTTCTTCCCCTGTAAAAATAGGAAGCTCTCCTTCAGTTGCAGGGGCAAAGGAGCGGATGGGAGGTGGGGTGGAGGTTGGCGCCGAGACGAGTGAGGAAGAAACGCTTTGTTGCTCAGACGAACTGCAGAGAGAGAGAGAGAGAGAATTCCGACAGCTGCGGGGGAGGGTTACGAAGCTGATTCGCACCGAGATAAATGCCCCGGAACCCGCTCCCTCACCCACGAACAGCCACCTGCCGTTTCTCTCTCTCTCTCTCTCTCTCTCTCTCTCTCTTTCTGTCTATTCCGCCGCTATCTTTCACAAATGCCACGGAAACATGGATTAATCAATGAGCTAATCTTCTCGTCATCGTCGCCCAAGATCCTCGCTATGAATCGGGAAGCAAGTGACCTTGCTCTCTCCATCCGTCACCGTCCTCCCTCTCTCTCTCTCACTGAGTGCGACGCCGCCGCCAGGGCTCCGTGGTCCTCGCCGGGTCCCGCCCCTGCCCCGGCAATCCTGTTTAGAGTGGGTTCTTGCCCTCAGACACTGACGACGGCTGCAGTGGATCGCATCACCCCACTCTCTCTCTCTCTCTCTCTCTCTACATTACATGCGTCTCAAGAATTTTGACAAACAGATGGAGATGGGTAGAGAGAGAGAGAGAGGAAGTCAAGTGGGTGGGATGTCGCTTTAGCCGACAAAGGGGAGGAGACAGCAATCTCAGCCGAAGGACGGACTGGAGAGCTCACCTAACGAGCTGAGTTAACAGACTGCATTCGATGCGCTGACTTCTTCACATTGTCGCCATCGCAGTGTTACCGATCTTGAACGGTTGGATTGCGCTGATACTATTGTCAACGGGGGTTGCAGCCAATCATAATCAAGGATTAAAACTTCTTACCCCAATTAGGCGACGATTAGGGGATGTCATTACCCTACTGAGAATGGAAAATAAGGAAGGCTGGGGGGACCGTCTCACGTGGGAACGTGGCGAGTTCGAAGTGCCGCCAGCTCAGGGAGGCTTTGGAGCGCATGACCTCCGGTCTGAGGAGAGCTGTACTCTTTCGGCGGCAGTGTCTGGGGAATTAATTAATTAATAAATAGCCGTCGGTTCTTAGTGCCGACCCAAGTGGTTAATCACCCACTCTTCCCTAATCATAGTAACTAACGTTGGGGGTCAAAGTCAAACCTTAAGACATCAAAATGTTCTAGCGGGAGCCCTCGCTCAGTGCCCCCCCCCCCTCCCCAATCAGGAGGATTTTAGTAAATCGTCCACGTCACAAATTTCCTTATTAAAAGGGAAAAATGAGCGACGTCACCTCAATCTCCAGTCTACCGCCGAGCGACGTCACCGGTTGTCTTCGCGGCGGTTTGTCGATCAAATCCGCCAGCCGCCGCCGAGGACTTGACCTCGCGTCGGTAGGTGCCCTTCCCACGTAGACCACCTGCCCATGTAGGGTATTCTCATACACCAACTACGACACTGAAATCCTCGTGCATGCACAGTCTGCACGGTTCAATGCCGAGAGAGAGAGAGAGAGAGAGAGAGAGAGAGGGACGTAGACGTCGATGAGAGAATCTCCGTGTATTAACGTCGCCGGTGAGCCGAGACAGACTGAGTTCTGCCCGTCAGAATGACGAGGGGGAAGGCGGTGTCGGCAGTGGCCATCGTGAACGATGGGGAGGTGTCCTTCCCCCGCGTAGTGATTCTTGCCGTCGTCGTCTTCGTCTTCTTCATCGTCGTCATCTTCTTCTCTCTCTTGGATGGGGTGACAGTGAAGTTTAGGCGGGTCAAATCTGGAGAGAATAAGGGAGGGAAAATTCTTTCGAAGGGGACTCCGCAGCAAACGCTGGCACGTCGACGACTGGAGAGTTGTGGCGGGCGGCCGCGCGGCAAGTTGCGGCTGCCACTTCGTCCCCTCCCGCTGCCCATCACCTTCAGGCCGCGTGTCTTGCCGTCTTCGCTGCCATGCTCCATTCTCATTCACCAACCCTTCTAGCTCTCTTTCTCTCTCTGTGACTGGGATGATGAATAGAGAAACACAGCCACTGAGGCAAACTTGCGCAGGCGATTGGAAGAGAGAGAGAGAGAGAGAGAGAGAGAGAGAGAGAGAGAGAGAGAGAGAGAGAGAGAGAGGGGCCTCTGGCACTACATCTATAGCAATCGTACCATGTCGTGGGTACAATAAGCCGGGAAAATTTTATAACCAACATACTATGGGGAGGACTATTTCCAGCCTACTGATTCTCTTCCGCCTCACCAGAGGAAGATCATGCCTGCGTTCCATGCGGCGCCCTCGTAAACTCCAGGGCCCTCCATGGGCAAGCCACCTTCGCTTCAGCAGAGCTCCCCCAGCAATAAAGGCCGAGCTACCTTCTAGGTTGAAGATATCCACACGCCTTCAACCATAGCTGCCAGAGAAGAAAGCCAGAAACCTGCTTCAGCCCTTCAAGCCGAAGCTCAACAAGCTATGAGCCCACTTGACGCACAGGACTGGGGTTCTTGCCGTCCCAGCTCCAGAAACAGATGAGCTAAGCTGGTTCAGATCTACCAAGAAAAATATGCCATCCTCTTCCCAGGAGTCTTTAATAAATTATTCCATAACAAGGCGGAAAGATTTCGATTCCACTGCATGATGGCAACCGCAAGGAGGCAGAAGGGTTAACAAGAGGGAAGAACCAGGGTGGCGGATGGAGCGGCCCAAGAAGCAAGTCGCCGTGTGGAGCTATCTCTCCCCCAAGACAGATTCAAGAAGAGCTGCCTCCTCCTCCTGCACAAGTTTGAAATGGGTCCACAGCCATGATTCAGAATTCAAGGGCACCCGCAAGGAAAACCTCAGATGAAGTAGAATCCGATGGGGTGGGGTGGAAATCCTATGCCAATTAGCCCGTAAGAAGAGGGGGCTAGGGTTTTGTAAGATGCTTGGGAGATTCGAAGACCTAATGTCTGAGCTATGCATGCTGCTTGTAGAGGAGTGGGCGAATGCACAGGGGAAAACAGCTTACCACCAAGGCGTTGAACTCTGTCTCTTCATCAATGGCGCCGACAACAGCAGGGTCGTCCAAGAGAACCTGCGCACAAGGAAAACCGCAGGACACTCAATTTCCTTCCGGAAATGTCGAGGGCAAACACGAGACCAACCAGAGAAGGATTAGTCACGATTCTATGTACATGGGAAATGCTCCTTAGTCTCTAATCAAAATAAAGTCAGAAATGGCTGCACACTATAACCAGAGATGGGCAGGATCGAGGCAGATTCGACTTCTTCATCTTTGCCACAGATACATCCTGAGCAGCAGAGACAGATAATGGCTGTCGGAATGATTGAGAAGCTTTTCTTTGGCCAGGCTCAAGAGAGAATCTTGAGCAGTCGAGCAATTACCAGATAAATCACTGATACAAGCTCTTCCTGATCAACTACCACTGCAAGATACAGAATCAGCAAATCCACCGTGAGGGTGGATCTAATATGCGAATCAAGCCCAAGGAACTTCTAACCATCTGTGATTGATCGAGGGTCACTTCTTCTCAGGGACAAGAGAGATCTTGTGTGGACGTTCCCCTAGCAATTACAGATCCCAAGTCCCCTAAGTGATCTCTATCAGGGATTACTCTTAAGACCCAGAAAGCAAAGAAAAAAAAAGTTGACTATGAATCGTACAGGTGTATTTAGAATCCTCCACAAAACTGTGTATGTCCTTCAACCATCTTTATCATAATCACCCAGTCTTTCGCAAGATCATTCTGTGTTAAAAGAAGGAGAAACAAGCCTGAAGATGGGTTAATCGGATGTCTTCCCCTATAGCTTTCAGTATGTTTAGTTGAGTAATGCTTGTTGCATGGATGAACATAACCCACCATCATACCGTGACTCTGGCATGTATAGGCTACCCCCTATTGGTAAATCATCATTCGAAGCACAATGATGGGCACATTTGCATGCGCTTAAAGGCTAAAGGAATTAGACAAGGGTTTGTTGTAGGCTCGGCCGTACTCTTGGCACATCCCAACAAAGACAGTGGGGAGGGAGTGAGGATGCTTACATATTTGCAAATGATTTATCCAGAGAAACACAACCAAAAGTAGTGTTCTAGTATATTGAAAATGAAATACTTGGCATTACTTACGTCATCTGCAATCTGTAACCGGCCGTCTTGATCCTGTATATACAGAACATATGTCATTTCCAATGAGCAGAGCAATAGAAGAAGAATTCAATAATTCTGATGAAAATTTGAAAAAGATTATTGAATTCTATACAAAAGACACAGTCATAAGATAAAACAATACAAGAAAATAAGCTGCAACCAAACATCAATCAAATATGTTTCCACTTAAGATGCATACACGTACCTTCACAGCAACAAATAACAGTGGGTCAGATGGCGTGTAAATCATGTAATGCGTTCCATCCTACATTGGCAAGTACAAAAGAAAGATGAAGCAGGAAATCAAGTAAATTAGCAGAGGTAATTCGAGAAGCTCAAACAGAAGGGGTGATCAAATAGATCCAACGAGAAGGAAAAACATAAAGAACAAAATAAAAACAAGAAATCAATCCAAACACACATACACTGGATTTTTTACGTCACTGAACATGTGAGGATTCAGTGGGAACTCAAAAGAAAACAAGGAGGCCAAGGTAATAAGTGCCAGAAACAGCAGAATCTCAGCGAGTACATTTGTCACCGTGAAAATGATAGCTTCCATATTCCATGAAAAGAAACAAAATTGTTATCTCACCTGATGGAAGCAAGTGATTTCTATACCTTCAGTAGGCAAGCCATCGATATCTTCACCGTCATCTGTGTGCCACAAAAAAACTCTTAAGCAAAATAACCACTGATATGAGCTGTGGTCAGGCGTCATTCACGAAAAAAAATAAAATCAAAGACAACACACATGTTTCTTCAGATATCAAAAACCACATCATTGTGAGACACAAACGCATAATCATGCGTCTCCCTTCGCTGTCATGATCTTTTGGAAGAATAATACGATAAACGATTAAGAGGAGGAACCCTTGTATGGTGAAGATTTCAGATGACTGATAATCACACAGCAGTCATCTTGTTATTCTAGGGGGCTACATTCTTCCGGTACCCATAAAAATGAACGAAGAAGGTCTAGCATGAGATTTACCAGAAACTTGCGTAACAATCCATGATTTTATAAAATAAAAACTATTAGGCCACAAATAATTGAAGACATCATAAACGCTCTTTCTTCATTTTGACAACCTCGTATAGAATTAACATTATTTGCCAAGAACGGTTCATAAGGTCCACCCAAATGCAAGAAGAGGAAATCAACTTCATCATTTCACCAAGAGAAATAAAAGGCTTAACACCTGTTCGAAATTCAAGGATATCGTCCTCAGAATAACAAAATCTGCCTCTTGCTGTATAACAGAACCTGAAAAGATGTGAAAGGGTAAAGTTAATCCAAACCACAGAAAATGGCGGTAAAAAACTGAGATAGTTGTTCAGACAGCAGTGAGAAAGGTTATACTTTTCTCATAGAAAATTATACAGAACAATTTATCACGAAAAATTCCAAACATGGAATGTTGGCGAGACATTCCTCCCAACAAAAGAAATGCTATTTACCCGCTAAACACAAGGTGCATATGAATCTTGGCAAGCGCATAAGCAGCAGCAGGGAGTAGAGCTTCTACTTCCTCATCATCTACCTGCAAAGCAGAAGTATTAAAATCAAGATTTCCTTGCCGACATCACATGCTGATGAATAAAATAATAGTGTGAGCTGTTACTATTCAATAATAATAACAATAAAAAATAAAGGTACTACTAGTACCAAATAGTTATGTCAATACCCAAAAAATCATCATAGACTGACCCCAAGAAGGCCTGGAAATGGCATCATCCAAATGTCGTCATAATATCATGATTCCCTTAGGCAGTAGTTATAGTGTCAAATTTAAAATGAACATTAAATTTTTAGTGCCGAGTTTCTTCAGTGATGTTGAAAAACTAGGGTTCCAAAAAGGATAGTTGATATGGTCAGCAAAAGTCCTATGTAAAAGTGAATTGGACAAAGTAAGTAAAACAAAAAAGGATTCACAACTTAGGTATCAAAATCATATGGCATATGCTAAATATTATAAAAAAAAAGTAAAACTTTCTAAAAATTTCACATGAAAGTATTATTATGGGTCAGTCGCGGGAAGGAGAGACTAATCGCTCGATTTTAAAAATATATAAGATCAAGATATGTAATCTTGTTATTAAAACTAAGGAATTTAATTATTAAAAAAGAAAGCAAGCCAGCTATAACAATAATCAATAAATATATCAGTCAATGAGGAAATAGAAAGAGAGCAAGAATGCCGGTGGAAATCAGAGAGGTATGCGATGTGGTGAAAGAGACATACAGCTGCCCATCCACTGAAGTTCGTGCTCTTCAATATTTGAACTGGACTGCAAATTGAAATGCCGTCACTATTGATTTTCATGGTTAGTGGGGACAAGGCAAAGGAAAAAAACAGTGATTTCACATACGTATCCACCGGACACAACAACATGCACTCCTGCCCTCGAGAACTTTCGAAAATTCTCCTGATCACACATTCTAAGGGAAAATTGTTTGTTGAATCCACCTGCAAGAAAATATTCAAGAAGGAAAAAACATCACTGAAAAATCGTAAGGGAACTATGAAGCTGAAGTAAGCTGGTTGCAACCCAGCACAAATAAATTGAGCAACAAGGATTTACCTTTATTTAGTAACGAGACTAAAAAAATAGCCGAATATCTAAATGACTGAATATCATGGGCAACGAATTACAATACATGAAATTTGGGATGATGATTTATGACGATCATTCGATAACAGGTGCTTCCCGCCGAAGCACCTGTAATTTTTAAACACTATGTAATTTTCGCAGTGATAAGAAGGTTGCAATAACTAGTATCATCCGTATCGCCTTGGAAACATTTGATGATTGGCCAGCTTAATGTATCATCCGTGTGATTTCTAGGTCGTTAATCGTAATAACTAGTTGGACACTTCCGTTCACTGAACACCCAGACGAGAAGAGAAGCCAGACATCGGCAGATACAAAACTTCTTACGGCCGACCCCCACACAATGGAGGCTGCCAAATGGGTACATCGCTTTTTCAACGCTGCCCAGAAGTTTGCAACGGCAGACACTACCTGTTTCCAATAGGGTTTCGAAACATATAAACGGCAGATTCCGGATAACGCTCCATAGAAAGCAGCTAATAAGCTCTCAATGCGGCTCGATCGGCTCAAGGTAAGTAAAACGTCATCGAAAGAACGCGAAAAACCTAGAAACGTCCGCGACAACGCTTAGCAAGCGCAAAACAGGACGAAGCAGGTACAGAGAGATTGCTCACAATTGTGGCCATCCGTCTGGACGAGGCCAAGAGGACTTTGCCTAGGGCATCGACCACGAAACCGGCGGGAGGCTTCGGGAGCGGGAAGGAGCTGTTGGGCGCGACCGGCAGGTTACTTGTGCTGGGGACGACCTCTACCAGGGGCTCGCGGGAGGCCGGCTTCTCGGAGCTCTTCCTCCTCCCCCCCCCACTCTTCTTCACGGAGCCCTCTTGCTGCTGCCGCTGCTTAGCGGCCCGACAGCACGGCAGCCGGAAGGACGGTAATACGCCGCTTTGCCCCCTCCGCGCACGGACAGAGAATGCCGTCGGCGATTGGAAGAGGGACGACGCGGCGGCGGCGGCGGCGGCGGCGGTGGCCAGGAGCCTGTTCCGGTGAGAGAGAGAGACAGAGGGGCGGGCACACCATGAGCAAGATGCGCCGGAGACGAGCATCCTGGTTCGACCGGCCGTCACTCCCCCGCAGATGGCCGGCGCATGCGAGACCGCCGATAAGCGACGGACAGTAGTTCTCCGCAGAGTGAGGAAAAAAAAAATCAGGGACTCGACCCGATGCGGCTAGGACCCCCCGCCCCCGCCCCCCTTCCCCGCGACAAGATGGAGGTAGATCCAACCGTTGAGCCCGAGACGATGATCGGTCAAGGCACAGTGGGCCGTAGTTTACCAGCGGCAACCAAAACACTAACTTTCAACCATCGGCTAGAACCCCTGCACCGGCTCCTATCGGTGGGGGTAGCGTGTCAGGCTTCGAACTCCTGCTCCAGGTTACAGAGGGCTCGCATGGTGTTGCTGGCCACGTCCATCAGTTGCAGGTACTCGTCAGCCCCGTCGACCAGGCGCTGCGCAGGGGAGAACACGGCGGGAATGATCAGTCGAAACAGCAGGAGAAGGTCCTCGCCGCAAGAGGGGGGGGAGGGAGGGGCTGAAGGCCGCTGACCTTGTCGGCTTCGGCCAGCCGCTTGCAGATCTTCGCCTTCTGGTCGTCGGGTATGTCCTCGGCGGCGGTGATCACGTCGAACAGCTGCCGGAGGAGGAAGTGGCGGGGGTCACTTTGAGGGTGGTTAAAGTGTCCACAAGGGGTTCAAGAAGTCGAGATAAAGACCTGGGAGAGTATGTGAGAAACAGGATATCCCTCGGCGATAATGTCGGTCACCACCTTGTTGGCCACATCAAATTCTCCGGATCTGCAGGCTGCAAAGAGGGACTGGACGACTCCCAGGGGAATTACCTGACATAGCACGGTGTACATAGGAGTCATGGCTAATAATTCTGAACCACCTAGTTTATTTACGTATTTATTTATTTATGCATTTTAAAAACCCACAATATAGGACGCCAAGGTCAAATCTGTCTATCTTTTTACACGTGGTTCTCTCAATACAGAGAGGTAGGAGATTTTGCAGGCTCTAGGACCGAAATCATCAGGTAACTAATAATTTCCCAAACTGTTTTCACATTCCTTTCTGTGATGGGGAGGTATTATATGATAGAAGAACCTTGAGGCGGTGAATAAAATATGAAGTGATCAGTAGAAAAGAAAAGAAAACTCGTATGCCTATATATAGATATATATCAGTAACAATCTCCCCGGCAATGGATAATCTAAAAGCCTCATTTTTCTTGAATCTTTTACATCTTGAGTGATACCAGAGACAAAAAATAACCGTAGACGGGATAAAATTGTGGCAGAAATATGCAATCATAGATCACCTTCTACATGGTGGAAGGATAGGGATCCCTGTTGTCACCTACCCCTCTATTTTTCTTATAGGGTTTTATTATTTACCCTCTAGGGACCTAGAGGGTTTACATCGTACCCTATTTGGATCCGTAGAAGCCAAAAATAAATAAATTGATCAGCGTTATAACATTCAGTGGGTTCTGCAAACTTGGTAGTGTTCCGGTGCTTCAGTTTTTTATTTTGCATCTATTCATATGCAAACATCTAATATGTACAATGATTAGCTGTCCCAGGTCAGTATGTGCACAGACTGTTTAAGCCTGAAGACCAAGAGGAACTCCTGCTCATGAAATGCTCACTCAAACCTAGTCATCTAATGATTTGTAGCTGAAAAGAGAGCCATATTTTCAGGTCAAGGAAAGAACTGATAATAAGCAATTCATCTTATCATGATTTCTAGCAAAATACCTAATCATAAGAAAGCATGGATTGGTCAGCCCATGCAAGACCATTGAAAAGAATATTTCGTAGAGGGGAAAGCAAAGCAAACAGGTCAGGTGAACTTACCCCAGAAACACCGATGAGATTTTCCGACGAAATCAATGATCCAAACAGGCGGGCCGCACTCTAAAAGAATAAAAACAAGAAGGAATCTAAGAAGCAATTGTGCCATTGTTTGACACGAAGATTGTGGACGGTCATTTAGCCAGGCACGGTAGTAAAAAGACGAACAAAGATGAAACGAAATGACTGGACCACTCAGAGACATTTGATAGAGTGCCTCTAGTATAAATTCAAAAGCACGAATAGAACCTGCAAGTATGTTATAGCTCGACGAAGGTCACCCTCAGAGATGGTCCCTAGAGTTGAAAGAGCCTATGACATTCATTGAGAAACATTAAAGCAAATGGACAGTGAGAAGAGTAGTTCACAGAAACGTTAACGGCAAGCCCATACCTCTGAATCTAAGCTGAGACCCTCTTCCTTACAGATGTGTAATATTCGACTACTCATGATTTCCTCGGAAAGAGATTTGAACCTAAATTTTGCGCATCTGGAAGCAAGTGGCTCTATAATCCTACACGAGAGGAATATAATTAGACCCTCGCATCCTAGATGATGCATTGGAAAACCAGCAACATAAAGAGCGGCATAATACCTGCTGATATAATTACATATGAAAATGAATCGAGTAACCCTAGAGTATGTCTCCATGGTACGTCGTAATGCATTCTGCCCAGCAAATATTTTGTTATACATTTAGTTGAATATATACCGGTCATAAAACTAAACAAATAAGTGGTGCACGCATACGGCAAAACATATGTACCTGAGCATCTTCAGTCATCGAATCAGCTTCATCCAGGATAATAATCTTATAAGGAGGGCATGGATATCCACTAAAGAATACAAGAAACACAAGCTACTTCAACCACAGCAAATAGCATGAGCAAAGTCAGTTTCAGATTTAATGGGATGTACCTCTGACGGCTGCCAGAACTAACAGCAACAGCAGCAAAATCCTTGATTTTAGTCCGTACTACATTGATTCCACGATCATCACTTGCATTCAACTCTAATACTCTTGATTTGTAAAGCTCAGGCCTGATAATCAAAAATATAAATTATAAGCACCTGTAAACCAAGTATAAAACCGGACCATTAGCAACATGGAGTTGGGCAGCCATATTGAAATGCTGAAATATCAATAAATTTTCATCTCTAGCACTGCTTCTGGCATCTAAGTTCGTGTTTTCAAGTAAATAGTATTCACTTGATAATTAAAAACAGGATTACTTAGAAGCGAATATGAAGAATTCTGGCCTTCTCAGTTTTCATAGTAGTATTCGATCAATCAGCCAACCAAAACATTTTTGTAGAAAGATTAATTGTCCTAGAAACCTTACCACACAACAATCTGGCAAAAGACGATGTCATTGCACTCTATAATCTGGTCTCAGATGGCCCAAGCTTACCCAAGTTAGCTGGAATAATCGCAGATACTCTAAGCCTCTCCTATTGGATGGTCCTTGTAAATAGATTTCTTCCATTTCCATGATATTGTCTCCAAAATAAGGTTGTTTTTTAATAACTAACATGGACAAGTGTTCAGCACAAAATAGGAAGAACCAAAAATATCATAAAGTAGCATCAGTGGAGGGAAGAGAAAATGTTCCCAACAGCACGAAACTCCACAAACTTGTTCAGTGATTTATGCTAACTTACAAGTGTTAGTAGAAACCAAGGACAAACTCTTTTAGTGACTAGAGAAGGCATTCAGTCCAAAAACAGAAGAGGGAGGTCTTATTCAGACTTATAAACAATTCAATCCAGAAACAAAAGAGTCAGCTCTTATTCAGGCTGATAAACTAGCTGAATTAAATGGCCTGTTTACTGATTGTAAGTTGCAGAGAGGAATAAAACAATGCTTTATATGTCCCATCGCCCCTGTAGGGCATAAAATAGCGTCAAGGCAATGCAAAGAATCGTAGACATGAATAATATATAAAGTACGGAAACCACGGTGTCAAGCTAGCCAAAAGTTTTGAGATTTTGCCAACTTCAGCATTGCCGCCATCATTTAACTGTATGTACAGCCACCTTGGCTAGGGCGACACTTTGGTAAACCTCGTAGCGCTCTGACAGTCTCATCAAAGTTTACTTCTTTACAGATTTACAGAATTTTGAACCATTCAATCCAAAGAATAGAGATAACGTAGAATCTACTTAAGAGCCACATCCTCTTGAATGCAAGCCTCATACTAACTTCTAAAAGTCAACATTACTAGAATTATGTCACAATCTAAATGATTCATTTAATTTTCGACATTTAATTTCCAAGTTATACTCCTTTCTGACATTAGAAAGGTGATCATTAAACGACGGCTGGCATTCCTCATCAAGCATGGTGAAAGAGTACGGCGCCTTAATATCGCTGCATACATGATTCCCAACGTGATTCGGAGACAGAAGATGAAAAATGCCAGATTTCCGGAGAACTGCATTGTAAGCATGCAGCCTCAGCACTAGTTCCCTTTCATCTTCACACGGACATTTGAAACAGCTTAAAGCATTTAAAGGACATCCGGTCGCAGTCCACATGTTCAATGAGGAATGAAAGAAGAGAGGGAATCTATACCCGAAAAGCTGGTGGGCGATGGCAAGGGCGGTTGTCGTCTTCCCTGTCCCCGGGGGACCGTAGAAGAGCATGTGAGGAAACTGGAAAAAAATACAGCAGGAATGTGACGTAAGGCAACATGAAGGACGGTAATGTCGATGTAGTTGTGTGCGTGGGTACAAAAGGGCGAGGATGAAGAGTGAACGATCATACGTTGGCAGTTTCGAGTGTGTTGGTGAGCACGCGGACGACCTCCTCCTGATGAGCCACATCCTTCACCTGCCTTGGACGGCTGCGTTCCGTTGGCGATCCCACAGAAAAAGAAGAAATCAGACCCGATCTTGTGAACCAGAACTTCACGGTGAAGAAAAGACGACAGCGAAAGAGGAGATGATCGGACGCAAGAAGCAGTTTCGTTGGAGATCAAGGAGGAGAGGGAGCGAGTTGCTGAAGAGCATACTATTTCTCCACCCATGGCCGGGAGCTCTGCACCACCGGCCCCATCTCCCCGACAGCCCGCTTTCGCGCCTACCCTTTTCCCGCTTTCCTAAACTATAAGCCTCCGTTTGTGTCAGGGCGTTTGGGGGTGATTTTATGACAGCCGATCTCGGAAATCAGTTTCTCAACGAAATCGATTCCGAAGACACGTCATCTACATGACCATTTATTTACACGTTTACATATGGGGTCCGCAAGTCCCTGAGTATTTTGCACAATGTGGAGCCCACCCTTTCGTGGCTGTACTAACGGAGTCCGTTAATATCGCCGGTCACCATCCGGAAAAGGACCGTCAGCATTGCCGCCATAACCGCCTAAGATCCAAGGCTAGGATCCGATACCCCCAATGACGATCCGTTACGGGTTTCGGTCAATGGAAAAATTAATGCTTTCGGGACGAACCATGTGGCGCACAGTTAAAAAGGACGGTTGATTGGTCAATCTTAGACGGGTCGGGCTCGACTCACTGAGTGAGCCCGGAACACGGGCTCGCTCACTCAGTGGCTAACAGACAATCTGATCCTCGGCCGCTTTCAGGGCGTCGGTGTGGGGGATGCGGGATTGGCGGACCGAATCCGATCGTGGATCGGCGATTCCGCTCACCCCGCCAGACTCATGCCGAGTTCTATGGTCGTTCACGCCAGAGCGGGAGTATAAAGCGGAGCTCGGTACGCCGCCAGAACATATTAGTGCCCGGAGATCTCCCGAGAGGCGCGGGTAACTTGCGAGTCTGGAAATAAAACGTCCGAGTCTCAGTGACATGGCCAAGCCCTCTGATAGAGCTCGCGTTTTACCATCGGAAGAGTTTCTCCTCTATCTCTCTCTCTCTATCTCTCTCCACAGGTCTCCTTTGTGAATTCGTATGCCAAGTCTTCGATCAGATTTCTACAAAGCAGCTGCAAAGTAACGACGATCCGACTAGGATATCTTCACAGAAGTTTCAGGCTTAGCGAGGGTTTTACTGTCTTCGATCTGCACCGCACTCTGGAACCGTCTCCTAGCTTCTGCTGGTTCCTTCCCCTCATACGTGCTTTCGATTTCGTCGTAAGTACGCGTATGAGCAGGCCTGTGTGGTTGTGCGCGTCTGTGTTTGTCTAGAGACGTTTCGCTCTTTGTTTATTTATTTTCTGTTTCTAATTTTGAGGTAAATTTCTCAGAATACTTCACGTTTACATTTTCTTCTGGCTTTTTCGAAAATCGAAAAATAAATATAGCACGATGACGCGTGCCTCAGAACTCGGTTGCCTGTTCCACTGATTTGGGCATTTGCATTGAGTTCTTGTGGGGCACCGGGTCTGAGGAATCTAATTGTTTTCGGGGTGTGAATGAATAGAATTGCGAGCTCATGCTTTTCAGGCTGCCTCACATTTCTCTGAGGCTCACCAATGTCGACAAGACCAAGAGGGTCCGAACGAATTTGAATTCTACTTTATCGAAACGTCGTATTTGTACGTTTTGGATAACGAAGTAAACCTTTCGTCCCTTCATTTGTCATCTGGGTGATATATTGTATGTCCCATAATAGGTTCCCTTTTTCTACCCTTTCTCGGGACTCGTGACTATTCATAGCTATTACCTTGACACCAGAGAAGAGTTCGATCCGATGCTTTATTTCTGTCCTAGTTGATCCTGATCGATATTAGAAGTATATTGATTGTTCCCCAATAACCGCGAATAGCTGCCAGAGTTGGCTCTTTGGTGACGACTGATTACAGTGGAATGTTAGTATGTTGGTTGCTTTTGAGTGATTTCTTCACCAAATCATTCTTCCATTTTTTGCTGATTGCTTTGTCCCTTAAATGTGGTGTTGTTTATTGTGTTTTATTCAATTACGCTAGTACGCTTCTACCACAACTATGGCCTAACTATGTTGGAAGGCTTTTTCTGCATGGCATTCATCAGTCATTATGGACGAATCCACTACTGGCCTCTTCAGCACTGGGTTATATGATTGTCTCGTTAATATTGATTTTCCGTGCGACTAGAATTGAAATGGTCGATACGTGATGTTTTAGGTGCACATTTTCCTTTTCCTTTTTCCTCCCCTTTAGGGCCACTTATGACTTCCTGGTCCATTCTATTTTCACCTATTGAAGTTGACCTATCTCCTATTGCCTGTGCTTTATTTGAGCCTTTTTATACTCCGTTTCTAGATGGAAAACTATTAATTGTGAAAAAAGAGAGGTAGTCTAGTGATTCCTAGAAGAATGTAGGAACACATATCTATGAAATTTTCTTTGTGACATGCAGAGGGGTGGATAGTATGAATTGATGACTTTTCGAATGGTTATTCATGAAGTTTACAAATATCAGAAGTTCATCCTATTTGAACACGATGCAATATATTTGTTGATCAGCACATATGGTGTTTACATATGTCTTGTTTACAGACGTTATTTGTTGATAGAATTTTCTATCTATAAGGAGGTCCTAGAGGTGTTAACATGAGTAGAGATGTAAGGACCAGGACGTGAAAAGGTATAAAACTTAGATGTTAAAAACAAACAAAAGCTTTTGATGCCTAATATATTTTGGGCGACTCATTTATTTATTTATGTATTTTTTATGTTTTTTTCTCATTAGAAATCTTATGGTACACATCACACTAGTGCATGCTGGTCTTTCAGGCTCTTGACGTTCTTTTGGGAACAAGATTTGTTCCTTTAATTAATTCGATTCGTTTCTTTGTCTGGCAGGATAGGTCTTTGCTCTTCATGGCCTTGATTATCAGAGGACAAAATATGTTTTTAGAATCATCTGGGATAGATTCTACTATTGGATTATAACTATCATTGGAGGATATTCATTTATAAACGATGCGTTCTCTTCAGTTGTTGCAGTTAACAGAGCATGGTCGAAATGCTTTGTCTTCACGAAGGTATTCAATGTTCTATTATCTTTTAATCAAATGAAGTCCATAAAAATCTATTAGTTTAATCAGAGGATGGACCTATACTACTGGGTATACATGTGAATTATGAAACTATAATGTTGCGTTGGTGTCATACAGCTCAAATATGTTGCAGAATCACCAGTAAATGATTCAACATGCCGTAATAATTGGAAATTGGAAGATTTGGTGAGCCATCTTGGTATCGATTAAAAGGCTTATGTGTTGTAAAACTTTAAGGAATAAAATATTCATTGAATTGATTCATCTCTGCCCTTCCTATCTTTCACGTGGAACTCTCATCTCTACTATACAGTTTCTTTGTTAGTGTGTTTTTCTTTCTTTTCCTGCTTCATCGTTATCACAACTGTTGCTTTTGGTCTACCACATCTGAAGAAAGTCAATTGTGTTCTTGCCAACATTTTTAAAAGAGGCATCCTCGTTATAAAAAAATAATCCCATGTTCTAACTGCATTTAGTCTGCATACTGAGTTTGGAGGATTGCCTGATAAGAGGATCCAGATTCGATTGAAGCGGCTTACTCCTATCCATTTTGACTATCATGACCCTCTTCCTGCACTCGTTTTATGGTATGTCATCCTTTTGATTTTGCTTTGAACTTGCAAGTGCAGTTGCGGAAGGACAAACTCTTCAGCCCTAATCTCACTTAGGATTTTTTTATGTGTAAACCACTTGGACACTTGCATCTCGTGTAGACCCATCTATTTTGGCAGTTAGTGACTTATTATCTGATACCATGGAGAGGTCCTTTTAATTTTGACTTGGCCACCATTACTGAAGCTGAAAAGAAATTAATATAGGTCGTATCATGGCTTATTTTCTTGATAAGCACTCGCAGAAGTTTATAATCCATGTTTTTTCGAAGGTTTTTGGTACCATGTGTTTCTTTAGAAGCTGGTTTGTGTCACTCTTATACTAAATGTCGACTCGAAAGTGCAAAATACTAAACTGAATAATCCAGAGGTTAAATAATTGGGAGGAATAGTTAAGAGCTGCATGTTTTTCTTATTCCTGACCATATTAGGTAGTCATACTTGAAGAACGTGTCTCGTTTTAATCGTCCTTGACAGATGGATATCTGCAATACAACGACATTAAGCGTATCTTGCATATTTCTTAATTTTTTGGATTTTCCTGTTTTCTTTCTCTCCATATGTAGCCCATTAGACAGTTGGTGTAACTTCCTCCAATCAAGATTAGCTGCTATACATAATAGAGAAACCTAACTTCACAGCATTTAAGATTTTTCTGAACTGACCTGACAGTGGACACATAATTTGGTACCACTTATTATTTGTATAAAAGAGAAGATCACGGGAATAGGTTTCTTTCAGATATTTTCCAGAGTTTTTTCGTCATCTACGAAATGAATATAGCCAAAAGATATTAAAAAAATTCTATGGAGAACTTCATAAAGATTTACTGATTGAAGTTCACAAGTGAGCGTTTACATGTTTTTCCGAAATGATATTAGTATGTTCATTATTTTCATATATATATATATATATGTTTTTATTATGCATAACTTCCTTTTCTGAAAGATAGTTCCTTCCATTCAGATTAATTAAGAAGATATGACCCTACCATCACTTGTAACGGTGCTGGCAGGTCTCCTTTTAAAATTTGAAGTCTCATGCATGCTCGTTGCTGTATTTCCTCTAACTGTCAATTTTTAACAGGAGAACTCTGGCAGTAGTAACAGGAGTTCTTCTTGCTGGTGGAACTGCTGCATATGTTCAGTCACGAAGACAAAGCAAGTTCACGGGGTCAGATTCTAGTGGTTCTCAAATAGGGCCTAAAAACAGTCATGGAGAATCAAATGAAAATGGCCTAGATGCCATCATCAGGAGAAGAAGGCAAACGAGGGGTAGTTTGAAATCTCTACAGGTTCTAAATGCAATATTATTATCTCGGATGGGACCAATGGGGATGCGAAACATTCTGTTATTAATAGCCACAGTGGTGAGTTTCCTTCGAATTTTTCTGTGTTTTCTACCTTTATTGATGGTTTCCTGGAAAGGAGATAGTTTTGAGCTGTAAACCGTAAGACTTATTTTGTATAATCTGAAAGTCAAATGAATTTGTGGACGCCAATAGATGCAAGTTGAGGATTTCACATTTACTCCATGGCTTATTTGACCATAGTCCTTTTCTTGAACGTATAAGTAAATGGTGGATACTAGGGCCTCGTGTGGACTCTTTTTTTTTTAATCTGGCCTGATGTTCATTGTTTATAAATTTTGAAAATTATCCAGATTTAACAGTTCAGGAGAACATCCTTGTTCGGGTGGAGAATAATGTTTACATAATTTCGAAAGGTCCATCTGTCCATTTTTTTACTAAATTGTATTAATAAAAATATCTTAGATTTTTTGCAAGCATGCCCCTTTTCTGAAACCATGCTGTAAGCAAGCACTTTCCTTATGAACTAGTGGATTCCCCTGATCTAGTCTGCTAGGGATGATAATTGGACACAGTCAAAATTCGGTTCTGGCTCATGACCATGTGGTTAATGGCTCACTCGTATTATGAGTCAATCAAGTGTCCTATCCAGTATCAAGGTTTAACATTACTAGACAATAACACATGGTTGGATTGGGATCATTTGTAGATTTGACCAGATAGATTTTGTACAAGTTGGTTTTTAGGACAGGATCCCACCATCTCCCGTTGTCAGGGTGACTAAATATAGATTTGGAAAGGATTAGAGGCTTTTCTAAAAAAGGGGTTTCGTATGTCTAGTACAATTAAACGAAGAACGCAGTGGTAGGAGTGTTGATTTCGTTAATAGGTCTCCGTTGGCCTAGTTATTGTGGTAGTTGGAAAATGATTTAAAAAAAAACTCAGGACGGAGGATTGTGATGGATAAAAAAATATAAGAACTTTAGCTATTGCACTTTGAAAAAGGAAACCTTTTTTTTCCATTATCATGTATTTGGGAGGAATAAATGACTATTGTGATACAGTTGAAATATGTTCAAAATTGACTCATAGACTTTGGAAACGTGTGCCCAAATGATGAGGACAGGTGGAATACAGAGATTGAAATCAATATGATGGGAGATGCCACCTAGTGAAGAGTAGTAACAGATAAGAACATGCCATATTCTCTCATACGATAGCATCAAGGAGAAGGAAGAACGACATTTGGATTTCACGAGTGAAGAAAACATCAAGCTGCATACTAGTCATTTTTGTAAAATATTATTTATATTTCCTTAGTATACCATTGACCCATCCAACTCAACAATAGCTGACAATGAGTGAAATAGGCTTATCTTTGTAATCACTTATTTACTTTTGCCATACCAATGGGTCACACTTCTTAACATTGTTATTCATAGGCAAGTAACACTTTAAGTTCTGTTATGTGAATAGCATGTTCTGGATGCAACCCAGTAACAACCCATGTTGTTGTTATTAGTCCATCCAATCAAAATCAAATAGAATAGGTCTATCTCTGGATTATAAGAAATCTTATGCATTGCTTTGAGAAATGGTCTCATTTTGGTGGAATTTATGTTTGTTTTTAAGTACTCATGCTTTTTCTCAAATCTTTTGCCGTCATATTTACATTCTTTTATCTTTCACCTGATCAGTTGAATGATGGTATTATTTGACATGTATATTGATGTCTTCATGTGAATGTGTAACTATTTTTCTGAAAGATCTTCATGTAGACTGGAACACTGACAAGTTTGTATCCATTTTAGGTATTGCGAACTGCCCTTAGTAATAGATTGGCCAAAGTGCAAGGGTTTTTATTCCGAGCTGCATTTCTGCGACGAGTGCCAGCCTTTTTCCGCCTCATTGCTGAAAATCTTTTATTATGTTTTCTTCATTCAACATTATTGTCCACATCTAAGTACTTAACAGGGGCACTAGGTTTACGTTTCAGGAAAATATTGACTGAGCTTATCCATGGCGACTATTTTGAGGTACTTACAATCATTTCTTTTGGATGTTCTTTTAACCACGAAGGGTACTATTTGTCGTTTGTTTTCCTCCTTGGTATAATGTACTATCTTATGTACGATGTGGTTAAGCCTTAATTCAGTCAAACTAGAGACAACTTTCTTTGCTTTTATCGCATAGCAGAATGAGGAATATGCAACGAGTTTAGTAGCATCATTATATATGTACATATATATGACCATTAGATAAAATTGATATGTTGTGTCCAAACAACTTGTATCCTATGGGGGGGGAAAAAATAGAGTTGAACGGAATGTTTGTCAGCTCTAGTAAACTACTCAGATAGCATTACGTCCGTGAGCTTTTGACATCCTATTTAAAATAATGGTATATTGTGTGTGTGGTTAGATGTATGGTAATAATGAACAACTTAGTTGACAATATAGCCATAATGGGATGAACATTATTGTTCCATTAAGCAGTAGGCATTTGAGCGTACTCCTTTTTTGCTAGATTTTTCTACGGTGATTGTGGAAAGAGAATTTGCATACACAATGCTGTGATGGCATGCAAGATGAATTCCAAAAAGGTCCATGGATAATATCCGGAAGTGATTAATGAAAATAGGGCTGGAAGAGTGCAAGGTGTACAATCAACATCGAAAGTACAGTTTCGAGGGTGTGCCCCAAGTGTGAGATATGTAATGATGGTAGACACTGGGTTTTCTAAATGAAATAGTGGGATATTTTTTTGTTTTTTTGCCTAGGTATTGTGGAGCATCGTCTTTTAAAGAATATTTCCCAGTAGTTTGCGGAGCAAAGTTGCTAGTGCCACAGGGATAGCTATTTTGATTTTATGGCGGTGGGAGGATGGTGGGATCAAAGTTTCAAAAGTATTTATCTGTAATAAAAAGTTACACAAATTGAACTTCTCCTTGGCCTATGTTAGGAAGACCAGTGCCAGTGGGATAGACCTACCTCCAGGGATTGAAATAGTAAAGAGGAAAGTTTCAGTCTGACCAGTCTATTATTTCATGGGAGATTGAGGTTTCATAAACCAGGTGGGCTCCTCAAATTCTCGTTTACCTCTGGAAGGATTTGATTTTATAGAATTTCTCATACGATGTTACTATTTGAAATCAGCTTCCTGCCTTTATTGGCTACTGGGATTGACCACAGTGGCTGCATGTAACTTCTGTCGCTGGTACTGCCCTAGATTTCCAACTCTTGTCGTTGGTATCATGAGAAATGTGAGAGGGGAAGAGAGGCAAGCTTCAATTCCATCCGTATCAGTTTTAGCTAGGGCAGCTGGCACTGCCCTAGATTTCCAACTCTTGTCGTTGGTATCATGAGAAATGTGAGAGGGGAAGAAGGCAAGCTTCAATTCCATCCGTACCAGTTTTAGCTAACATAAGTATATAAATTAGAAAATTATATATACAGCCTTTTTAAAATTGAATTGGACTTTTCCCTCAAATCCACCAGTTTACTAGTCATCTTGATCAGCACGGCTGATCTGGATACCTGTATGGATTCTGGTACTGTGCTTCTTGGAACTTATACGAAGGATGTCTAAATGGGTTACATGTTTCTCGTGGACAAAATTTCATTTGATGTTTGGCATATGCTACACAAAAAACAGTCATCATCCATCTGAACTAATGGAGTCGTTGTGGGCATGTTGTCGTCAATGATGGATCTTTAAAAGTGATCACTGAATATTGTGCTTTAATTTACTTCAAAATTTTTGAGCCATTTGCAACAGAAGGACACTTGGATTTTCGGGCTGCAGAGCTACACTGTATAGAGGTGTTTTCTTGTAGTGTTGATGGTATGGGAGGGTAAGGTTACTTCTTGTTGTAGAAAGGGCGATACTTGTTTATTTTGGGAGGGTTGTCAGAGCACCTCCTGCTCAACGGCACACTCTGTGGTGGCTGTAGATTGTCGACTCCATCTTGTCTTGTTTGCAGACCCTTTTTTGATCATTGACCTTCATTCTCGATCCTGAAACTGAATCTCATATGAGCACAAAACTAGGATCTTCTTGTTGCCACTAGGAAAGGGACAAGACAATATGCACAAAACGACCTTTATATCCTCTTGCACATTTCCTGTCCTTTAAAACATTTTCCACAATCTCATAGAGACTTCCTTATTAATTTAAACACCATTGTCATCTCTATCACCTTATTTAAGTCATTGTCCAATAAGGAATGGAAAGATGCCATGAATGAGGAGATATAAGTATTAGAGAAGAACAAAATTTGAGAGTTAGTGAGACTGCCAGCAGGAAAGAGATCCGTGAGGTGTAAGTGGGAGTAGAGAATGAAGTATTGAGCAGATAGATCTATGGAGAGACACAAGGTTAGGTTGGTTGCCAAGGGCTACACTGAGACATATGAGGTTAATTACGTAAGGAACTTTGTCATGATTGCAAAGATAGAACACTATCAGAATGGTGTTTGTCATATGCAGCTAATTATGGCAGGGAGTTGCACTAGTTTGATGTTAAAAACGCATTTTTGTACGGTGAACTAGAGGAAGAAATTCATGTGGAGATCCCACTAGGTTATGAAAATAATTTGGTTGTTCACACTTACTCTTTCCTCCATTCTTACCATCTCTTTTTCAACAGCTTATCTTATTCCACAGCTCATCTCCCTCTCGTCTTCCTCTCATTTGACTCATTTCTTGCCAGTTCTAGTCAAGGGTAATATGGTGGTCGTATTGAAAGAAAATGGGTAACTGTAGTAAAGCATTGGTTCTTTATGATGAGTTGTAGCATGCCAGACTGGACGAAGCAAGAACAGCTATACATCGAAGTAAATTAGCGTCGTTAATCTTAGTTATTGCTGCTTCTGTCAATCAGGTTATGATACTTCAATACTCTTTCTTTTGACGGCGTTCTTCTTATTTTATTCTGTGTCAATTGAAGTAACTTCCTCCCCAGAAACACTGCATTTATAGTTTATGATGTATTATCTCACTTATTGGTTGATCTAATGGATTTTCATGATGCAGAATATGGCATATTACAAAATATCACATGTTGATGGACGAATCACCAATCCAGAGCAACGAATTGCCAGTGATATACCAAGATTTTGTTCAGAATTGAGTGACCTTGTTCAGGATGACCTCACTGCGGTCACTGACGGTCTGCTCTACACATGGCGTCTCTGTTCTTATGCAAGCCCAAAATATGTGTTTTGGATACTGGTATTTCTTTCCGCTGGACACTTGAGGACTCAGTTCTCAACCTTATCTTTACGGAAAAACTTGTGCTCTTCCTTCCTGCTCCATGGAAATACATATCACCTTCATCATATTTGATAAGAACAAAAGTTCTTTCTTTCTGCCGTGGAAACATGCTCATTGCGGCCACTGATGACCTTTTATTCAGTATTGTGCATGTTTATTTTTTAATAAAACCATACTGTTACGTCGTCTACTATAGCAAATAAAGAATAGGGAATTATGTTACTTCAGTGACTTAAGAATCTCCTAGCAGCGGTTCCTAGGTTCCCTATATTCCCCCTTCTCCTTCTTGTCATCAGGAAAGTAGTGATGATCATGCTTGCTGTTTGTGGAACTTCGTTCCATTCTGATAATGGGAAGACAACAAGCATGGTAGTGACAAGTGCCAGTGGTACTCCTCACACAACAATCATCTCTGTCTGCCTTCCAAAAAGTTTTGGCCAATCTGATGACATAATAGACTGTTTTAAAGAATTGTCGTGTTAGCAACTCTTCTCATCATTGCTGCTATTGTCACCCACTGAGAAGCCGAATATTCTGTTACAGCCACTGTTGCCATCTATCACTTTTGTTTCCTTTCCTGATAATGTTTCACATGACCTTAACCCTCCATCGTTTGTCATCTTCTTCTGCCTGCCCCGCTTCTTCTGTTGGTGGAACAGTCATTACCGACCTCCTCTCCATTCCCTATATCCTAAATCTGACCAGATGGGCAAGCTTTTGTCACATTTCGACTGTATAATTCCCATTTTTTCTGTCAAATTACAATGCTCTCACGTGTCAGATTTGGCTTCCATCTTCATGTTAGTTAACTGTGATATCGTGTTTTATTTCATAAATTTTCAGGCATATGTACTAGGGGCTGGGACTATGACCAGAAAAATCTCTCCTCCGTTTGGAAGTCTGATGTCAAAAGAGCAGCAGCTGGAAGGCGAATATCGACAACTTCACTCACGGTTAAGAACCCATGCTGAAAGTATAGCATTTTATGGAGGAGAAAACAGGGAAGCATCGCACATCAGTCAGAAGTTCAAGGCACTTGTTAAGCACATGAATCTTGTTCTTCATGACCACTGGTGGTTTGGAATGATTCAAGACTTCTTGTTGAAATATCTTGGTGCCACAGTAGCAGTAATACTTATAATTGAGCCTTTTTTCGCTGGAAATCTGAGACCTGATTCTTCAACCTTAGGAAGGGCAGAAATGCTTAGCAATCTTCGATATCACACAAGTGTTATTATATCTCTGTTTCAGTCACTCGGGACTCTATCAATCAGTTCACGGAGATTGAATCGCCTGAGGTGAGTTCTTTATGAGCATTTTCTGCATTGGTAATTGCGAAGCTTGGTTTATTTTAGTTATTTAAGATTCGAGATCGCTGTGCACCCTTTTTTATTGTTTAAATGACTTCATGTTTTGACACCGGCATATCCATATTTTTTTAGTTTTGACTGCGTATGATTTCTATTCTTGCACCTAGCCCGGTTACATTGCGTCTTTTGTCAACATTCGTAATTTTATTTGAAGGGGAAGATGGGAGTTCACTTGAATTTGAGTTTTATGTAGACTAATGAATAAAAAGGTTAAAAACTAATCCATAGTACAAGTGGAAATAACTGCTTTTTGTTCCCGCTTCACAAAATAAGTCTTATGTGTGTGATGATTTGGTTTGAGAAATTGGTGAACATCAGGGAAAAACTAATGAAAACCGATAAACTGATAATAGTAGACTTGACGTCATAATCGAATGCCAAAATGATCATCTGTGGTTCATGATTTATTGAGGCCTGGAATATCAGTCTTATCATTATTTTGTTTAGGCATCTTTCTGATGGAGGGCAGAACCATCTTTGCTCCTCAAAATATAAGGATGATTTCCAAGCTTAGATTAGAACGATTTTTAAATTACACCTTGAATTTTGGGATAATTTCTTAGCTTTTAGTTAGGACATTGAGCATTTATTTATAAGGATAATTTCTCCTCGTTCTTTTCTCATCATTTACTGGCAAACAATTCTAGTGTAGAATGATGGAGACGAACGGTTTTTATATGATTTGATTTTGCAGAATGATGGAGAAACGGTTAATGTTTACAAAGAGAACCAGCTCACGGTTGATGTATTTTACAGTGAATCATGTGTAATAAGCCATCGATGACTGCCATTAAGATTGTGAGAGTAGTGATGAACGGTTTTATTACAGTTTTTTGTCAGCATTTGGCATCTTGAAGCTGCCAATACCATTAAAAGTTGCTAATAAGTGAAAGGGCTTGAAATGTGGAAACATCAATGAGATCTTTCCAACTTAAGGCTGTTGATGATAAACAAAATGTTAAATTTACGACATATCATCTTAGGTAGGAACTTGTCTGTATTTTATCTCATTGTGGCGGGTCAATGCCCTCAAGAAAGCATTACTGTCCTACACTAAATTTTGGGAGCCAATCCTTGACTCAAGATACTGAGAAAATGTTTCTGTTGCTCTGCTTGATTGAGGACATTTCAGTATTAGGATAGATGATTATGAATGTGAGAAGACGAAAGGAAGGTCCATTCATTTTTTAATTGTAAATAGGGCGCCAAAATGCCATTTCGGTCAATTATGGCAAATGGAAACATAACAATTTCTATTAAGTTCACGTTTCTTGCCATCTAATATGATATTCTGTTGTATATCCAGCTGAGTTATTATCTTGGAATAATACTGATATTATTAGCTGTATGTACCTCTAGTAAACTTCCTTCTGTTGGTAGGTCCAAAATATATGGCCCTATGTGGCTATTTGTGGCAATAGGCTTTAATCAAAGTCCCTTGGAGACCTTATTCTAGGTTGGGTGGGATAAACTTTTGTTTCTATCAAAAAAATTATCCGTTTATTCCTTCAAAATGTTATGCTCCACTTATGGAGCTACCTGGATGTGACCCGTAGTCAGGCATATTTGTAAAGGTGGGAGTCTACGTAGGGCGTCTATATGTTAATGTCCCTGTGGTGAACTATTTGAGTTTGTTTGTATACTATTGCTCTAAGAGAACTAGGGTCCAGTGCCAATTCTTTACGGATTGGGATGACCCTGCCTGAAACTACTTGAATGCAAAATCTGAGCTACAACTACATAGATATCAGAACATCATGCCATTTCCAACGCTTCATACTTATGTTCTTTTTTCAGGAATATGTTCGCTGAAGTATTATAAGTAATGCAGTTGGGAATGATTAGTCTTGTGCTGTAGTTTTTATTTCATTACACCATTTTTTATTTATTTATATGCTATTTTTTGTATCTTGCCACTGATATATTTTTTATTTAACAGTGGCTTTGCTGATCGAATTCATGAGTTGATGATCATATCCAAGGAACTATCTGCTACCAGTGACAAAACACTAGTCCAAAATAATGCAAACAGGAATTACTTCACGGAAGCAAATTACATTGAATTTTCAAATGTAAAGGTAATCGTGAATTTAAAAAAGGATATGGTTGCGTAATTCCTGTCTTTTAACGTTATATTTTTTTAAACCACTAAACATTTTCTAGAATGTTCTAATAATAAGTTATATCAGGTTGTCACACCAACAGGAAATGTATTGGTGGACGATCTGAGTCTTAAGGTTGAACCAGGTTCCAATCTTCTTATCACAGGTAATTTTGAACTGTTCACTTTAGAGTAACCTGCACTTAATTAATTGGCTGGATGTGTACAGTTCTTCACTTGTACAGTTTAATTCAACTTCCATCAAAAGGGCGGGCATGCACCTCTCACTTGTAACTTAATTAAGTATAGTTGGATTAATATCATTCTGTACAAGTGAAGAACTATCAGAATTCAAGGGAGTATTATTATATCGGTTGAGAAATCTAGAAATTTGATTTAGGTTTGGATTAAGGAAGAAGGGAAAGTAGGTCCCGCACCTCTCATTTCCGGATCTTGCTTACTTTGTATGCATGTAGCAAACTAATTTTGAAATAAAAAATGGGTAGTAAACCGTGGACTCTAGTTTGCTGAGTTCTTCACTTGTTTCTGCCTCAGGTCCAAATGGAAGCGGTAAAAGCTCTCTATTTAGGGTGCTTGGTGGTCTTTGGCCACTGGTGTCAGGCTACATCGTTAAACCAGGAATTGGTTCCGATCTCAACAAAGAAATCTTTTATGTGCCTCAACGACCATATACAGCTGTTGGAACATTACGTGACCAGCTGATTTATCCCCTCACATCAGATGAAGAAACAGAACCGCTTACACACAATGGAATGGTTGAACTACTGAAGAATGTAACACTCCGTCCTTTGATCCATGTTGTTTATTTGGAATTTCCATCACCATTTGCTTCCTTTGTTGATTGATGGGCTACTGCCGTTAGTAGATATGATAAAATGTTTGTATTTTTGATAGGTTGATCTAGAATATTTATTGGAACGATATCCACCTGAAGAGGAGATTAATTGGGGTGATGAACTCTCTCTTGGTGAGCAGCAGAGATTAGGGATGGCCCGGTTGTTCTATCATAAACCTAAATTTGCTATTCTTGATGAGTGTACAAGTGCTGTCACGACCGATATGGAGGAAAGGTTTTGTGCTAAGGTCAGAGCAATGGGAACATCATGCATTACTATATCTCACCGTCCTGCACTAGTCGCATTCCATGATGTGGTTTTATCATTGGATGGGGAAGGAGGATGGAGTGTTCAGTACAAAAGGTGATTCAGTGTTTGTATCTTTTTTCCTTGCTTCTTTTTTTTATGTTGTAAAACTTAGGTCGCTCTGTAATTGTCAGGGACAATGCATTTTCTGGAGTATCAAGAAGTTTATCAGTAACATCAGAAACTGTTCGCAAAGCTGATGCAATTGTTGTACAAAATGCTTTTTCTGCAGCTGGAAAGGTCCACAACCACTTCCATCTAGAATGTTTTACTTTTGTTTGATTCATGTGCTCTTTGCCCGACTATTATCCATTATCATGTTTCGTTATGCCTGCAGAAATCATTCTCTGATTCCAAGGTGGACAATTACACAATGAGAGTTATTGCTTCATCTCCAGAAATGTATACAAATCAATTGCCTATTGTTCCACAATTACAGAATGTGGCAAGGCCCTTGCCACAGAGAGTAGCTGCAATGTTTAAAGTACTGGTATATATCTTGTCTTTAGCTGATCTGTATTTTTCTCGTTATAGCTCATGATTGAAGGGCTAACAATGATTAGATTCTTCTGGATGGCTAGCAAAGTTTAAATCTAGTGATTCTCTTCTCTACTCAAGGAGTTTGATGTTACTTCTTATTTGTACCCCAGCGCACATTAATTTCTGAGTGTTTTTAGAAAATTTCAATGATATAAAACTGGTCGTTTCATACAGCTTATAGAGTATCATTTTTCTGATACAGTATCATTTCTGTCGGAACCGGGTTCCTGATCTGTTTACACCGGGAAGAGAAACGATCATATACAAGACAGCTTACCTTAGTTAGTCAGTTCTGATATGGGTGCCTATTAAACTCCCCTCTTGAAATACAACGGCCTGAGGAAAGAGAGAAAGTGATAGCTACATAAACAGACAATGCTAGAGAAAATGGGGAAGAGGCTGGAGAGCAGGACAAAGACATCTGCTGGCGTTGAGCAGTGTACGTCCTTGTCTGCACTGCGCATCACCTGACATTGCTGCTTGTTCCCTCCACCTAAAAAGTTGCGTCCTCCTCAACGGGGATTCAAAATATGACTCGCGTAAAACCTGAATTAATTAGACGAAAAAAAATCTGCTTCTAGAATCTATGATGGCGTCATTCCTGTTTGACTGAGGATAGTAGATAAAATGATAGCTAGGATAATTATGTTCAATAAGACTGTAGTGCAAGAAAAATCATATTTACAATGTGGGGTGAGAAGAGAATGTATGAGTTGATGTTTGAGAATCCTAAGTCAATGCATATGTTAGAGAAATGCTAGGGGCAGCGGCAATAGGTCTTGTATGCTCAATTAGTTGATCCCTTCTGCCATCCATTATCACCCATCACTACGCACGGCCTGCCATGTCTTCTTGCCCCCTTTACTTGATCTTTTGCATTTTTCAACATAGTTGATAATCTCCATTTGGCGTAGTCTGTTTTATCTATGACTGGCATGAGAACCCTCTGGGAAAAAGTTCATCTGATTTTTTTATTCTTCCATGCACAATGATCTACCTCAAGTTGTTTTTCTCATTCAACTCCATTTTTGGTACTTGAACTAACTTGGGCTCTTTGCACGATTTGATATCGATTATTTCAGGACGTAAGTTTTCTCATCTTCTTATTATTATTTTTTCGGCTTCTTTATTAACAGGTTCCGACACTAATGGATAAACAAGGTGCACAGCTATTCGCAGTTGCATTGCTTGTTGTGTCTAGAACATGGATTTCAGATCGCATTGCTTCGTTGAATGGTAAATCTGATTAATTTAGTAATCATGTCAAAACCACATGCAATATTGCTGCAACCTTTCACGTTTACAGGAACAAGTGTGAAGTATGTTCTGGAGCAGGACAAAATGGCTTTCGTTCGACTAACTGGCATTAGCGTCCTCCAAAGTGCAGCATCTTCTTTTGTTGCTCCTTCACTTAGGTATATATCTGTATCTCGGAGAGGCTTAGTAGTCAAGTTGTTTTCCAGAAATGATGTATCCTTGCACATCCATCGGACTAAATGGGGATGAAAATTGAACTTGTGCAATGATATTATTGTAGCTGGCGCTACGATATGATAGTCCATTTGACAATGGGATTTTGACCGTATTCTCCTTTTATGCCTTCTATTCCATCCAAATCCTAGAATCTGGCTCCGCCTGCTACAGTGACGCTGCCTAGCTGTTGTATACAATATTCAAACTTATCTCACTCTCAAATGAGAGTCCGAGACTATCATCCTGCCTGTTCCTGCCAGAACCTAGGACATAGGGATTTTAATGTTACCTCATCATACTTAAATGAATATTTTCAGTTTTTTTGGTTCCTCGTTGCAAGTAATTTTGTATAATGCTTACCTCCTGCTATTTTTAGAATTTTGTTAGCAATACACATTTCCAATGTGGAATAAATTTGTGACTAATGCTGAAATAAATTGATTGATTTCTCTGGGAAATATTTCCTATATACGAGAGTATTATGTTGCATAAAGAGAAGTTCATTTTTGGTACGAATCAATGAAATCATTTAAACTCTCAGCTAGCTTGAATTTCATTATTGGTGGTACATATGCCTTCCCTTTCGACATATTTCTCTTCGATTTGTGTTCACTTTTGATTTGGACGCTCTGATTCAGTTTCTGACATTCGGTGTATTAACCTGCAATGAGATCCTTGTCTCTTTTCTTTATTTTTTTACCTTTTTTCGGTTTTTTAGTACATTTTCTAGTATTAATTTTGCAGATAATTCTTAGGAATTTAATTTCGAAGATACTCCCTTCAGGTGTTTTATTTTTTGTCCATCTCATCTGGTTAAAAAATTCTGGAAGATAATTTGATGATGTTGGCCATGTATGTGGGGAAAGAAACTGGTCGACCAACTGCTCCTTATTGGCCGAAAGATCAAGTTGGCTTTCCTAATAAGAAATTCCCCAGAGATAGGGAAACTGTTCCTCGCCTGGGTATAATTACCATTAGTGTAGTTTTTATCTTTTCTCAACTGAACTTAGGTGAAGGAAATGCCATGACAAGATAAGGTAAGTCAGAATGACCTTATTAATGATCAAATTACTTTCTATAAGGAACTCTCTTATTGGATACCAAAAGATGCTATCCACTTCAAGGGTTTTTTCTGTCATAAAGAGGCAAGGTGCAAATAAAATGCTCTTAGGTCGAGTAAAATATGATGACACTGAGGAAAGATATACACGCAATTTCTTTTCTTAGAAGTGTATTTTGCAGTAGAATTTTTTGAAGGCACATGTGAGATGAAGCTAATTTTTTTCTTTTTTTTTCATTAGTATGAACTGAATGTTAGCATTCGATAATTTGATATATTTTAAGTGGGTCTCATGCTCTTACTTGCGTTTATTTAAACGATTCGTCTTTACTATTTTTAGAGTTGAAATTTTCTTTTTGTCTGCATGCAGACATCTAACGGCCAAACTGGCGCTAGGATGGCGAATCCGTTTGACCCAACACCTTCTTAAAACCTATCTGAAAAGGAATGCTTTTTACAAGGTATGCGGTTCTTTTTTATGTTGGAAGGATGATGTATAACTTACTTATTTATAAGGTTTTTTGGTAAATTGATGTGGCTGTCAGGGCTGTGAGAAGAATGACGATATTAATGATTTTTTATCGCAAATTGTGTTGCATTTTTTATGCCTTCCTTCTAATGATAAGCTAGGTATCCTCTGGATTTCCTTGCGTTTTCCTTTTTTAGACATTTTTTTTGTTGGGGGTTTGATGGCTGGGTGGTGTTGGGGGAAGAGGGGGGACTCTCATGTTCTTCATATGACCTGAAATAATACACGTTTTTGGGGTCTCCAATTGGCATTTATGAAATAAAATTGTATCCGTCTTTCCATAGGTGTTCCACATGTCCAATGGAAATATTGATGCAGACCAGAGAATAACACGCGATGTGGAAAAGTTGACGGGTGACATCTCAAGCTTAGTAACTGGAATGGTTAAACCATCAGTTGACATTCTTTGGTGAGTTATTAGGTTTTGCTTTTTTTCCTCTGTATCATTTTGCTTAACCTAAAATTGTGTTTGTCTAAATGGACAGGTTTACATGGAGAATGAAAACGCTAACTGGTCGGAGAGGGGTTGGTATACTATATGCTTACATGTTACTTGGCTTGGGCTTTTTGAGAAGTGTTACACCTGAATTTGGTGACTTGTCAAGTAAAGAACAGCAGCTTGAGGGAAAATTTAGGTAGGATAAACTGTTCCGTATTTTTATGAATCGTAATATTACTCTATCTTTCTCACCCTCCACTTTGGTCTGGTGTACTACTGCAGTCGTTTAGTTTCATTTTCTCCTGCATTTCTATAGATTCATGCATTCAAGACTTCGTGAGCATGCGGAATCAGTAGCCTTTTTTGGCGGTGGCTCTCGTGAAAAATCTGTAAGATAATTGTATTTCTCGCTTACTTGTTGGTTGATTAGACATGGCAAATATAATGACCTTTGCTTTTAGGTGGAATTTGCACTTATAGAAATAACTTCTGAATGTGTTATTCTTTGTAACGTCAGGATTGAACCATCTCATCATCTGACAGCTTGTGTTCGTGAAGTTGATACCATGCTAATTTTATTTGCAGATTTTCAAGATATTCCTAGTTAAATGTCAATACGACAATTTACTCATTCTTTTGCTTTAGTCTGTTTCCAGATATTGTGATTTTTAACATTTTTTCCCATGCTAAACAGATGGTTGATGCTAGGTTCAAAGTGTTGCTTGACCACTCTAAGATGTTATTGAAGAAAAAGTGGCTCTATGGTATATTGGATGACTTTGTGACAAAGCAACTCCCTCACAATGTAACTTGGGGTCTCAGTTTATTATATGCTATGGAGCATCAAGGAGATCGTGCCCTAACATCCATACAAGGTGCATGAAACGAAGTTACTACGTGAATTATGTAATAATTTTGTGCTCTAATTCTGCTTCCCAATTCGTTCACAGGAGAGTTGGCACATGCATTGCGCTTCTTAGCTTCTGTCGTATCACAAAGTTTCCTAGCATTTGGCGATATTCTCGAGTTGCACAGAAAGTATCTTGAGCTTACTGGTGGCATCAACCGTATATTTGAGCTGGAGGAGTTCCTTGATGCTGCCCAAAGTGGTAAAAAACTGTCCAAAGTAGTTTTTTCTTATGTACATTGTTGGTGCTTGGATTACCATGTTCTTCGAATTGAACATTCAGATGCAAGGACTATTTGTAAACATTACTGATGCAAAACTTTAAGTTGCATGTCTCTCTCTTGGTTTAATATTACATTTTTTATTATTCAATGCAAAACTTTGTAATTATTGTAGTGGGTGCTTTGATTAGTGATTGCCTGGTTTGGTGGTATATTTTATGCCTTGTTTACCGGTACCTCTTAGTATCCAGTTTCCATTCTCTTTACATATCAATTTTCTCTACTTAATGCCGTAAGCATCTTTTGCACTATTGATCTAGAGGAGTGGTACCCAAATCTCTTGTCAATCAGTGTCAGTTATTGTCTCATATGCAGAGATTCAACTGTCTTATGGCTCAAGAACATCATCTCAAGGGGAAATTGTGGCAGCCGATGATATTATTTCTTTCTCTGAGGTTGATGTTATCACCCCTGCCCAAAAGCTGCTGGCCAGACAGTTGACCTGTGATGTAGTACAAGGCAAGAGTATGCTTGTGACTGGTGAGGGAATGTGTAAATATATGTTTTTATTTCACTGAATTGATTGGGAAATACCATGAATTCAGTTTCTCATAATTCCTAAACATTTTAAAGGACCCAATGGAAGTGGCAAGAGCTCTGTTTTTAGAATCCTTCGAGGTCTGTGGCCGATTGCAAGTGGGAGGCTCATTAAACCCTGCCAGAATATTCATGAAAGTGTTGGGTCAGAATGTGGTCTTTTTTACATTCCTCAGCGGCCGTACACTTGTCTTGGGACTCTGAGGGATCAAATAATTTACCCACTTTCGCATGAAGAAGCAGAGCAGAGGATCCTTCGTCTACCAGGATGTAAGTGCAATTTACCACTTCCTGCTGAGCTAGATGCACTGCGGTTTCCTTTTCTGTGGGATTTAATTCCCCCCCCCCTCTCTCTCTCTCTCTCTCTCTCACACACACACACACACACATCTCTACCCCTCTCTGTACCTCAATCTACCTGCCTATTTGTTATGTTTCAAGTGGTTCACAAGCCATTTGTGATCGATCTAAGCATGGCAACAGTCGCTGTGACATTGCAACTATGCCATTTGGCATAGTTGCGATCAAGAAATATGATTCTACTTCGGATCAATCAGCCTCTGGATATAATGTCCGGCTCATTTGAACGATGGCGCAATGTATCATCAAATGAGATTTTTGCTGTGTTCACTGTTCTCTGTAGTAATTAATGTTCTTGTCCTCGTCTGTCAGATACACTGAATTCGTTTTACATCTTTTTCCCCTGTTCCCAAAAATCAAATCTCTAATTTCCTGAACCCGTTTGTTGTCCCAACTTGCCTGCTCTCAACTTGTGAGACCTGCCAAAAAATTGGCGTTGGTACAGTAGTTTTCATGCTAATATTAGGTTTTCTATGTACCTGATTAGTATTCATGTTCTTCGTCAGGTGATACACCGATCACCTCTCCCCCATTGGATGCGCATCTCCGGACAATTCTTGAAAACGTCAGACTGGTCTATCTTCTCGAAAGGCAGCAAAAGGGTTGGGATGCCACTCCGAATTGGGAAGACATCTTATCTTTGGGAGAGCAGCAGAGACTCGGCATGGTCAGCCGTTGGAACTTCGATCTCAGCTTTCTGTTCACCTTCTCCTGCTTTGTACCAAACGCTTATAACACAGATCTTTGTTTTGCCCAGGCTCGGTTGTTCTTCCAACATCCCAAATTCGGCATCCTCGACGAGTGCACGAAGTGACTCCACAGACTTTACTTTTCACTCTCATTCTTCTTTCCTTTCGCTCATTGTTTATTTTCTTGTGAAAATCCGACCCAATTCCGTATTTCTTCCTTGTTTCAGTGCCACAAGTGTTGATGTGGAAGAACACCTTTACAGAATTGCAACAGAGCTGGGCATCACGGTGGTCACATCTTCCCAGGTAAAGGACCATGATCTCCCCTGTTTAGCCTTGTGCCGTTTCGCATCCGGACCAACTCCATCGCTCCTAATCGGTTCCCTGTCAAATCTTCTGCCATTTCTGAAGAGGCCGGCGCTCATACCATTCCATTCCACGGAGCTGCGCCTTATCGATGGCGAAGGCAAATGGGAGCTACGCTCGATCAGCCACGAATCAATCGGCTAAACTCCTCTGTGAATTTTACTTCGCAATTGTCTTTTGGGGGGTGTCAACCTGCTCGTAGTCCGAAGCCCAGGAGAAGATCAGCGGCCTGGAACCTGTCAGATAGTTATCTATATGGGAGAGCAGCGATGCCCTTTGTCTGCAATAAGAGAGCCAATCATTCAGCCAATTGGGTGCTGTAGCTCGCCGGGAGGGAGTGGACGGGTTGACAAAGGGCCTCACCGGATTCCTCACAGTTCAACTAAAATAAGTTATTGGGTCATCAGACAATGTATGTGGGTCTGTACAAAGGAGACCTCGTCGGCCAAGTCTGCAGATCCAGTGCTTCATGTAGTGCTCGGCCCATTTATCCCTTGTAGCATTAGCCCAGTCGTCATCATCATCATCATCATCATCTTGATTATTATTAACATTAATATTATTATTATCATTATCCTACTTAGGATCAATAATCTTGAATCAAAGTTCTATCATTGATCACAGAATATTTATTTAATGGCCAAATGGGTCATCATTTCCCGCGTGGACAGCGTCTGTTGATTGTTTTCAGGAGGTTACCTGACAAGGCAGCCTCACAGAGTAATAGCTCCACTTCAAGTGGACTTGAAAAGCTTCTCAACGAGCCCTTCGCTGAAGGCCCAGAGCTTCTTCGCGAGCTCCCCGTCCGTTGCATACGAGGTCGGCGTCACCTCGTTGCAGTCGGAGAAGTACTTCCCGGAGACGTCTCTCACGCCGGGGTGAAGAGCTAAGTAGCACGTGGTGGCCGCACCCTGCAAAGGGACCAAAGGGACCGGGGATGAGGACGACTGAGGAAGAACATCCAGTGGACTGGTGGTGGTAGTAGCAGTAGTAGTTCTCACCTGCGGCACGGTCTTGAAGAAGGGCGTCACCAAGGATACCAGCGAGCGGGTTACAGCTATAGATGCAGTATTCGTCAGGATCTTCAGGGGAAACGACGTAGACTTAGGGAGGGGCTTGCTCACCGTTGAGGGCCAAGTACCGAAAGAGGTTGGTCTGTATCAGCCCCGGGTGCAACGAATTGGCTGTCACGTCGGCCTTCTCCTCCTATGTGGAGAGGACGGTCGGGTTTCATCAGGGGATGTACATCGCCATTTGTGGGGTTCCAATTGCGTTTAAGCAGTGGAGCAGGGTTTTGGCATTGCTTTCATGGGGTCAATCCTACCTGCAGGCGCCTGGATAGCTCGTTGGCGTGCAGAATATTCGCGAGCTTAGAGCGAGCGTAGGCCACTGCAAATGGCTTGTAGCTGTCGGAAGTTGGGGATTGGTGAAGGAAAGGTGTCGGTTTAGTAGGTTGTGAGAAGACGAGGAGGAGCTTACTCCGATCGGTTGTTTATCTTGTCCAGGTCGAACCAGGTTGCGTCGCTTCGGCGGTGAGCGGCAGATGAGACGCTGACGATCCGCCCCTGTATCCCCGCCTCTCTGGCTGTGGCCTTCATCTTCTCCAGTAGCAGGTTCGTCAGCAGGAAGTGCCCTGTGCATGGATGGAGGTCACGGGAGGAAGAGGAGACCGCTCCAATGGAGAGAATGAACTCGCGACGAGCAATTACCGAGATGGTTGGTGGCGAACTGCAGCTCCACTCCGTCCCTCGAGAGCTGGAAAGGACATGCCATGATTCCCCCGTTGTTTCTGTTCCGCGATACCCAGAAGAGGAGCAAGAAGACGACGGCACCGGGCGCCGTCAGTCTGCGGCGGGTGGAGGAAAAGGAGCGTATCTGTGAAACTTGTCTACTTACATAAGGATGTGCAAGGGTTGACTCGAGGCGCAAAAGCGGCTCGCGAAGGACGCCACTGAGCTGAGGGAGCTCAGATCCATCTCCATGACGTCGATTCTCGCTTGTGGGTTCTCCCGCAGCAGGCTCTCCTTCACCTCGGCGCCTCCCTCCGGCGTTCTGGCGGGAATGATGACTCTGGCTCCTCGCAGGGCCAGAACCCTCGCCGTCTCCTTCCCGATACCGCTCGTTCCGCCTGCTCAAAACCCAGCAAGACGTGAGAATTTCATCACTGAAATTTCAGTTCAGCAGTCTTCGGAGGGGGAACCTGTGACGATGGCCGTGAGGTGGCTGGCGTCGATGCCCTCCGTGACCTGCTCCGCCGTGGAAGAAGAGCCGAAGCCCGACGACCCCACCGGCGATACCCACCTGCGGAAAAAACCCATCCCTCCTGATATCCCCTCGCTCACTCTCTCTCTCATATATCTGTGTGTGTGGCTCTCTCTCTCTCATATATCTGTGCTGAACGCCCAAAACGCAACGGGCTGCCTTTGAGGCTTCTACTGAGCCTATTCAGAGCCCATCTACTATGGAAATGGGCTGGTCCTGTCTGTGTTCATCAATAATGGGCCTGTGCCCACACGTGGGTGGAAAAGCGGATACGGACAAAAGTAGAGAGAGAAAGAGGAGGGGATCACGAAATTGCTTGACAACTGTCCGCGCAATCCAACGGGACCACGCCACCATTTGAAAAATATTAAAAAAACCCAATCTTGAAAAGATAATAACTTTTTTGTCACGTCTTCGGTAAGCCGTGCAATCAAGGGCCGTCCTGAATGCATCGTCTGGCTAGGGACCGAAGCGATATTTGAATTATATTTCCCCCCCTAAATTATTCTGAAGTCGTGAACTTTGAATGGGAGAACAGAAATTGTCGAAACTGCCCAGATAACTGATCCGTTTAGCTCTTTACTACAATTTCCGCATTTTTATGTGCTGATCTGTAAGTATGTTGACTGTGTTTTGGGAAGACGGGCGGTGGGGGAAGCTGCCCCGGCGACCGTCGTCGGGGGAGCCACCACCGCCCCTCGTTGTTAGCCAACAATGATTGACGGGAAGAAAGTAAACGTGCGTAGCCCTCTTTTCGGAATCTCTCTCTCTCTCTCTCTCTCTCTCTCTCTCTCTCTCTCTCTCTCTTCTGAGAACGGGAGGAGGTGGGGGGATGAGAGAGGTGACCAGGGAGGTATCATGTGGGGGGAGAAGGTGGCAGAGCTAGTTGCAGAACTGCAATGGTGGTGGGCGGGGGAAAGGTCAACAGAAAGGAACCCACTTCGGGCCTGGGGTGAGAAGGTTGGGAGGTGAAGCCACGCCGGCGGATGAGCACACTCCGGCGATCTTCGTCCCTTTCTGCTTACTCTGATCATTTATTGCCCAGACTGTGCAACTCACGGCTTTCGTCTTCTTCTTCCTCGCTCCGCCGGAAAAACTGCGGCGTCACGGATCTCCGCCGCCGGTGCAAAACCCTCCTCCCCCCTTGAGCTTCCTTGCCGCGCAGGCATCGTCTAGAAAATAAACATCGGCATGGGGAGAGGAAATTGGAGGAGATATCATATAATAATCCGATTAAATATTATAATCCGAACCCACTGCGAGGAATGATAACACAGCGCCGATCGCGGGATGTCTCGTAACTAGGTCAGTAGAGAGTGAGATTAAATGGATGCTGATGAAACCATAGATGATCACTCGATTCGAGCGAAAGGAAAGGAAGAGGAGAGGAGGATCCTCCTGAATCTTCAAGTCAGATTCCCTTCTTCTCCGTAATCTCGTGATCTCTGATAATAACAACGGTGGAGCGAACGATAGGGTCTTCTTCTTCCTCTTCTTCTTCTTCTTCTTCTTCTTCGTCTTATTCTTCATCTCAGACTGGGATCGCAGGGGAGGGGTCAGTCTTCGAGGGCCCGTCGCTACCGCCGCCTCCTCCACCTCCTCCAGAGAGGGCGCTCTTGTTGTTGTGCATCCACACCTTGAGCACCTGTCGCTTGACGCCGACTTTAGAGCAGAACTCCTGGAGCTCGTCATTATCGTGCCTCTGAATCCTCCACCCCACCTTCTCCGCAAACTTTTGCATCTCCTCCTTCTGCTCCGGCGTGAACTTGGTCCGAAACCTCTTCCTGGTTCGGTCCCTCTCTCTCCCGAAGGACATGTCCGTCGCCGGCGCCGAGTAAGAGAAGGGCTGCGGCGGCTGCATCTGCGGCGGCGGCGGCGGGGTCTCCGATCCCGTACTCCGCTCCAGCGACGGAGGTAGTCCCAGTGGGCGGTAGGCGTGTCCAGGGAGGGCGAGCATCGGCGGAAGACCGTGGCGGAAGAAGGAGGGTACCTTGGAGGAGGAGTTCTCAGCGGCATTATAGAGCAGAACTGGGTGATGAACCGGGTGGACGTGGTCGTAGGGGACGTAGTCAACGGAGCCCCCGACCTCTTCCTTGCGGTGAAAGTTGCGGTGGCACCCGCAGGCGGCGCACTTGAGAGCTTCCAGCGTTCCCTGTTCTCCACCGGGCATGAACTCCCCGCAGCCGTCGAAGGCCTGCGCCCCCAGACCGGCGGCGTGGTTCTTCATGCACTCCCAGTACCTCACGCTCACCCCCACCGCCGCCGCCGCACCAACGCCGCAGGGGCGCCCCCCGTTCTTCTCCGCCATCTCAACTTCCCCCAGCTCCCCACCTCCATTCTTCCCTATCTCCCCCCCCCTGTAGGGCACCATGCTTAAATCCATACAAACTTAACTGCACCCTACCACCACTTCTTACCTCCCACTGCTCTCCCCCCCTCGCCCTCTCTTCTCTCTTTCTCTCTCTCTCTAACCTTCCCCGGCCCTCTACACCCAACCCCTATTGGGCGTCCGGTGTTACGGGCTACGCAAAGCGCATAGTTTGGTGGGGGGGCCGGAGGTAATAACATGCTTTTATAAAGCGCGGCGGGGATAGGGGCGAGATGGGTTTGAAAGGCATAGCTCTGCGGGGGATTGCGCCCACTGCTTCGGATTCAGACCCACCTCCAGATGAGCGAGATTAGGAGAGAAGAATCGTACAGGAAGACGAAGAAGAAGAGAGAAGAGAGGTAAAACCCACCCCACCGGATCCTCTGATAGACGAACCCGAACGCCGGCTTCGTATTGGCTACACCCGCAGCTGAATCTTCTTCCTCTCTCTCTCTCTCTCTCTCTCTCTCTCTCTCTTCTGGCCGGAATGCCGACGTGAAGCGGATTTAATTCCCTTCCTTTCCCTGGCCGGGAGGGACGGCGGCCGCCTGTCCCCTCCGGCGGCGATCACGTGACCACTGAACGACGCGCGCTCAGCGGGATGAGCTGATCGCCACTTAGGAGTCAGATTAACCATTATACGTGTCGCCATCTGATTCGCGGAAGGTGTCCGTTCACCTCCTAAGGGGGAGGGGGATTTGTCGCAGTCAGGAAGCGTACATATGGGGAGCCAGACGCCACGTGGAGGAGTTAGGCCACGCCGTCCGATCTTATTATCTTAGAAGATGTCTCATGGAAGAGTGGGGCCCAGCCCTAGAGTGGGCCTGATTCGTGTCATTACCCGCGGCCCATTCCTGTTGGGCCCGAATGGGCTACACTGACACACGCAACAGCCGTTAATGACTCCCGCTCCTCTTAATTGGCGTCGATCCCTAATTTCTTCTGATTCCCGCGCGGAGGGTCACCGCTCCTCTGCGGTAAGCTGACCTCCCCGAAGACGGGGGGACGGCGTAGGAGGGCGAGCCTTGCACGCGTGAATGATCCCGTGCGGTGAGCGTTTCAGTGGGGTCCACATCCCGGTTACCTCCGACACAGGGTGATGTCAGAACAGTTGCTTCAGCTCACCTGGGGAGGTGAGCCCATACGTAATCGCCATGAATGCCTCATTTACTCCCTCACCTCCTCCGCTCTTCCTGTTGCTGATGGCTTCAGACGACTCTCCCCCCGTTGTCGACTAAGAGGTGGCTCTCTCTCACTTTCTCTCTTTCACTGTCTCCCTCCCCTCTCTCCGGGCTCCTCAGCCTTCAGTCGCCATCATTGATCCCCAACATCTCAGTCGTACGTAATTTTTCTGGGATGGGGGGAAGACAGGACGAGACAGAAAGAGGAAGAAGGGGGCCTGTGACTGCTGTCTCTCCTCCGCTCGTCCTCTCCCCTGAAATCCTCGTATGACTTCTATCGCTCCGCTGGGCTTCCTCTTGTCTTCTTCCTTGCTCTTTTCCGGTGCCTCTGTTCGTCTGTCTCCTTCCACGTTCAGCCCTTCTATTATTCTCTGGCGACGAACCAGAGCTCTCCTGAGCCGGCCTTCTCTCCCCCCGTCGGGCTCGCCGACCCACGGAAGAGGAAAGGCAGAAGCCCTCCGGTCTGAGCGCTTTAGGGTTTGACCCTTGCTCCCGGTGACAGTGAACTTAGGCTCTCACAACCATCCGTAACCAGTGGATCCTGACGGGGGAGAACCCTGTAAGAGATGACCTTGCGGCAGTGGCGGTGCCCGCTGCCGGAGCCTCCAATCTCTCTGAAATGACTGATGGTCACGCTACTTTTCCAATATGAGACAGAAGCAAAAGACCATGGACGAGCAAAAGCAGATCGCCCGCCGCTGCCTCACGCAGGTCCAACCTTCTCTAGACGGTCCACGTTGAGACATCTGCTTAGCCTAATAAGCATCCAAATCGCTTCCACCGCAGCCTCAAGTGACCTCAAAGTGGCAGGGGGAAGATCGGGTGATGGGTCAACACCAGCCAATCCTCTCCGCTCTCTGTGGATCCGATCCGTGATGTCGACCAGTCGAACAGAAAAACTAAAGAATTTTTATCAATTTATTATGAAGACGGACCGTAGGCCCGCTCTGCGTCTACTTGAAGCTATCTTTCTAAACAGTTCAGGACTGATCGATCCATCTCTTCAACTACCGCTCTATTCTCAAATTACTCCTGCCCTCCGCATCCACATACGAGAGGGACATCTAGAGAGAGAGAGAGAGATGGGCCAAGGACGGCGTTGACAGGGCCGTTGACGAGCACGGGGAGGGAGGGGGGGAGTTAAAGATGGGCGGGTGGGTGAGGAAAGAGATGGCCTGGTGGCATGTCGCCGCCTGACGACCTCGGGGTCCGCGTGACCCGCCGTGGGCCTCTCATCGCCATGACAAGACACCTCCACAATAAAAGAATAGATTGGGGGTCGTATGATTGGCGAGTAAACGAGCGGTCGGGGCGCCCGCCCCCACCCCCTCCCCTCCCCATCGGCGGTTATCGATCTACGCAGATGCGGACGGGGGCTGCCGCCCTCCTCATGCAAAGTAGTTGCACCAGGCTTCCCGCATACCGTGACCAACAAGGCATCTCCGAGATGACCTAATAACTCTGTATAATCTATGGATGATCATCCTGCGGACACGGCCCAAGGTGAGATCGTTCTGAGTGTTTTCTCCGGAGGGGAAGTTCAACAGGGCGTAACAGGGGGTGACGAGATAAGGAGCACCAATCAGTAAGAATGAGAGATAAAGACACTGGACGACGACACTAGAGCACTCATTATAGAGAGAAGAGAGACAGACAGACAGAAGGGTGGGGTTGGGGAGTATCCACTGACTTTTGTTACTTTCAAGCAATAGGCTACGAAACTTCAGAAAAAACACGACCCGATGACATAAGGAGAACCCAAGATAGATAGAGATAGAGATAGATAGATAGATAGCGAGAGAGAGAGAGAGAGAGAGAGAGAGAGAGAGAGACAGACAGACAGAGAGAGGGAGGGAGGATGGACGAAGCTGGGGGGGTGGAAGGGGGGTAAGAGGTGTGCTAGCTCACTAAAAGTGATCTAGCGTCACTGTTATGTAGAAAAAGAAAAGGATGATATTTTTTCCGAAAGATGATCCAGGAAAGAGAGAGAGAGAGAGAGAGTAGGGGGAAATTTTGATCTCAAATGTTGCATTCAAAATGATTTATCGTGGGTCGAGAGAGAAAGATAAATTGCTAGAAGAAATGTGGCTTCAGTGTTTCTATTTAAAAAGGTTTTATTCTCTTAAAGTTTTGAAAATATATAGACCTTTTCACGACTCTCAAGCGTCTCACAGATCACAGCCGTTGAATCTGGTCAAGTCTGCTAGATCGGGGAAGACTCTCGAGCCACGCTTTTCGAGTCGTCGGTGGGTCAGACTTGCGCCGAACCCAGTCACATCGTCCGTAGAGCCCCGTCCAGACTCGGTCTGGGGCAACTAACAGTACAGGCCCAATTTTCGCGTATAAATGGGCCGAGAACTGCCCAAACAGGCCCAGTAACGCTCTGTAGCTAGTTTTCAGAAGTTGTTCAGGATTAGAATGCGTATTAGACGCCGAGTATGGCTCTGATTCGGCCCACTTTTATCCAATCCTGGGCCTCAATAAATCAAATCGGGAAAAATGGGCCCCGCCCAGTCTGATGAAATCAAAGGACAGTACCTCGAGAGGGCTTCCCGAAATCCGGTCCGGCCCACCACCTGATTTGCCGGGCTCTCGTAAGGAGTTCGGTTTCTGGGCTTAATCATATCCCATCCCGGGCCGGGCCTTCTTCCATCGTGGTTGGGCCTAGTTTAAATGTGGACCGAGATACAAGCCCATTTTAAATCCGGTGAGTTCGGCCCATCGCTCACACGTACGGTAACTGGCACTCTTCCGTGAGAAGCGTGAGTCACGTGGCAAGCGGGGGGTCAGGACAGAACGTGGACTTCGAGCCCAGAGGTACCCGGCCAAATGGGCTTGTCTGTTAGCATGTGTCACGAATTTTGAATGAGTAGTTTGTTATTTTGCCCTAGTTCTGTACAAATCTAGAGAGAGAGAGAAATGTGTGTGTGAGAGAGAGAGAGGGGGGGGGGCATTGGGGGCACTTTCCCTCCACCTATTGACGGCCAACGGGTCAGTCAGAAGCGGGAGGGGTCGTGGCCGGCGTGCGCGAGGGACCTCCATCACCGTCTAGACTGGTGGTCGCATGCGTCTTCTCTTGCAGCCCCTCAGCTCTTCGAGAGCTATTCTGCGTGGCAAGGAAACCCGAATCTCTCCTTCGCATGGAGGTCGATGCAGCAGCTGCCGTTTGTTGAGGGAGGGTCTCTGGCTCCCGGCAGCCCTTGAGATTGTCATCTGCGGGCCGCCGCCGCCCAGCAGACCACGCGGACCCCCGCCCGAGGCTTCAGACTTTTTTTTTGAACTTTCCTGTCTCGTCTTATTTACGACAGATTTCTTGCTGTCGGGGTGTTGATCAATGGAGGAAACCCGGATGCTGTCATGGGGCGTTTTTCGCTCCCTCCTCGCGATCGTCCAGTGGTGGGGGTTTAATGTCACCGTAATCATCATGAACAAGTGGATCTTTCAGGTTCTCACCCGGAGCTCCAGTTTCTCGTCAATTTTCTGTCCTATCGTTCTGAAATTTATCTCTCCATGATTTTTTTTAATATTTATTGATTGAATTCATTTTTTGGTGGTCATCGAGTTGACCCGATTTTTGACCTTCTCTTTAACTGAGTTCAAACTAAAGGAAACTCTAATTTCGTTTGTCCGAGTCCATCCACTTTTATTCCCTTGTGTTCTTGTTAAAATTCAAAGGATTTTTTTTCACGATGAAGATTTGCAGCTAGATGAATGGGCGTTACCTTTTTGAGACATTATCTTCTTTTCTGTATTATTTTTGTTTCAAACCGACGTTGACTTTTTTATGCTTGGAATTCGAGAGTGTGTGATCCTACGTTGGTTAATTGAGTGCATGGTAACGATGACTGTATCCCCTTACTTCCTACCAACATAAGATGCATATGAAAATAGTCATTTGGATTTCAGGAACTTAGAAGGTTATGAAGAGCTCTGAGCATCAACGTCAATGTCACAGTGTTGTGATCTCTTGGTCTGCTGTTAGAATCCTCGCCCAAAAATATTATGTAACAAAGCTTAGATCCTGGATTCACATACGTTCACCTATCTCGAAACTGGTTCATATTAGAAAATATAGGGGATGTGGTTGTCTGGGATCTGTATCATCTAAAAGCTCGTGGTGACTCTGCCCTCTATCTTGTCTCCATCTTTCACACATTTGATATGAAATAGATGGTAGCCTCGTGCTCAGCTGACCGTTGGGAGTGTTGAGGGTGATCACCTGGCTGAGCATACGCCTAATTTAAAGGAGCTACATCCACTTGTGGACTTTATACCTGCTTTTTATTTATTGCATTTGGAAGGGTCAAAAGGAGAATTATATCATAAAGACGTACAACAATGAATGTTATTGCGTTTATTTCTTTTGCACATGAGGATTATATAGTTTAGGATATTCAGCCTTTGCTTTTTTTTTTAATTTTTTTGAGGGAATGCTCAGCTGTCATACCACAAGGCAGTATCTGTTGAAACTGTGGAAACACTACCGAGACCTTTCGGATCGATTTGGAGTTCCATATACTTTTGCAGAAAATCGAGGTGTAGTGTCAGGGCCGTAGCCATTTGATCTAATTCGGATCCCCATTTAGAGATTGGAACCCCATTCTGGTGCACCCAATTATGTAATAACTGAACCTAGTCTGGTAGATTGGGTATAGTCTGTACTTTTGACAGAAATATGTAGCATGATTCCTCCAAGAAAAATGCAATAGATCAGGAGAGGTGGGCCAATAGCAAGCATCCATTAACTGCTTGGGCCTATCAACTGAGTTCACAGGAGTTCCTCACATAAAGGAGCTCGATAAGGACACGGAGACAATTGCAGCTGATTCAGATCAAAGAAGCGTCTGCTGTCTTAATTTTAATGCCATCTATTTTGAGCCTTTGACTGAAGGAATGATGTGTTGGTCGCCTGAGGTGAGTTGATATGGTTGATGACAGTCCAGTGTAGGCTGTTTTCATTTATTTTTGTGATTATAATTTAATCCCTTTAATTTAGCTGGCTTTGTCATTCCATTAATTTTATCTCTCCTGACATACTTGTTACATCTATCAAGTTTCTGGTTGGTTCTCAGATTGATCTGTGCTGCAGGGCCACGTCTCTGTCAGCAATTGTGTTCTCATGTTGACTGGAATTAGTATTTTTCTTGTGTTAACTATGTTTGTCATGGTACAATCAACCTGCCATATGATCGTCATCATATATATTTGCGCCGAAAACAATGATTCCAGTGGAACATATTAGTGAAAACACTGGCCTAAGTATGTTTCCATCCTACACAATTATGGATGATGATCATGGCTGCTATTCTAGTCGTTCGGGCTTCTTCTTTCTTATCATGGACGTTGTTCGTTCTATCAGCATGGTAACTCCTTTCTGTCAGCTTTATATGACCAGTGTTTTCATTCATATTCCATTGGAATCATTGTTTTCAGCGCAAACATATATGATGACGATCCTGGTATCTATTCTAGTCGCTGAGACTTCTTTTTTTTTTTTTTGAACGCTGTTCATCTTATCAGCATGATAACTCTATGGTGTCTTTTTTATTAGTGCGAGTTCTCTAGATACGAAGCTTGGGACTGACGTTTCTGATCTACTATTTGTTGTTTTGGATACAGAAACTGGATTTCAAATTTCCCTTGACCGTCTCATGTATTCACTTTATATGCTCCTCTATTGGAGCATATATTGCCATCAAATTGCTGAAGATTAAACCACTAATTGAGGTTGATCCAGAAGACCGTTGGAGAAGAATATTTCCTATGTCGTTTGTCTTTTGCATCAACATCGTTTTGGGGAATGTGAGCTTGCGTTACATTCCTGTCTCCTTCATGCAGACAATTAAATCATTCACACCTGCAACGACAGGTTAATTCGGATCTCTACCTCATAATTATATACAAATCATGTTCATAACGTAAGAAAGAGAGTTCACCTGTCTAATCTTGTTCTTGCGCTAAGCAGTGATTTTGCAATGGGTTGTGTGGAGAAGACACTTTGACTGGAGAATATGGGCATCTTTGGTACCAATTGTTGGAGGAATCCTTTTGGCCTCTCTCACAGAGCTTAGTTTCAACATACTTGGATTTTGTGCTGCACTATTTGGTTGTTTGGCTACTTCTACTAAAACTATCTTGGCAGAGTCTCTACTTCACGGGTACAAATTTGACAGGTAATCCCCCCTCTTTGGAGTTAATCCATATGCTTCTCCTTTCCTCTACGTGTGATGCCACTGCCATTTCTTTTTCTAGTGAACGAATGAACGATGAGATTTTATTTTTTTCTGATCAAGATGGAGAAAGAATAAATAGCAAACTAAACTCTGGATTACGTTTATTTCATTTTAAAGAAATGATATATCCGTGTGCCGCTGATGTGCTGCGATCAGTGTTGTCGTCAAGTCACTAGTTTGGTATTTATTGCTACTTTTTCTCTCGTGCCTTGGTTTAACCTTGTGGACTGTTTATCGAACATAGCTTAGCAGGAAATACTCTTTTCCTCTTCGTGCCTTGGTTTAATATTCTGTTCTCTTATTTGCCAAATGAAAGAAAAAGACTGGCGCATTCACGTATACACATTCACTTTGAAATAATTTGCTCTCTCTCTCTCTCTCTCTCTCTCTCTCTCTCTACAGGTCTATATTCGTATAAAAATATTATATTTATATTTAATTGATTCCGTGGGCCTTCTGATGTCTGTAAATATCTCTTTTAATTGGTGGTGCATGAAACACTTATCTGATGTAGCATAAACACGGTCTACTACATGGCACCGTTCGCCACTATGCTCTTGGCGGTGCCGGCGATACTGCTGGAAAGTGGCGGGGTGGTAACGTGGCTCTACACCCACGAGTCCGTCGGGTCAGCGCTCGTCGTCATCCTCGGCTCCGGCGTCCTGGCCTTCTGCCTGAACTTCTCCATCTTCTACGTCATTCACTCGACCACCGCCGTCACCTTCAACGTCGCCGGCAACCTAAAGGTCAGCCCAACCTACCCGCTCCCCCGTTGACCACCGTGACCAGGACTCTCTCTCTCTCTCTCTCTCTCTTCTGACTACGGCAGCGCAGGTGGCGGTGGCGGTGATGGCCTCGTGGGCGGTCTTCCGCAACCCCATCCCGGGGCTGAACGCGTTCGGCTGCGCGGTGACGCTCTGCGGCTGCACCTTCTACGGCTTCGTGAGGCACAAGCTGGCGCAGCAGCCGGGAACCCCTCGGGCCCCCGCCAACCGGGACGTGTTGGAGCTGCTCCCCCTTGTAAATGAGAAACAGGATAAGGCTTAACGGGCGGCGCCGCCCATTACCAGATCGGACCGAATTGATTATACATGTCATCTACATTGACTTTCGCATCCCAGACCCAGATGAACAACAGGAAAAGTGAAAAACAGCCTTGGTCAGCTTTCGTGTGCTTCTGCTGAATTTTTCTACTCGCTGTCTCTCTCTGTCTCTGTCTCTGTCTCTCTCCTCTCTCTCGTCTGCGAAGAAGATGGATGGATCGATGAAACGAGCACCGAAGATGGTCAGTCATAGTATACACTCGAAGGCCAGGCTCTCCTTCACAAAGCCGGAGATGGTCTGGCCATGGTGGGGGAAGGGAGGGGGGAGACCTTGAAGGGTCGTTGACGTTTATATAGGGTTTTGGTCAGAATGCATACATACGCAAGATCGGCATCTGCTCTGGACTTCTTTACACGGCCGGGTGGCTCCTCTAGGCCAGGAGCCAGAAGTTCTTCTGCCACCGGGTGCTCACCAGGTAGCCGCCGAGGCCGCCGCTCTGCTTCCTCACGGCCAGGGTGAGGCAGTCCGCTCTGTTGATGCACTGCTCCACGAAGTCCTCCTGGCTGCTTGCGAACAGGCTGCGGCGGCGGGGTGGCGGGGAGATCAGACAGCGCAGAATTAGGGAGGCACGGCGGCGGAGGAGCGGAGGCTCAGCTTACCAGCAGAAGGCCGAGGGCTTGCCCTGGCCGAGCACCAGGACGGAGGCCTCCAGTTTCTTCACCTGGCTGAGAACGGTCGCCAGCTTAGGCCCCTGGATTACCAGCGCCTCCACTTCCACCTGACCCAGCAAGAGTGAGAAGAAGGAAAAGAAGATGTAGCGAGAGAAGAGAGAGAGAGAGATGAAGGGAGGGAGGGAGGGAGGAACATGTACCTCTGGTTTGCAGGCCTTGCAGAGGGCACCGAGGGAGTCGGCGAGGAGAGGGGGGGAGTGGGAGTCGTTGTGGGGGGAGACAATGTGGAGGAGGGTGAGGACATCGCCCTTGTTGGCGACGTGGGTGAGAGCCCACATCATGGCGTGCTTGGCCCTAGTGGTGTGGTCGACGACCACCATCACCCTCTTCTTCAGCACCATCCCGCCACCGGCGTCGCCGATGTGGCGGTGCACCCCTTCCAGGTGCTTCAGGCTCCGATCTCCATAGCCTCCCCTTCCCCACCTCCTCGAACCCCGGCCGCCGCCGTAACCCCACTCTTCCTTCCCGCTCAGCTGCCTCATGATCGACCCCGCAACGCCGCCGTTCATCTTCCCCTCCATCACCCTGCTCAGTCTTCCCCCACTCTCTCTTCCTTTCTCTCTCCAACTGGTTCAGATACAGGAGGGAGTGCTCGCAGTATTATAGTTGCGTGACCAGAGAGCAAAGACGGGGAAGGAGGGGGGAGGAGAAGGGGACAAAAGCGGAGCTATCCTAGCGCCCGGAAAAGGAGGTCACGAGACCCGGCTCCGCCGCCCCCACCTCAATCAGTTTCGCTGCCGTGGCGGAGGGGGGGATAAGGGGAGTTAGTGCCTCTCCCTCTCTCTCTGGTTCCCGGTGTTTCTAACACATCTGGCCGCCCGACACCGTCTCCGACGCTAGAAAGCTCGTTTTGGAGGCAGCTGCACCTCACAGGGACACCCCCATCTTCCACCTCTCGGCCGATTAACTCACCATGATTACGGCCTCCTGCAGCAGCTGCCTCAGCAGCTCTCACTGTCACCGTCCTTCGATTTGATTCCGTGTCATGTGATCCTGGAATAGAGGGTCGTCATCGCCATCATCCCAGGAGCCAGAGAGAGAGAGAGAGGAAAGAGAAGCCTCCTCTCTCTCTCAATCCAGTCATCATCAAGAGGAATCACTTCACCGCGGTGTGGAGCCATTAAAATAGGAATCCGTCAGAGAAAACAATGGAAAAGTAAATTCGAGACGACAGACGGAGCGAGGGTCCTCGTGAACAGAGGGGAAGGAGATGAGGGAGAAAGGAGGAGGACGTGCTCCCCTCTTCCCTTCGTATAATTGCACCCGAGTAATAACGCCGCTGCTGTTTGGCGTGCTGGCAGGTCGGATTCCTTCGCCGGCGGAGCACGCTTGCCGGACGCTGACGACGAGGTTCACTGTACCTTTCCCCGCCGCCGCATCATCCACCGTCCATCTGACTCTGAAGGAGGCCCACCATCCTCTCTCCGTCCAGCTGCCTTCAATCTGACTTGACAGGTTTCGGGAATTGAGACCAAAAAGGCATCAGTAAAAATCCCACCTTTTTCCGGTACGCCAACGAGCCCTGAATTGTCGTCGGATCGCTCATCGGACGGCTAGGATGGGGTTGCACTACACGTCAGGACACGTGAACGTGCCGGATCCTTCCTTTTCCGGTCAAGCTTTCGGGGATCACGTGCGACAAAGGACTTTTAAGGAAACGGCCGCCGCATCACGTGATGGGATCTGATACCGTGTGACGGGACACGCGACACGTTGGCCACTAGGCGAGTTACGGTGTCCAGTCACTCGCGGCCCCCGCCGGACTCCTCAGGATCGCTGTCGTCTACCAAAAGTCGCAGATCGGGAGGCTTACCAATCGGAGCATCCTAACCCACCCTAAAATGCTAATGGGCCTGTAACCGAGTCAGTAAGAGAGGAAGTCATCTCTTTAGGCCCATCTAGAGACGATCTAAGTCCTCTTCTCGTACGACGACAAACCCAATTCTCTCTCTCTCTCTCTCTCGACCAAACCCAACTCTCTCTCTCCTCCCTCTGTGTTCATATGTATGTATATGGCTCGTTGCAGTTCCTTCTCGGGCAAAACCGACGGCTCGAGAGTATTTTCGACAAGAGGCGTTAGATCGGGCCTGGGCAGGACTCTAGGAGACCGAGTTCAACTCGGACGCCGTCCTGTCTGAAAGGCCCGATCCCCCAAAGAACTGTTCACCGTCCGAGACACAAGTTTTCTTACTGTCGTCGAGGAATACGAAGCAGCAGAAAGCGTAAATATTTCTTGCCAGGGTCGGGAAACCGGAACACTCCAAGACTGAGGACATCGAGGAACTCGGAACAGTGAGATGAGTAAACCTACGCACAGTACGCGAACCAAGAAAGGGAAGCAATTACAGTGATCTCAGTGGTTCCATAAATCTTCGTAAATATCTGTCTGTCTGTCTGTCTGCCTGATTCTCTCTCTCTCTCTCTCTCTCTCTCTCTCTCTCTCTACCCCGCCCCCCCGTCCCATGCAAATAACAAAGTCACGAAATTTATCAATGTTTGTTTGCTCTCTTTGATACAGTAGAGAGACTCTGATCATTTGGCCCTCGTTGACTCATCGGACGCGCTTAGATTACGACGACGAGTCAGCATCGAGTCGCTGAAGATCTTCAGCATCGACGAGAAAGAGTTTGTCGTTGTCCCTGATAACCTCAAGGGAGTCCACCTCTGACCCTTCGACGTTCACGATCACTGTTTCTTCCGCTTCAACGCCGAGCTTTTTCCCTGCCAGTAGCCATAGAATTGTTACGTAGAAGCTTCTCTGGGATGGAAATGTGTACGACCTAGATGATGAAATATGCCATATCTTGCTTAATCGGTAGATATATCCAAAGTACAGCGTAATGAAGTTAATTGGGCCTAAATAACTCCCTCCCTCAGCTTTTTCTACTTTCTCAGATAATGGAATAGCTTGTAAATATAATATTCGGGATTTTTAGAAAAATTAGAGCGTATATATACGTCTATAGAAAATTATCTGCCTCGTATGTAATTTGCTATCCTATAATGTATACGCCATACACACGAGCTTACCCATGGCGTTCTTGAGCTCTTCAAAACTGCTCGGCACGTTTATCAGCTTCCCAGCTCGCCGGCAAGGACTCCTGAACATTGGATGTCCTCTGTAGATGTTCACTCTCGAACAGAGCCCACCACTTCTCTCCCACTTCTGCTCCATTTCTCGCTTGCCGAGCTCAGAGCTGACCAACTCCCCAGACCTGTCGTCAACTACGTTGATAAGATGCCCTATCTCTCTCTTCTGCATCATCTCCTCAAATACCGCTCGGGTCGCTGCTGCCGTCCCGCTGGGAATCCTCCTCCCTCCCTTGGCTCCATTCGAGACCAAGAAACTCACAATTTCGACGTTGTTCTCTTCCATTGCTTTTTCCAGAGCTGTGAATCCTTCGTGGTCCTTCAGGTCAATGCTCAGCCCATGTTTCAGTAGCTCCTTAATGGCCGATAGGTCGTTTCTCTTCGCTGCGAGGCATAGAAGGTCACCGCTGGCGGTGGGGTTGGAGAAGCATGCATATTGGTGCAGGATGTTGAATATCTTGTGATGCTTAGCTTTCAAGGCGGTCCACAGAGGGGTGTTCCCTTCGGCATCTGTAATCACACAGAATTAGGGCATCCACGGAGATCGCAGGAAGATAGATTTCGAGGAAAGACACGACCGGCCCACCTTGGATGTTTACGTTGCAGGCATTTCGTAGCAGAACAAGGACGCAGTCCTCGAACCCCTTCGATGCCGCAATATGCTGCATGGGAATATCACAAGATATGAGAGCTGTAGACTAGGCATCTCTTTGGAGTGTCATAGCGAGCATACCAACGGTGTTCTTCCCTTGGAGTCGCCGACGTCAGGATCCATCCCCGCCTTGAGAAGCTCCTCAAGGAAGCAGCTATTGCCGGTGGCCGCAACCGTCAACAGATTGCACGGTATGCCAGCTTCCTCACCCACACCAGTCTCTCCTGGAAGAACCCCCTCGAGAGTAAGATCTTGGAGTTCCATTTGTCTCTGGAAGAAGACCGCAATTGACGCGTGAATTCAGAAGACGACAGGTAAAAGGCGGGGATTCTTCGACTGGTGATTCTACCTGGAGGAAGTTCCTGATGATTACGACGCTGTCTTCGTGCTTGGTTCCCATGGCCTCCACTAGAGTAGCCTGCTTCAGCCTCAACAGCTGACACAGGGTTCTGGTCCGGAATGTGTGGGCTTGAAGCCTGTTGCAGAGCGCACAGATTTCCCCAAAAATACCTCCGGCGCCCAATTTCCCTAGGACCTCTTCCTTCTCTGCCTCCCTGAGTATGATATCAACTTCTCCTGATACCACGACGTAGATGTCTTCCGATGCCTGGTTCTGCGTGATGACGTCTTCCCTCGGAGGAACATACTCGGGTTTCATCTTGGCAACCTGAAATAGAGTCGTCAGAAGGGAACATTCATGTTTATTTGTTCGTTAGCCGGTTGTGGGTTTCTCACCAGGAGCAGGAGGGTCTCTAGGGAGACGCCCTTAAAGAGGTAGACTAGCTTAAGGCTTGGTAGGAAGAGGTGTTGGCAAATGCCTTTGTATATGGACTCGGGTAGCTGATCCATCAGCTCCTGCTGGTTCAAGTTATCCGCTTTAAACCGGAGGTACATGTAGGTCAGTATCTGATCCCTCAGCCGCCGACGCAGGCGGTTCCGGCACACGAAGCTCGACGCTGCCCGTACGCTGTCCCTCTGCCACCGGCATTACCAAAACTGAGACAAATTCTCAAAGAAAGTGGAAGAGAGAGAGAGAGAGAGAGAGAGAGAGAGAGAGAGAGAGAGAGAAGAGATACGAATTTCATCGTTCGACGCGTCCCCTCAACGACGAGATTGGTCATGTTGCCGATCAGATACGAAGTGAAACCCAGGTTAAAGAGCATGTAAAAAATGTTGAAGGCCATCTCTCTAGAGTTGACGGAGTGGAGATCCCCATAGCCCACGGTAGTCATGGTGGTCATGGACCAGTAGATGGAGGAGACGTAGCGGATCCGCAGGCTAGACTCCCTGAAGTTGGGAATCGCCGTTCCAATCCACGTCTTTCCTCCATGAGGGTAGTGATCGGCCAGCATGTAGTAGATGCAACCAGCAAAGTGTACAAGGAGAAGGGTCGCCTGTGAAGAAAAAGTTAAACCCACCCACATTTTCAGGGTTTGCAATGAGTCCGTGGTCGTCTGGTTGTCATCATTTTGTCCATATTTAAATATGCTTAAAGGTTTCTCTGGATCGATTGCTGCTCACCAAGAGGAGCCTTGAACATCTGACGAGGAAATAGCTGTATCTGATGTCTTTTTCCAGCCTGCGAAGCAAACGGGGGAGGAGACGATGAGAGCACGTTCAAAGGAAGAAGCCAAGCGAGCGAGAATGATTCACCTTGCGAAGAACTCATGCACCTTCCTCAGACGCCAGAGCCTCAGCAGCCCCAAGATGCCGAAGGAGAGGCCGGTGGTGGTTCTACCAGTGATCAAGTTGCCCAGGAGCTGAAACGGGATCGTTGACGCCAGATCCATCATGAACCACGTCGACAAGTACCTGCAGCAATATCATATTCGAACCGATCCCTCGGGAAGGGATGGAAAATCACTACTGCTACGGTGAAGAAACCGAGGAAACCCAGAGATATACTCGACATGCTGCGGGCTAGTTGGATAGTCGAATGCTTATCAGTTCTAAATTCGGATGGTAACAAGTGACCAAGAGTAGTTTTTTAGGGTTCTCCATTGGCCCTGTTCGTTCCAGATTTGGATCTCAGACTAGTCCCCAACATCTAGCTTCCGACCAAGCCCCCTACGGAACGAGAGTGGGATACTGATACAGTGAGTCCCGACTACTCTTAAACCCCTCTCTCTCTCCCTCACTCTCTACAAATATATAGAGGATCTGGCCTGAGACCTAGCTCCATGGGGCTTTACCCAAAATCCCTGTACTTGGGCCGAGTTGCCAAGATCCGGGTTGACTTCGGGATACGTGGCCAAGCTCGTCCTGGCCTATTATCACCATCCCCGAGATATGATATCCATGTCGGCACGTTTAATTTAAGAACAGATTCGGATCCTTTATAGATCGCGCCAGTTCTTTAGATACTGTCCACTGGCCGCGATAGTTTACGTGAAGGGGCCAGTCCGCCCGATGAGGTGGGACTCCGAGGTTCTTTAAGGTCCACCAGGATTGTTCCAGGTTGAGAGCAACGAGACCAGTAGGAGAAGAGGTTGGACCTGACTGCGATCTTCTTCCGGTCCACGATGAGAAGGTGCGTCCTCCGGTCGATGTAGGCCACGAAGAAGGTGAGCCCCATGTCGACGGCGAAGAAGAAGGCGACGACATTATCGGCGATGTAGAGCCCACCCTGTTGGGCTGAAGCACCCATGAAGGCGACCTTGAAGGGGTAAACCCAAGCGGAGTACGCCACGAGGAGCACCATAAACGTCTCCCAGCACCTGTCCCGCGGATCAGGTTGAGCCACAGCCACACATAGAGTCGAGAGTTAGTATTCCGAAGATGCATGAACAAGAACACCCCCATCCCAGGATATTTTTCTCCTCCGCAGCGTTTGGGCATCGGGAACCGAGAGGGTCGGGAGATCTCTCCTGGTGGGTCGTCAGATCTGTCTGCTCAAATTTACGGCGGTCACTGCGCCAGTCTCACCACCGAACAACGACCCAAGAGCGAGAAATGGTGGTTTCACAAGCTTTGGTGAAGCTCTGCAGCCGACTCCACTGCAAACTATTCTATATCTTGAAGGTAAGGATGAGAGAGAGAGAGAGGGGAGGAACCTGTATCTGGAGTCCATGGGGGAGATGGTCTTTCCTCCAGCATTAGGCTGGGCGAGGTCGTAACTAGAGGCCCCAAGCGGGGGGAGCACGATCTTCGAAAGGTTGCTGAGGGTGACGGAGTCGGGCTCCTCATCCTCAGGTTTCATCTCGTCGGACAGTTCTGACCTCTGCTTCATCGCTTCCATGGCGAGACGAAGGACCCTCCTGCCTCCCCCTGCCAAGCCCTCCTCCAAAGGGGAGCCCAAGTCAGGGAAGCAGATCGAAAAACCAAGGAGTGGACTGCAGTGCACGACCGACAGTGTTCTTCATTACTCACCCCAACGTTATATTCCTGCCTCAGGAAGTGCCTACCTCTGCCGTCAGACTTTTGCGAGGCCCATAGAGAGATGTTAACAGGGCCGGCGGTGGGCCGAGAGAGAGAGAGAGAGAGAGAGAGGGAGAGAGAGAGACAAAGACAGCGCCAAAATTGGGAGGGGACGGTGGGGAGCGGCCATCAATAGAAGTCCTTTCATACTTAAGTGGCGGCTTATGCTCCTTTCTCTTTAATGACTCTCATCTAAGGCTAGTATAGGCAAGATGCGACCGCCGCTGGCCTGGTATGGAAGAGTCAACATGACTTAGAAAAAAAATAATCGCCGACAGATACACAGTAATGCCCTGCTGGTTGTGCCAGAAATTTGTCTAGAAAAAAGCCCGAAAAACAGACTTTTCGCAGGAGTGATTGTGAGAAAAACTGAGGCTTCGAGGGAAAATTTTTGGGCAATAAGGCCCGACCAAGAACACAGGACGAGGAGGGGGGGGGCATCAATCCTCCTCCATGGGAACCGCCGGGAGATCCCATCGATCTTCCTCAATCTTCCTGTTGATGACGAAGACTGGCGACGGTGGTCGGACGTCAAGGGGCACAAGAGGAAACATTTAAGTAGAAAATAAAATCAAACGATTGCTGTAAGTGAGGTGTGAAACTATTCATCACGCTGCGATCAGATTTCGACCAAAAACCCTGTAGAAGACTGGATCAAGGAGGCAGGCGACTGCCAAATGGACCGAACAAAGGAACGGACGAAGCGCAAGCAAAGCATGCGGTAAAATAATTTTCTATGTTCTATCTGCGAAAAGAAAATATTTTTTTGATGAAAACCCGAAGGAACAAATCCGGTAAAATATACCCAACCGGGTTTCATCTTTGGAGAGGTAAAATAAATAAATAAATAAATAAATAAATAAATCGACACCAGTTGGCATGAGGAAAGGGAGGTGGCTCAGGCAAGAAATGAAGAAAATTTAGCTGCGCGCAACAGGAAATGTCGGGTTAGGAAGCAAAAGGATATCCATGTCCTCTTCCTTCTCCCCGCGGTTGAGGCTGTCCCTGAGTTCACGCCTAATTTCAGGGGTGACCTGCAGTAAGAGAGCAAATAATCCCAGGTAACCCAAACCATCTGGAAAAAAAATCTGAAACAAAAAGTAGATTGGACGATCAAGTAACATACTAAATGATGTTTCTGGTGTTGAAGGAGACGGTCGATGTTATCCTTGTCCTCCCCTGTCAGCTCATTTTTGTACCTGTTCAAGAAAAGCTCGTCTCATAAGGTGGTGACGGAACAAGAAAATACATACCATTTGATAATCCTTTTAAAAAAAGGATATATAGTAGTCAGAAGGTGAAGGGAACTTAGAGAGCATTCTCTCCGATGAATATCTCAGTAAAGTCGGAAACTCCCCATTTTAATCGCCTAGAAGTGAACTGGTGATACTAACAACCTACTGGGCATTCACCTTTGCACAAGTGAGAGGAGCGATTGGTGCCATATAACAGGCATGATCCTTTCATCCTCGAGAAACTTCATAAAATGTGCGACAACAGCATCAAGCACTCTGTAAGGCATTGCATATTTCTTGTCTAGAAACAGCTTGATGAAATAACTGCAAAGAATTAATGAACCGTAGTTTAACATCGGGGAGGTAAAAATATAGTAGCAGAAAAACGAGGCAGATACAGAGGACCATAAGAAAGAATAATTGAATCCGTTACCAATTTGGCGGCCTAAGGACCGCAAAAAAGGCCACCTTAAAAATGCCAAGTTAAAGACAGTACCTTGTCGTTCCACAGTAGTCCATCTCTGCCAACTTCATCAGTGCGACGCTGTTGGAAACAAGTAAAACAACAAGTAAAGGCTCGTTGATAAAGATGAAGAAATGCACGCAAAAAATTAAGCACATCTAATGTGAGCACATAAAAGGCATGCTGACTAACCTTGAATGAATGGGAGGAATTTTGAGCTTCTGAATGATGCTACCAATGATGACAGCTTCGCGAAGTGTGCAAGTTCCAGACTGCAAATCCGGGGGAAAAAACATTAGTGTTCCTTCCTCTTCTATAAAGAATAGAATACCTTTTTTCTTTTAAAAACTCTCGTGGTATAAATATGTGAAGTTGCATTTCCAAAAAACTGCTCTTAAGCTCCAAAGAAGGAACTTCCAAAGATTGGTAAAATGAGTTCCGAACTTTGGGTTGTTCTTTTCAGTTAAATCTGATAATACGTCGTTATCAAATACACAGAAGCCTGTCATTTAGCAGGGTAAAGCTTCCCTTGCATCATCTAGGGATTAGAGACTGCAATGACACCACAAATGACCAATGAGATATGGACCAAGACACCAGATAGCGGAGCTACCGTGACTTTGCGTGCACTGTTTTATATGCTTCATTACTTTTGGTCTGTTGTCTGGTTCAACTTTATTTCCTACATCTACAACATCAAGCTTCAGTACTTGTGAAAAGTTTCACTGACTGTTGTGGAGTTACTCTAATTTTGCCACATTAGCTTTAACACAAACCCAAGATAAGAATAGCTGAACGGTTGCAATAAAAGAAGACAAACAATCTGTCCAATCCCAACTTTCCTCGCGGCAATGAGGTGAAACTGAAATTCGAATTTATATATAAACTCCTATGAGGAATCATCATAGACATTGAGTAATAAACTTCAAATCCACTAAGGTAGCTACTGGCTACATACCTTGCATAGTGGCAACAAAATACCCTTGAAGAAGGCAGCTGGCTTGTAAAGGGATTTTTTCAGTGATTGGTATAAAGCAAAGTGAAGCCTTTTGTTTTCTCGAATGTCATTTCTAACACGTGGGAGCAGAACAAGAGCATAAAACCGTTGGGCCTTTTTGACATTCCTTGAAGCAAACAATCTGGTTGCCTGATACATCGCATTTGGTGTCCATTTTTCTGGTTCTGTCAAGTACAGAACTTCTTCCCAGAATTCAAATGATGCAATATGCTTAAATGCCTTGGGGATCTTCCCATTTGTATACCTACTTAACACTTTGCCGACCCTGGACATTTATGACCCATGAACACGATATTAAAATCAATACATCATTAGACTGAAAAGCAAATGAAAGGAAAGCATTGAAGAGAAAGTATACGCATACCCCTTGTATAAATCTATAATGGACGTGTCCAACTTGGGTACAGGCCGTTCGTCTGAAACAGAAAGAAGAGCTTCAGTCAATAACTGGACATTATAACAGAAATACGAACGTGTTTCTACAAGATATCACCCAAGATACTGAAATTCCACTTAAAATTATTCAACGTAAGATACATGTGGGCGCTTCTTGAAAAAACAATGCAAATTCCCAGAGCTATTCTCCATGATCTTCAGACAGACGAATATTGTATGTCAAGGAAATGTTATTCCACTGCATTCCACTAGAACACAATTCAGCATCAAAAAAAGAAAGGGAAAAAGTATGAATGATATTTTTAATAAAAAATTGGGTTGTTATACTGTTTTCGTATGCTCCATCGCTCATTTGTGGATTTACAATCTTCATGGTCATTATGATATCGATGAGCAGCAGCATTTTCTTAGGACGTTGCAGTCATAGTGATTATTATGTTAGGGATAAGCAATGGTAAAACAACGTTTAAGTTAAGAGGCAAGATTCCAAAAACCACACAGCGATAATAGAACAAGTGAAGAAATACTTTTATTATAAACACCAGATCCTAAATCACCCATCTGGAGCCTGAGCTGCAGGAGATATGAAGGCACAGAAACCCCTAAATTATCTGCCATCCATCATCTTCAGTGTTAAGTCCTCAGTACAGCTGTCGACGGTAAAACAGTTCCTGGAAAAATAATAAACCTAAAATGCTACCGTAACTAGGAGAAATAACATCTTTAAACTAAGATACAGTATCCATGCTATGACATTAAAGGTTCCACATAATTGCTGATGCCATAGTAACACACTTTACCATAGCATGGAGTTCGGTAAATTCCTAGTAAGCATGGATACAGTCGGGTAATATCAGGGAAAACCTCTTACAAAGGACAACACAGATACTTTCAATGACATATTCGACAATAGGTGCGTGTTAAATGAGTGAACAAGGGAGGAGGCACTATTGAAGGGGGAAAAGCATACCCATCGCGACCTCAGCATCCTTCTCTCTAATCTTCCGTATAATGACGTCTGCCAGTGTTTGCTGCGGACCAGCATCTTTAGGCATGAATGCTGCCAAAATCCTTTCATCTTCCTCATTTATCTCCTGCTGCATCTTACACAAATATGAAGCCAATACCCACCGGTAAAACGACGACAATAATTCAAAATCACAACTTTACATGACAAGTATGAGATAAAACTCACGGCGTCGCCATCGTACTGACTCTGGGTCTCAGAGAACCCATGAAAATCGTCAATTTCATCTTCGTCGTCGCTGGAGATAGAGGGTTGCACGGATTCGATAGAAAGGGGGGGCAGAGTGTTTAGTTTCGCTTCCTCCGCCTTCTCGTCTTCTTCGAGTACTTCCCTCTGCTGTTTCAGAGCCTCATTCAGAATTTTCGCGCTGAGGGCGGGCGAGATCAACTGCGAGTCAAACAACAGACGAAAGAGTTGAGTTGATCGCTACAGCGGCCACAAAGCGAAACAATGTCGATCGGAGCCGTCGATGAATGCCTTGTCCTCTTCGTGGTGCTGCTTGGGAGCCCTGCTCCTGGTCTTCGAAACGACACTATCGTTGTCGTCATCGAGCGCCTGACGATGACGGTCCTTCCGAGGCTTCCGGTCGCCTTCCGACGATTTCCTCTTCTTCCCCGCCATGGCTGGTGGAAGTTGAGCACCTCCCGGGTCCTCGAAAGAGCTCGAGCCACGACACAACCGAAAACCCTAACCGTCGGAACCAGAACAAAACCTCCTTCTTATACAGAAAACCCTCTGAGGACCAAATTCTAGTTAACCACTAAAACTTTTATTTACACATATACTGACACATATCCGACAGAAACTTTGTATGTTGGGACCTATCGACAATAGTTTATTCAATGTATCAATTTGTCTCGCGAGTATACCCAGTATTTTCCTAAACCCCCCAAAAAAACCTATAACTGGTAAAAAAATATATTTTTGGCCTGACCCCATTTTTATAAAAATTAACTGAGAGTCCTCGCACGTAACACAAGATTAAAATTCTGAGATGTTGGTGGTGTTGACCATCACACTAAGATGGCTATCCTACGATGGATTCAGAGAATGGTTAATGGGCTTGATGGGACGCCTGTAGGATGCAGAACGTGGGCTCTGTTGCGTCACGCGGAGGTCAGCGTGAGCACGATTGCGCGTGGAAAGTGGGGCCCGCGGACCTTTTACAACCCATGTGGGCCTCGTTCGGTGGATCAAATCAGTGTGGAAGAGAGAGAGAGAGAGAAGGAGGGGGGGTTATAGGCCCACGTGGAGCAAAAGATAGAGAGGGCCCGGGAGGCACACACGGTGACAGGCCCATTAAGGAGAGATGGTGGGCGGAGCCCAATCGGCAGAGCGCCATCATTCGGCGGGGAGGTGATGCGCCGGCGTGGCCCACGCCGCAGGCGGTGGCCTGGCGGCGGCGGCGGCGGAGCCGCCTCGAGATGAGACGATGTGGAAGACGCCGCCGCAATCGAGCACCCCTCATCGATTGCCCCTCGTCGAGGCTTGTCGCCGGCGCGCGTACGAGTGCGAGTACGAGTACGAGTACTCCCCGAGGACTAGACGACGCGATGTAGGCCTGCCGGGCGGCGAGTAGGGCCGTCCGTAGTAGTCGCCGGAGATGTCTCCGTCTGAAGATCTATCTGTCTAGCAGCAGCGGTGGCCGAATCGCCGCCGGCGAGTAGGGCCGTCAAACCCAGGAATAATTGGGGTCTACAGATGGGGGATGGAACCGGACAGTAGGCTCTGAAGTGCTCGGATCCGCCGCTCCTCCGCCCCCCCTGCTTTCGACGTCCTCGCGCACTATTTTGGCGCCCCACTACGAACCTCGCCGGCGCCGGAGGGCCTCCGGCGCCGGCCGGCGGTGTTTCTAGACGCCATATCTGGCTGGCTGCTTTATGCGACATATATCCCGGACGGTTAAACAATGAGGGGATATTGAAATCTACGGAAGTGGGGAAATTAAAGTACGGGGGAGGATCGGTAGTTTATGAGCTTAAGCGTCGGGAGGATTCTCCCCAGCTTGCCCGGCGCCGTCCGACGAGATCTCAAAAGGCCCACATGGTCTCTGGGGAGAGGAATCCCGTTCCCCGAAAACCCACGAGCACCGCGGAGTTCAACAAATCTACAACAAAAGCAATCGAGTGGATTTGACCCCACACGGAAGGGCCCCCCAGCGCCCGCCCATTAGACGAGGAGAGGGAGGGAGGAGCAAAAATGGAGCCTTTGAGGGGAGGGAGGGAAGAGGAGGAAGGGAAGGGGGAGGCCTAAAAAGAAGGATCCCCCCACGTAGTGGGTAGACTAAGTATGCACGAAACAAGGGAATCCATCATTCCATGCCCTTCGAAGCGATCAACGGGGGGATATGGGGCTCCGTACCGAGGGAGGGAGGAGGCTGGGGAAAACCAGCGGGCCCCTTTTGCATTAACCGATGTCTCCACCGCCGGAAGCCTTCACCGTCGGAGGAGAGAGGCGATGGCCTGCCGGGCGAGGGGAGAAAGGAGACTGTTTTGGGGAGGATGAGAGAGGGGTGGGGCGGCAGCTCTACGACCAAAGAGGGGCGAATTCCCAATAGACCGCGGCCCCGATTTGGAGGAACCGCGGTCAAACCCGGTCAGCGTGGGCTTCGGTTTCTTTCCTTCTCCCCCGGCGGCGCCCCTGCACTTGGCCATCTCCATCTTTCCCTCTTCCTTGTCTCGCCCCCCCTCCCCCGAATAATTAATTAATGGGGGGGAGACGGGGAGCTATGGGGTTGGGGGTCGGTTCTTCCCCCGAATTCCTTCTCTTTTTATCTGCCACTAAAACGACGCAAATGGCAGATTCCAAATCATCCTTTCCCCTCTAGAGGAAACACCCATCATTGCTGCCAACTATCCTTTTCAACATAGGAAACTGGGCTTTTAAGCCATCCCCCCCCCCTCTCCGCCACCGCCCTCTCTCTCTCTCTCCTCCCCCCTACTTCAATTCCGCCCGCACCCACCAGGCCTTCCTCTCCAGTCTCTTCAGTCCTCGGCGACTCCTTCCCGCTCGGTGAGCCCCTGCGTCGACCCGAGCCGTCCACATGAACAATCCTTCCGTCAGTGGCTTCTACTCGCACCTGGCCCGCGGCCTCGACGAGCTCGAGAGGGGCTTCATGGCGGACAGCTTCATGTCGCTCCAATTCCTCCAGCGCGTCGTCTCCCTCCTCCGGTCCTTCCACTCCCAGCTGACCCACCTGGTCCAGAAGCTCCACCTCCCCGTCGGAGATAAGTGGCTCAACGAGTACATGGACGAGAGCTCCCGCCTCTGGGAGGTCTGCCATGTCGTCAAGCTCGGCGTCTCCGGCATGGAGAATTACTGCTCCATCGGCGCCGACATGGTGTTTTCCCTCGACGGGCACCGCCGCCCCCTCCCCCACCAGCTCTCCCGGCAGGTGGCGGCCAATCCACTTCAGTGCTCTCCTCCTGCTCTTCCTCTGCGCCGGGCGTGACCCACTCCTCTGTTTTTTCTAAGCAGGTAATGCGGGCCATCTCCGGCTGCCGGAGGGAAGCGGCGGGGCTGGAAGAGGAGAACAGGGTACTGGTTGAAGCGAGGATCCAGCCGCAGTCGCTCCGCTTCGACGAGAAGGTCCTGGTGGAGTCCAAGCTCAACGGCTTCAGCGGCTTCAGGGGCGTCCTCTACGCCATGAGGAACGTGAGCTCGCTGCTCCTGTTGATCCTGCTCTGGGGGATGGTCTGGTGGGGGGCCGACCCGAGCTCCTTCAGGGGCACCTTCGAAGGGCCGCCCTTCTTCGGCTCGGGGTTCATGGCGTCCATGTCGAGGCTGCAGCAGCGGGTGGCGGCGGAGATCGACGTGCTGGGTCGCCGCCCCGGGATCTTGATGCACGAATTCCGGCAGGTGAGGGGGGCGATGGAGGAGCTGCGGGAGGAGCTTGAGAAGGCCGCCGCCGCCAGGGGGTACGACTCCGGCGACGTGGGGCTCGTCTGGGAAAGGGTGGAGTGCCTGAAAGCTTGCTTCGGCGTGCTCAAGTCGGGGACGGAGAGCATCCTTATGCAGCTTGACGACTTCTTCGACGAGATTGTCGAAGGCCGAAAGAAACTGCTCGACATCTGCAGCCACCGGTAGCAAAGCGAAGAGAGGGTGAGACTAGTTATAGAGCAGAGAGGGGGCCGGACCGGCCGGCGATAGAGAGAGAGAAAGAGGGGGGAGAGAGACGCAGTGGAGCAAAGAAGGAAAGAACAGTTAGTTCTTCGGGGAGGGAGATCTGTCTCTCTCTCTCTTTCTCTCTCTCTACGCACTTCAGTTGTTATTTTGCTGTTTTCGCCTTTTTGCTCTTCTGTGTTGCATCAACAACAGTCTAAAGAGACCCCCCTCCTCAAAAATCCCCACCTTCCTTCCCCATGGCTCGAGAGATCCGAAGAAACCCAGAGGGAAAAAAACACCAGGGGAGAGAGGCTCCCTCCCCAGAGGGGGGCAAGAAGGACGCTGTCACTGCCCTTCTGACGGGACCTCGGTGGGACGGGCATGACAGGGAAGACGGCCGGCATCCGATCATAAGAACGATAGAGCCCGACGCAACCTTGCTCTAAAAGGAAGTGCAAACCTTGGCTTTCATCAACGAACGAGCCTCTATGCCCTCGAACACGTACGGATCGGCATAGGGTCTATGGATATTTAAAGGAAGGAGCTACGCCTCAGAGAGAGAGAGAGAGAGAGAGAGGAGAACTTCTATGCTCTGCTTTCCCCGTTATTCTTTCTTTCATTACGACCTTTCCGGGGGTTTCTTCCCTTCCCATCCGTCGCCGTCAGTAATCATTCCACTTAGGCTTGGAGATTCCTTGTCTGGATGTGAAATTATATAAAAACAGAGGGAAGGGGCGACAGGAAGGTTTTGTCCGACCCGACTACTATGCAGCAGACCGTGGAGACACCATGGAAGCCCCTCCGATGAAACAGCAGCCTGACACCGTCCCCCTCTTGCCTGCTGTTGACCTCCTTTCTCTGCTAACAACTGTAGATCCTTGTCCCTTTCCTCATGCCCCTCTCAACTAAGCTTCCTTGCTTATCTCTTCCCCAGCATTTGAGCCCTCGCCCCCAAAAGTTGCCAGGACATGGCGGGCACAGCCGTGGGCCATCCTAGACTTGCTTTCCTAATCCACCGGGTAAGCCAAAGGACGGTCACAACCCAGAATACTTGGTGGGTGGTACGTCTAATTGGGGCTAGGGGATTGAATTCATACATATTTTAAGCTTGGTTAGGACAAACATCAACAGTGGACTTACCTAACTCAGAGCAGTGGCCGAAGAAGCAGTAATGGCTGGCCCGCGGGCACCAGTGATGTCTCCTCTAGTCTCTGGATTCTCAGCAGCTCACCCGCCGTAGCCATGAACTAGATCAAAGCGTCTGGATGCTCTTTATTATGTAAGATTGAAACCATACAAAGATGACGATGCAGAGCCACCGTGCGAGTCTTCCGAAGAGCAACAGAGATCAAGACTCAGCAGACACTGAGCTTTTGCACCACTCACTGCAAGAATGCCATGTTTGATGAATTCTGTGGCGAAATTCTCACAACTTCTGCAGCACGACATATTATCTCTCATGGGATCGGCCATCATTTCTCCTGGTTATACGGCACCTGCAGTAACGGAGGGCATTTCAGGATAAGCAACAGCATTTCAAGAGAGAGCTCGTTCCGACGCTGGATCCAGGGGTAGGAGACTTTTTCTCTCTTTAGTCGTGGTACTTGGCAGTAGGAAATCACTGGAAGCCCTGTTTTCATCTTCTTTTGACTTTCTCAACCCAGGAAGCGCACAAACCACATGCACAGATCAATCATTGTCCTCAATTCTCAAACCGGCCCTCGGTGGAAGAATGACGAGGCCAGTTAGTCAAAGTGTACACCCAAAGCCCTTGCTTCCTTCATATTTACCCATTTGACACCAAAAAAAACACTAATAATGAACATTGCGATGAATGACAGAGTCTCCTGAGGAACTTTTCCCTCAACTCGGCACAGGAGAGTTGAAAGTCTGTGGAAGCAAGGATCACATTGATAACTAAAATCAAGAAAAATGAAATTTTCTTACAGTCATAAAGTGCTCATCTATGAGCTGTTACTTGGGTCGGAAACAGCTAAAATTATTCGAGCATGGGAAGGATTCACAAATCAAATGCAGCAGATACCATGTTTATTGAAATCACAGGACTTTGAACAACATTCAACCCATGAATCCGTGTTGTAAAAATCAGAAAAAAGAGAAGAAATAAATAAACAAAAACAATACAATTCCATGATATTAAGAAGACATAAGGTCGACTCGTGTCAACCCAACATTCTGCTCTTATATAACCTAAAATCTCCTCTAATGAAAATGATGTACTGATGATACTTTATGCTAATGTTTAGAGGAACTTGGATTTTGATATGTAATGAAAAAAAAATAAAAAAGGCATCCTGACACGTGTGCTCCGTGTACGCATCAACACTGCCCAACATTTACTTGCAATCTGACCGAGCAGCTCCACCATAATCAGAAATCTGCCAGAACAAAGATGAGTAATTCCATTTATTCTTCGCTGAGCTTTTCTCTTCTCGAGCTGTTCACAGTCGTTATATCCAGTGAGATGAATTGGAGGCACAAAAAGTTAAACCCCAATAGCTCTCGGTGAAGGATGAAGGTGGCATATGCTTTCCTCGAGCACATTTGCTCTGAAATAAGTAGGGGTTCTCCGAATACCACTGACGGAAAAGTTCACTGTGACGGAAAAGTTCACCCACTCGAGCCTTTGCTTCTCCTTCTCCATGTCTCATTTATGTGAGCACAAGCGCGGCAACAGTCTGGGGCCCTGCGGATGGAGGGTGGTCCTCGTGTCTCCAGATCCGGTTCCAATCAGTGCGATGGCAAGGAAAGTCAGAACCCACCCCGAACGCTCATCTATCCCTCTTCCCACTCTTCTTCGAAGTGGTCGGCATTATTGCCTCCTGCCGACGATTCTCTCGCTGAGCTCGCAGACTGCGCAGCGGCGGAGGACTGGAAACCGTCCTCTCATAACAGAGAACAAAACGCCCTAAGCAACACCGCGGAGGGAAGGTCATTCTCCGTTGATTCGTGCGAAGGAAGCCTCACCGAAATGGTCCCTCCCCTCTGTCCATCCCGTGGAGGAGAGAAACAATAGCAAGGACAGATACAGCGGCAACAGGGGCGGCAGAAGCATGCCAGATCGAGCTCCGGATGGAGCCGGAGGAGAACCAGGGCCAACCTTGCCACCGGTAGCGGAGCTTCCCGGGGAGACGATCAGAGGATCGCTGGTAGACGACGAAGCACCGGTGTCTAGAGAAGAGAACCCTATATATATATATAGTTTTCTGACCAGCTGTTTCGACAAGGAATAAATAAATTGATAAATAAGTAAATAATTCGCAAGTAATGGCAACGGTTCTCTATCCTAACCAACGACTTTGTTCGTAGCATTCGTACAGCAGCAGGTACTCCTCCTCCCTCTTCCGATGATCCCCGCGTCGGCACGACGGCGTCCCTAGAGGGATGGAAGGTGGAGACCGTCGCCGAAGAGGAGGAAGAAACAGGGACGGGATGAATCCATGGTCGTTGATCCACCCAGCGGCCGCCCATGGGCCGCTCCTCCAACCAGTGTGGCCCTTTTCACCGCAACGGAACGCCGCAGGATCCCGCGTCCAGTCTCCGGCGAAGAGGCCTACGGTGGTGCAGGTCAATCCAGGGAGCCGCCGGATCGATCTGGAAGAGGCCGTGAGGTCACTGGAGGACGGAGAGGCCCGCAGAGGGATCGATGGCGGTGGATTCTACAATTCGCTCATCCAAATTTGTATATCCGAGAAGGCTCTCCCGGAGGGGGAGCGACTGCGCGCCCACCTCGCACGCGTCGGCTATGAGCCCGGCGTCTTCTTGGAGAACCAGTTCCTCAATCTGTACGCAAAGTGCGGCAAGGTGAGGAAGGCGCGCGATTTGTTCGACAGAATGAGCGAGAGGAATGTCGTCACGTGGAACGCCATGATCGCCGGATACTGCTCAAATCAGTGCTTCCTAGAGGCTTCTCTGCTCTTCGCCGCCATGGTCGAGAGTGGTGACCAGATCCCCAACCAGGCGACTTACTTGGGTGCACTGAGGGCAGTGGTCGGTTCTGGGGACCTGAAGCTTGGGCTGCAGGTGCATGGCCGCCTGCTGAAGTTAGGTTCCCTCCTGTCCCAGGTAGAAGTGGGGAATTCGCTGATCAACATGTACGCGAAGTTAGGCAGGCCGCATGATACCTGGACGGTGTTTGATAATATGCCGGACCGGGATGCAGTCTCGTGGAACACCGCCATCGCTGCCAATGCCCGGAGCGGCAGTGGCATCGGGGCTCTGACCCTGTTCCAACGAATGAACACAGAAGGCTTCCATCCCGACGGCTTCACCTTCGCAAGCCTTCTGGGAACGGAGGATGTCGCCGGAGTTTCAGAGCTCCACGGGCAGATCACCAAGCGCAACCTTGAGGACGACTCCTACGTAGGAAGTGCCCTTCTGGCCGCCTATGCTAGGAACGGAAGCCCTCGAGAGGCGCTGCTAGTGTTCGAGGGGCTGACCGATCCCAATACCATCGCCTGGAACTCCGCCATTGCCGCCTGCGTGGAGAATACGATGGTCGAACAGGGGCTACAACTCTTTCTGGAGATGCAGCGGGTCGGCGTGCTTCCAGACGCCTGCACCATCTCCTCCTTGCTGGCCGCAGCTACGGTCGGATCCTTCATTTCTGTAGGAAAGCAGGCCCATGGACTTGCAGTGAAGCTCGACCTCTGCTGGGAGACGCCAGTGGGGAACGCCCTCATCACCATGTATTCCAAGCAGGGCTCTGTCTCCGACAGCCGCCGGTCCTTCCAGTGCGCAGCCGACCCCGATCTCATCACCTGGAACTCCATGGCTCAAGCTTACCTCACCAACGAAAAGCACAAGGAAGCACTCGCCCTCTTCGTCGAGATGAAGCTCGCCGGAGTCGAGGCGGACCAGTATGGCTTCACTACTGCCTTGGGCGCCTGTGGCTCTCTCTGTTGGAAGCGAACTGGGGCCACAATCCATGGTTATGCCGTGAAGCTCGGAATAGAGCTCGATGCCTTCGTCGGGAGCGCCCTCGTCGACATGTACGGGAAATGCGCGGCGGTGACGGAGGCTAAGCTGGTCTTCGACGGGATTGAATGCAAGGATCTGGTCGCCTGGAACTCCATGGCAGTCGGGTACGTGCAAAACGGCTGCTTGGACCAGGCTCTTGGGCTTCTCACAGCGATGGGCAAAGATGGGTCGGAGCCGGACGAGTTCACCTTCTCCGGCATGCTCTCCGCCTGCGCGGAAGCCTCAGCCCTGCAGAGCGGCCGGCAACTCCATGCTCTGGTCACCAAGTCAGCCATCAACGCCGACACGGCGGTGGCGAATGCTCTTATGACAATGTACGCCAGATCGGGATGCGTAGCCGAGGCGTCGCAGATCTTCTCCCAGCTCGCCGCCCCAAACGCCGCGTCTTGGACTGCGATGATCGGAGGGTACGCGCAGAGCGGCCTCCCAAGGGAGGCCCTCAAGCTGTTCGAACAAATGGCGGAGCGCGGCGTGAGACCCGACGGCAAGACCTTCCTCGCCCTGCTCACGGCCTGCAGCTACGCCGGAGATGTGGACCAAGCAGGGAGGTTCTTCGAAGAGATGCAGACGGAATACGGATTAGGACGGGAGTTCGAGCACTACGCTTGCATGGTGGACGTCCTCGGCCGCGCAGGGAGGTTGGAGGAGGCGGAAGGGGTCATCGATGGGATGCCGCACGCGCCGAATGCCCTCGTGTGGAGGACGTTGCTCGGGGCTTGCAGAACACACGGGGATCTGAGCAGGGGGGAGAAGGCCATGGAGAATATCCTGGCGGCGCAGCCGAGGGACTCGGCGGCGTACGTCCTTCTCTCCAACATGTACGCCGCGAGAGGGAGGTGGGACGGCGTTGCGGAGGTGAGGAGGCTGATGAGGGAGAAGGGCCTGAGGAAGGAAACTGGGAAGAGCTGGATAGAGGTGCATCATCGAGTGCACGAGTTCGTAGCAGGGGACTCCACGCATCCGCAGACAGACGCCATTTATTCCACATTGGAAAGCCTTCTGGAGGTGATGAGAGCTGCCGGAGATAGCTAATGCGCCTTCAATCCGGGTTCAAGAAGCTCTGACGAGCTAGCTGCTCAGTTCTGCCCACTAAATCCGGAGATAGAACAGAGGTCGATCGAATTATTAGAACACAACAATGAAATCTGAAGAGGCATGCAGGCTACTCAGTTTCTTATTCTCAGATCACATCAGGGACTCAAAATGCTGGTTTTCTTCTGCAAGAACTGTACAGCAAGGCTGTGGAGGGAGGATATCAGATGACGCAGAGATTACAGAAGCTGAACGGCGGCAATTTTCGGGATCTTCTCTCTAAGCTTCTGGGTCAGCGCCACCCGAACGGTCATGACCCCTGCCGCTGGCCCCGACAGTCGGACTTTTACGATTGGCTCCTCGATGCATATGAGTTCAAGCTCGCCGCCGCCGGTGCCAACGAGGTACGGCCGTAGCTCGTCCAGAACCTGAGTGATCGGGGAGGCAATTCCAAGAATTAGGTTTTCACGAGCTATAATAAGGTTGAGAGGGCACCGGATTACTTCTGGCCACCAGGAAGCCGATCTCAAACAGAGCCAACCCTGTTCTACGCAGGCTGATTGGTATAAATAATAAATTGCCTAGTTTATTCAGAGGAAAAACTAGAAAATAGAGTCAGAAAAGTGGTGCAGTAGCTCCATGTTCTTTTACTCGTGGACAAAGAGTTTGCCAGACAGATTGATACGGTCAAGCAAATGGTACAAGATCCAGCAAAATGTAGAGAGAAAAAAATTTAGAAGAAAAATACAATAATCAGTAAAGTCACTAAAAAAGGGCAGCTAAATATGTCCGGTTCTGTTCTCATCGCCAAGAAATGTAGGTTACTAAAGTAAATGGCATGGGGTTCCTTTCCAAGGTTCATAAATGGCATGGGGTGTAAGAACTCGTTTAACCAAAAGTAACAGAAAAATCGAATCACGAGGGAACTGTTATATGCAATCTTGGGTCATTGGGTTTGATAGAGGCACATCGGCCATGCAACGCTACCATGACTAACAGCTAGTCCTAAGAAGGGAGGTCCCAGCAAACCAGAAAATTCTGAACACATACACCACGCGGATAGCAAAATATATTTGTTGTCCTCATTGGTTTTAGGGTTCAGGACAGAATTATAAGATCACTACGTAAATGGATTTGACTTCTATCTAATACCCAACACAATTTAAATTGTTAGACTGCAAATCTTTTTTCCCACAATCTTCAATATGCTAACGGCTGTATGATGCACATTAATGTACCAAAAATGCGACAAAAAAGGGTGATCAAGTTGCTCACTGCATGAAAAAACTAGTTCCATCAAATTGTAGAGATCACAGCCATTCCCAATACAAAGGATGAAGATAACCAGCAACCACCGTTAACACATTGGCATGTACCGTATCGGTCAAAACATTTCCAAACAAGTCTCTATGGAAAGCATGAACACGGCATTTATTGTTTCCATTATAACCCTAAAAAGTACAATCACAACATTTATTGAAGAAACCATAGGACAAGCTGAAGCGAAGCAATAATGAGCAAAGTCATAGGAAAAAAAAAACTGTAATTGAATTTCAAGAAAGGAGTATGATAGAGCAAGAAATGGGAAAAAAACAACCTTCTCTATATTTTCTTCATTCAACTCGAGTCCTGTCTCCTCATCTGTGACAGGTTCAACTGCAACTATTTCTGGGATTTTTTCCATTAGACGACGCTCAATTCCCATCTTCATAGTCATCACTGAGCTCGGACAAGACCCACATGCTCCTTGCAGCTTCAATCTCACAACATTCCCATCAATCTCGTGAAGTACCACATTCCCACCGTCCGCTATAAGATATGGTCGAACCTCATCCAGCACACTCTCAACATTCTCTTCAGTTAATGGCAATTCTACAATGGGATTCGGAGTTGTAACAGCCTTAACAACTGCAGGAAAGACAATTATGAGTCATTTACCTTCTTTTTCTAGCGATAACTGTTAGTGAGGCCCAAAATGAGGGTTGTGTAAAGGACTGGAAACAAATATTAAACATTTTGATATCTACCCTTGTTTAGGCATGAGCATTTTGTTCTGGGCTACAGGAATCCAACAGCCGCCTGTAGATGAAGTACAATTTATCCCGGAATCGCATACGGATGTGATAGTAATTTCAAGCTAATTTAGTCCTAGGCATCTCCTCAGGATGGGATGACTTCGGCATTTGGCACATTATAAGAAAGATTTACAGACTGGATTCTTATTTCGCAATACTCTACATCCTGCAGTAAGGAAACAAATTCTTTTCTGCTGTGATCAAAGACCACATATTCTTTTCTACAGACTAAAGTAATGATGAAAAAATTATTGTGATGGTACGGGGATGTACATAGGGATAAAACAGTAAAACACAACAGTAGGACATGGAATCTGGATTGCAATATTTTAGTAAGGTAAGTAAGGACAGAAGAAGCCAACCAAGTACAACACATTTATTTGAATATTTTCTTCCAAACCTGCATTTTTTACCAGAGTTACAAATCTTCCTCTTCGATGTTTGAGTTCATAAACAAGACTTGGGCGCACAATGTCACTTGTATAAACCTTAGAGGGAAGCTCTAGCTTCTTGTCTAGTTTTCTTCATCCCTTTATTTACATGTGACAAGAAGACAGGCAAGATCCAACAAGAAAGCCAATGCACACGGTACTGTCAACGAACATGCTTACTTCTGAAAAACAGATATTTTCATCTCAGATATTATTTATAACTAATTGTGGTCGGGTTTACAGATCTAATCCTGCCTTTGTATTTAATCATTCGTTATATCTATGTTTTGAAAACAGAAATTTTCATAATTACGCGTCCTCAGCCACATGCTTTTTTGCTCTTGTAATTGTTCTTTAAGTGTCATGAAAGTGGTGATTATATATCTCTTCAAGGTAAATGTTAACATATCTTCCGTGATGGTCAATTGACAAGAAAATTCAATAGCTTTCGAAGTGAAAGATTAAGCAAATAATAATCAATTTCTGGTTTATTAGGACCTTTTTCTGTCTGGTTACAAGCTTGTTCAAAGATTTCCAATTCTAACCTTTAAAGTCCATTGCACCCCATGATGTAAATATGCTTCTTTTGTGTACTATCGTCCGACAGCTCAAATTTATAATCCGAATTCTTTTAAAAATTCATAAAAAAACGAATCAGGGAGAAGCGTACCAGACGATGGGATTACGGGGGAAAAGCGGTGAATTGAAGAAGAGGTGAAACCCATCCGGGGAGAGACTCTGCTATTGCCCACGGATATCCTCGTCCTCGGATAACAAGAATCCTGATTTGTAATCAGTTCTTAGTACATATAAGAAGATAGGTTCACCCCAAATCCTCCCCCCCCCCTCCTACCATCACCTCTCTCTAAGAAAAACGAAATCCAAGTTACTCGCTCAGATGGGGTGAGACAGAGAGTCAAACCTTTAGCCTGTTGTGGAACTGGGCCGTGCATGGAAAGGAGGAGGATACTTCTGCCGGGCCAGAGAACCGTTGCTGCACCCCGCAGCAGCATGACGGATTCAGCACAGCCGTCTGCATCCGGTGAACACTTCCCCCCGACAGGGGCAACGGAATAGAAGTGACGGCGGCGAGAAGACAGAAAGAACCACCAGAGGAACCGTACGCCGGCGGCGGCGACCAGGCTGCGCTCCTCCGCTCGCGATTCTCCGACTCGGCCGACGAAACCGGAGAGACGAAAGAGGCGACGCCGCTTCCACAGCTTATTCCGACCCCTTGCTTCTGGGATGTTCCAAGCGGACGGTGTATAACCCCGTCACGGCTTTGATGTGTTTCGGATCTGAATGTTCCCCACTTGTGGAGCAGAAAAACCCGTTTCGACCTCATCGGATCATCCCTTCCACGTGGGCCAATCAGATCCACATGTTGTCGCTTGTGGGTCCACCTTCCCTTTTGCCGTCCACTAACCGTGGAAACCACAAGCGCCCAGACATCTCCTAATCTCGATCGGACGGCCATCGATAGCCACGTGCCACTCTCGAAATTAGCAAGCCGTGTGGGTCCCCAGGCCGCCCACGTCCCCAACCAGCCGCCGGAAAGATGCAGGGCAGCGCGATGATTTCGAAGGGAAGAAGAAAGGTACAGGCTTCCCTTTGGATTCTCAGCGGAGGAGCTTCACCTGCCCACAAGGGGCTCCGGGTTTTATCTGTAGAGAGCTGCTCCCGGGTTTGTTCTGTACGCCGTCGCGCTTCATCGCCTCCCTCAGCCTCAACACGTCTCCCCACATCCCGCCGGCGGCATATATGTTCGACAAGGCGATGTAGTCCTCGCATGCAGCGGCGGCGCCGCATGGGGGCCCATCGGGTCCCCTCTCCAGCTGCAGTAGCTTCCTCCCAATCTCCTCCCCAAGCGCGCTGCGGCCGTAGACCTTGCAGGCACACAGCAACGTCCTCCACAGCACGGCGTCCGGCGCCATCGGCATGTCTGTGACGAACCGAAGGGCCTCCTCCACCATGCCCACCCGAGCGAGAAGGTCCACCACGCAGCCGTAGTGCTGGACGCTCGGCGCGACGCCAAACCTGCGGGTCATGGTCTCGAACAGGTGCAGGCCTTCGTTCACCAGCCCTGCGTGGCAGCAAGCGGATAGCAGGCAGGTGAAGGTTACGGCATTGGGGGATACACCCTCGGCGAGCATCGCGTCAAGCAGCTCGATGGCCGCCTCTCCTCGGCCGTGGAAGGCGAGTGCCGCCGTCATGACCGTCCAGGTCAAGACGTTCTTCTCTCTGGTTTCCGCAAAAATCATCTGCGCGCTGCTCAGGCACCCGCATTTCGAGTACATATCCACCAGCCCAGTGCCGATGAAGGCATCGTCTTGGATGGAGATGGCCTTCAATATGTGGCCATGGATCGAGCTCCCTAGAGCCAGCTCGCCGAGCCGGGCGCAGGCGGAGAGCATCACCACCATCGTCCTCTCCGTCGGCCTCGTGCCCCCCTCATCGAGAAGCAGGTCTCTGAACAACGCCGCCGCTTCGGCAGCCCCCCCCCCGAGGCAGCACCCGGCCATCAGGGCGTTCCACGTTGCGCTGCTCCTTCTCGGCATTTCGTCGAACAGCTGCCGGGCAGAGTCGATCTCCCCGAGACTCCCGTAGAAATGGACCCCTGTCGTGAGGACCGCCACATCCATGGCCTCCGGCGGCCGGGTCTTCACGATCTGGGCGTGAACTTGCATCCCCTCTCGCAGGCCAGCAGAGCGGGCGCACGCGCCGAGGACGTAAATGAGCGTTCGATCGTCCGGCGCCGGCGCGCCACCGCCGCCGCCGCTGCGGGCACCGAGACGGGCGTAGAGCAAGATAGCTTCTTGCGGAGGGCTGCGCCGGATCATGACGTTCCAGGTGAACACGTCGGCCTCCCTGGCATGGTAGCGGAAAGCTAGATGGGCGAAATTCATGCCCTCTGGAGCTGAAACCCCGGCGTAGCGTTCGATCAGCCTACCGACGGCGCTGTCCCGGCGGAGGGCGCCACTTACGATCATCTGTGCGTGGATTTGCTTCAGCTGCTCGATGCCCACGGACGGAAAGTGGGTCTTCCCCAACAAATCTAAGCATCTTGCTCGCGGTAGCAGCAACATCCCCCCATGCCCAACTGACTACGAATCACTCCTACATGATCAGCTGCTGCTCACGAGTGCATGCCCCGCCTGGGATTTATACATTTCGGCCAAAGTGGGCCATCCTATGGTCAATTCCAATCGGCCCCGGGTTTGCTACGGTTCCGGCCCTGATGACAACGATTGCAGTCCACACCCCAGCTCAAGCCAGGCTCATGGCTTAAAATGTAATTTTCGGGCTCGTTGACAACGTACGCCGTTGACATTACCACTGGATTTAATAATATTTATTCGACCGATACAATTCCTCGCGCTGCCATACTACGCAGATTTATTACATATTTTAATAAGAAAAATATGCTTCAAGGGGGAACTCAGAAATATCGAGTCCAGCTTTAAACTATTGGGACGAATGGTATTTCCCAACAAGTCAACGACTTTAGATGACAAGCGTGCCTCCAAGTCAATAACCTACGAGCCCTTTTTCGACCGGGCTGTATCACTACTGGCTCAGGCAATTTAGTGAGAGTCCAGATGATATTCAGAGGGCTCCATTCTAAGGGCAGTAATGCATTTGGACGACTAATCCATACACAGCAGTAGAGACAGCAAAATACAGCCAGGAAACCATGAACAAGAACGAAAACAGAGTAAATGAACGACGGACCTCTAATAGCTGGCTAATTTGCGACCAAGAAATCATGCAACCAGGTTCTTGCGACGGCGAAGGCGTCCTCGGCGTCGTCGTCCTCCTCCTGGGACTCAGGCCGATGGGCGAAGCCATCTCCCCTCCCGTCGTAAACCACCACCTTGGCCCCCCTGATGCCCTTCTCCATCTCGCGGACCACGCTCAGAGGGCAATGCGGGTCGTCGTCTCCGCAGACGAATAGGACCGGAACTTTGATCTTGGGGCACAGGGCCGGGTTCATGTTTGTCCCGTAGAAGCAGACCCCGGTGCCGAAGTAGCCGCCCTCGTCGCGGGCTAATGTTTCGATCAGGTGATGGCCGCCGAAGCAGAAGCCAATGATCCCGAGCTTCTTAGATATGCCGGCAGCAATGTATTCCTCCGTTAGCCACTGGCATGACAATGCGATGTCTACGGCGACCCTCTCGGGGAGGTGACTAGCCACCCATGGCCCGAACTCAGCCTGCTGTCGGCCTGTCCTCCATGGGTTTCCGCGGAACAAGTCTGGGACGAGAACACTGTTTCCATGATGAGCACCAAGAGAAGGAGAGATCAGTCATTTGAACACGAAGACAGCGGCTGCGGCTTCAAATAATCCTGCACATTATCTCCTGTACGCTGGATCAGAAGGACCATGTGAATCGAGATTCGGGAACAACTGCACAGAGTGCAGGAGATAATGTGCATTAAGTAGGCTTAACGAACGATAAAAATAATTATCAAAGAATTCTTATACCTAAGTAAAAAATAAATTCCCAAATGAACGATGAATGATAATCTAATAAATAAATAAGGCACCACACTAATTTGATAATAAACACTTAGCAACGATCTAATTTCTAATTCATTTATAAGGTAATTTATTTAAGAATAATGTTTTCTATTTACTTTAAAATGATGAATATATGATCATTTATCACTCATTAGTAAAATACTAGTTATCATCTTCAGCAATGATTATCATTGTAATCATGCAAGTGCTCAAGTTTTAATATCCTAGATAAACCCAGGGTTCAGGGTATAAAGAATCTGTTTAACATAGATAAACAGAATCAAATACGAAATCTTCTCATTGTAATATTGAGTAGAAACGCATGATAAATCTATAAGCGAGAAAATTACTGGGATATATAGGGCCAGATTATGACTAGCAAGGGCTGCTAAGGATTTACAATTATAAGAGGATATTATAAGGCCAAAAACTTGAATTATACAGTCTGATAACTTAGGAGTTCAGAAAAAATATCATAAGACTCTAAATGAAGTTTCATCGTCCGCTGTCAGACACTGTCCACTCATCTGCAACCAGGATAAAACCCTTAGAATACATCCAAACTTAAGCAAGGCAGTGCTGCTTGGGTTGTGGTTAGACGTACAAGATTAACGTAGAGGATATGAAAGCTGTTTATTTGATGAACTGAAATAGTTTACAACGAATTCCAGATAAAACATTGAAGTATCCTCAGACAAAACTGAATTAGTTGGGGCAAATTCCTTGAAAAGGGAATGAACAGGATAACATTAGAGTAAGGAGCAGAGCAGGTGAATCAAGATAGAGAAAACATTAGCGCAGTATGATTTCATCATAGTTTTTTGATTTTCCGTTGCTAAAATGAAACTACTTTCATATAGTCATATGAACTTACTTGTAGCCACTGCAGGCAACTCTGTAGGCGAACTCTCTAGTAGATGAATCTTCAAACCCAAAAGCATCAGACAACAGCAGGACACCATTGCCATTGTTATTCTTCACTGCTTTCAGCAGATAAGCTCGGATGCTATCCTCGCCTTCCCCAATAACAAGTTCAATACCACTGACCAGCTCACACGTTTCATAATCAATGTCACCTTCTACTTTCTGTTGGCTGCACCATATCTTACCCACTGGACCATTAAGATGGAGAGAGACGTTCTGGTGACATAGACTGCACTTCCTCTGCGCAAATACTGAAGTATTACAGTTAGAAGATGTTCATTTCCTCGTACAGCACCGCATACTATACAGACCATCTAGACATTCTCCACAACAAGAGTAAACCTCAAGCAGTGACGTTTTGAACAAAGAAGGCAATAGTTATGCATATTTACTAGTTTAAACCTCGAAACGAAATTTTATTTATCATATGAGGTAGAAAGGACCGAAAATTGTGGCATAAGAAATCAGGGGGTATATGAAAACTTATACAGAGCCGGAAATGCTCCTTCAGCCATGGGTGCTGAGAAGATAGGAAAAGAGGATCGCAAAGAACGCGCAAAAAGAGGAAATAAGAGAATGAACAGCCACAATTGCCAGCAAACAGCACATCAGATATTGCAGTAGAAAGAATTAAAAAAAAAAGAAGAAATGAGTTCCGGAAGCAGCAAAATGTACAGCCACATAAAGATATTTGCCGCGATTTTCGCCATGCAGGTCCCAGGGTTTACTCCAGCAGTAACTGCTAGCGAGAGCGACCGAATCGAGGGAGAATAAGACGGTAGACTAAAATCGTGCTTACGGAGGAGAAAGCGAAGCTAGAGGCAACCCGTGCTCCGCGAATGAAGGAGGAACGGCTGGGCGAGCGAAGACGCCGGCGGAAGAACGCGGGAGCTCGCGGGGGATATGACATAGGGAGAGCGGCGGCCGCCGTGGCCGGAAGCACCCGCGGCGGTGGTGCCATCGATTTGGGCGGTGCTCCGTCGGATCCTATCTGGTTAGGAGGCGTAGGGAGGAAAATATCAGTCCAGAGATTCTTCTCTCTCTGCCTCGATCCTCACTCCATCCAATAAGCGTTTGGTTTGAATATCGAGGCCAATGTGGCAATGGGTCCCACAAACAGCTGATCTATACGATGGGTCGAAGGGGTTGGGCATGAGCCATGCTGGAGGTGGGGCCCATAGAGATAAAACCCTAACTCAAAATTGCCCAAGTTTTTGGAGCGTCTCACGTGCCGGTGGGTTTCCCTGTCCGACCGCCATCGGTGGATGGCAGATTCACAGCGCCCGGATTAGCCGGCAGCGGCAGCTCCCGCCTTCTGCGATCGACGGCCGGGAGAGGGTGGGCAACTCGTCAAGGAAGGGCACGCAGGGTAGAGCGGGTAGATGGAGGACATCGAGGATGTCGTCGCCTTCGGGGAACCTCCAGGGCTTCGCTTACCCCTTCCGCCGTCGTTAGCCATGAAGCCTAGAACCCGTCAGAGGAGAAATCGAGCGGTCCCCGCTCCCGCTCCCGGCATCCCTGGCACTCAGGTTTTACCCGCGTTTGTCTTAGTTTCCTCGAGTTCGCTGTCTTTCCGTCTCATGCCGCTTCAGAGTGGTTATGGCTTTGATTTCTGATACTCTTTCTTTTTTCTCTATATATTCATCCTTGTGACTGTCCATGCTCGATTTCAGACGATATATTTGAAAACATTTGGATGCTCGCACAACCAGGCAAGTGCTCCTTGTCCCTTGTTCCTATTTTAGCTTGGTTGGGAAACGACAGTCGAAAGGGCAGCTACAATTTGCGGTGACTGTGAATCCTCAAGATGCAGACTTGTTTTCTTTCAGAGTGACAGTGAGTACATGGCTGGGCAGCTCTCCTCATTCGGATATGCGGTGACTGATGATCCTGAAGGGGCAGACCTGTGGCTGATAAACACGTAATTCTCGTTCTCTCTTTAACATTCTCTTTCTGAACTGCCTTTCAGTTTTCTTTAACCAGAGCGTACCTCTTCTCTAGATCAAAAGCTCTCGTACTTTTGTTCGATTGCTTCTGTTCTGTACTTAGTGCGTCCAGAGAGGCATTCTTATTCTTACTGGTGAAAAATGTGATCGGCATGTTGCGGATGTTTTTGGCTGAAGCGTTCTTATTACACCTAGCCTTTCAAGTGCTCGTGATTTCTACTTAATTCATGAATCCCTCTCGAATGCATTTTCTATCTCCCTCTTTCTTTCTCAGAAGGTCCCCCAGCGTTCTGTGTTATCTCACAATGGCGGTAGTTTCACAAGAATCCTAGTATATACCGACTGCAAAGTTCCCCTACTTCTCTACAACTGCTAGATATTTAAGGATTATCCCGGTTGTTTCATATTCTTACCGTCCTAATGGTCATACTAAGAAATCTGAGGTCTTGAACATTTGGGGTCTCAGATTTAGCTGCTTCATGCACCAACCCAGGACGGGCAACTATATCATTTTTGTGTATGGTACTTATTTTCCGGCACCAATTATTCAAAACAGGTGCACTGTGAAGTCTCCAAGTCAGTCTGCTATGGATACTCTTATTTCGAAGTGCAAAAGCGCAAGAAAGGCACTTGTAGTTGCTGGTTGTGTCCCCCAGGGAAGCCGAGATCTGAAGGAACTTGAAGGTGTTAGTGTGATCGGAGTCCAACAAATAGACCGCGTAGTTGAAGTTGTGGAAGAAACTCTGAAGGGACATGAAGTGAGGCTCTTAAGTCGGAAAACATTGCCATCGCTTGACCTCCCAAAGGTACAGTTTCCTCAGTAGTGCATGTGATTTTTTCTTGTAATCACATTTTCTTTTAAACAGTTTATGACTCATTGGCTATAACTCTGCCATTGGGCTTGAATTCGTATCATGTTTTATTAACAGGTGAGAAAGAACAGATTTATTGAGATTCTTCCAATTAATGTTGGTTGTTTAGGGGCTTGCACTTACTGCAAGACAAAACATGCTCGTGGCCATTTGGGGAGTTATACTGTGAGCAGTCTTGTAAGATTCTCCTGCACTGGTTTGTTGTAAATTCTTTACATGCTATATGTTTTTTTGATCAATTGAAGTCTGAAATTTTTGGTGTAGGTAGAACGGGTAAAAGCTGTTGTATCTGAAGGGGTTAAAGAGATATGGCTAAGTAGTGAAGATACGGGAGCGTATGGTAAATTTCTGTATTTTCATTACGTTGTGTCGTTCTGCTACTAGACAGAAGGTGATGATTCGTGCTGGGAAATAACTCTTTCATATGGCTCAACTTCTAGAGTCTCTAATTAAGTTCTATAGACGAGTCTCTGGTAACAGCGGAAGTGAAACTCCTGTTGTCAAGGTTATCTCGCTTGATGAATAGTGGGCTTTCAGAGGTCATCTTTAAAATTATTAGCAAATTCAGGATACAAATAGACGAGAAAGAAGTTTCAATATTGGCCCCTTGCCAATTTTTGCAGGATATTTTGCCAACGGTGTACTCGTACATCTAATTGGACATTCTTGGTAGTGCTAGATTGTGATGCTCATATTGATCTGTAGAATTCACATGGGAGTGGGGTATATGTTGCCGTTGAGATTCAATCCAGTGCATTCATTTCAATTCCCTGTCATCTTGATCATAATGCAGGGCGCGACATTGGAGTAAATCTCCCAACCTTATTGAATGCAATTGTTGCGGAACTTCCTGCTGATAGAAGTACAATGCTGCGTATCGGAATGACGAATCCCCCCTTTATACTGGAGCATTTGATAGAGATCGCTGAGATTTTTCGCCATCCATGTGTTTATTCCTTTCTTCACGTTCCTGTGCAATCCGGGAGCGACTCAGTCCTCAGTGTAAGTTGTGAAGCTGAAAGCCTTTTTGTGGCATAAGAATTCTATTGCATGGACACACACGCACAGATCATAGTTGTTTGGTTTGTAATCAGTTCGTCAATATTTTGGCTCTCACTTGAATCCTATTCGCATGATGGCAGGTGATGAATCGTGAATACACGGTCAGTGATTTCAGATCTGTCGTGGATACCCTGACTCAACTTGTTCCCGGAATGCAGATTGCGACTGATATTATCTGTGGATTCCCCGGTATATCCTCATCGGTTTGCATCAAATTCTGGCTCCTTGAAATAAAAACTTCAGTTTTTAAAGCTATACCCTTGTGCCCTTCTTTCTTCAGGGGAGACTGATGACGATTTTGCTCAAACTGTTGACCTTGTCAAGGAGTACAGCTTTCCTCAGGTTCATATCTCCCAGTTCTATCCCAGACCAGGTAGGCCCTTTGGCTCAGCCCATCATCTCGTCGCATCTCTTTCGGGTTCCTTTTCTATCTTTTCTGGCTTGGATCCCATGTGCTTGCGAGATGAGCGATAGAATGAAAGAGGAAGAATCATATCACGAGAGTTACTTGAGTGGTGTGCATGGAAGTTTCTTCTGAATGAGGAACGTCTTGAAGGCGACAGGATTATAATCTATATCGAGAATGCCTGCTTTTGGTCAACTTTCTGAAGGTCAGGCGCGCTGCTTTTGGTTACTCAGGGACACCTGCTGCGAGGATGAAGAAGGTCCCGAGCACAGAAGTGAAGAAGCGGAGTCGTGAATTGACGGCTGTTTTTGAGTCGTTCTCCCCTTACCAAGGGATGGAAGGTCAAATCGAGAGGATATGGATCACAGAAATCGCCACCGATGGGGTTCATCTGGTACATAAACTTCCCCGTCTTCCCCCCCTCTCTCATATTTTCCCCGCTGTTTCCTGCACTTGATCTCTATCGCAGATTCCCGAAGCCACTGTAAGTCCTCCTGGGATTGGGTGATGCTGATGCAGTGGATGGAGAGGACATTCGTTACTGGATCTTTGGGTCAGTCTCTTCTTTTGTGATTCCCAGGTGGGCCACACAAAAGGATACATCCAGGTGCTTGTGATTGCCCCGGAGCGGATGCTGGGGACATCCGCCGACGTGAAGATCATCTCCGTGGGCAGGTGGTCCGTCTTTGGGGAGATTCTTGAACCTCCAGCTCCAGTCCCTGGCGAGGAGGGCCTCCCATCAAGCGCTTTTCACTGCCGACCTTCGCCCCAAGAGCGGAGAACCCACGGCTGCGGCTGCTCGGGAGAACCGGCGGCCGTCGACAAGTTGGTCCTGGACGAGCCGTCAGCTATAGCTCATCAAGCTGCAAGTAATCTCAGTGGCTTCTTCCGTTCGGTGCCGCTGCTCCGGAAGCGGAAGGTTGGTGGCCGAACCGATGCGCCTGCGACGGACTCGACGGAGAGGCTGATGAAGGAGAAGGGTGAGCTCGGCGCTCTGGACTGGGTTCTTATCGGCGGCGCATTTTTTAGCTTCCTGACCATTGTATTCGTATTGATAGTCCTAATCCCTAAGATTGCTTCCACCAGATGAAATTGTGAGTAGATTAATTCCATGTGTCTTCTTCTAAACTGGTTTCGTTGTCTATGATGTGATGTGATGTGATACTCTCGTTAACTGGGCCTGCAAGACAAACTAAGCGAATTGATGGGAGGGGGAGGGAGAAATTGACAGCAGGCGATATGGGGGGTTGCAGAGATGTGCGAGGAGGCTGGAGACGTTCTTCCAAGAAGGGTACAAGAACAGAAACCAGGAACAGTCGAAAACTAGCAAAGGGTCCCCGACGCCGGCGACGGCGCTCAGAGGAGCACGTCGGACTTGGCCGGGAGCCGCTTGTAGAAATTGAAGACGACGGACGGCATCTTGGTCCTGAACCTTGGGTGGCGCAGGAAGTACGCCCCCGCCAGCAGGGCCACCACCTGGAACGGCGTAACGTAGAGGAACAGGGCGAGCAGCACGGCCAAGACAATGGCGATGGCGGTGGCGCGGGGATCCCTCCAGCTGAGCAGGGCCTGTGCTCGCTCCCCCTGCGTCGCCAGGTCCCCCACCACCGTCTGCAACCTGCCGGCCACGCTCCTCAGCCGGTCGTACCGCATCCGGACGAGCTCATTGGACCTCGAAGTGGGGAACGTGTCGAACTCCTCGTCCAGCTCGTCGGGTGGCGCCCACTCCGCCTGCGAGAGCTTGGCGTCCATGTGGGGAGGGTTCCTCGAGCGGAGCCGGAAGTTCGACAGGCCGATCATGAACAGGTACAGGAAGATGGTGGGCAGGATGAGCTCCGGGTACCGGACCAGGATGAAGAAGAGCGCATGGACGAGGATGGTGGTGATGGGGTTCCTCCACTCGCAGATGACGTCGAACCACTTGCCGACGGCCACCAGGCCCGAGAAGAGCGAGGTGATGCGGTAGAAGTTGGCCTTGCTCCGCCGGAGGCTCCACATGTGGGAGTCCACGTCGAGCATATACTCCACAACCTCGCGGCGCAGGGGAGGCTCCGCCCGGGCCAGGCGGGCTCCCACAATCTGTACCGCCTGGTGGCGGAGGTAGTCGAGGTGGACGACGGAGATGGGCTGCACGTAGTGCATCTTCGGCAGCAGCGGCATGCCGTAGAGAGTCATCATGTTCACCCACCCCGTGCAGGTGAACCGCACAGCCAGGTGGAGCTCGCCGGTCTTCTTCAATCCCGACGGCTGGAGGACCAGCAGCGGGTAGAAGTGGGTGTAGAGGCGGTCGGTCTCCAGCGTGGACAGCCGGATCCTGACCTTCCCGATCCTCTGGTCCCTGCCGCCGCCGTCGCCCTTGCCGCCGGCGACGTTGCCGTTGTCGAAGACGCCGACGGTGATGACGGTGCAGGGGTCGTAGACCTCCCAGGTGTACTGCTCGTTCCACCGGGGGGAGACGGTGTCGAGCACCGTCCTGGTGCGGACCCACTTGGGGCCAAATTTGGCGACGCAGTAGGCGTCGGTTGTGTGGCCGCTCTGCGCCTTCATCGGCACCAGATTGCGGGCGCCGATGATCCCCAGCTCCAGGACGCCAATGCTCGGTTTCCAGAGGCTCTTCGCGGTGGGGAGGAGGTCGCTGCTGTAGTGGGCGGACTCGTCGAGGACGTGGTAGCCGGCGTCGAGGCTCACGCGGAGGTAGATCTTGCTGGAGAACTTGGCCGGCTTCTTCTTCTCCCCGTCCTCCTCCGCCGCCGCCGCGGGGGGCCTCTCCAGGTTGAACCACCGCGCGACGGGGAGCTTCTTGTTGTCTAGCCGCTTCTGGGAGTCCTCCATCGGCAGGATGAGTCGCCCGAGGGGCTCGTCCTTGTTGGGCCCGACGCGGTCCTCGACGGTGACGACGAGCGGCTCGTCGTAGGGCTCCGCGGCCACGAACAGCAGCTCCTCGTTCCACATCGAGTTGACGGATCGCGCCTGCGACGGCCGCGTCCGCCGGAGCTGGTTCCCGAGTTGTATCTTCACGTAGGCGTCCGGCGCTCTGCCGCCGCCGCCCGCGGGGACGAGATCCTGGGCCTCGATGACGTGCACCCGCAGGTAGCAGAGCCGAGGGGAGAAGTAGACCTTGGAGCGGGTGTGGGCGAGCCCCTCCAGGTTGACGGAGTGGGCGTCGGAGTGCCAGGCCTCAGGGAAGGCCTCGTCGGCCTGCGTGCCCATCCACACCGCCAGCATTATCTCCCCTCGGAGCAGCCTTCCCCCCTTCCGATCCTCGAGGCGGTACCACTGCGGAGCCAGTGGGCTGTCCGGAGGAACGCGGAGGGGCACCTCCGCCAGGTCGAAGACCACCCTCCCGACGATGGCGTCGTCCTTGTCCTTGACGGCCACCTCCAGGAGGTTGCTCTGCAGGCGCTCTTTGAAGAAGGCGAACACCTGCCCCCAGACGGGGTTCTGGTTCTTCTCGACGTGCCTGGTGAGGCCCTTGTAGTTCCCGAGCTTGACCTCCACGCGGGAGTCGACGCTACCCCCATCGTCCATGGCGGGGAGATTCCTGGCCTTCACCACCTTCACGTACAGGTACTGCATCTGCTCCACCAGGTCGTAGGTGCTCGAGATCTTGTCCCCCCGGTACCCCATCCGCGCCGCCAGCGACGGCCATGTCTCCACCAGGCCGAACCCCGACTGAAGCGGCTTGGGGACCTGCATACGCATCACGGGTACTGGCTCCGCACGGGCGTAGTTCCCTCTCTTCTCCACCGCCGCCGCCGGGTGCTTGGAGTGGTAGATTTCGAAACCCTGGCCTCCGACGTTCGCCGGGGCCGAGTAGAAGTACTGGGTCTCCTTGGAGTTCTTCTCCGGCGCAGGCTTCTGATTCTTCTTGCCGGGTTTCTCCTCGTCACCCCCGCGGCGGCCGTCGCCGCCGCCACCCTTAAGGTTTCCATCGGCGGAACCCTTGTTACCCCCGGCGGCGGCCGGCGCGGGGGTTTCGGCAGCGGGAGGGGAGGACGCGTCGGGGACGGTGTAGACGCGGAGGGCGATGTCCCCGCGGATGTTGGAGAAGATCCCCCGCTTGTCGAGGGGGCAGCGGCAGACCACAGCGTCAACCGGAGAAGAGGCGACGGCGGCGCCGGTGATGCGGACGCGGCCGAGGAAGTTGCGGTGGCCGCCGCCGCTGCCGCGGTCATTGTGGACGATGACTTCGATGGTGCGCTCCGGCAGCGCCGCCGGGTCGGCGACATTGAAGACGAGGGTCTCGTTCCAGGTGGGGTTGAGGTCCTGGCCTTTGGTCTGGGTACGGTGGCGCTGCCCCTCGAAGCTCACCTCCACAAAGGCGCTCGCAGAGCCGTGCCCGTCCTTGGGCATCAGGTCGCTCGCTTCCAGGACTTCCACCACCAGCTTCATCGGCACTGCTCTGGTCCGCCTCCTCCTTTCCCTCCGGCCACCACTCTCTCTCCGCCCTAACTTGGTCTTGGAAGCAGACTCCGAGCCTCCTCAGACTCCCATCGAGGCGCAGCACCGAGAGCTGAGAAGAAAAGCTACCATCGGACTACAGACGCCGACCCAGAGGGGAGGGTGGCCGCTGGGAACAGAGCTGGTGGTTTTTAGGGCGACGGAGGAGAGGGGATGGGTGCCTGGCGGCGGCAATGGCGGAGGGTGATCTCTGAGAAAGAGACTATTCTTCTGATAATAGGCGGCTCCCACTTTATAGCACCAAAAGGCCGGAGCTCCAAAGCGCTCTCTTTAGATTTGCAGGCGGGATCCCATCCACGGAGAGAACGCTCGGGAAGGACAGAAGCGAACAGTAGTTTTTATCCCTCGGGTCATGCACGTCACCTGCTCGATAAATTTACGAGTAGAGAGAGAGAGAGTCGACGACAGTGACGACGACGGTAAGGGTGGGGGGAAGAAGCGATGCTTTTGAGTAGGAGACAAAACCCAGAATGGTGTGTGACCGCCTGGCTAGGCCGAGTGGGGCTGGGGCTCATTCCATCATGGAGATGGGAGAAAAGGGGCAAGAAAAGGGTAGGTGGGCTCCTCATCAGGGGTGAGGCCTAGATCGTCTGGTGTTGAAGAAGATGGGAAAGCCTTCTTTCTACCTCTCAGTCAATGGCACGCCGGTGGAATTCCAACCTCCCCACGCCCGCCCCCCCCCCCCCCCCCCCCCCCCCCCCCCCCCCCCCCCCCCCCCCCCCCCCGGGCCCCAGCCCATCTAGAAGACAATCCCAGGCAGAGGAGGAGCAGTCGGTCTCGGCGTAGGACAGACCGCAGCAGCAGCAGCTCTGGTTTTACAGTCTAATCTCGTGATTCCACCGCCGGGAGGATTGCTTGAGCCGCCCAATGATTGCCCTGGAAGACATCCCCGTCTTCCCTCCTCCGGCGACGAGATTAAAACGAGCGGAGGCGGCGGTAAATCGTGAAACGTGCGCAAGTTGTCCATTAGGGCGTCCATCCAAACGCTCCTCTGTGCCGCGAGCCAGAACGCCAACCTCTGGCTCCCCCTGTCCCCACACCCAGCGGCCCCCCCCCCCCGCACTCACCTCTTTCCTTGCAGTGTCTCTTTCGCGCCGCACAGTGGCACAGAGGAGGAGGAACAGGCCGCCGGGCAGAGTACTGCCGGCGGCAGCACGGCTTAGGTTGGAACGGGAACGGGAACGGGAAAGACCTCTTCTCTGACTCCGGCCGTCATCCATGGCCGGCTCTGCTGAGATTCACAGTGGTCATACAGACACACAGACAGAGAGTAGGAAGGAACGAGGGAGGAGGGAGGGGAAAGGACTCGTAATTGTGGTAAGCCCGTTAAGGCCAAGTAAAGCCCAACCCAAGAGGAAAATCGGGCCCACATCGGATGGAATTCAAATCGCGTTTTCGATATTGGGCCGGGCTGGGATGGGCGGGATCCCCTAGCTCCAGGGGAAGCCTCAGTGCGTTAGAGGTGTTTTCGGCGACAGTGGGGGAGAAAGAGGGGAAGACGGAAGAAGGGAAGCGGGATGGCGCACAGCAAGGAAGAGGTAACCTACGGGGCGGCGCAGGCGAAGATATCGGAGGACGAGTCACTGCGGGTGGCGTACAAGCACGGGACGCCGCTGGAAGGAGGGAAGATCGCGGAGTCGGAGCCAGTCTCTCTCTTCTCCTCAGCCCCGGGGATCTCCCCGGCGGACCCTTCACCTCAGCCTCCTCTCCGGAAGCAGGATGAAGAGCAGACCGCCGCGGGTATGGAGGCCGAGCGACCGCCCGAGATGGCGACCAGGAGAGAGGACTCGTCCTCCCCTTCCATGATCCACGAGGGAGAACTCAGAGGAAAGTGAGGTGCTCTCTGGTTTGGGAATCAGGCTCCTGTATCTGCGTCATCGTCGTCTAGGAACCGGTTGGTTTCCCTTTTTTCTCTCCCTATCCAAATGATGCTCGATGGTTTAAAGAGAAGTTAAAACTAGATGCTTGCCCTATATTTCTCTTCTCTCTTCATCTTCTCCGAGCAAAAGTGCTACATGTGTGTGTGCCCGATAAAACTGGACTCCTGGCTATCCTCCATCTTCTTTACCGAGCACGGGGAAAGTCACACGTTTGCTGGGGGAGCTAGGCGGCGAATGCCACGGCGAAGGTCCGTCGGCCACTCCGGCGGAGGAACAAGTGAGTCGAGCAGTCGCCGCAAGCCTAGTCCGACAGTAGCCGACAGTCGCAACCCAGCGAAGCTACGTCTGTTCATTAACACACCGGTGCAAGCGACTGGAATCGACGGTCACTGCCGCGGAGGACTAGCCGGTAGTTACGATAACTCCGAGCAGCCATTTATTGCTCAACGGACAGGTCCTTGTCGAGTCACCGATTCCGACCAGTATCCGTCGACTGAGGGGAAGACAGTAACGGGACGACCACGGCTGGCGGGGGTTGTCTGGTCCATTCCAACGAGGGGCGGCGGGATCGGATTTAGTTGACCAAAAACACGATAATTTATTTGACCGATGAAAGTCCACGGCCATTTGCACCAACAGCTCCACCGCGACAGGCAAGCGGATGTGTCAACGGATCAATTAGATGTAATGCTGCAAGCTGGGTTACTTGGGCGCACAAGTGGGGGCAGTCAACGAATCCGACACAACCCACCGTCGATCGTATAACAAAACGCAATATTTTCTATTATTATCATCATTATCAGCCATCGTCCCGTTGGACGCCCAGTCATCTACCTCCTCTTCCACATCTTCGGACGTCACGACAGTGCACCGAGCGGCGCCGCCGAGGGAGTGGGCACGCCGTAGTCCTACACCGCGAATTCTCTCGCCTGGCCGGCGTCCAAGCGGGTTCGCAGAACACCGGAAGTCCTAGGAATTCGCAGGAAACCCGAACCTGTGGGTGCTTACGTCAGGTAGCTTCGATGCCCGCCTGATCTCCCCCCCCCCCCCTCTCTCTCTCTCTCTCTCTCTCTCTTTCTCTCTCTAAAGAAGATACAGAAGTACTGCGGTTCCAATGGGCTCACATGGTGACGAGGAGGGGAGCGTGACTCCCCACAATATTTATTCAAGCGGGTGACTCCACAGTGGCCGAGTAATTTCCCGAGAAGTGGACGACTACTTCTCAGACGGCGCGGAGCGGGGGACTGTGGAACGGAGGACGAAGCTCGCCGTTGTATTATTCCATAAGCAGATGGGCCCGGGCAAGCCTGACCCCGCCGAGAGGACGAAGTGGGAAAGAACGGGGGAATTCATGAGTTGGCAGAAGTAGTTGTCTCCTGACGATAATCCGCTACCAACCATCACCTACCACGGGGGGACCTCGCGTACCGCCCGCTTGCTCACGGACCTCGCTGCCACGACTGCTGCTAACCCGTCCGGCGACGGTGGAACCGCTGCGGGTACTAGGGTTAGTACCAACTCGAGACCACCGCCTCTCCTCGGTCCCTGTGTTTTTGTGTACCCAGTTCATCTGCCTCCTCCCTCCCTCTCTCTGTTTCTCTCTCTAGGGTTACTCAGACAGAGTACAACAGGCTCTTCTTAGTCGCGGCGAGTTGATTGATCGGGACGGTCCAGCTAAGGTTCTGATGGCCGCGGCGTAACTACCGAGTCGCTCCACTCGAGTGCGTTCGGTCCGTCCGGCGACTCGGTGGGTTGTCAGCGAGGTGGGATGGCTTAAAGTGGCCCCCCTCGCCGGGCTTCTGGCATCTGGATGATCAACTGGAGCTCCCCGAACACGCGCTCAGGGTTGACATCCAGTCTATGGGCGTTAAAAAGAGTCCCTAACCCGCATTTTCACGGGCATTTGATAGGCGCGGGGCCTGCCCTGTCCTCCTTCTCCCCCCTCTTTAAAGTAAGTGGCTTTTCTTTAATGGCCATTCGGCCACCTACCCGGGCACCGCACATGCCCTCTCGCGCCGCACTCTCTCCCGCCGTGATGCCCCTCTGAAGCTCTGATACCAAGGGGTGTGTAAGAGTCGGGGTTAAAATATGGACTGTGAGAGAGAGAGAGGGGAAGAGGCTGCCATGGCCTCCACACGCCGACCTATCACGTTACCTCTGTTTCTGTGAGGGCAGAGGCCAGTGTGAGTTGGTAAGAGAAGAAGGAAGCGAGCAGGTAAGCACATGGAGACCGGAGACCAGTAGAAGGAACCAAAAAGGGTGCACAAGGTTGCCCCTGAAGAAAATTCAAAAATATTCCCACCTTCTCCTCTCTCCTTCCCTGTTTGACCCGGCGGGCAATTTCGCCCAGTACCACCGGCAGTGATCTTTAGAGCGCAAACCTAGGAAGCTAATCTAGTACATGCTGTCCGCCTTGCAAGGGTATGAAGAATCTGATGGCGTGGGGGTCGGACATGCCGTGGCAGCTGCAGGCTCCGCTTCTCTGGAATCCCAAGTTTGGGCATAGGCAGATTGCCTGCGTGTAGGGCTTGTGAGCAGATTCTGCGGCCGCCACTGCGGCCGTGCTGTCGCTGGTTGCCGCGGCGGTCGTCGTCGTCATGCTGGAGGAGGCCTCGGTGGATGAAGACGACGGCTTGGAAGGGTAGAAAGGGAGGCTGATGGAGAGCTCCAGGTTGAGCCCGGGGGAGCACTCGTCCTCCATGCTCGCAGCGCTCCCGTTCCCCTCCTCGGCGGACTCAGCCGCCATTTTCACGGTGGTCGCCGCAGCGGCCTTCGGTGCGTCAGCGATGAAGGAGAGTCCCCGCGGGGCGACGGCGGCGGCGCCCATGCTGGCAGCGGGCCTGGAGCCGATCGGGCGGTGGGTCTGCGGGTCGAGCCCGCGGCCGAGGAGTTTGCGCTTGATGTGCGTGTTCCAGTAGTTCTTGATCTCGTTGTCTGTTCTCCCCGGAAGGCGTCCGGCGATGAGAGACCACCTGGCGTTGATCATTCATATGATCGAAAAACTCGTCAGATTAAATTGAAGACAATTGAGAAAAAATGGTACCGGAGTGCAACGCCTCTCTCCGTCTACCGGCGGCGCACGGGGAGATTCATCGACGGAGGTAGAGAAGGGCACTCACTTGTTCCCCAGCATGGCGTGGAGCTTAATGATGAGCTCGTCTTCTTCCTCGGTGAAGTTCCCCCGCTTGAGATCTGGCCGGAGGTAGTTTATCCACCGGAGCCGGCAGCTCTTCCCGCACCGGAGCAGACCTGCGCGGAGGGCGATCAGCGTCGTCCCCAAAAAAAATCCAAACCCAGAACAGAACCAGGACGGAACCAATAGCCCTCCGGTCGTCTCCTCCGAGGTGGGTCTGGAGGAGTACCTGCGGCTTTGGGAAGGGTCCTCCAGCAACCCTCGCCGTGGGCTCTGATGTAGGCGATGAGCCGCTGGTCCTCCTCCTTCGTCCAGGCGCCCTTGTTGGTGTGCGCCTTCTCGCAGCACGGTGAGCGCCCCATGTCGCCGTACCCCTCTGTGCTGCCCCGTAAGCGGCCTCGCGCAGGAAGGTGCGACGGAGAGAGAGAGGGGAGCAGGAAGTCGACGATGGAGAGGAGCAGTCCCGACTGCCTCCGGTGGCTTTCAGCTTACTCGGAAGGATTTCGAAACGTTAAATCGAGGGGCATATATTGAGGGCGGAGGGGTAGAGAGAGAGAGAGGATGAGAATGATCATTGACTCGATTCACCAGGTCCATATGATGGAGATGGTCCGAAGAGCGAGTGGTTACAAAAGGGGAGAGCTGGATTTGGTCGGTAGCTCTACTTTTTACCTGTGTTTCCCAATTTACGCTGAAACTGATTTTTCTGTTTCTATTTTACTATTAATCTTCTAAAAGGATAGCGGGCATGTGCCCGTTTGGTTCAGAGTCTATCCTTCAACGCGTACGATATGGACACGTATCTGGCTATCCGTTAATACCCACCCTGCACCTTTCTATCCGTTAATACCAGCCAAAGAAGAACGGTTGGTTACCAAGAAAGAAGCCGGCCCCGATTCTCCCCCACGCAGCTGTCCCTCTCTCTCTCTTTCTCTCTCTAACATTCTCTCTCGTCCTCTCATCGGTGTAGGAGACTGGGGCTTCGTCTACTTGTTTATTTGTCTGCTTTTATTCCTCTCTGCCGCATGGAATTCTTTTCGACGGTCTAAAGTGAGATCGGGATTAATAACAACGATAACGCAGGTCCGAATCTCTCTACTCTCTCTCTCTAGAGATAGAGAGAGAGAGAGAGGGGGGGGGTCGGCGACTAACCTCAGGGGCCGTCATCATGAGCCTTAGTTACCGTGCCGTCGTAAGGTCTTGATGGGAGACTTCTAGATAGATAGAAAGGCGGTATGACTTGCAATCGGGGCAGTCAAAGTCAAATTTGTAAAGAGTCGCAGCGTTCCAATCGGGGCTTGGCTCGCGTATGTGACATGATAGCAGAGAGAGAGAGGACCGTTTCAAAGGCCGCTAACATCAGATAGTCAGCAGCTAGGCGGGCAGTTGCAAATCAACTCCCTTCAATTTGAATATACAGTCAAAAAATCCAGACGGCCGTTTGCAAAAGAACGACGACGACAAGACCGCCCGCTATAAATGATTGCAGTCGCTCTCTATCTATCTCTCCTCGATTTCTCTCTGGGTTGAGGTCATGACCTCCCTTTAGGCTTCGGCCCGGTGCACTGCTCGCTCTGACATCCGAGGGTCACTGTTTTCTTTCTAACTACGAGAAAGGAGCAAACGTGCAGCTCCTCTGCTACATTCAAGAGATGTCGAGCTGGAGAGAGAGAGAGAGGAGGGGAGGAAGAAATCTTGGTGGAAAGGGAGTAAAGGGGGGGGGGGAAAGCTTCTCCAAACCAGTGGAGGAAGGGTAGGTATCAATAAATGCCACCTGCAGGAGCCGCTCGTGGCCAGTCTGATCCCTTCTCGGTGGGTAGTTGACTGGTTTAGCTCATCTGTCTTACCCATGATCTCCCTCCCTCCCCCCCCCGCCCCCCACCCCATCTCCCAACAAGGACTCAACAGATCATAACTGATAAGAGGGCTGGATGATGGCCAACGTAAGAAGTATGCTGAGGTCCCATCTTCTCTCCGTTCCTCGGGGTCACCGCCGATGGTGGGGTAGGGCCACCTCATTCCTGGTCAAACCGCTTATTAATGGCGATCGCCGTTTGCCCCCCTCCCGCTGCAGTGGAGGACAGATGCCGGGACGACAGAAGCAGTCCACCCAACTCCCTCCTCCCTTTGTGATTCAGCCTACCACAATAAAAATCAGCAGGTGGTGAGGATTCCGGCGGCCTCTTCCATGGGAATTCAATGCGGAAGTGCCACGCCGGTAGGCCTCCCAAGTCCTCTCTGGTATAGTGTTGGGTCAGAGAGGCGCTGTCCCTTGTTGGCCATCTAAAAAGAAGCGACCTTTCCAACGGTGCAACTGATCCACCCCGGTGTTGTCTTCTCTTCTCTTCTCTCGGCAAGTTCATCGCCGAGAGGGACGAAGGAGAGGGACTGGCACAGACATTCTCTTCCGGCTGGAGTCCTCGTCATTTCTCCTGTCCTTTCATAGTCGGTGCCCAATGACCAATCACTGATAATCTCTTTTAATGTCCCCACTCCAATCGAAGGTCTAGAACTCGGTTTGTCGTGAACTCCCATTGCTTTGGACGGATTATTCCGGCAGTCTTCAGGCCTCCGCAAGGAAGCTTCGTCCTCTCGCCGCCGGAGGACCTCACCGTACGTTATCGTCCAACAACTGGGTCCCCTGCCCCACCCGTCCGCGAGAATCTATGTGATTCATCCTTCACCATATCCCAGTTACTCACGTGAGCGCATGGTGAGTATCCTACGACGATCGATCTGGCAGATGGGGGGGAGGGGAGGTGAGGGGTTGACCGATCACTACCCAGCTGTGCCAAACCCACGAGCCCAGCCTGGGCGCTGTGGCCAACCGAGGTGCGCCCTCGCCGGAACCCTAAAACGCGGAAAGAGACGGGCTCTTTTTTAGGTCTTATGGCCGGTTTATCCTCTCCGTGAGTTTTCCGGTGGTGAATCGTTCTTCTCGCCGCCACCGGGGGGGTCGACCCCGGCCTTGTTTCTTCCCGTTGCCATCGCTCTCTGCATTAAATGGCCGGGTGTGACAGTCGTCGGCAAGCTCCGGGTCGAAGCCTTCGCGCTCCTCTGTTTTTGGGGGGGCGGGGGCTCCTTGCTCCTCATTGTCGCCATGATCGCGGACGTGACCCTCTGTGGACTGACATGGCTCCCGGAATCGGATCTCTGGCTGAATTCTCCGTTGACCGGCAGGGCGGCCGAACCCCGCCTTGCGGTGGGCCAGGGCTGCCCAGGGCTGCCCTGGAAGGCCGCAGTTCGGTCGTCTTTTGGCTTCATGACGGACGACCATTTTGTTCTCCCATTTGAGAGAACTGACGGTCGTCTCCTGGTCAGACAGACGAAGGAGGTTTGACCCGCTGGTATTGACCATTCTTCGAGTCTACCGTGCTCGATCGGAGCTAACAATGGGGGCCCAGGATCAACTCGTTCATACATAGGCCAATGCCCAATAGCCGTGGTTTGGCCCATTAGTCACTGCGGGCCTGGGAGGAATTTCCATCACGTGAAACGGTCGTCTTGGTGCAACCCCATTTAATTCCTCTACTTCCTCTGCGCTCTGAGCTCAGAGATCCGCTGTCGGCGACTCGGGCGATGGCGCCAGCGGGAGCTGTCCCAGGTGGGGGCTCTCCCGCCGCTTTGGTCCAGGGTCGGCCTTTGCCAGATTCCGGTCTCTCCAACTTTGGCGGATATGGTTGAGGGGATTGGGTCGTAAATTCTTCAAGAGTCAGACAAATGGAGCCGCGAAGCTGGTGGTGGGGGATGGTGGCGAGGGGATGGAGAGGAAGGCTGTTGCAGTGTCGAAAATAATTACGTGGGGATGGGAAGCGGGAGCATAATTAAGGTAGGGGGCCTCTGAGCAATGCTTTCCGCCGCCCACCAACTTTGGAGCAGGCCGGCATCTCCTGTGCCAACCCGTTTGTGTGGAAGACGATGAGAGTCGAGAGGTGGCGTAAGGGTGGGGGGGGGGTGGGGGGGGGTTGGTTCCGTGGTCTCGATCCCGCTCCGCCGGCGGGGACGAGTGCAAGAAGAAATTCTGGCGCCTGTTTGCCGAGTCAGTCCTCTCCTAAGCTCTCCTCTGATCCCCAAATGCCGTCAAACCTGACTCGGAGGAACCCCGTTCAGCTTCGAACTCTAGTCCAAAGGTTTTTCAGGAGTCTGTGCCATGAATACATTCTACGCTAGAGTTGCTGGAATGCTCAATAAATCTGGCTGGAGCAGGTCATCCATCCATTGACTGCTCCAGAGGTCCCAGTGGTATCATCCAATCATATCTCTTGTTTTCTCGGTTGAGTTAGAGTTCAGGGAGAATGGCGAGAGAAGACAGGAGCCAGGAAAAGAGTCTCTCGGATGAAGGGTCTCAGGGTGCTCTGCTCGCGGAAGAAATGACGAATTCTCAGAGTGACGGCTTCCATGGGTCAAAAGAAGAGCACCGGATTTTTACAGAGGTCTTCTATGGAAAAAGTGTTTGTGGCGTTAATCAGCCGGAGAAAAACAGTCGGTCGAGAACCGTGTTCAGCCGATTTTCGTCGACTAACTTGCATGGCGGAGTTCGTCGGAAGAAACTAAAAGAGATAAAGGTAGATGCTCCTGAATCATCTTGCACCAAAGAAAACCATTGTAGTCGCGAAGATATTGGTGTTCACTGTCCAAGCTCTCAGAGCTTTTCTCATCCAAGGAGGGAAAAAGGTTCTTGTCTGGTTGAGAAGAATCACGTACCGCGGTCCAGCACATTGCCGCATAGATGAAGCAGGTGGGGACAATAAAGGTGGTGGTGATGTGCCACTCAGAAGAAACGCTGGAAATGTTCTCTTTGCACCAGAAGAAGAAAGCGGGCGTCGCGAAGATATTGGTGTTCACTGTCCAAGCTCTCAGAGCTTTTCTCATCCAAGGAGGGAAAAAGGTTCTTGTCTGGTTGAGAAGAATCACGTACCGCGGCCAGCACATTGCCGCATAGATGAAGCAGGTGGGGACAATAAAGGTGGTGGTGATGTGCCACTCAGAAGAAACGCTGGAAATGTTCTCTTTGGAGAGAAGAAAGCGGGCGTCGAGCCAAGTGCCTGTACAGCCCCTGTCTCTCAGGAAAGCTCTCCGTCCAAGCTTCTTACGCAGGATGGACATAACACCTTTTGCATGAGAGATGAATCCAAGATTGTGGATTCAGATGGTGCTGAAAGCCCGAGGGCCTCTGCCAAGGAGCTTCGCAGCCGGCTTCATTTGCATGCACTCAATCTTCTTCTGGGCTCTGGGTGGAAAATTGAGGCTCGAAGAAGAAGATATGAAAGTAAACTCGATTCAGTCCTTGAACCACCCGGGGAGGGGCCTATTGTTTATTCACTCTCCAAAGCTTGGAGGGCATGCGGCGATTTGCTGGCTG